AAAAAAAAAAAAAAAAAAAAAAAAAAAAAAAAACGAGGCGCCAGCGTCGGATCCAGCGCTAAAGGATGTAATTGTCAATAGTCATGGGGATGTTCAGTCAAAGGAATACCGAGTGTATGTTGCATATTTCTTTTAATTTCGGTGGTGGTATGCTATGTCCAGGTATCTATCCAAGTTTGACCCCCATCTCCAGCAACCAGAATCCTTGTCGTCCTATCAGACTTCACAGCAAATGCGACAACATGCTCGCTAATCTTCGGCTTCGGTGTCTATCAGGACCTATACTAAGAAATGGCCAAAGAGCCCAGCAATGCATTCACCGGCCAGCCATCCTCCTTGGTCGGACTAATCGGTATTCTCGGCGTTTCGCTGATGACCATGGGCGGCTCCTTTGTAACCATGTGGGCAAGTTTATATACACCACAGCTCATGGTTGCCACTGGCGGCATTGTATTTGGGCATGGCCTACGTTTTGGCCAGCGTCAGTCACGAACTATGGGAATTTGCAATCACCCAGGGCATTCCTCGCCGGTGTTGGCACCTCTATGGCATATGTCACCACCGCCTCGGTAGCACCCACTGTGGTTTGAGCAGTATCGTGGTTTGACAATGGGTTTGATTGTTGCCGGCACCGGTATTGGAGGTATGATATGGCCTCCAATTCTGCGCGCAATCATCAACTCGCTTGGATTCCGTGACGCCATGAGAATTTCTGGCTGCAGCGCCTATGCGATGCGAACCAAAGTTTCGGGAACAGCTTCGCACCCCAGATGCAAAGTTGTAATGGGCAATCATCATCAAATCTCTCTAGGTATCTGCGAGGATTCCGGCTTCCTAAGATAAACTGGGAAGCCATCAAGACGAACAAGAACATTGCGCAAGCTATAGGCAATTTAATCCAGTCCGCTGCATACTCTGTGCCGTTGTCCTACTATTCCGCATACGCTCAAAGGCAGACGACTTCATCACCATCAACAACGCGTCTAATTTCGTTTCGAGAATTATCATCGGATACTGTACAGACAAGTTTGGTCCCATCAATGCTCTGTTTATTACGACAGTGCTGAGCTCCATATCTGTACTGGTCTTTTGGATACCTACTAGCTACCTGGCCTGCAGTAATAAGACAAATCATTCCTGCGACATCAGCAAATATGACATGCTAAACATATTTTTTGTGATTGTCTACGGCGCGTTTGCTAGCGCCTATATTTCCTTGTTCCCTGCTTTATTGCTCGAGCTCTTCGGCCGCGAGCACTTCTCAAGCGCCAGTGGCTAATTGTCACTAATTCGTGGCATGGGAGCCTTGCTAGGAACGCCCTTGATCTGTCTGCTGATTCCGCAGGCGCAGTCGCTGACTTCGCCTTGGGGTCTATGAGCAGGCAGTTATTGTTGTCGCTATGTTGCTGTTGCTGCTAGTGTAGCTACCCTGTGGGTTAGAATTGAGGCTACCCGGGACTCGTCGTGGAAGTGGAAGATCTGATTGAAGCAGATGAAAACTTGAAGGTGAGGGGGTTATTACTATGCCGATTTCTCAATTTTATCCTCTCTAGATACTATGCATGATTTGATGGGTAGCTTTGTCGTCCATTATATCAAGGCTTAAATGCCAATGCTCATTATAAGTACCTAGCAAAATTTGAAAATAATGTCACCAATACTGCTTTTTGGCTCTAATCGAAGCCATACATGTAACTCTGGTCTAATATAAAAACGCAGGACGTCTACACGTCTGCGGCTGAAGATTGATCGCTACTAAAGGCAAATGGACGGCTGGAATGGCCGACTCATACAATTTAGAGAGTTAGCGTGTAAGATCTGAGAGTTCATGCATGATGCGGTTCAACGAATAAGAATAGAGGCTAATAAATATCTACCAGCTCGAGTTCTATGCATTTACAAGTTAGGCCGCGATTCAAAATATGCATCTCGGTCATTGTACAAAGTCGTAGCGTTCTAGTCAATACTATAATAGGAAATATTATTTCCTAAATCTTCCCATCTATCTCCAAGGGTGCACTATTACCTATATCCTAGCTCAGGTATATACATACACACAAACAAACTTATCAGCCAGTCAGAAAAGAAACAGCCTAAACTCTAACACCTTGACCTCTATATGCCCGGTGAAGGTGGCCAGAGTTTTCCTTACAATCTAAATTAACCCCCATACGTGAATGTCAGCCTAAACAAGGCGATGCAACCATATGAAGTTTGGCCCCTTCCGGAAGGAAAAAATTTGTTAGGGTTCCAATTAAGCCCGAAAGCTTGTGGCAATGAAGGTTTGATATGTATAATTATTGTTATTTATCCAGAGATCATAAAAAGTAATTAAGTTGTTGTCTTGAAGTACGCCCCTGGTAAGCGCTGGCGTTGTCAAGGAACCCTGTGGCGGTGCGGAGATCAGCCATGCATTCCTGGGTTAAATCGAATCGATCCTTTTCTAAGGAAATGCATACGTAGATAACAGTCTAAATACACGACTATGCGAGCGGACACCACGGGATTTATTTATTGGATTTGCCTGCTCTACTATTGACATAGCAAGAGGGGACGTAACCCTAACTAGGAATCCTGCCGGGATGTGGTGGCTCGGCCAACATGTACAATTGTCTAGGCACAGTTCTCTATGTAACAGTATATTGGCGCTACTAACTTGACTAACGATGCAGGCGCTGCAGCCTGAGGTTATATTTGTATAAGATCTACAGCTAGCACGTGTGGCATAAACGCCAGTCGAGCCCCCTTAAAATATTGTCAACAGACTTTCTTGATCGTGAAAGGAAAGTAACATTAAAGCTTGAACTACGACTTAGGGTATTATAAAGTAGCACCTGCAACAAATCGAATATCTAACCGACTAATGGCCACTAGAATTTCAGGTAAGCACGCAGTGAGAGTATTCCAGCCCCAAAGGATGATTCCAATCCAAATCTATCCTTGTCTGGAACCCTACCTAGTAAGGCCTATGCGCCCCAGAGTACGTATATCTCAGAAATTATCCAACTTACTAAAAAAAAAATGGACCGGGGTGCCGTTTATTATCACGACGTTGCAACCCCGTCAGCGCTATGCTGTACAATACACCCTAACTATCGTCTACGTTCTAAGTCAAGCTCGTGCAGCTGATTAATTGTGGCTTGACTGGTCTTTTTATTCGGCTACCTACTAGAAACCTATGTATTGGCCTGTTCTAGGTGTCTTTGATCTTCTAGATGCTTGTTTAAGAAGGACTAGGGCTAGTCTAAGAGTTTTGCTAGCAGTTTCATGACATGACCATTAGCACCAAGACGACGCTGGCCCCATTCTAATCTTTGAACTCAACAATCTTTATGAAGCTAGGCTCCCAATCCAAGTAACCTGTTCCTGCAGCTCCACTAGCTGAAATTTTACGCCCAGATACTGACACACGCGTGGCTTAGGCTAGGTTCCACGTGCCCTGGTTCTAGAAACCAGATTAAGTACGAAGTAGCATCTGCTGCTCAGAAATCTCCGAGCTAAGTGCTTTTGTTTTTTTTTTTTTTTTTGCCCGAAGAGTTTGGGCCAATTGACGCTTTCAGCTGGATCGAAGTTGAGTTGGAAGATGACCTAGTCCGGCTTTTTCCCTCCTTTCTCTTTCTCTTTCTGGTCTATAATGTGAGCGCTGGGGCAGTGGCTAATGTATGCTCCACGGAGGAAGCGGAGCTAGAAGTATTGATCTAGAAACCTATATAATGTCTGCACTGATCCGCAATCTTGTTGTCTCTTCTGAGTTCGTCCTGTTAGCTACAGCTCGAAATATCCTTTGCCACTCCTTCATACAAAGATAAAGCAGACCGTAGAGAGTCATTCCTTTACCTATACGATCATATACGGCACTCCTTGCTCCCTTCCTCCCTCTCTCTTTTGGATTTTTTCACATTTCAATCAAAGCAAGATGAAGAACGCATTTTCTATCGCCACCTTACTAGCTTTGGCTAGCAATGCTCTTGCCAGCCCATTCCCAGCGGCTACTCCTACAATCACCTCCGCTATTGGTACTGCTGTCGGCGGTGCCGCGAGTATCAAAACCCAAGAAGCAGTCCTGGTTGAGGACCCGCCCGAGTACCTAACCATTGTGATTATCAACAGCCACGGGGATGATATTACCACGTCTTTGAGTAACGCCAATACTGCGGCTACTCCGGTCTCCGGTGCCACAGGTACCGGAACAATGTCCAACCATGAAACTGCCTCTGTCGTCGTGCCGACTGGCTGGATTGGAAGCTGGGCTATTAACGATGCGCTGTATGAGATTACCGGCGATGACAGCTTGCTCGAGGCCAACTTTGTTGTTGAAACTGGTGGAACTGTGGCTACTGTTGATGTTGACGTGAGCTATGTGTATGTTTGACCTGCGTTGCTTTGGTTTTGAAGAGGACTTGATATTGTCGCAATGAGACCTGGAAGAAATGCTAACATTATATCTATCTAGTGACGGTTTCTCTGTTGCTATCGTCTGCTCCTGCGATGGCACTATCGTTACTGGTTGCAACAAGAACCTTTTTGAATTGAACACCTGTGAAGTAAGATTTCTATTTCTGTCTATTTATTGTTAAGAGAGTACTTTCTAATTCATTACCAAAAGGACAATGACGGCGAAAACGCCTGTGTCAACCCCCTTCGCAGCGACTTGTCCGCTACAAATGCCACCACATTCTTCGCTCCTTGCCAGGGAGCAGCTTACACCTTCCCATTCGATAGCGCTGCCGACAGTACGGGCCAGTGCCAGAATGGTGTGATCAAATGCTGTGTTGGCGCTGCCTGTCCGGCAAACCCTAACCAGCCCTCCGACTAAGCTCGTATTCCTGTCGACCGCTTAAGTGGGCAAAGGCTAAGTAAGACTCATTTGGAGATACGAGTTTTCACTTGTATATAGGTTTACTTTCATGTTGATACTTTTAGACCCAAGCTATTGGTTTAGAACGAAGATCTTCACCATGGACACATCCATGGGTTCGTTCCAAGAATGCCTAGGTAGAAGGACCTCGGAATCTCTAAATCACTGAAAGGTAGGTATATGTTTGCCTGCAATAGGAATATTGTGTAGGTAGATCAAGATGGCAACCTCGACACGTTACATGTAGTTCTATATTCTTCACTCTCAACACCACCACCACCACAGATGATGCAACGCACCAAGTGCTATGTATCGATGCTACTACCTGCCTCTTATACAATAGTGCAGGCATGCTTATCTCGGATGCAGCGGAATGACTCATCAATCGCCCTCAGCCGATTTCGGGGAGTCTCAAGCAAGCACGCCCTGGTCTAAGCCCCCAAGCTAGCTGCATAGGCAATAGATAATTGATCTATATCATGCAATTGATTGATCGGCTAGACCCCGCATCATCGACCAATTCCGCGCGTGATGAGCCATTTCTCCCAGCTTCAGCTCTTCCGGAGGGTTGCAATTGTCTGACAACTGAAACAGCTCCTTGCAGGCATCATCGCGAGATATATTGTGTCTTCTGCATCTCACAAATTCAAGCAGCTTGTCTTGCATTCTATTCCAGCGGATTTTAATAGCAGCCAAAGAGACCGGCCGCCATTTATAATCAATCCGCTTGTTTAAGCACAACCTCGGAAGCATCCTGGAAATATCTATCAACTCATTAAAAAGAACGAAAGAAAAAGAAAGCCAAAATAAAAAAATAAAAAAAAATGGCACCAACAAAGACAATCTCAAAGACACAAGCATCAGCATCCTCTATCATCAAACTCCCACTCGACACCCGCAACGACCCAACCCTGCGCCGTCTCAACCAGCTCCTCTACATACCGGAAACCGGGATTTGGGTCCCCGGCAAGAAGAGCACCCCAATATTCGATTACTCGTCTCACTTTGACCGGTCGGCAATCAACTGGTTCACCGACGACTATGTTGGGTTCAACGAAGATGTCATGGCGCAGACCAAGGAGCTTGCGCACACGGCCATTGCCATGGACCAGAATTCATCCGAAGACATACTGAATCCCGCAGTGATATTCAAACTGTCGCGGACGCATTGGTATAACGACTCCAAATTCATCGTCACCAAGCCAGCGCCTTATATCGGACAGCGACGAGGGAGGACCCTCACCGATGACTCTGCTCCTAGTCAGGACTCGGGAGAAATTTATCAGGATGAAGTAGTACTAGCAGAGTATGTTTCGCCCTTGCTAGCCTACGGCGTAACGAATATCTCGTTCCCGGACGACTCGCTTCACTCGTCGCACCCGATCACAGTTCGACCTATCAATGCTACTCGTCGCTCGCAATCTTTCGTCCAGGACTCCGTGTCGTATGTATGGGACGTGAACAGGACATTGTTCCCTGGTGGCGGTGGAGTGTTGAGTTTGTACAAGGGGATTGGCGCTAACAAGAAGATTGAGATTGGAAGATATCAGAGCGACAACGGGCAGTTCGTCCCCGGTGGACTGGTGGTGATTGATTCCGATGAGGTGGATGTGTTGATTGCTGTGCTGAGCTTGATGTCTGTGTTGGCGCAGAGAGAGAGCTTCTCTGTTCCCACGGGCAACTGGGCTGGAATGATTGTGCAATAAACAAAGGGAAAAAGTACATTTACTGGCGTTTTGTCTATCCAGATGCTTTTGGCAGTAACTATAAGGTCTTCCTGTTAAGATATTGACAGTCTATCTACAGCTACCGAAGGATTCATAAGGGTAAAGATATGCAGAATGAATTGTGTGAAAAAGGGGAAACCATATAAAAATCGGACATCATAACACATGTGATTCGTTAAAATATACAAAAAAGAAACTGAAAACGACCGGTTGCCCTATCGTGATATATAATAACCACTAACAGCCAGGTTCTTATCCTTTAATTCATCCGAAGGCGAGCGAATGCCAACGCGATGGAATGGAATTTGTCCAACCATTGTCTGACCCTTCATGCGCAAGTTGGTATATCCACCCTTTGCTCTATCCCAGAGGCCAGACTGTGCCTCCTCCCCTTCAGAACCTTCTACGGATCTTTGTGTACTGGAAACATCTCGAACAGGATCGGCTTGCCATGCAGGATTATCCAACGCGCTACGGACTAATTCAATATCGCACACGTCCAATATGATTTGCTCTTCGTCTTCTGCTCCGGGATTTCCAGCCTTAATAGATGTTGATGTAGTGTTGGGTGGTCGAATAAAACCCATGATACGAACTTGTACCTGAGCCGCGGATGGAATGTCTATATCTTCGATGATTTTTATAGATGTGGTGACTTTGAGAGCCCTCTGGGATCGAACGTTGGATACTCGCTCTTGGAAAACAACGCTCGAAGCGGAGAAAATGCATTGTAGCCACGAACTGCTAGTTTCGCTCTTCTTGTCACCAATCAGCGTGCTCTGGCTCTTGGGTTCCCCGGGGAGTATTTTACACCAAGCAAAATAGTGCCCGTCCAGACGAGGAAGAATATTCCGGGAAATCCCTACGACGCTTATTTTCCTTGGAAATCCGTTCGCGTCAAACGTGGATATAACTGCATGGACATCGAGCTTTGCCACAAAGTCAACTGGATATGGTGTAGTCGGTCCGGCCTCGGCGTCGATCTCTCCAGGCCCGAGTGGACTCAGCATTTTGCTTTGGGTTTCACTGTAATGATCACTAGCCTCTTCCATGCCGGAGTCCACTCGACTTTCCAGCCCGCTTACTGTATATGCAGTCTGCGCGGCTAGTTGAGTAGTTCCCGATGGGAAAAAGGCTGAATCCTGTATCTTGGTTGTCACCGGAGAAATCGCGTTGCTAGCCGTATTCTGCGCATATAACCCGCCCACCCACAGTCCTAGTTCTACTGGTAGAGTGCTAAGACTTGCACCTCGCAGTGTTGACGGATCTGAAGAGGTTGAAATCAATCGGAAAACGGGACTGGTGCAGAGCACTTTTCGCTTCTGGTCACCCCGACAGAGAACCAATTGGTAATAGCCATCTTCAGCTTCCACGGGTACACGAACGATGGCTGTTTCTCGAAGAGTGTGGCGTTGTACGGAACCGGAGGCCTTTTTGCGGAATCGTTTAATGTCCCGCTGCCAGGCACGCTCATCACTGGAATTGACCTGATCAGGCTGGATCGCCAGACTCGGGGTGACATTTATCCAGCTATCATTGAAGCCAAAAAGGGCTTTTGCGCGCATCCCGGTCTTTCCTGACCAACCCTTACACTGCATCCATATTGTTCGATCCTTTGGTAATGGCTCGTCGGCGAAGATAGAGATTGCAAGGAACGTATTACTGCCCTGATAAAAGACCACGCCATGAGAGTGCCGTAGGATAGTGTAATGTTTATTGCTGACAGTGGGATGAGCTACCAAGCCCCCAACAAAATGCCTTGCCTCCTGAAAGGCCTTCTGAGCATGTCCCGAGGCGGCTTTTTTCCAGTCTCCCGCTTCTCTAGCTGTGGTGCCATTTACGGATGCATTGATATTCGACGACGAACTTGCAGCTTGAAAGGATGGTATCCTGCTGCTCGACATCGACTGCGGACTGGCCACTATATTACCGTCTGTGATGGCAGCTGGGACTGGCGGACCAGGCCTCGGGGGCCTCGGAGGCGGCTTCGGAGGCACATCTTGCGAGTCACGTATCTGTTTTTGTAAGCTCTCTGCCTGGTTTCTAGACGGTGTTAGGGACCGTCCACCACCATTCGCAAGATTATTACTTCCGTCATTGCTGCTAGGCTTGTTAGTGTCAATCGGTTTTCGACGGATCTGATACTGTGCGGGCACGTTCTCCCTCCTATATGGCGGGGGCGGCACATCACGCTGGACCACACCCTGCTCCTGCTGCTCCATATCAAGTGCTATTCTTTCATTTAGTGCTTTGCTGGCATCTATCTCGCGACGGCCGAGGATCAGCCATGGTCAGAGCATCGCCGGGATTGCTGATGGATGATGGAAGCGTTGCGATGATAACGAGTTCCGTCAGTCCCGACTAGCCCCGTCTCGTGATTGGCTGCTTCCCAGTTTGGCTTACAAAGACGTGATTTTTTTATTTGCACGCCACAGCTCGACTTTTACTGAAAAGTTGCACGCCAATTGCATGTCCCAGACACGTACCCCCCAACGAAGCAAGAATTTCAAGTTCTCGGTCTGTCATGTAAATAGAACGTAACCCCTCTGTGAAGTGTAGGGGAATAATATAAATAATTGACCGTTCTAAAAAACACACAGTGAAATTATGGCTGTCACCGAGCTTGCTCTTCTCCATCTCAAAAACAACAATGACCTCGACGCCCCAGAAAATGAAAACGTTAAAACAGCACTTCGAATAGCGATACAAAAGCAAGCGGCGTTCGCTGGATACCCTGTTTACTTGTTTACACAAATTGAAGATCCCTCATATATATACCTACTGGGCGGATGGGACTCGGTAGAAGTACACGTGCGGAAATGGATACCATCGGAGGAAAACCAGCAACTGCTCGCTTCGGTCCAGGAAGGCCTGGAGGTGGCTTGGCTGCAGCACATTGACATCCATCCCGCATTCCAATCAAACCGAAATGGACGTGGGGGTGACGTTACACCCCCGTCTGCCCCAGTAATTGCTATTGGCCGCTACTTCGTGGAAGGATCCAAAAGAGGGGTCTTCCAGGACGCATTCTCCGCTAATAGACACCACCTTGAGGCCTTTACCGCGCCGACGAGTATCAGTGCTGGCTGGGGGCTCGGTCCGGGGATGGAGGAAGATACAGTAGGCAGCAGGAAGGAGGAGTTTGTGCTTTTCAGTGGCTGGGATGCGGTCGAAGATCATTCCAAGTTTGCAGAGTTGGAAGGTTTCGAGGATTTCGCGACGATTAAGCAATTCCTCGATGGTGCTGACATCAAGCATGCAGTTCGCTATGCTGCGTCTTGAGATTTCCGAGGTTCCCAAGTATTGGAAAAGTGCAACCAGGCATTTTGTGTGCTACGTATGGAAGGAATACCGAGGTACCGAGGTGCCGAAGGTATTTCATGTATTTCGCATATTACCTAGGTATTTGGCTTCCAGATCAAGCAGGAGTAAGGCAGATACTATACAAATGTTCATTGTTCTAAGAAATCGACAATATCAAAATTAGACCCCCTTTTCATATAGACGGCTACCTGCTGCAGCATCTATTGCCATGGATTCCCTCAATCCAAGAGCAGTGAATAATTCCTTAGGACTACCAGCTCTCTTAGCCGTGGTACCGGTTTCTTTCAGCAGCTTGGCCTCTGCATTCACTGCCTCGTAAACTGCCGTCAAAGCAAACCCAGGGAAGATGATGATCCTAAACCCAAGCTCGCGCGCCTCGTCCGCCGTAAGATAAGGTGATAGTCCACCAGCAACAGCATTGAAGAGAACAGGCGTAGGACTGAGATCTTGGACAGTCTGCTTTGCCTCCTCCCTAGTTGCAACACCCTCCAGAAAAGCGACGTCAGCGCCCAGCTCAATCGCGTGCTTTAGTCTCTGCACTGCGTTTTCATAACCAAGAGACTGCAGCGCATCTGTACGAGCAATAATCACTATGTCGCCACCAGACTGTTTGCGAGCATTTACTGCAGCGCGAATTCGAGACAAGAATTCGTCCTCCTCGACAATTTGTTTGTTTAGCAAATGTCCGCAGCGTTTGGTCGTTGGTTGATCTTCCAAATGAAAGGCTGCAATACCGCTTCGAATGTATTCAGTCACAGTGCGGTGAACACTTAAAGTGCCTGTAAAATGTGAGTTATTTCTCCCTCTCCATGTCTGATGACATGGTAGGCATTTTATATCTCACCTCCAAAGCCAGTATCTGCATCAGCAATCAACGGCACCGACCGATCCAAATTGGCAATCATATCTGCATTCGTGCGCATTTCATTCAATGTGATTATGCCCAGATCTGCCATTCCAAGTCTGGAAGCAGCCGTTCCAGCACCGGTCTGTCGAAGTTAGTATGATTGAGAAATAGAAGTCTTCAAGGAACTGGTGCCATATGTGCCTACCATATATAAAGCATCGAAACCTCCTTGGAGAGCAATTCTTGCTGTGAGTCCATCGTAGACACCAGGGCATACAATGATCTTGCTCTCGTCGGCGAGCAGTTCACGAAGCCTAGCAACCGGGGAAGCCATTTTGCTGGCTTTTTCTTTCCTTCTCTCTTCTTGTTTGAAGGAAAACTCGTGTGGTTCTGTCCGATTGGAATGTGCAATAGGATAGATATTTATATAATGTATGATTGAATGGTTTGTATTGATTCATCTCAAGCTGACGGGGCTAAATTTATACTTCTCTACCCCGCGGGGCGAGTGGGGGCGACCGGGCGTACAGCTCGGGGTGTGTTGAAAAATTAGTCGAAATTTGATCGGAAGACACTACCAGATACGGCTTAGGAGGCCTCAGTGGCCTCGTAAGCTTGACAGCGTTCCACATTGTCAAATCCAACACTCCCCCGCGGCCCGTTTCCGGCCCGGGGTCGTAGTCGGAACGGGCCGACGTAGATGTATATAACGAGGAGTGGCGTATCCTGGCTGCTATCGAATCGAAACTTTGATACTATTAAATGCACCAACCGTGAAGTGCAGTGATCAACATATGAATAAAATGGCTGCTGACGGAAAGTCGAAGTTTGTTGAAATCCTTAACCTACTTCAAGAAACGCGCGGCGTTTCTTTGGATGAGGCAGAAAGTAAGTATTCTTGCTTGAGCTGCACTTGGATGGTAGGGATCAGATTCAGGTGACAAGGCTAATCATATGTTGTTTAAATCTTGGGTAGAAATCGCCATTAACAGTGGCAATGTTCTGAGCCAGTTGAAGACACTAGGCGAAACTTTGCAAACCCGTGGCCATACTAGGGAGGCTACTGCTGTCAACGATGTCCTTTTAATTTGCGAGCAGCCAACTGAATTAGGCGGCTTAGGGCTAGATCCAAATGGGACAATAGCAGAGAATGAAGAGGGGGAAATTGTATTTCTCGTTTCCGCATGGCTGGAGTCCCTTAATTCGACAGACAGGGCCAAAGCGAGGCCGAAGCCACTTCCGTCACGCCCAGAAGGCCGTCCGGGCATGACACTGAGTGAGAAGATCTTTGCTATACATGATGTATCTCAGAAAGGCTATGTAAAAGCCGGGGATCTGATCCGCGTTGACGTCGATTGGGTGATTGCGTCTGAGGCTTCATGGGCGGTAGGTCTTATCCATAGCATGTTATCTCAGTCTTTGTTTTATCAACATTTCAAGTCTTAAAGCCCTAAAGCTTATCGATATTTCCAGGGCATGGAAGCAACATATAAGCTTCTAGGACAACCTGGAATCTTCCGAAACGACAGATTCTGGCTTGCCGGAGACCATGTTGTAGACCCTCGCGTCAAAGAAATGCCTCAAGTCCAGCGCCTCATTGACTCTAGCGAGAGAGCCAAGAAAATCTTCAAAATGACGGAATACCAAGGAATGAACGTACGTTCCCTCACTAATAGCACGATCAATGCAGCATGCTAAGGGCTGGGCTTATAGTACACTATTATGCACACTGAATTCTACAGAGAGCGTGCGCAACCAGGCATGCTTATTATCGGGTCGGATTCTCACACCTGCTCTTCAGGTGCCCTAGGGTGTCTGGCCATTGGACTCGGTGCCGCAGACGTCACCTTGCCTCTGGTTACAGGCGAGACGTGGTTCAAGGTCCCTGAGTCCGTCAATGTCGAGTTGGTCGGTGTTCCCAAACCTGGCATAGGTGGCAAGGATGTTATTTTGTATATTTTGCAACAATTGAAGAGAAATACTGTGGCCTCTGAAAGAATTGTGGAATTCACCGGCCCGGGACTGCAGTATCTATCATCGGATGCACGATTTGCAATTTCTAATATGACTACGGTATGACCTTCATCTTCCAAAAAAATGGATGCCACAACCTTCGCATTTCCAATATGAGTCAGGCTGATAAAGCTTAGGAACTGGGAGGCGTAACCGGTGTGTTCGTCCCTGATCAGATGACACACGACTTTCTACAGAGAAGACGGAACCCCAGACATAAATCGGATAGTGTCTTTTTCAAGCCAGACGACGATGCTCAATATGCCGAGAAACATGTTATAGACCTCGAAAAAGTCCATCCATTCATCGCCAAGTACCCGAAGCCAGATGACGTCGTGCCTGTGACCGAGTGTGCTGGAATGGATTTGGATGGATGCTTTATCGGTGCTTGTACTACGGCTGAAGAAGATTTGATTCTCGGCGCACTGGTACTCGAGCAGGGTCTTAAGGCAGGCTTGAAGCCCGTTCCCAAGGGAAACCGAAAAGTTGTTCCAGGTTCGCTACCAATCATACGACGACTGCGCGATCTCGGACTATCTGATATCTACGAGGCTGCGGGATTCGAAATTGGTGTTCCGGGATGCAGTTATTGCGTGGGCATGTCCGCTGATCAGGCCAAACCAGGCGAAGTGTGGCTATCATCGCAGAATAGGAATTTTGAGAATCGCATGGGCAAAGGTATTTTTATCCAAGCCAACCATCATCGCATCTTCATTCAATCTGGTTTGTGATTCAATGATAGCGGCGTTTTGCTGACCTGTGATTAGGATCCTTCGGTAACTTAGCTTCGGCGGCTACTGTGGCCGCATCATCTTTTGAAATGAAGGTCACGGATCCTTATGAATTAATATCCAAGGTCGACCTCGACCGCTGGAACTCACTCAGAGGCGTGGAAAAAGCAAAGCAGGGAGAGCAATCGCCGAATACAGTGACATATGTTGAGCCAAATGGTTCTGCTGCTTCTCCCCCAGCAAATGTAGACTCTGTTCAACAGCAAGACAATTCCACCACTCCAGAAGTTCAACTCCAGAAGGCACCCGATTCAGCACCGGAGAAACCCGTACTAAAAGGCAAAATTCAGCGGTTCGGAGATTACATTGATACAGATGCTGTACGTCACACCTAGCTGGCTTCAAACCCCACTCAATCATAAGTGCTGCTAATGAAAAATTGAATCTAGTTGGCACCCGCGAATTGGCTGATTTCATGCAGGACCAAAGAAGCCATTGCCGAACATTGCTTGGAATACACGCATCCGGACTTCCGTCAGAAAGTCAAGGATGGCTTCAACATTGTTGTAGCTGGCACGGGTTTTGGGTGTGGATCGTCGCGCGAGCAGGCGGTGCTAGCATTGCTTGGTATGTGTAGAATCTGCCCCGTGTAACATGCGAGAGCAATCAGCTAAACATTGTTGTTTTCCTAGGCTGTGGCGTACAATGCGTTATTGCAAAGTCCTACGCGTTCATCTTCCAGCGAAATATGCCCAGTCTTGGACTGCTCGGCATCACCATCACAGATGAATCCTTCTACGATGCCGCAGTGGACGGTGCGGACATCTCGATAGATATCAACACCAACACCATCCTGCTTGATGGAAAGGAAATAAGTTTCCAGCTCAGCACCATGGAGAAGGGACTGTTTGACAACGGCGGCATCACGTCTGCGTTCAACAAATTCGGAAACCGGTTGTTTGAGGCGCTGACCACGCCGAAGAATCTGGCGGGCACTGGCAGTCAGTCCGGGGGCGACGCTAATCCACATGCTAAATTGCAGTGGTAAGCGTGTTGAAGATCTCATGGAGCACGTATCCGAGCACAAATGTGACTGTTGTAGCATCATACATAAACCATTGCTTGATCGTAGTTGAAGTCAGCCAGTAAGCTTCTCCACAGTAAGCAGGTGACTAGTGGCTGCAAGGTTTCTCGGGTCGCGGAAAAACAATGACGCGTTCTCCGCAAACGAAAGCATGCACGATCGACTGCGACAGCGAGCGAACCTACCAAGATGCATGTTATAAAGGCTGTAACTATACATGACTTGACAATTGCTACGATTCCACCACTGCACGGGCTCCCCTGCCGAGCTGTCGCTGCGTCGTCCTTCTCTTTCCCCGCATTGACTATCGCGACCTAACAAAATGCCCCGGCCCCGGGGAAAGGAAAGCTCGGCCGATCCATATAGCCATGCAGGGCGCCGAGTCGCCTGCAGAAACTGTCGGCAGGCAAAGGTACACTGCCAACCTACAGAAGCTGTCTGTCTTGATTGTTTCGTCTAATTTGTGTGATTCTTTTTCTCCCCAACAGATGCGCTGTGAATTGTCTTCAGGCGGCAGGCTGCCTTGCGCAAGGTGTCGGCGGATGGACCGCGAGTGTAGAATAGAGACGGATTTCAAACGAATTAACAAGCACGAGTAAGTCGCAAGTACATATATGAACAATATAGAAATATTCTTCCCCTCGCTAGGACCCCAACGCTAAAGTGTTGACATAGAAAGCTGGAAGAACTAGAAAAGGAGCTTCGACAACTCCAGTCATCAATAATAACTGGCGGTCAATTGCCCGAGAGCAGTGTGCGAGATGACCACTCGGTAAATGCTCACAGTCCAGCTGTCGTTGATCCAATGGAAACCGAGAGTAGCCGTGATCTTTTCCGCGCTCCTCTTCCCTCGGTCTCGTCCGTTGACACGTCCAAGTTGTCACCTTCGAATCACCTAACAGCGAAGCCTGTGTCGGGCAAGTCTCTTGATCGTTTAAATCTCGATCCTGAACGGATCCATAAATTGTTCTTTATGTAAGCTGAAACACTCGATAACTAACTTTACTTTTTGCTCATGTCAACAGCTTTTTTAACCAATATCACCCACATTTACCATTCCTCACTCCAACCGCCTCTCCAGACGTCTACTATCAAAGGTCACCGCTGCTATTTTGGACTATTCTCTATGTTGCCTCCCGACGATATAACGAGGAACCGGATTTAGTCGTCAGTTTGACGCCATCCGTGAAGGGACTGTTGTGGGAATCTATTGCCAATCCTCCGCATACATTGGAACTCGTGCAGTCTATCCTACTTGTATGCGTGTGGCCGTTCCCTACATCTTCGATTACTACAGATAATACGTTTACCTTGATAACGACAGCACATGTGATGGCAACACGGCTGGGTCTTCATAGGCCGGAAGCTATTAAAGACTTTTCTCGCACAGACAGGCGATTGAGTCAGCCTGAAATTTCCGAGTGTTTGAAAACTTGGGCGGCTTGTTATATAGTATTCCAGTGGTATCTAACTCCTCCAATCGCTAGGAAAGATTCACCGAAAACTGATTTCTTGACTCAACAGTATGGCGGCGATGGATGGCCAACCATCACCCTTTTCAGATTGGACAATTGATCGTCTCAGTAAACACGACAGTTCACCCCTTGTGCCAGAAGCAATTCACCAACAAGTTAGGATCCATCGCTTTGAGGCCCGTGCATGTGCTTCGATTAACGGATTACCAAAATTCGCCGAGGGCGTAGCTCGCTCTGGAGAAAGCATTTCACTATTGGCATTACTCGAACAGGAATTTGTCGAGCTTTGCGATAGCTTTCCAGAGAAGCTTACAGGTAAGCAACGATTTGAACCGCTGGGTGACTCTGAAAGTAAGTGATGTATTTTCTATCTAACCTTATATTTTGACAGAGGAAAACAGCATCCTGCTCGACGGAATGGGTCTCCGTCTCTACGTCTACTATCTTATCGAACCCAGTGGTAGCGATGTTCGTAAAAGATCCCTTCTTCGTGCATTCAGCTTGGCAATTGACATGATTCACAAATTTTCAGCTGTGGCTGAAAGACCTAATTTCACCGAATGCGCTCCTCAGGTGTACTTCCAGGTCGCATCCCTAGGCGCCATGCTAATACTCAAAATAACATATTCCAGCTACTCCGCATTTGTTGATTGCGAAGAAGGGAAGCGAATGTTCCATGTCGCCACCCAACTGGTTCGTCGGATGTCATTGGAAGACAATGATCTTCCAGGGCGAATGTCAAAAATTTTGACCCAACTTTGGAGCGCGTATGCTCGCGTTGGGCCAATCAACGAGGAACCTACTTTGAAACTTAGAACTCGGCTATCTGCAAGTCTCCTGCATGATCTTTTGTGGTGCTGGAGAGAGACATTCGGCGATCAGGGTCATGGCACCGTTGCAAATAACCCTTCTAACACGGGCATGGAAATTGACCCTTCTTTTGGTAAGTTCTGCATTATCTCATCTTCTTAGATCGGAAATATTGAAACCCTAAATTCCATCAGGGACGCTTCCTCAACCAGGAATGGTTCCACAAGGTCAAGATCCGACATCCAACCTAAGCGGAGACTATGGATTCGATATGTTAGGTTTTGAATATATGCTGGACTCTGAGTTGATGTCACTGTTTCCGCTTAACTTTGACGGCAGTGCATTAATGACGAGTTGATATGTTTTCTGTGTTACAACTGCTTTTATATTATATGTCTGTAAGACCTCCAAGTGGCTTGCGGCGTGATCTCAGTCTGAACCTTCATGAAAATACGTGTATTAATCTTTCTTCGATGCAGAATATACGAAATCTAATGACGAAACTGGAAACGGACCAAGAATGAAGAAACAGAAAATTTTGAGTTTTGAGCATTTACTCATCGTCTATTCATTCTAGGCAACTAAGCACCAACAGAAAGCCAGCCTTCATAACGTTGAGACTAGTTAGAGATATGATGTCAACATCATACATGCTCTAAGGCATGTCTGAAATCTTCAATAATATCATCCTAATTGAAAAAGAAGTTAAACATTTGCCATGCACCATCTCTTCAGTAACTTACTATATGCTCAAGACCGACTGAGACATGGATGATTGCATCATCAACATCTTTCACTTGTTCTCTTGTGACCAAACCTTCGTCAGGTATATGGACTAGAGTTCTGGACACAGAGTTAGTTTTACAATTACCGAGAAACAACGTGCAACTACTTACTGTGGGGTGCCTAGTCTATTAGGAGAAGTCAGCATTTCCGAATATCCTAGTTATTATGATTTCGGAAAGAGGGAATTAAAATTACCCATCCGAACGCTTTACCAGTTTCAAATTCCCAGCAAAAGCTGCTGCTGTTTCTGATCCATCTTTATTCAATGCGAAATGCAACACCGCACCATATCCAGCCTTCTGACGGATGTATTTTCGATTCCGAGCAACGGTGCGGTGTGTTGCGAGACCGGGGAAGACCACTTTTGCAACTTTGTCGTTTGCTTCTAGCCATCTAGCTAGCAATAATGCGTTACTGTTATGTCGATCTACCCTAGGTGACAGACTGCCAAGTCCAGCTATGGCTAGCGATGCTGCGAATGGATTCAGACAGGGCCCGGCATCACGCAGGATTGCCATTCTGATATACAATATGTAGGCAAGCTCGCCAAACTCTTCGACGAAGTTCAACCCATGATAGCCGGGAGAAGGCGTGGTGAGATGGGCGAATTTTGAGGAGTGTTCTTTCCAGCCAAATTTTCCGCTATCAATGATTACTCCTGAGATTGTTGTGCCGGAGCCTGTAACCCATTCAGATGTCGAATTGATCACAATGTGAGCTCCATGGTCAATAGGACGGATCAGGTATCCTGCAACGCCAGCTGTGTTGTCCCTATATGTAATTTAGTTAGGTATTTCCATGAAACGTTAACTGGTAGAATATACGTGAATATACTCACACGACAAGAGGAACACCAGCTTCAAGAGCCACTGTTGCAATTGTTTCAATGTCAGCAACTTCAAGTCCAACGCTGCTTATACTCTCAATGTATACTGCCCGAGTCTGCTCATCAATGGCTTTTCTTACTGCCTCCGCATCATTGATGTCGACAAATTTCACAGTGATCCCAATGGCCGGCAATCGAAATTTGAAATGGGTGTATACATCCTCAGACACCGTAGCTGCAGCAACGATGTTCTCGCCAGCCATTGCTAGCCCGGTTATAGCCATCCAGCGCGCCGCTTCTCCCGAACTAAAGTTCCATGTCAGTTAATGAGCAAATTGTAAGTAAAGTAAATACTCACGAAGCCGGGAGGGCTGCAGCGCCACCCTCGAGTGCTGCAATTCGTTGTTCGAAGACGCTTAATATAGGCTAAACCTATTAACATGAAATCCAGAATTGCCTAAATATAAAGGTCAATGAATATCGGGAAATATCATACATTGCCCAACCGACTGTAGGCGTAATCCTGCGCCTTTCCCGCAAAGATATCGGCTCCATGCTGGCTGTTATTGAAAGTGAAAGACTACAAGATAGTGAGCACTATGGCAGTATTCTGGAGACAACACAGCATGTCCTACCGAGGATGCATATACTGGAGGGTTCAATGCACCGCTCCCCTCTTGAACATTGTGGACGTTCTCCCTAGGTTGAATGACTCAGCATGTTGATACTCGATCAGTCGTGAGTTTACCTACCCAGCGTGTATTGATAAGCTCTCAAAGCGAAGCGGGCGCTCCTGTACTACCATGGTTACTTTGCCAGTTGGCTTTTCAACAAAGATTCAAGGTATAACGCTCAGATGAGTTCTGGTTTGAAGTTGAGGTCCCCCGCCTGCGTCGGCCGTGATTGATGTGGGGGTTCAGCCTCGGTTCCATCTTGTGTCATCGCCCCCCAATCAAACCCCGAGCAAAGACAAAGTATGGCTCCGCATCAAGTTTAAGAATGTAATCGTTTGCTGGACAGATGATAACTACTCTGTTGTCAGTTGAATGGATTTAGTGGACTATCGTGGTAAAACCGCACGTACCTGGACTCTTAAGCTACGTCGTTGAAAGGCTAGTAAGTAATCAAAGCGTGAAGATACAAGTGCTTTGGCGATTCAATTTTTTTGTCGATTTCAAGTCACCTAGATATGGTAAAAATAGGCGACTTTCAAGTGTATCTGGGATCTAATGGCCAATGTTATGAAAACTCTCAATGAATACTTAAAGTAGTAATACGGCTGGCCTAACTCCTATCGCCACGAAAATACATCATGTTTAAGCAATCCACTATCTCTGCGTTGACTCTGTACAATGTGCAATCAAGTTATTTCATTATATTCAGAATTCCAAAAAGCCTATCAAAAATCTTTCATTCTCGTGAATGTATCCTAGATTATAGATCCCCCGCTAACCTTCTAATTAGGTTGATATACTTAGTTTTGCAACGTCCAATAAAAACAGAATCAAAACAATACGACACATCTAAAGCAAAATAGTCATAAGAGGCAGCATGACATGCCCAAAAATCTGATTCGCCACAGGCAAAATAGACGTCCAGGCGCTGATCTTCCATCCGTAGGGGGCAAATTGAGCCAGGTAGATCAAGGCCGCAGTCATGCAAGCCATGAAGAAAAGAACAAATTTGAATGCTTTGAACACTCTCTCCATTCCAATAAAGAAGCCTCCAGCTTCGAGTTCTTTGGCTGTTGACGACCACTCAATGGGAAGAGTGAACATGTGTGCCAGGAGGGCATAAGAGATGTGCCACGATATACCACCGAAGAAAACCACTATTCGAGCTAGTCAATAAATGGCACCGAAATTCGATTTTGGGCCAAGGAGGACTTACCAAAGAAAGGCATCCACATGAACGACTCAAGCAGGGCCCAAAACAGTTTCTTCTCTCCTAGCCTGTGTCTGTACCAAGCAAACGTAATTGGACTAACGACTACGAAAATGAACAGTGTACCACACAACATGTCCCAACTAGGAAGATAGCTGTGGTCCAGGTCACCTGCAATCCAGCCAGTAAGAAAGTAATTCACAATTGACAGAGGAAGCGCAGCGCCGATGGCATAGTATGTGCCGATATACCCCAAAATGGTGAATTTGGCTGAGATTTTCATATTCGACCACAGGAAGCGACGGAAAAGCTCCGTAAATGGTCCACGGTAGATCCATTGATAAACAGGGTGGAAAATCTTTAACTATATTAAGCATAGAATAAAAGTGCAAGGGACAATTCGAACTTACCAACTCGGAGCAGCCATAAGCATACTTCTCCCAACGTAGGAGCTCATCGAAGGCCGTGAGAGAGACTCCTTCTTTAAATTCACCTTTGTCTGCAAGAAGTTAGTCAAACTTGAGAAACAAATATGCCTCTTTTTTTACATGTGAATACAAACTCACCATACGTTGCTAAGCGCACGACAAAACCTGCAGTCTGTAGCCGTAGCGACATATCAAAGTCCTCAGACACATGGCTCTCTGACCAGAACTTTTCAATGCCGTCTTCCATGAATGAAACACTTTGAATAGCTTTCCACCGAAGAAAGGCATTGTGTCCGACGAAAGGTGCGCAGTCACCGTTCCCAACAGAGAACTTGATAAGCAAGTAAACGAGGTTCGTAAAGTAAGTGACTAAAGTTATAACACAAGTCAATACGTATGAATGTTCCCCATTTCACTTATATCATGGAAGGGACATAGCTTACTGGCATTCTCAAAGAAACTGTGAATCACTTGCATCACACCGGATGCATGCTGGATGATTGCGACTTCGGGGCTCTCTTCCATCTCCAAAGCCCCCAGAGAAAGGCAATAGACAGGCTGTTAGAGAGTTAGAGAATGACATAGCATAAAATCAAAATAAGATTAAGTGGAAAGGCTTACCACTCGGGTATCACAGTCAATCAACAAGATAACCTCTCCCATACGAACATTGCCCTCAGCCCAAGTTTTGCCTCCGTCTGCTTCAATGATGCTCTGCAAAGCTTGTTGATAGAGCTCCTCCTCTTCGTCGATAGATAAGGACTCTTGACTTCTTCCCTCTGCGTCAGCCTTCATTTTCATCAGTCGCAATAGCTCATCTTCAACCCGAAGACTAAAACTCAAACAATAATTCATATTGGAAGCCTTTTTAAACTTTCCAGCCCGAACAAACCCGTCTTTTCCATGGGGAGGCCGCGCACACCAACCGATATTATTAGCTTTGTAGAACTTCTTTCTCATGTCGGCAACCTCAGGGCTCACAGCCTGCATTCCATCTTCGCACACAAAAATGCTAGCGGTGCCACCAAGGGATTCGTAATGACGAATCGCAGGCATTAGACTCTCAATCGTTGGAATAATGACTCCCTTGAGACCTTCTTTATACACCGGCATTTGAATGGTGACATGTGGAAACTGAAAGTCAGGGTGACGCTTGAGATTTGGAGGTTGAGAGCTGTAGAAACGCGAGTTGCCATGTTTCACATCATTCATCGGTCCAATAAGCTGAAATAGCGTACCTATAACAACAATGGTGAAGAATAAAGTGAAAAACATGAAAACTGGCAGTGTGGCCAGAAGACCTAGACGAGGAAGCATCGACGTCCCGAGGGCCTTGATTTCTATGATGATCAAACGAACTGCAAGACATTCGATGACCATCAACATGCACATGGCGAGACCGACCATGACAGAGTGTGAGAGGAGAAATGGCCGTGCTACCGGTGCGTTAGACTCCTCGTCTTCGGCCGTAAGATCGACTTCATCGAGAACTACCATGGTTTTCTCATTCGCATGTGAGTATGTTTGGCTGGGACTGCCTGAAATAACACTCGGTGTTCGGTGTTGGAAAGGGGTATTGACTGCCCCGGTCACAGTGTAGGGACGATGGGTTCGAGGAGTCTGGGATCCTGAAACCATAAGGGTTCCCCATATCTTTGTCTTGTATTAGCCTTTATACGCATTTTCATAATAGAAAAGAGGTCCAAACATACCGAGCCCATGAGCCTGGTTTCTACTTCAATAGCGTGTGCCATAAGCTCATCCGCAGAGTTCGTCCACACCAGGACCACTTTCTCCTGCCGAGAAAAACAACAGAAATCTCTTCTTCTAACGTTTGAACTGTCCATTACCAGTGCATTGAACGAGTCAATGACAGGAACAGTAATATTATGCGGTGACAAGGTAACTTCTGAATCCGTCTTTCCAATGCGTTTGAAAAGTAAAGCAGTGATATCGGAGGACATAGTGAAAACAGCCTCTAGGCCGAGAGTTGTACTGATTAACTGGAGGTCTGGATCAACATCATCCGGCTTGGAAACGTATTTAGGCCCCTCTTCCTCGTTCTCAGGCTCCACGCGCAAGACAACCCCGAGGGCTGAAGAGAGCCTAGCAGCCGGATCTGGCTGCAGCCATCCCTTCTCCTGATATCGACGATTAAGAAATCGTGCCATCTATGTTATGGAGTCAATTCCTAATCTAGTAATGTCTCCAAAAGCACCTACCGTAACTGAACGAGTATAACTGTCCACATCCTTAATGCTGTGAAACAATTTCTTCGCTGTTTGATTTCTAGATAGTCTCGAATAAACCACCGAAGACTGGAGCTCAATTGGGCCTTCACTGGATGAGCTGTCCATGTCATTCACGGAGGTTGAAGAACTCATTTTGATTTGCAAAATGGCAATTCATCTACTCAATATGAGCGTAAAGATAGAACTGCCTTTGAAAGAACAGAAAATTATATTAATGCGGCTTTCTAGAGACAGAGCTTTGGCGCTGTCATAGCTATATGTGAATTCAAATTGAGAAACGCCACCATAATAGCAGACCTTCTAATCATCCAGGCTCACCGGACAAAGCAGTAGCCGTGATTCTCGCCTAATTTGACCTTGGTTCCCTGTAAATATCAGCGTACTAGCCTAGAACCGAGTTAATGTACGACAAAGCACCGGACAAAACTATTCTTGGCCACTGTGAACTATCGATTGAACGGTATCTATCAACACCGCGGGCCGTGGTCTACGTTGCGCATGTCCCATAGGCTAACTGGCTGTGGTAATATTTGCCTCGAAATGATATCTACGCTGCTATGGGAGAAAGCCATAACGCTCAGACTCTTCAGCCCGATAACGTGGCTGCTTCGTACGGCCTTATGAGGCCAGGAATGAATGGTACTGCTCGCCTTTTTCTGACGAAGCGGCTGGTAATGCTTATTTGGGGATTGCGTTTATGCAGCTAAAAATCCCCGAAACTAAGCTCATGCAAGGTCAGTGGTACAGAAGAAAAAGTAGCGGTGTTGGTGTGATGCCCTTATCTCCGACAAACACCTTGGGGCTGCCATAAACTGACCCAGTGCGGCGGCAAACTAGGGAAAAAGGTAATGCCCACGGATCGCCTCAGGAACACCCACATCTAGCGCTATTGCACCAGCCTATCGGCCAATTCCTAGACCTTATCAGACCCTGTAAGTCTGTGCACCGCCTAACGTTAGCTACGTGGCTAGGAGCAAACAGGGGCGTGTTCGACAGTAGGCATTTTAGCCGACGCGTAGTCCAAAATTGTCTAGATACTAATTCCCTTACAAGTTAAGAAGCATGATGAATCAAGAATGGCGAAGATTAAAGCACGTTATAATTGAATGCCAATGCATTGCTGTTACTAAACCAAACCTTATGGCTAGTAGTTAGAAGCTGAGATTCATAACATTTGGATAGCCATGCAATCTCTCAAATGGGCATTGCCAGCTGCGCTGGCGCTGGCTCGAGCAGCACTGTCGCAAGACGTTTCGGGCAGTACAAAATTCCAATCATCCAGCAAACGAGGCCTTATTTACATCCCTACAACTGAACATCCTTCTGACGCCCAGATATGGGTTGAAAATGGCTCGGATCTGACATGGTATTACAACTACGCGGAGGACCCCTCGGCCGCATACTCAAATCGTTCCCAGGAAGATTTCGAATATGTGCCCATGCTCTGGGGCTCCTCAAACAGCTCCGGATTCGCTTCGGATATCAAAGCACAACTCGCCGGCGGCAGGAACATATCTCATATCCTGACGTTCAACGAGCCAGATGGATCATCATCGTCTGGCGGTAGTGACATTGAGCCCTCCGCAGCGGCTAGCATTTGGATAGCGGATATCGAGCCCTTGAGGACGGAAAATATAAAAATAGGTGCTCCTGCAGTGACTGGGAGTCAGAGCGGTCTCACCTGGTTGAGCAAATTCTTCTCAAGTTGTACCTCTCAGGGAACGAATTGCACTGTTGATTTCATCCCTTTGCATTGGTACGGGAACTTTGAAGGTCTCGCAAGTTATATCGGTCAAGTGGTTGAGGCGTACGTATAGCATTTAATCAAGAGTATCCGAGAAAAACTAACCGCCATTTCAAAGCTATCCCAACACCTCGATCTGGATAACAGAATATGCACTTGCAGATGCCGATCTATCAGACACGGTATCCTTCTTCCAAACATCAGCTGAATATTTCGATCGAATAGACTATATCGAACGGTACTCGTACTTCGGTGCCTTCCAATCATCGGTTTCTAATGTCGGACCCAATGCAGTCATGCTGACGCAAGATGGTCTGCTCACGGATATAGGCAGTTGGTATTTGGGAGGTGCGGCGACGGGCAATGTTCCGAGCTCGTCTTCGTCGAGCTCTGGTAGTAACACGACCGGAGTCGGGATCCAAGTTAAGCCACTTCGAGCTGCTTTTCGGGCAGTCACTGCATGTTTTGTTGTTATATTTATGTTCAATGGCTGGAATATCTAGACGCACAACACTTGGATGTATATTTTTAGCGGCAAATTTGTCACTGCAGTTATTAATTATGGGGGTTTTTTTTGTAATTTTTGCACTTTTCCCGACTTTACAATCAAATATGCAGCCCTCTTTCAAACTCGAATTCCATGTTCCTGAATCAGTCTGGTGACCAATGATTCCCATGGCTGAGTGCGCATGCTGCATATTGGAGAGAGTGGCGATTCGGCGGATTACTCATGGATACACCGTTCGTACCGTGGTACAAGCGCCAAGACATGGACTATTGAACTCTTATTCACATGCAAAGACCGGTATCTCTCTTAGGTCGGGGTTTAATTGGTGTTTATATTACATGTGTCTGGCTATCTGGGTAGGGATCTAGATCAGCCACGTTGAGCCAGCTAACGTATGCCTGCAGCTACTGGTAGGCTTTAACTCTGTTCCCGCAGAGACCGACATTCCCTAGCTTTACCTTATTGTCGGAGATTCTTTTATCGCCCTCCCCTTTTGCCTTCGCCGTCATTGTCTGGGTGGCTGAAAACAAAACAGAGAGTTCTCCCACCATCATCAATGCCGGCTAGGCTGTAAAATGGTCTAATCTGGTGAGATTCGGCAATGTTGAGCGAGGCTATCTGCATGGCCCAGCCATTTGCCCTACCTGAGTACTAGTCACGAATCCGATGTTAAAGATAATATGTATTCCGCATTCCGCGTAAAGATTCTGGGACTCGGAAGCTCCATCACTTAGGAAAATAACAACCTAATAAAAATATTCTATTGTACTAACAATGGAAAGGTCGTCTGTCTTCGTTACCACCGAGAAATCCTTTTCGAGGAGCGAGGAACATTCCGGCCATGACATATACTCTGTTGAAAACCCGTTTTCTACTCCCCAAGACCAAAGATCAATTATCTCATCTGCACACCAGTCCTATTCTGTCTTCACTGGTATGATTATTAGCTCACTCCAAGAGACAAGCAAGAATAATGCTCACAACTTCTTGTTCTTAGAATCTAAACCCCTCAGACAGCGGAAATTCAAATCTGCACGTCTAATAGGCGATTATGACAAGCCATGGACTGCTAAGAAGGACCCTCGCATGATATGGGACAAAATATTCTTCATCGGTCTCACTATTGTAGGCCTTGGAATAGGCTCTTATATCATCTACTCTGGATGGCAAAGCGTGGAGAACCCTCCTGTGAGTTCTTTGGACGTATATTTGCCCCATATACACAACGCCTACTAACAACTTGCAAACAGTACTGCCTAATATTCGAAGATGACTTCAGTAACGGCATCAATGAGAATGACTGGAATTACGAAATCGAAGTCGGTGGTTACGGTGTAGGGTCATTCGAATGGACGACGAGCGACTCGACGAACGCCTATACAGATGAAAGCGGACTACACATAGTACCCACCATCACAACAAACACCACCGATATCACCACCGCCGAATTATTCAACGGGTATACACTGAACCTTACCTCTCAGGGTATTTGTTCTTCCACCGAGGCGGGCGACTGCGTCAAAGTCAGCAACTCCACATTACAAAAGATGATTAACCCCGTCAGGAGCGCACGAATAACGACCCAGGGAAAACATAACATTACTTATGGAAAGGTGGAAGTAACCGCCAAGTTGCCGCGAGGTGATTGGCTGTGGCCTGCTATTTGGTATGTTACACAACCCGATCTTTACTTCTCGGACGAGCCGAGCCGAAAGCTTCTTTTGACTTCAGCACCATCTTCTTTTTCATCTCATATATGTACCGGAATAATAATAATACATAAAAACGAGGAGGGCGAAAGAAGTGACGATCGAACGAGTTACGCTGATGCAACTCGGAGACAACTGCTGACTATTTATACTCCATAGGATGATGCCCGAAAGTAATGCCTATGGTGCATGGCCAGCGAGTGGTGAAATTGACATTATGGAGGCAAAAGGAAATGATGGCGAGACGTAAGGAAACTTTCAATTCTGAATTTTGAGATTCTAACCTCTCTAACGCACCGCGTTGGTAACAGATATGCCGGTGGCCGCAATGAGGTGTCCGGCACTCTTCACTGGGCACCGGTCAGTACTCTAGATGCGTATTGGCGGACGAGTGGAGTTAAGTATATGACACGTGGCGATTATTCTGATTCTTATCATACCTTTGGAATGGAATGGAGTGATTCGTATATATATACTTGGGTTGATTCCCGACTGGCAGTAAGTTTTTTTTTTTTTTTTTCCGATCTATTGGACTAATGTTATTCAATGGATTTGGTTCCTCGGTGGAACAGTGACTAACGCAAAGTCTACAGCAATCAATGTATATTCCGTTTGGCAAGAAGTATGGAACCATGTACGACAGAGGAAAGTTTTCCACCATGAGTGTGAATGGATCTATCCCGGTGAGCATACCCTTACACTCTGTTTACTTTTTGTGACAGCAAGTGTTTGTTTGCTGACCGGTATAAATCACAATTTCTAGATCGATCCGTGGTCAGGAACAGGCCGCTACAATACACCCTTTGATCAAGCGTTTTATCTTATTCTGAACGTCGCAGTGGGAGCGACTAATGGCTATTTCGAGTAAGCATTCCTCAACTTTATTCTCACTTCCTCCCCTGTCTTCTCCCCGATCTGACAATGTTTCACTAGAGATGGATACCGCAACAAACCCTGGATTGATTCGTCTGCGACTGCTATGGAGCAATTCTACAATTCTTCTTATGCATGGGAATCTACTTGGGGAGAGGGCGATGCACGGGGCTTGTCAGTGAAAAGTGTCAAGTTGTATCAGCGTGGTGTATGCTCGGCTTAGATTTTGCGTCTATTTTTTCAACTTTTATCATAGATTGAAATGTATTAGTTTTTTGTTTTCTCTTATTTCGGGTAGGTCATGAAATGTTTGGGTCCTATTACGTGTCACCATGTATGATTTTTCTGTCATATATACCTAGGTATTAGGAATGATTTCATGTTAAAATTGTCAAACTTTGTCTACAATTCAGTAAGAACAGATGGAAAAGATACAGCTGGTAGCTCATTAAGCTCCGATAGATGGCGACTAATTCGAGCCCAATGAACTAGCATGTAACAACGCTAGCATATAGATCAGACAGTCGGTGATCAATCTTCTAGATGAGCAACACCGGGTTTCTCTTCGTCGAGCTGCCCCTTTTCCGCTGCTTGGTGAGTAAATTCTATTTTGCGCATTTTTGTTAGCTCACAAAAGCCCAGTCTTAAAATAAATGAGCATAGGGTTAGAAAGCGGGAAAAGACTTACGGTCGACCTTGGTATACTTGAACTTTCTGGCTGGAACATTGTTCTCAAACAAAAGGTCAATTTCACCAAAGGTACGGTCTTTGGTCTCAGGAAGACGGAACCAGCACCATATGTTGCACAACAAGTTGGTTCCAGCATAGAAAAGGCCGGTTTTGGCACCCCAATTCCAAGCTGGGCGAGGCAAGGGGAAACAGATGTTAGCCAAACACGTTCTAGCCCGTCTTTCCACTTTTATCTATGGAAGGAACACACTCACAATCAGCATCAATCATACGTGGCGTCACAGAATTGTTGAAGATGTTAGCAAGGTTGTATACAAATCGTCCAATGACAATAGTCTTATATCTCAGTCTTCCAGACGGGGTCTCTGCCACGATCGGATAACAAGCAGGTCCTACTGTGATCATGTTGCAGAGAGTCGAAATGACCAACAGAATTCCAACAGCCAGCTCAGCGTCTCTGCTCTCTGACCATCCCAGACCGCCAATAGCGACGAGGCAGAAGAACATAAACGATAGCCCCGCCATATAGATTGTAGCTCTACCGAAATGTGGGAACAGAAGCCAGCAAATTATGCCACCGACAATGTAGCATGCTGAGAGTGAGATGTTTAAATTGAATGCCTGAAGCTCAGAAAATCCCGCTGCTTCAAGGAAAACAACCGAGTAGCTGAGAATAGCATTACCGCAAAGTATTTGTGCAGCCCAAATGACGCAGTTCTATATATTTGTTGATATCAGCAACTTTCATCCTGCAGAGTGAGAATTCAAGGTAAACTAAACGCACAATCTCGGTTCGTCGCAAATTAGTACCTCGAAAACATTCAAAGAAGCTCGCATTTTCCGTTTCTGCCTTTTCGAGCTGGGTGGTATGGCGGAGGTATGCAAGAGCTGCTTCAACCTCTCTTTCCTTATCTGGGGAATTTTGTCTCAAGCGCGTGAGGCTCTTTTTTGCTATTTCAAGCTTTCCTCGCCTCACTGCATTCCAGGGGGACTCGGGAGCGAAATATGCACCAATGAAGAGAGGAACCGGCCAGACCCATTGGATAGCGAAGGGTAACCGCCATCCCAGATTGCCATCAATACTAGCCACTGCACGAACGACACCGGAGGACAACAGGATTCCGGCGCCCCAGCACATGCAGACATAAGCAGTCACATAGGGTCTCAGCACGGTGGGCACAACTTCGCAGGCATAAGTAGTCGAAAGAGTCTAGCCATCAAATCCTCAGTAGGCATAAAATAATTACGGCAAGATTGTACGAGATCCATACCTGAAACACACCCCACGACACACCACACATTGCCTCCCCCCATGCCAATATAGGCAAAGATGGGGCAAAAAATGGGATAAAAATCATCACAGCCATCCACGCCATGAAAAACATCATTGTGGGTCGACAGCCAAATCTATCCTGCGCGTAGGCATTTATTAAAAGTCCGACAAGCTGACCAACTGCCGAAGAGTTGGTGAGTCCGGATTGCCACGCTGCTGAAATAGTCTTCGTTCCTGTAGAAGCGGAATAAGTTCCAAAGCGGTCCTGGAATTGCGTTTGGCCGTAGAATGAGGTAATCTATTAGAAGCAGCATAAGAAGTTAGTTTTTTTTTTTTTTTTTTTTTTTTTTCCTTATGCGTTTCTTTGCAACTGGTCCGACTCACAATGACAGTGTCATACCCCTCCATGATCAGACTGGTTGAAAGGAACAAGGCCCAGAAAACTGCCTTGGGATATTTTTTCAGGGCCTGGCGTATAGTCAACTGGCGGTCAGCGGCATCGCTCTCCTGGGCATGGTGAATGAGCTCAACCGAATTGGGGTCGTCCAAGGAGAAATTCTTCAGCTCGCGGTCAGTTAGACCGACGGTTTGGTTAGCCATTCTTCGTTGATGCGTTCAAGTTGTGTTATGGATTTAAATGGCCATAAGCATTTGGAGGATTGGGCAACATTGCAGTCCGTGTGTAATCGGCTATGTAGCACAAGTGCGCCCAGCTGGTGGCTATGAAAAATTGACGCCTACAATCGGGAAAGATTGAACCCATTTATAGACTTCCGTCTTATACCTGTTGATACTCAACCACATGATTAGGATTCCTTTTTTACACCTCCGCCGGGGAGGCAATCAATGCCATCCATAGTCATTATATGTCCATACCCCAGGTTTCCCCCGCAAACCCAACGCGGAGCTGGATGGGGGGATGCCAAAACAGGCAAAAGAAACAGTATAGGAATAAGCAAGCTATGTTTGTGTCTCTCTTTGCTGGCGTGTATCAACATGTCTGCAGAGGGGAAATCTCCGGCGGAGACAGGGCATTGCCCGATTCGGTAACTGCAAGGCGCACCTGATTCCCCGGTTCCGTCTTAGGGTTGCTGTTTCTTCGAATCCATAACCCTAAGCCCCACAAAACGTAAGTCAATGCCAAGAATTATTTGATTTGGAGCTAACCCAAAATAAGGAAAGAAACCTACTCGAATTGGAAGTGTCAACAGCAGCGCAAGGTCATGTAGCTTTCACCATGATTCTATTCAAGCGCCAAAAGCTCCGTTGTCTCTTGAGTATAATTATAGTACGTATATCGATTGTGGGAACTCTTTCCGCGTAGACAGCAAGACCGCATAACGGACATAAACAGGTTCTCCATATATATCTCACAATGGCTTTGGAACACCGGATTGATTAGCATATTAATCCAGGGGTTCAACTAGGCCACGTATTCTGAGGAACGCCTTGGACTTTCTAATAACTCTATCCTTACGATGTTCATGCGGAAAATGAACTCGATATCGAGGCTCCGCGGTACGCTAAGCTTTTCAGCCTCCCCCCCCCCCCCCCATATGGTTAGCTCGCTCTAACCTTTTTAGAAAACGGACGAATCAAAATGACAGATCCACTTGTTCCTGCGTCTTAATAAGCACTACTCGAAACTATTTTTGTAACTTAGTGGGGGTATAATTATCCTGACACCAGTTTATTGCTTCCACGCGCACTTTCAATAGTAGTTAGAATCAGGGGTAGTTAAGGAGAGTCAAGGCTGATATCAAAAGCTAGAATTAGGGTGCTTTGAGGCTCAGAGAGGGTAAAGATTAGAGAGTGAAGACTACGCTGGATTAGAGGCTTCTTGGAATGAGGCTTTAAACAATATACGTGCGTGGGGCTGAGCTAAATGTCTTAGCATAAGCTTCCTACCACCGAGCTCGAGCAATTGCAAGTGACAAAATAATAATACTAGAATCCTTCTAGCCAGTCCAATCAGTGGAATTTAATTTTTAGCTTTGTACGTACATAATAATTTATCACATGGCATCACAAAACGATGTGGGTCCTGAGTGTTCCGCTTATCCGGGCGTTCTTTCCTTAAATAACCCCTTCAGCCTCCATGTAAATTACTAAGTAATCGAGCCTCAATCTAACAAAAAAAGAATAAAAAAAAAAGATTCTTTTCTCGACATAGCAGGTAAGCTCCAGAGTCCAACATTTGCGTATTAGATGCCAGTTGATGGAAACTGAAGATATGCATAGGTTCTAACCGCAAATATGATGCGGTCCATTATCAGCATGGCGTTTGCCAGCATTGCCTTCGTGCCTATGGCTTACAGTACCAGCTTGACGTCTTCTCCTGCCTCAAATACCTCGGGTATAGAGGTAGACGTTATCTTTCCCATCCACAACACAACCTATAACGTGACCAACTCGCTTCCCATCGTATTCGCCTTGCAGAACCTAACAGCCGCCGCCGCCCTCGGGCCCTTCAGGTTCGAATGGGACATTATGCCATATGGCGACATTGGCGGGGATCAGGAGCCCGGCGGCGTTACCAACGATCACTGGGGCGTCCACTTCGATACTGCTAATGCCACTACCGAACCCTATATTCTCATCAACCAAACCGATGTTCAGAAGTGGCAGTTCATGCCAAGGTATCCTTACGGCTCTGTATACGCGCTACAGTGGGCTATTACGTGGAATGTCTCTCCTAAGCCGTGTGATTCCGATCCACTAGGAGTGTTTGGAACGCTGTTCTTCAATATCAACATGGACAGTACGGAAGCCGATCTTGGGAATCTGACAGGGCAGTGTCCCCAGCTAGGCGCTGTGTATGAGATCAACACGACGGCTAAGAACAGCTCCTGCTCGGCGGTAGTGAGCAATGGTGGTGCCGGGAACCCTTGTGCTGTCACTCTGGATAAGGCTATGGTTGGGAATATCTCGAGTACCGTGCAGAGCCTTGCAGCATCAACAGCCACCGCATCTGCCAGTGCTACGAGCACACCCTCACCGACACAGCGTAGTATTGCTGTCAGATCTGATATTCCGTTACCATATATATTGGTGGCTACATTCCTTGGCTCTCTTCCGATGATGATGTCTTGATAAGTCGCCCAATGTATCAACCGCACATACATTCTCATACCACGCCCTCGTTGTATCTTGGCCAGTGCTATCTGTTTCTACCATTTCGTATGGTAAATTCGCTAATTCCCTGACTGTACCCCTAGTGATTCACCCGAACTCCTACTGGCGCTGCTGCTGCTGCTACCCTCTTTCCTTCTAAGCCTTCCATACGGGGGTCTGTCTTCCTTTGTCTCTATAGTCCATGCTTTGTAATATAGTTTAGATCGAAAATCCAGTTTGCAATTCCTCATCTAATATCTGCTCTGCCGTAGGAATCCACCAGTTCTATATTCGTTTCCTACTGAAAGCGCATGGTACGGCAGGCTTCGCAGGAGGCTGAAGAGTAGGCGATAGCTGTAAGAGGCCAAACAATCGTTGACAGTCCGGTATTGTGCTTCTTAAGCGCGTGCGGGATTCGAGGAACAAAAGCACGAACCTCTCTCTTTTCCTTCTCTTGTACATGTACATAGGCAAATATATATATACTGGCTTGCTCTGCCTATCTTTTTGATAGGTACCTATCCCTGTTAAATCTAATAGCATTGCTGCAAAATGGAGATTTCACATTCGTAGTTGGACGAGCTCTCTAATGTCCGTGAAGTTGCCCGTTAATTCCTTGTGGATAGTTTAGGCCAGAATGTCATCGCATATCGTGCCATCTGTCGCCAGTGACGCGCCAAGATGTGCCAACGATGATGCTAGGAAGCCCCCGAATCACGAGTGGCTGCCCCTCCTTGCCCGCAGCTGCAGCTGCTTGAACTTCGTTTTGATCGATCGCAAACCATCATCCTATTCACTCCCCTACTTTCTCGTTTTTGTCCTGCTTCATGACACCGCAAGAGCCGAGCTATGGCGACCACGTTTGACGAGAAGATCCCCTTCGAGAAGAAGGGGCTACAGCTGTACGGCCTGTTCAAGCGGGGCGACCCCGAGCGCCGGCTGCCACTGATTGTGCTGCTTCACGGCGCCGGAGCCACCGCCGCCTATTTTGACAATTCAGCTGTCTCGTACGTACTAGTTCAAAGTACAGAACACAATGCAGGGGATACCTTCTGAAAACGTGATTCATCCAGAGTAGTGAAAAGCTTCAACAGTCTCGGCCATGACGTGCTCAATATCTCGCGCCCCGGGTACGCGGGGTCGGTCGCCCCGACCACCGCAACGCCCATGAAAGACTCGATCGCCGTGTTCACCGATTTCATTGAACAGGTATACAACGAAAAGGCCTCTGCGCGACATGGAAATGGCGGCATCATATTAGTCGGCCACTCGCTCGGCGGAGCCTTTTCCCTGTCTATTGCCTACGAAGCTCGCGAACGACTACCGCTGTTAGGTGTGAGCTCTTTAGGATGCTTGCCCGTAGCAAGCTCGTCCTCATTACTTCCCGATCCGGATCTGGAGCCTCATAACCCACGATTTGTCGTTCAGACGACCCCTGAGAACGTACGAAAGTATATGGGCGAGGTGGAATGGGTGAATCTGGACGCATTGGATCCGGCGCTCATAGCAAGTGTCTTTGAGCCAAGTGCGTGATTCTGCTTGTCCTTCCGTTGTTGCACCTTCGACCCTGGAAATGGTAGCAGCTGAATATGAAAAAAGATACACGGAGCTAATGAATTTCCTCGGGTAGTACTCAAGTCGGAACTGAAAGAATATTCTTCAAACGAGTTTTACGATTATCTGGTTAACCGGGCCTTCGCCGGTGTCAATATTCCGATTCAATACCTGGCTGCTGAGGCGGAAATTGCGTGGGACAATGAGAAAGAAGGACGTCCCATATTCGACGATTTAGTATCGCGATTCAAGGCTGCCCCCGAAGTTGAATCAGCGATCTTGCTTGGCGGCGGTCATAATTACGAATATTCGTATAATGTTGGCATACTTTGGGATAAGAGAAAGGCATTTGTTGAGAAATTGGTATGTTTTGTAAATTTACGCGCCGGGTTGATATAGACACATCATAGCTGATTTTTTCTAGACAAGCAAGAATGCCGCTTCGCCTATCTCAAAAAAAGACACCAGCAAGGTTTTGGCCAACGGGGACGTATTCACATCAGTTCCACTGCTAGACTATGCCGAAGCTACATCACCATCAACTAGATCCAAGTTCTTGAAGGAGTTGAAAGACGCGATCGTCAATGTTGGCTTTTTCTATCTGAAGAATACGAGTGTGCCGGATCAAGTGCAAACAGACTTTACACAGCAGTCAATTGCGTTGTTTGATCTGCCGTTGGAGAAAAAGCTGGAGATCGAGATGGTAAACAGCAAACACTTCCTTGGTTATGCGCGTCTGGGGCAGGAGGTTACTGCATTAAAGAATGATTTCCGTGAACAGTTCGATGTACGTTCTTGTCCTTTTATATTCCTTTTCTTTTCGGTTTTTGACTAAACGATTCATATATAGTTTGCAACTGAACTTCCGGCACCTGGGCCTGACGAGCCACTTTATCGAAACTTGCGAGGGCCTAATCAGGTATGTATCCGGTCCCCCCCGTTATCGTGATCATTTCAAACGAATTCTAACAATTATAGTGGCCTGACTCGCAAGTCCTGCCCAAGTTTCGCGCCACCATCGAAACCTATATGGACCATATTGACAAGCTTGCCGAAACGTTCTCGTCACTTGTTGCCGAGGCGCTGGATCTGCCCTCCACGGCATTTGACCAATTCTTTGATAAGCCTCAGCAAAACAAACTCAAACTGATTAAATACCCCGAACCAGTAGACAGCAAACCCGATGAGGACACACAAGGCGTAGGCCCACACAAAGATTCTTGTTTCTTGACTTTCCTCCTGCAAGGAACTCCTCACACGGGCCTTGAAGTACAGAATAAAGCTGGCGTCTGGTTACCAGTTAAACCCATACCAGGGACCTTGGTGATCAACATCGGCCGCGCACTGGAAGCCATCACCGGCGGCGTGTGTACAGCCACAACTCACCGTGTCAATCTGCGGCCTGAAAACTATAAAGATTCCGAGGGGAATTCTCTGGGTCCACGCTACTCGTTTGCCATTTTCCAGGGCGTCAGCCTCGACGTAGCTGCTGAGAAAATCAACCTCAACATTCCGCAGCACATCAAAGACCTGGTCAAGGACGACAAGGTTCGTTCCGATGCGGAAGCCACGTTCAATCAAATGTTCAATGGAAATATCGGCGAAGGAACACTCATTGCGCGCGTCACTAGTCACCAAGATGTCGCGCAGCGGTGGTATCCGGACCTTCTGGCCCAGGCATTAGAAGCGCAGAAGGGCAGATATCAATAAGACTATTCTGTTGGCAAATATTTATTTGCAGTAGTACATATATACAAACTGAATAGGGATATAGAGAGAATTCAATTCATATATACATCTTTATCAAGAACAAATCCCACAACACCGTTATGCATAAAAAAACGGAGATCCTTCAAACAGATCAGTGTATCTTAAAAAGGAAAATACATGCTCAAGCGCTTCAAACGGTACAAGCAAGATTAGACATAAAATAAACCATAGACTTACAGCGAACAGATGTATGTCAAAGATTGCAAATTCATACCAACTCATGATCCTCTTTCTTCGAAGATTCACCACCCTTCCCCTTCGCTGGTGATAACAACGCCACCACAGATTTCAGACTACTACTGGACTGCGCATTGTTTTTCACGGCTTTCCTTCTCCTAAACAAGCACCGCCAAAGCACCAGCGCGCTTATTAGCGAGAAAGCAATAGTCACAGTAATAGCGGTCCGGATAATTCGAGACGAAACTTCTCCAACCGGCATGAACATCGAGAAATCCCAATCCTGCCATGTGAGTCCGGCGCCTTCATTCCAAAAGACCCAAGGCTCGGCGCCGCGGCGATTATCCATGATAACGCGGTAGAGCTGATTCTTGTCATGGGAATTCCCCTGCTTCTTGCCGGCGCCAAAATGATGGGATGGATTCCAACTCCATGGCGACACTTTGTCGTGGTACTTTTCCCACATGGAGGTGAAAAACCACTGGCCGGAGTTGTACATGACAGCGACGTAGGGGTACGGATAGTGGAACAGGCTGTATGTCCATATATGGTTGGTAACGTATTCGTAGAAAGGATGGTGCGGCACAGCCCCGAGAATGTTGTTGTCAAGGGATCCCTGGTTGCTGTCTGTCACGAAGACCGGATAGTAGCGCAGCGGCTCGAGGGATTCAAGGCAGCCCTTGTGACGGAGAGTTAGATTACATCTTCGAGGCTCGAAGAATGACGCAGGCACTTACATTGTCCATGTCAATGTAGATCCCACCGTAGTGTCTCATTATAAAATATTTAAGCGCGTCGACACGCTGCACGGGGTATTGGTAGCTGTCGTACGTAGGCAAAAACCACGGATACTCCCTCTGCAAGAATTCTCTAGATTCAGCCGTGCTCCACAACTAGTAGTCAATGTCAGTCACAGTCGGCACCATAAAGGACGACGATGAATCAAAGAAGAGAATCAGCAAAACGTACTTTATACTGCCAGCCTGGGTTGCGATTGATACAGCTATCTCTCAACCTCATCCACTGCTCTTTATGGGGCATGTTCCCCCCTTTCTCAGACCAGTCATGATATATCTGATGGATCTTGCGTGGGATTACAGCTTCATGTGTCTGTTCGATGGTGTGGTTATAGTAGGCCGTCTTCACAGCCGACTGGCTTAACGGGATGCCCGAGTGCGGGTGGGAGAAAATGCGCGCGAAGCTAAAGGTGCTCGATATGAGGAAGTATATTATGCTGAGCACGATGAAGACAGCGGCCAATGGTTTGACGCGGACGTGGCTCATTTTGATGCTCGTTGGACGTTGTATACACTTGGCCGTCCGGTGCGAATTCAAGTCGGACTTGCCATAAATTCATCAATTAATATGGTAAACTACAATTAAAGCGATATTTTGTCAGTGGGCTCTTTATTTGCAACTTGTACCACGAACTCGACTCACTCAGCACGGTATTTCCGTGCGTATTATCTATCCCAGTTTATATTATAGTTATAATAACGGTCCTTGGCAATGAGATGACGTCGACGGGAGACCGGCTCCGATAATAGTCAAAAGAACGAAATACCGGTAGATCTTGAAAAAATTTTGCTGTCTCTACCTAGGTTTTCGTCTGAATGTCAAATATCTGTCGTCTGTCGTGTTCGCTTTTCGCCTGTTTTGGCAGCAGTCAAAACTCAAGAGAATGGAGGCGGAAATAAGGTCCGAACATTATATAGTAAGCATGACAAGAGACAAAAAAAGAATGAGGGGCATCGCAGCTGAGATCAGCGCGGGAAAAAATCAAGGAAGCGTTCGCTCTCTTATGAAGCTGCAAATAAGAATGAGAGTTATGAATTTCTCACTCTTGAGCCCCCTTTTCAGAGCCCCACGCCACTTGTGCTCATGATTTCCTATTCCGGCAATGTTGGCAGTGCTTAGCGCTGACTAAAAGCCCAGGGACGGCACAGCTCGCGGCTGCAATTGGACACAACACATCGTCCCCCGATTGTCAACCAGAAAGTCGCGGAATTAAATGATCCATAACTCTCCACCGGCGCTTCATAGCGCCCTATCAGAGTGCCGCCTTTCCGCCGCCGTTGTGAGGCAAATAAACTACGGTAACGCCGCACGCCGTTGGCTTGCCGCACTGCCGCAATACTGATACGTAGTGCCGCCTATTTTTATGGCCGAGCGTGATATGGCTATCGACATAATTTATATTAAGGAGCTCCATGGTCAGTATGTAGTAGTACGGAGTATTCCCTATGCCTTGATGTGCTTTAGCAGTCTGTAAATCCCGGCTAAATAGGTGAGCCTCCGAGAATCCCTGTTGGAAGTAACAATTCTTGCTCCAGCTTTTTGCAAAAAGTCGATGCTTCGTCTTTTGATTTCTGCCAAGGCAACGTTGGTAATAGTCCAATAACCCTCTTTTTTGTCGCCTGCATTTCACCCTGGGAGGATATCCATTGTAATAATAATAGGTGGATAAGGCTACTTCTTTCCGTCTCTATCCAAGCCAAGTCATTGTGGTAAATTCTGTTCATTAAATCGCTCTCCTAATAAATAGGGGACCTTCATTACAGGACATGGAAACAGATTAATAGCAGCCAAAAGTTTGCACTCCTTGAAAAGCGCTTATCTCTCGCCTGCTGGATCCGTAAAGCTCAGGGAGAGGAAACCCAAGAAGACTCGAGATCCTTTACCCTTGCGCTTTATTTAGCTATATTCTTAGGGATAGATATTCTACAGCTATATTCTACAGTCATTCATAATAATCAAAAGGTAAGTAGCAAGTAACTATTCTCCCCGTTTTTAGATATGTGGTTTCCAATATCTAGGTAGGTCCTGTCTGTCCTTTTGCAGCTAGAGGAGACCGCAACAAGACAACTCCGTACGCATAGCACTATGAAAACATTCAACGCTCTTCATTTCGATAGTTTGTACTATGAAATCCCTACATTATGATTGCCAGCCGTTCCTGTTACCTATGTTTTGAAGTATCCGAAGCTCCTATGCATAGAATCTCCACCTCAGGAGAACTGAGTGACAGGTCTCTGGTTGAGAACCCCGTTGACCCGCACATCCACTTTCTCATCATAAAACGCAACATGTCCCTTGATATCGAGGGTCTCTGCCTTCGGAGTCTTGTACCACCATGCCAGACCTCGCTTTCTCTCTCCACTAGGAAGTTTTACGAAATAATAACTCGCGTCGCCCTGAACCAATATAATCAGAAAAAAAAAACAAAAAAGAAATGAAAGGGAGTAATGGATAGAAATGGCATACTTTATACGGGCAGTGAGACGTCGTTTCCACATCATCCTCCAGCAAATCCAACCGAACATCCGTGTGCGGGATATAATATCGAAGCGGTAGCCCAGTCTCATACAGCAACACAGGCCGCGTAGTACTAGCCACTTCAACACCGTCAATCTCAACCTGCACCTTTTTGGAGGATTGCAGGGTGATAATCCGTTTGTACGGATCTTTCGGATGCCCGAATATTCGCTCATCCTCTTCAAACCACGCGTCTGCTTTGCTAGGCTCAATCTTAGCGTATCCCTTGAGATCCGCGGCTTTTGCTACTGTTACTGCGGCTGGTGAAGTCTTCCCGTCAACGACGAGATCGTATACATCGACTTCATTCTCGCCGGCTGCTCTATTGGCGAGATATTCTTCCCGGATGTCGGAAAGTCGGAAGTAGTACACGGGAAAACGGTGATGCTCCCATCTGGAGAAGTTATGTCAACACTTATTATCTATTGTCTGCTCGGAGCTCAGAACTTACACAAGTTTAGGCACGTCTGCATCGACGACAACTTGACTGTTGAAGATTACGCGGACTCGCCGCCACACGTCTTCGGAATGGCCTGCCGGGGGATATGGAATTGGCATGTTGACAGAGATGAAGTAATACTCTTCTTTTTGCTTTGTTCTTCTGTTCCAAGATGACTTCTTCGAAGAATCTGAATCATGAGGAATGTGCTGCCTTTAAGTGTGCTTGAGGCTGATTATGCCGAACAATAACGATATACGTGCGGGGTATGTCGTCAGTCAACCAAATCCCTAGCCTTGTTGTACTGGCAGGTTGGTAGCTCACTGAGAGGGGATTTTCTTTAAATCTCACACTCTTAATATTAAAGAATTATTCCTAGATTGATATTCAAGAAGCGAAATCGGCCTTGACTTTGCTGCCTGTGCGGTTTCCACGTTGGCGTCCCGTTAACTCATGCGCTGGCACGGGTAACTCTGTATCATCGACTAGGAACTTTCAGATGGTTATTTTTGAAGTAGCTGCGTACCTACGTACGCAGCTAAGTGGCTAGGTTTGTTGGTTGCTTCGTGGCCGACAGTATCTGTGCATATACAAAGTCGACTCGGATGTCCTTTTCTTGCAGATTCGAGCCAGAAACAGGAAGAGAACAGCTTTTATTCTCGCATGAATAAATCACTCTTGCAAGAACACAGCGTACTAATTGCAAGAATACTAATAACAAACGCCGGCGGTCGAATTGTCCCTGAGGTCATCATGATAGAGTTTGCCTCCACCACCATTAGAGACCATACTCCTGTACAATCCTAGGACAGGGAAATCAAGTGAACGAGCTATATCGTACAATCAATATAACCCTTTTAACGGCATTGATAGAGCATTCATGTAATCATGAAATACATCAGCATACTCTCAACGAAATACGTATATAACATTCCTGAGCACCTTTGCCACAGCCCAAATATACAACACCAATGCCACCCTAATCCCCTGGAAAGCCCAGAACTCATCCAACGTCGGTCAAAGCACAATTGTGAACGGCACTTACTACCTCGCCGACCAAATTAATGCGCTCATACATGTCATCAACCTAACCTCATGTCACCAAAACACCACCATAACAGGCTTTAGCGGTATACCAACAAACAAAGGCAAAGGCAGCCCCGGGAGTCCCTCGCCCTCGAGACGGGTACCAGGGACAGCAGGGCCCAATGGCATTGTGGTATTACCTGATCGCGATGAAATCTATGTCGGCGATGCCAGTGGAGTGATCAAGGTCATCAATCTGCACAACAATAGTGTCGTTGCCAATATCGCGACTGGCGGCCAGCGACGCGCGGATACCATGACATACAGTCCGCAGTCAGGCCTTGTGCTCGCTGTCAACCCGCTCGAATACCCGCGACAGACTCCGTTCATTGCAGTCATTGACGTTGCCTCGCGGCGTGTCGTGGGTATTGTCTCCCTGGCCAACGACGTCAGCTTCACTGGTCAGCCGGCCTGGAACAGCGTCACGAACAAATTCTACGTGCCCATACGCGCAACCATGGCGAATCCCGGGGGCGAGATTAACGAAATCAACGCTGCATCTCTCAAAGTCACCAACGTTACTAGAGTGAATGAGTGCCATCCCACGGACATCGCGTTTGGGCCATCGCAGCATCTATTCGTCGGTTGTAGTCATGACCAAATTCCGACATACGGCTACGGATTCAGTCTGATCTTGGACATGGGGTCGAACGGGACAATGGTTGGGAACATTTCTGGCTTGTCTGGAGTTGGGCAGGTTGTTTACAGTGCCTCTACGAATCTATATTATGCAGCTACGTACCACGAGTCATCTGCCACTACTACTGTGACAGACCAGAGTGACGGGGATTCTACAAACAGCTCTATACCGGAAGTTGCCATTGTAGATGCAAAGAGAAACACCTTACTACAAACAATTCCAACAGATAATGAGACGGCGCAGACGGTGGCGGTGGACATGCGGATGGACCAGATGGTTGTGCCGCTGGAAAACGAGGGGATTGCGGTGTTCAATGTGGGAAGTAATTCGACGCTTCCAAAGAGCGATGCCGGATCGCGCATCATTAGGCAAGATATCGATACCGCTGAGTCAGGAGTCAGCGTTGCGACAGCATTGAGTTTGTATTCGACGGTTTCGATTGCGTTATTCTGGGCACTGGTATTTTGTAGTTGATAAGTCGATGCCACGATATAATCTATGACCTAACGTTAGTATATGACTTCAAGTCATTCCGAATCGATTACATCTTCAATTGTATACCTAAGTAGTGGGTACGCTTTACAGGCATAACAGATGCAACGCAACTTCGGTTGCCCTAATACCTAGTACCTAGATAAATATAGAACGGAAACCTTACATAACTTCAGACGACATACTGCCAACTTACCTGACATGTGGATATCTACCATGTCCGTACCACGGATAGATATTCCGAGCGACAAGTGCAGGTGTCATTCCATTCATGCACGACTAGAGAATTCCAATTACTGAATGTATGCAATAGTAACGACCGTTTCTTTGTTCCTTCGTATCAAAGGCCCGAGACATTCTTTCCCCCAAAATAAGAGGTCCAACTACGTTCGTTTCTAGTTAGGCAATAGATAATACCCTTACATTTTCGCCTCATTATTAGAAATAAGCAAGTACATACATACATACTAACATCTCCCCCTTTCCCCCTAAATGCGGTATCATAGTGTAGCTAAAGATGAGTGTCGATAGACATATATAAATTCAGTTTAATTAGAGTTCGCATGCTATGCGTAAACCGAACCCCTGCCGATCAACAAGCCGACCCCAAGATCTATAATCGCCAAAAAAAAAAAAAAAAACCCGCACGCGAGTCGGTTTTCCGACTCTTGTCGTGACTCACTCCGTACCTATTACTTAACTAGTTAGGCAATAGATATTACGTAGTCACAGAGATCGTGGAAAGCTGTTTTCGGAAATATGAGAGTTTTGGTACTAGTTAAGTAATTTACTACGCACTAGGCTCTTGTCACCAGTGTAACGCTAGATCTAGGCTTTGGCTACAAGCATGATGATTGGGTAGCGTGAGCAAGAGCCATCAACATCAGATGAATATACTTAACTAGATGGATAGGCTGTGGGTGCTCTTTGCAGATCTCGGAGATAAAACTCGTTTTCGATATAGTACTAGACTACTAGAAGTGCACAAACCGGGGTAGTATAACACCGTGGTATGTAGGACAACGGTCTAGGCAGTACGTACTATGTGGATATACAGAGTTACACTTGGGTATGCTACTAGGATCAGAGTTATCCATGGATGATGCACGGGTTAATACTATAGACATGGTCATAGACTTGTATGTATGTATTAGGTTGCCCTATGTCATTGTCAAGATTAGTTCTATCTGATTATTCGCAAGAAAGAAGGAAAAAGGAAAAAGAGAAAGCTGTAATATAACAAAGAAAGTCAAAACGTGCCACCAATAGGTAAGTATTCAGTCAGCCGCCCATTAACAAGTGAAATAATATGTAGATTGTGTGCTCGGAGCATATCGAAGTAATAAAACAGCAAAGAACAGTATTGAGAAGTAGAAAGAAAATGCCGGTTTCAATGTCGTGCCGTCGTCAAAATAATTAGTTTGCCAATTAGGGAGGGACACATAGGCAGGTATCTAAGGAATAAGAAATCCAACGAGGGGCCACAAAAAAAGGAAACAAAAAGAGGGCAGCTTTTAAGGTTGAAAGATCGAATACTAAATGTCAGCAAATGGCTATCGCAGCGTAATGCATGCCGACAAGGGCTGGAAGAGGTAAATAACAGTGTATAACCGGTACGAATACTGGTCGCTCTTGACATTACGAAAGGCAAAAAGCCGGAAGATAATGGTCAGCGCGAGCATACCAATAACCGAGGAGAGCGTGATGGTAGACCAGTCTATACGATATTCGAGAATGCGGTAGCGGATGAGCAAGAACTGGGATATGAAGACGCCAAGAGAGATGTAGATTCGGCCTGATGATTCAAGTTAAAATAGAGATTCCAAAATGCAAGAGAAAAATGAAGGGCTTACAAGGAAAGTCTCCCATAAGAATCGGAGTGGTACGTCTCCCAACAGCCAGGTCACCGGGAACGTCGCGCAGATCTTGTAATGGGATTGGGAATAGGGTATAAAGAGCGATGATTTTGATCCAATCCCAGCCGACGTCGTACGGGGCGCCACCAATCAACCATGCAGCCGTCAGTTGTGCGACACAGCCCAGGCCGATGCACATATCCTTGGTGGGACCAAAGTCGCCGAATGATAAGAAGTTATGTGCAAAAGCAATGGCAACCCACATGGTGGACCAGATGCCAACACCCAGATAACAGCCGTAAGTCACAAAGAGAGAGGTCAAAACGGCCCAGCGGATTCGCGCCGCCTGCAGCGTTGTCGCGCCAGACGCAATGGGGCGATCGGGCTTGTTAATTTGGTCCTCCTGGATGCCGCATATTTGGTTGCCCACGACAAAGGAGTACAGAAACAACAAACCCAAGAGTAAAGTTTCTGAAAGGAAACAATATAAGCAGCGAATCCAATGAAAAAAATGGCAAGGAAAAAACATACTTGGGATGGCAATAGCCATTTCTACTACCGGTGCTTGTCGATAGAGTAGAGATGCTGCGGTAAATATGGGGATCGGAATCATGCCCATTCCTGCGTCACGACGGATAAAGCCATAGCACAAGCGTGCTTCGTTTTTAGCAATGGCCCAGATCTTCTTCATTGTAGTCAATTCGGGGCTCCGACTCCGCAATCGTCTTTTGTTCTGTTCTCGGTGTTTTTATGTTGGCGTATCTCTGGGCCAGGATGGTTAATCTTCAGGCAGACGGCAAGCAATTCCTTTTATTAAATGATCAATGATGAATGACGATGACGATGTAGATGATTAGGAGAATATAGAATCCCAAGACTTGGTGAGGCGCGCCACGGTGACCGATTGGGAGTTCCGGTAAAGAATGTGTTATTTGTCCATATACAAAATAGATGTCTCATGTGCCTTGCTGGTCGTTCCCTTTTGGGCTATTGATGTCCCTTTCCTTCCTCTTTTTTCTTTTCTTTTTTTCTTTTTCTTTTTTCTTTTCCTTTTTTTTCCTTTTCTCAACTTCCTTTCTTGCAGTGCCCTTCCTCGCTATGGATTTCTGTCGGTGCGATGGACTGAGGGTATTTTTCTGTATAGACCGGACGGCATTTGTTGAGATCGCAGCCAGGCGCACTATTTGCGGCACGGCAAAGGCATGTCTGCTGCTAGTCGCGACAATCGGCCCCAATAGTTGATACTGTATATCGTGTATATATATTCCGGCAGGACGATCGGACGGGGAAGCGTCGCAATAAATACGGCGTCAAGTCGGGATGGAAAGGAAGCAGCAGTGGGGAATCCGGAACGGGTAAAAGCCACACAGGCCTGCTCTAGTGCTAGTCGACGTTTCTTTTGTTTGATCTTAGTTAGCGTCCACTAGGTGAGACTCGCTAGGAGTTCCCACGGAGACGAGGCAAGGGCTGCGCATACTACATAACTAAGTCGTATACGTATACTATGACTACGTATTTGTCGAACAAAGAGAGCAGCTGGAAGGTCAAAGAAGGTGCACAGAGCTTCTCGCCCTTGTGGCGCATCTCGAAGCGAATCTAATTAGACGCGTGCTAGAAGAGAGCTAGATGCTTAGTCTTACACTACGGCTTACTTACTTAGGGGGGTATCATTTCTTCAACTAAATTAAGAGTCTGTCAGTGCTGCATAATTCACAGTTTGGTGGGGGGGAGGGGGGGATTAGATAGGTAATAGGTCATAAACAATACATATATTGGCGTGTATAGACATATAAATAGGTGTATAAAAAATGAATAAGTGGTAGACAGGGGTGGTGGTATGCATGCACGCCAGATCGATCGGCATGTCTGCTCAACGTGCATTAGAGCCTTCTAGACTGCATATATACGCATATATGCACGTACATGGTATATATTTATCTAACTATAGCTATTAAATGAGCAAATATAATAAAACATATCAATAAATCTATAAATATAATAGAAATACATCAAATACATATAATACAACGCTATAGGCTCCTTGGTCGCGGCTTCCCAAGGTATACTGGGAGCGCAGCAGCCAATCAGCAGCGCACGTTCGGCATTGCACGGAGGGATGGCGCGGCCATACCAAGGAAGGAGCGATTCCGCTAGGGACGAGAGACGCGCGCTGGATTAGGAAGGCCCAGCTCGGCGCGCGGAAAAGAGTGCATCCGAGGATTGAGTACTGACTCTTTTTGACATCGCTAATTACTGCTAACAGCCAAATTACACTTTGCCGTCTATCATTCACGATTATACGTAGCGCCTTATAGGCTAAGGCTATATGGCTATGGCATGGCTACGCAAAGCATACCGCCTCTTTGTCCATCGACCATTCATACGCGAGCAATATCGCAAAGAAGGCCCAAAAGCCCAAAAAAACTGACGCAATGGAGCTGAAAACAGACAAGACTATCGCTGCCCGAGGAATCAGGCCCGCAAAGACTACATCTCACTATCGGTATCAATCGTCAACGCATCATCCCACTTTTTCAAGAACAAATCCAACTCCGCGCTACCCAGAAACAGTTCCTTGCTTTTATCGCCGTGGTTATGATTGCTGCTGCTGCTTGCAGCAATCGAGCGCAACGAAAGCACAAAATGGGGGTAAGAACTGCTGAACTTGCCCCCGCCCCTCGTCTGGTACCATTCTCTCTCAAAGTCCTGGAAGATCTGGTGCGTCTCTCCCGGGAGCTCGATGTTTTGCTGCCGCGCGGTCAGCTGCACGAGTCGTAGCATGCCGCGGGCGAGCTGGAAGCGACGGGCCGTGGCACGTGCGACGACCAAGACGTCAACAAAGGCCTGTCTACTGTGCGGGGAAGTCATATCTTCGAGCAACGTAAACAGGCAGACGGTCATGAGTTGCATGAATTCGACGGGGACGTGTTCGGGGTGTCGCCATTTGGATCGGTATGTATTAATCAAGTCGCGCACTGCAAGTGCCGATGCGATGCAGTTTTGTTGCGCCATCGACGATGCACTTGCCGGTGCTGATGGATGTACTTTGAGCAAACTGAATATTGTTATGATATAGACATGGTAGCATAGACTGTTGGGGTTACGCGGTAGATAGTTAGCTCTAGAAATGTAGTCGATCCAAAAGGAAAGAAAAAAAAAAAGGAAGAATTGGTAGATATGAATACGCACTGAAGTTCGATCACTCCCGGCGTCCAATTTTGGCCTTGCTCAATACACGCCGGTAACTGATGATACCAAGCTTGGAGTCGATCATAGAAGGAGTATATTAGCTTGTGAACCTCGGGAAATGAGCGTGAATTCTGTCTAAGCTCTTCTTGGTCCGCGGGGCAGCAGAACTGCATAACGTCGTAGACGATCAAATGCAGATCAAACGACTGGTTGAGAACACAGTTATGATGCGCTGGCACTGGCGCGTTCCGATATGGGTAGGTCGTCCAGGTATCCGCAGCACCGTGAACGGGGAGTTGTACCCGTTTGGGGGGTCTCATTGTAAATGGCACTTGTAGCGCAAGGCCGGCATGTCTAATAAATTGTGTGTCAGCCTGATGGATGGATGCTCTCTGAAGGACAAACCAGAGAACATACATATAAAACCCAAACAATCCACGAACGCATAGTCCTATCGAGTGCTCCATCTCATCCGCCTGCGAGCCCGCCTGCGCAATGAACTGGTCGGCGCGTGCCAACAAGCCGCGTATCGAAATCAGTGTTTGAGACATGTAACTATGGCCCACCCGGTCTTTACCCATCAGACATGTACTGTTGACATCTCAACTGTTAGAATCCATTTCAATGGAAGAAAGTATAGGGTAGCATTACACTATAAAAAGGATACCCAATCCCTGCACGGTCGTCAAATTGATCCTCCCCTCCATTTCTTCAAGGTGTCTCTTGGCTTCATTGTAAAAATGCAGCCCCCGTGACGAGAGAACGTCGGGATTGATGAATGCCTCGGGATAACTCGAATATAACTACCCGTTTGTCAGTAAGAGAGATTGAACAATACCGCATTTTAGATTTATGTATGGTGTTTACTGACGCAACCCAGGGATAGGATGGTATTGACGAGGAATGGAGAGCAAAAAGGGGAATTAATATCTCCAGGTTTCATTTCTCTGGTGAACAGATTCTTGTCAATCCAGTTCCCGCAGATATGATCCCACGTAAACCACAGCGATATCAGATGTGACACAAAAGCGTCATCGCTAGTGACCCCTGTCCAGGGTCTTGCGGGTAGTTCAAAGAGCGGGATGTCAGTCAATCTGGCAATGTCCATGATTTTGCGGTTCGTATTTGATTCCGGAGCCTGAAATACTGGCATTGCCGTGTGATTAGACACGAAGGGTGTTGGGGAAGTTGACGACGGCGCCAACATTGACATCAAGGCCGGCACCGGTACGGACGCGGACGCTGGCATGGACAATCGTTCCATACGGTTATATACGGCAAGTCGAATCTCATCGAGCGAGGCGTTACTGCGAATCAGGTTTAAAAGCTGCATGGTGTGATAGTCGTCATCCCTTAGGGCTTCCACCAGGCCGAGCAGCAGGTGTCGATCCTGCTCCAGGTCCTCGACCTTGCGTTTCAGCGCAAACCTCCGTCGTCCATCCGTCTCGTCGTTGATCTCGCAATATAGGGAATTCTCATGGCAGTTTTTACATGGATTGGAACCGACGCACTATATTTGGCGAAAAAGAGAAATGAGAAACAAATGAGAAGCATGATGATTAGTCAACGGGGCCAGCATAAAAGCATAACCAACGTTCAAAAATTGCGTTTTCCAACCTTGATTTTGCGTTTTTGGCACTCATTGCATGCACGTGAGGCATTTTTTGGCCTGACTCGACGCGGTAGCACAGTTTGGCTCCGTTCGCCTTCAGGATTGCTATTCCACGGGGCGGGAACGAGGTGGTGTAGTTTCGATTTATCGTTCGACATGTTCTATGTCGTGAGCTTTGTGTGTGTGTGTGTGTGTGTCAATCCGTCAATCAAAATTTTCGATACTAGAAGACAAGTTAGATGATGCATACAATAACGCTGAAGGTTAGGTTAACTAATCACACTCTGAATAACTGCAATTCTCGATAACTAGGGCTGGAAAACGTGTCACGTATTTGAAATGCTCAAACGGTCTCTTCAATATACAAAAACGGCGAGACACTAAGCCTAACGTCAACAAACAGGAAAACCGAATTATGCCTACTGCGACAAACGGTTTGGGTGAATTTGAGTACTTAGTCAGAGGAAAGGTAATAGCAGTAACAGAATATAAATTAGTCGCACACTAATTCATAGCTTAATCCGATCGCTCAGCCCACAAAAGGAAGATTGCTGTTTGTGACTGACCGAGTTGCATTAGTTTCCTTGATTCGGAAATGCAGCCAGTTCATGAGCCTTTTGTAGAAAAACACGTCTATGATTGTCCTGTGCCTAAAGCTAGAGTATGCCCTAGTCCCGATTCCACCGTCAATGCATACCAAGCACGCCTAGGGACGTAGTAGCAACCCTGTCTTGTCGCAATTTGGATTAGTCCGCCTTTCGCCCGCTAATTATGGTGCGTTGGAGATATGCACAATTATTTCCGAGTTAGCATTCGAAAGTGAAAAAGAGAAGACCGGAGCCTGAGAAGAGTTATTTGAAGACGATGTGTCAAGAGTTGGTGGACAACAGCAGAAAAAGTTAACAGTATCGTGATCCACTCGCCTAGAGGCGGTTCGCAAGTCCCGAGACTTGTACGGAGTAAAGGGAGTGAAAACTGGATTCTTTTAAACTGCCTGGCCCACGCATTACGGAGCACAGCGAAAAGCTTTTTTGATTGGACTGGGATTTGTGGTCTCTTCACCAGTCTTGTTCTACTGATCTCAAATCCCGGAAATACTGTGTACGGCCTATGATTCGAGGAACGGGTGATGGCAGTTGAAGCTGGAGTCAAACAAAAAAAAAAGAACTTTTAACATCTTTCGTAGATCAGTTCCATCCGGAGCATACGGGGTCCTCAATAGGGAATTGCGCACCTTAATATAGAGCTACGTCCAACTACCTTGTGCATTGCATTATGTACGCGCCTAAGGTTCTTCACCGGTTCCTTTCATAGATGCTCGGGATCTGAGATGTCAACCACGTTGGCGTCAAGATGCCCTTTATGTGCATATGCGTATTTAGATATAGTCAATGTCATTAGTCGCCCTAGATCTTACAGGAAAAAGAAAAGTGCCATCTATAATACTATAGTCAGAAAGCAATTTTAAAAAAAATCGATTGCTATGTGATCAAGGGAGCCACGAGTTTACAGGTATGAAAAATCCAAAGGCCGCGGGAATGTCAGCGATGAATGCATTGGATGGCTTGTTGGTCCGACCAATCAGAGGCCTTGCAAGCCGATCGGAGGAAACCCGGAGGAAACCCGGAGTTAGCCGCCAGACTCTTTTCGCACACGTCTTATTCTGCGTAATGAATTAAAATAACTCTTTCAAATGTTGTCTCATTTGGTTCTTCTCGAGATTAAAAATCATTTACTATATAAGGGGGAGTTAAAAGAAAGTAAAAACGAAAGAGCTCCGCCCGGGACGGCCCGGCCGCTTTTCGTATGACACTACGTGACTACGTAGTGTCTACGTAGTCCGTATAGGTCTAAAAATAAATATCCCTGTTGATAAAAGAATTTGTTCCTCGCATTGATTAAAGCTAGGCGTGATCACTTTCGGAGATCGTTGTCATGTATTAGGCGGACGAACAGCTAATGCAAAGAGACGAAACTTGCTGCGATGCCTTTGAAGAACTAAGCATTTGCTTTCCATGCACGCCAAAGCTGCCTAAGAGACGGCCTGCAGACTATGATGTGCGCTTGTCGATATTGCGATCAGATCGGTGAACGACGTATCAGTTCGCCGATTCGACGCTAGCCCCGTCATTTCCATCTCACTACGTATATGTATACATAACACTGCATAGAACATGTATGCGTTGCTCATTGCTTACCTGTAGATAACTAATAATTCCTGTTTCGGAACTTTGCACTGCATCTTGTCTGTGTATCGCAGACTCCTTCTGAAAATGGCTGGTGCATGTCAATCACAGTTCCACTAACCGTATCGAGCTATCGACTGATATAAATATAAATTATGGATCTCAACATACCCCTCTTCCCTCTTTCTCTCTCGATCTGCACAGCCGCATTCCTCTCGATTCGGATCAAGCATTATTCCGCAGCAAGGGAGTCAGCGAGTGAGTGGTACAGTGTAACCACTAATGGCAACATCTGACATCATGAAGAGCTGAAGCTTTTGGCATTAGTAACAGGCAAATATAATGCCTCTTCCTGTTCTGCAGCTTGTTACTTCCCCGAAGCTGCCGAGGGGAAAGTGGACGGAAAAACAATGCCTCTCTCAGATTACCTCAGCAACCCATAAACCAATCACGACTACCTAGCGTTTACCAGCTGCGTCATACCGCGATGGCAAGACATCGTGATTGGAGACGGAATGCATCACCGCCTGTATGAATAAAAAGGTGAAGTCCTCGATTGGCTTGGGTAAACACTCATTACCATATACAAATGTCATTCACTTGGCATATGGCAAAGTCCACTTTCCCCCTTGGCGTGCGATTCAGCAGCGCACTTCATGTCCAAGTTCCAGCATGCTCTTGCATCAGCGGCAAAGCAATGCTGGGAAACTTGGTTCAGCAGAACTTGGTCTTGGGCTGATTGGAGAGAATACGGAAATTCACGCTTGTATAAATGACACACAATCCCACTCTCCCCTTGCGGATTTTTCAACTTCCTTACAGACTCGCGGGAACTGCAGTGAATACGTTGGTTTCCTTTCCAGGAAATACATACAGGGTTAGTTGGCTTCGAATACAAATATTCTCACAACCATGAAATTTATGAAACTTTCTCTGCTGGCGTCCATGCCAGGTGCCATTATGGCACAAAACTTGACCCAACTTCTGTCCAACACAACTCAGTTGTCGAGTCTGAATACCTTGTTGTCTAGTTATCCTACGATTGTGAACTCTCTTGGCAATATCACAAACGTCACTATTCTGGCGCCCTCTAATAATGCATTGTCGAATCTCACCGACAGCCGGGGGTTGGAGGCGTTGGCATCGACTAACAACCGATCCGTCATCGACCTTTTGAGCTACCATATCCTTCGGGGCGAATATTATGACTCTAACATCACCCAAACACCGGTGTTCATACCGACTTATTTGAATGATTCGGTGGTGACCAACGTTACTGGTGGCCAGGTGGTGGAGGCAATCAAGCAAGATAACGATACTTATTTCTTCTCTGGCTTGTTCTCAAATTCGACAGTAACCCAAGCTGTAAGCTATCGCCCCATTTCTCCCTAGACAATTTTCATTGCAAAATATCTGACACGTACGAAAGAATCTTAATTTCACCGGCGGTGTATTGCACATCATCGACAAGGTCCTTTCTATTCCATCGAACGTAACTTACTCTGCTGCAACAGCCGGTCTGAGCGCCGTAGTAGGCGCCCTGCGTGCAGATAACTTGACAGACAGCGTTGACACTACGCCGAACGTAACTGTTTTCGCTCCAGAAAATTCTGCCTTTCAGGCAATTGGTTCTGCTCTTGGGAACTTCACCACCGATCAGCTTACCGGTGTTCTTGACTACCATGTCATTAACGGACAAGTTGCCTATTCAACAAACTTGACAAACGGTACTCAATTTACTGCTGTCAATGGCCGGAATTTGACTGTCCGTGTTGAGAATGGATCTATTTTTGTCGATTCGGCTAGGGTGACCAGGCCTAATCTGCTTGTCGCCAACGGTGTGCTACATGTCATTGACAAGTATGTCTCCCAAGCCCCTTTCCGATTCGTTATAAGCTGAGCGAAGGGAACTAATCTGTTATAGCGTTCTCAACCCGAACAACACTTCTGCGACTCCCAACGCAACCGCCACTTCCCAAGTCCCAGCCTTCTCTGGCGCATCTTCGGCAAGCTCTATTCCGTTCACAAGCGGAGTAACAGCCAGCGCCACAGCTACTGGAAGTGGTGCTGGCGCCGGTGCTGGAGTAACTGGAACTTCTGGAGCTTCTGGCACCTCGACGTCATCCGCTGCTGCAATGCCCATGCGTACTGGCGGGCTTGGTGCTGCCGTGGTTGTCGGTGCTGGTGCTGCATTGTTGAACGCTGATATCTTTTAAGAGTTGTTTATACTAAAGATTTTTTTGGGTAAAGCACTGCTCGAGACACAATCGTTATCTTGTTAATAATAGCACACGCCCAAAGAGGAAATCAACAACCACAAATTTTATGCCCATTACGAATACTATTATATCAAACTCAATATTTGTGATTACTACATATATAGCAACGGGAATGATTGACGAATATATGACTGTTTTTATACCCTAAACTATTTTTTGGTAGATTTGTGGTATACCAGTCGTTGTGGCCAATGCTATCTAGGTAATCTGACCTGGTATTTGTTGATGTATTATGTATTGGTACCTTATACCTGGGGAGATACCAAGTGTGAACAAAATAATGCCTAGGAAAGGTTTATACAAACCATGAACTCGTGTCCACTAAGATACTTCAAATCTCTTTGCCTCTTTATAATGGAGCAGTCTACTTTTTGAGATGAACGTCTTCACTGAGATTTCATTCATCAATTTAATCAGAAAATGGCTTTCCTACTCCGGCAGACTATAGTAGTTACCTAACCAACCTGGCGCACTTCGTTCATAGAAATTTAGTGTACTCTTTCACCCAGCCCTGGTGATGATGGTGCGAAGAATATCACTGCAAAAGTTACAAAACAAATAATGACAAGGGTTATCTACTAAGTTAGGTAGACGGCTATCTTCATCATCCTTCCGGTAATTAAATTCTTTTTAAATACCCAATATGAAAAGTTCATGCAACTCTATGGAGCATACCCAATGACAGTCATGGCAGAATCCCTTTGCTGGATTGTTTACACGAAAATTATTTACTCCTTCTTGGGAATGATATCAGATGAAGTTTCCAGGAAATACGTGCACGACACTGTTCGTGCTTTAAAGAAATTACTCCTAAATTACCGTGGACTTGCCCATAGTTTTGGACACTATTCAGTTACTCATGGCCCAGTTGCCTAGATGGAGCCATCAAGCAGGCTCGAATAGAACGTTAATCCCGGCTCATACTTGAACCTGAACGAACATTGGAAGGAATGACAAAATTGAGGGAATCGCGAAATAATTGGTCCACAACTGACTATGACATGACGAGGCTCAGTCACTTAGACCAACACGACCTATCATTCAATGATTACCGAGAAATGAGTCGATATGTCCGAACAGTTTGCCTGACCCCAGGCATAACTACTCTGTTAGGGAAAATCCCGGTAGTTGGAGACTCGGGATTTCCCAATGGTGGTAGTATAAGTTGCATTGATGCACCTATTACGGCCATGGACCTCGGGAATCAAGAACCAGTTACCTGACAAGATATACAATCGAGTGGATATAGTTTGCAGTTCCAACTTTGACGTGGTACATGAGACATCCCATGTAGTCCACCACTTTCTTCACAGTCATCGATGATGTCTTTAAATATTGAGTCAAGAGCCAGCATAACATGTCAGAGTCTGGCATATATATAGATAGATATGGCTTCAAAGAGTGCCTGTGATTTTACAATTCAAAAATCTCCAGATTTGAAGAGATCCAAGCATACCTATCGATACTTTTATCATCGCAATAACTGAATCTATTTGCGAGCCAAAGAAACATTTCCGAGCGTCAAACAAACGTTATTGCGACAAAAGAAATTGTCGTATTCTATAGGAAGAAAGATGCCTGACCGACATGTGGCTAAGAAACGAAAGACAGAACCCAAACTAGATAGTGAAGGGAAGCACATGAACTCTCGCGTACGATCATACCGGAAGTTACTAACAAACTACAGAAATGCTGGAGAAGATAGATGAAACCATGGAAGGTTCTCTGAAAAATGAGCAAGGCGTTGGCGAACTCAGGGATGGGGCGGAGGACCTAGTCAGAATGCTCACAACCCGCATAGACATTGATGATACTGGAAAAGAGAAGAAAACCGAGGAGAAGGCTCCAGATAGTTCAAAGTGAAGACTGACTGCCTGGATAGACATGAAGAGTATCGGCACTATCTGCTATCAAATGGTTCCATATACCGAGCACTGTGTACCGACCAGCTCTCTTACTTGATTATTTTCTGATATTTGGATGCATCCATGATTCAGCTACCCACCGATCCATTGAAGTTATGACCCTTCGATGGGGATTCAATCTTTTACATCTACTTGTACTCTAATTTCATTTCTAATTTGTAAATTTCTAATCCAAATAAATGCCGGGTTATCAGATTCCATCAACGCTTTTTCTCACATTATTCTATAATACGAATGAAAGAATTCCACACGTGTATTTAGGTAGTGTCACATATAATATTGGCAACTAAGTCAGCGCCCTGATTAGCAGTTTGGACAGATTGAAAGCCAAGATTCTATGTACTCATTGAAACATGGCTAAATCAAGCCTCACTAACTTGATCGTGGAATACGAATTAGTCAGAGTAACACAGAGAAAGAATAATGCCAAGGGCTACACTGTTACCATGCCTGATTTGAGGCGGCGGAGTTTAAGGTACGAGAGACAGCCGATACTCAGACACAGTTTGAACGATGACACCAAAAGTCTTACCTATAAGTTGAAAGCAATTTGGGAATGCCGAGAACACCCAGGATTGCTTTCCTATTTTTTTTTGTACAGGGTTAATATCCCCCACGTGTTGTAAGGAATTCTACGCACTTCCCAAATAGGAAAAAAATTCATCTATCTAGGTTACGTATGTATCAATGCATGGATGCATTGATGACAATGCCCAGACAACTAGTTTGAATCTAACTTATACAAGGCTAACCTATGTCACCTAACAGACATGGCTAGGGAAACCAAGGTATGATGAATGCACCCTGAAGCTAAACGTAGCCTGAATATTGCAAGCTGTGCAGCCTTGCTAAGAATTACCCACTCTATGGGGTGGCAAGATCCGTGATTATCTATGGGTTTGTAAAATCCTACTTAACTAACTAACTAGTCAACCTAGATATTTACGTAACTGAATAACGATTCAATAATAAATTAGCATACTATGTGCAAGGGCACTTAAATCCGCCAACAGCCGTCGATATGTAACCCGGGGGCCATTCCCTATGGTTGGAATTAAAGAACCCACTAACTAAGCACTAAGTATGTCGATCCAGGAACGACAAGTGTCAAAGAGGCTCTAGGTTACCTATAGCGTCGATTACCATCCCTCAAGCTGACATGTAGAAATGCTGTCTACTCCGTACATTTGCACTGAATTGGCTAAATAGTGAATCGATAGGAACAATATTTTTGCTTCAATGGTTGTTAACCCTGGCCACACCACGCCATAATACTTAAGTAGTTGAAAATACTGTCAACCATTATTGTCAGATTTTAAACTAGGTTAAACGGATGAAACCATAATCCAAACTGCAAGATTTATGGAAACATTAGGTGCCTTCGACTCCCCTGACAGTCAGCAACACCTGGGGGCCAGATAAATGTAACCATAAATTGGCCAACGAAAGGAATCGCAGTGGTTGGCTAAGCTGTACATACTTCACTTCACATAGTAGGAACATAAGGTATAAAAGGGGCATCGTTTCCCAGGTTATAATCCCGTTGCTACATCCCATTGCTCAGCACAAAGCCCTATACCTAAGCTGCATACACTCCTCACGTCATTTCTATATCGTTTAAATTTACCGACGAGAATTTCAAAAGACAATATCAAAATGAAGTTCACTGCCGCCGCCACCGCCGCTTCGGCCATTCTGTTGAGCTCTCAAGCCACAGCTCTCTCGATGAAGCGCACCATCCCATCTTCATACTACTCCAACCAGGAGATTACCGGCTCGATCTACTCATGGGACACCGACTCCGAGTGTAACCAGATCTTCTACACCGCTGGAAGCTGTGGCCTGTCCACCTACTTCACTTCCACGATTCCTAGCTCCTCTGGCTACAACTTTGTTGCCATGGGTTCCGCAGTCATGAGCCAGTTCGGCTCTTACCAGAACAACGAACTCTGCGGCAAGACCATTGAAATCACCAACTCTGCCGGCGTTACCGAGCAGGCTGTCATTGCTGACACCGCCAGTGCTGATATCATTGATATGTGCCTTGGTCTGTGGGAGGACTTCGGTGGCGTGGACGGCGATGGAACTCAGATGACTGGTATGGAATGGCGTCTTGTTTAGTAACTACTTTGAAAGAGCTTTGATGACTTGAGCATTCCCATGGTGGTTGACAGTAGTTGGAATTCGAAGTTGTCCAGGATCAGGTGGAGATTGAATTCTGTATATATTTAGAGCTGTTCTTTGTATATAACCTTGGAATGTAGATAGAATTGTGAAATGTCGTGTCTACTATATCCACTTTCCATTCCTACGAGCTGCTTTTGCACATGCGTATGTAGATTGCTGGATCTATTCCAAGCATCAATTGTGGTTCAGTCAGCAACACCCTGAAAGCGAGTACTCAACTAATAAAGTGACTTCGTACATTAGGAACTATTCCGCATGGATTGCTTGATCTGCAGACACATTTGAGCCTGATCTAGACGCGACAGCTTGTCCTTTCTACTTTTATCACTGCCAAGTGGTTCAGTGCTACATAATTTTAGCTAGGTTTATTCTCGTACACCATACTGTAATTAAGAATATTTGAAAAGACTCAAGTGAAGCATCTGAGTTACTTATTTCGTATATCTTCGGTATAAGGAAACAATTCATGCTTTTGGCTTGCTGACTTTGCAGTCAGCGAAGGAGCCCTGTTGATTTACAACAAGGCCCTTGCAACTCGATGGTACTAGGTTCCTTGGGAAACGCATCAACAAGTATTGCCTTAAATGAAAGGAACCGTAGGGCTTCGGCATTATTTCGGTACTGCACTAGCAATATGCCGAGATGATATAGGTATTACTTCTCCTAGAAGGTCTCTCAACAGGACTACGTTCCGAATGTATCACGATGTCATACTTCCTGCTCAGGGGAACATGGGTATCCAGTTGCCTAATACCTTAAGGAAAAATATGTAATAAAATAGTAGCATTTCACTAATATCATGCCCTCGTCCCTCATCGATTCTGACCATATTGTACACGTTGATTACGAGGACATCACTTTTTTAACTTTCTAAATTAAACCATACTCAAGGAAAGTTGGAGGAAAGCCGATTCGGACAGTGTAGTCATCAAAAATCTCTTCCTTCCCCCTCTCGTTCAGATCATATTACCCACAGCTTACCAGCTTAGTTTGGGAGGCTTTAATTTTCAGGATCCACTTTGGGTTCTTGAGATTGAGACTCCTCCGGTGTAGTTTCGCGTTCTGACACCTCGGTTCCTTCAAGCAAGTTTCGTCCATCTCTGTGTAAAAACATGGTTGTTAGTCACAACCTACTACTTAGTTGCATGACGAAGGGGATGAGACTATACCCGAGTTTGTTGTTTGGCATGAAGAAAGTTATAATGAGAACGGGTGCAGAGAGTGCTAAAGCAGCAATGGTTATATATCTATCACAATTAGCCAAATTCAAAGCTCCTGGAGTACGATCAACTGGTTGTAGTCAGGGAAGAGGGTCTTACCCCATAACATCTGAGTACTATATAGCAAGCGAATGAAGGTCAGTATTTTCTGCATTGATACAAGATTAAGGGTTTCATACAGCTTCATTAACTGCAAGTCTCTGTGGAGTGCCCCAAGCAGGTAAAACACCCGTGATAGAGTTAAATAGAGTGTCAATCTCTGTTTGGTTTGTCGTATCAAGTCGGAATGCTAAACGTTCACGGAGAGTGTCCGTATAAATTCCACCTGCAATTGCTGAGCCTATTCCATCACCGAGGAAAGCACCTAAACTGATCAGTGCGGTGACTTGGGCCAATTCAGCATGGGGTACGACGATCTGCGCCGCGACGATCATAACAGTCTCAATAATACCACTGCCTAGACCTTGTATAAGCTGAACGACAAATAGCTCAGCCGTGGAGCTGTCATTTGTTCGTAGACGAATCATGACTCCATAACCGATCATACGGATGGCTGCTCCTCCGACAAGAATCCACTTGTACGAACGGGTCTTATACATGACGAGGCCGACCAACATGCCAGTAAAGCACTGCATGACTCCGTTTGTGTAAGCAAGGTAGGTTGCTACTCGAGCAGAATAGTCGTGTGCAACTAGAGACCAGGCATACAGGTACGTGTGTGTGGCTCCAAACCCCATATTATCTAAAATACCCAGGCAAAAGCTTACCACAATAGACATATTAGTGAAGTATCGGACAGGGACAACGGGGTACTTGGCAATGTATCTCTCGTAGGGATACAAAGCGATGAGTGCGACGCATCCTAGGGCGATAAGCACGTCTATCCAGGCTGTGTGCCACTTGCTGGTGGTCGTGGCAGCGAGAGTTATGGGCAACAACAACATAGCAAAGCCACCGCCGAGAAGGAAAACACCGCCGATATCGATACGAGAGAAGAACTGGAATAGACTTATCTTCTCTGCATATACAATACCGGCCTTCCTGGCACGATGTTGGAACACCAGAAGCGTGATGATTATAAAACTGGCCGTGAAGGGCATAAGAATGGCAAACATGCCAATACCCCAGCGCCACCCAATGCCGTCCACGACACTATCGACAATCTGAGCCCCTACCCATGGTGCAATCAAGAATGGAAGGTAGATGATGTTGTAGGAGAATCCTCTCCAACGCATACTAGACAAATCGGACACCATGACCGAATCCAGCATAGCTGTGCCTCCCTGTCCGAGGGCATAGAAAATATAACCTCCCGCATAGGTGTTGAATGTACTCGAAGAGGCGCAAAGGATATAACCCAACACATAGCAGGTAATAGTAAAGATGTAAGCCTCGGCTCGCCCTACCACGTCCGAGATCTTCGCAACAGGCGGTTTCACAATAGCTAAGACGATGCTTGCTGCCGTCGATACAGTCCCGACCTTGGAAAGTTCATTGAAGGAAGAGGATGCGTACGTGATATAAGATGATGTGGTTACATTGTCGAGTTCACTGGAAGATATCAATCGTTAGACTAGCCACTCCATGGAGGAATGCAAATAGTTAGTTCACAGCTTACAAAATGATCATGATCATAGCCAATCTGTCCTTTAATTAGTATCATAACTAAAGTGCATGTTTCCTTTTCCATTCAGGTAGAACTCACCCGAGATAGAGAAAATATTTACCAGTCCGACCCCATACAGCCTGCGCAGCCTCAAATCTCGCGATACCCGCCACCTCTAGTTTCTCGGATGGCTTTTGTGGCTCAGCAACGGACAACATCACGTCACCTTGAGCTTCATTTATGGTGTCTGCATTCTCGGCTGGCGCTGAAGATCCGAATCGCTGTTTGAATTTGGATAAAGAATCCATAACGACGGGAGTTAAGCCCCTTATTGACAGCGTAAGGGAGGCGGAATATGAATTATGTCTATCCTATAGACCACACGAAAAAAAAAAAAAAATTGTTGTGGAAGGGCCGGCGTCTTGCTGCTTATTAGTAAATGGGCTTCTGGTGAGGAGGTGAGATAAGAAACCGCAGAGGTTCGTGCTGCAAGGAAAAGTATACCGTTATGAATATACACACCATCACTTATCCTCTCAAAGATAGTACGAATGTGAAAACAAGCGGCCCAATGATTCGATTTAATTGAAAAGAGAAAGTGCTACGAAGAACATGGATGAAGATAAGGATTACTGCATATCACCGCTCGCGTGGTAGTAAGCAACGGGTCTGCGGAGTATTTCGCACTTGGCCACGCACAGGTAACCTCGAGTCTAGATGGATATACAAATTGAAGATAGTCAATATCAACAAGCAAGATGCACGGCGGCACGCAGCAGACTAGTTTAGTGTGTCAATTTCTTATCAATGGCTCCGACACGATTGGCTGACCTCGGATATCAGCCAGGATACGTTGATGCTAGGCGCTCAGCTAACACTTAATCGACTCTCTCGTCAGCCACCGGTGCCGGATTCCGTGGCCATTACTGCTCTACTCCGCACTCTCGCGACGCCCTTCCTAACGCGAGACGCAGCAGAGATTCAATAGACGCGGATTTTGGCAGATAAGAGAAGAAGAGATAGCGCAGTTATGTACGTATCGACCTAATCTTATGTAGCTATCAGCGATGTCCTCCCGTCTTCGACCGCTCCTTGCATGCATGCCCTTCTCCGATGCGGAATGTATCAGCACAACATCGCATTGGAGGCAAACAAGCCCGGCTGCGCTTTCCTCATATCAAATTAGAGTGCATCTTCGCCGGAGCACGATGAGCGGGGAAGATCCAATCAGTAAGTCGCTTTCAGGTCCATGTGTTGCCTAGGGCGTTTATATCCATGGGCCCATGCCGACGGATAGCTAGGCCAACAAAATCCACAGGTTCCGTACGTTTGATTCGCGGACCAAAGTTTCGTTAAGGCCTTTAAGCCTTAGATAAGTAATAAACACTAACTAGGCTGTAGTTGAAACTAATTGATGACTCGATGTAAGATGACCTACCGAACACTACCAAGTCAGCAAACAAGGAGGGGATAAAGAAAACCACTCAGGTGATTTCTTTAGTGGCACCGGCTTATCAGACACAGTCGGCGTGGTCCACATAGCGAACATCACCGTATGAGCCAATAATCGGTCACGGAAAAGTCGATATCTGCAGCGCTTGGTGCGGTGGCATCCACTGTTAATGCACCTCAAGAGCCTGGCTGGAATAGAAATGGATTCTGTTTGAATTGAATTGCCCAATTCTTTGTATGCTCAACAGCGGCCAAAATAAGCACGATGAAGGACTTCAAATATTTTTCCGAGCAGCAAACACTGGACGCTGCCATTCACGGCCGGAAAAGGCAGATTCAGAATAAGCATGTTCATGGCGTAGTGATATCTTTACTTCTTCTCGCGACAGCGTTCTTCTCATTTATGCGTCCAAAGTCTGTGAGCCTCCGAGAGAATGATATTGTTCATGAGAACAATTACGCGACACCATTTAGCTGGGAAAAGGTTTGTCACTTTTCTTTACTTTTCCCTTTGCTTTTGATAAGCAAAACAACAAATTGAAACCAGAAATAAACTGATGATCTCAAATTTGATATTAGATTGTTCCCTCATCAAGTCTTGAATATCATGACTGTTTTGATGGCTACCAATGTGCAAGACTTGAATTACCGATGGACTACCATCGTACGGACGGTCGTGGCCGTAAAGTCGCCATTGCCATTGCTCGTCTACCAGCGAAGGTGCCTGTCACGGATCCTCGATACGGTGGTGCAGTATTAATAAACCCAGGTAGATTTATTCTCTAAAATCTTTATGGGAGCAAAACGTGAAAGCAACTGACTTCCTGATTCTGTTTTAGGAGGACCCGGTGGCTCTGGAGTTGCGCAGGCCCTTTATACGGGTCGCAATCTGCAGATAATAGTGGACGCAGACATTGATCCATCAACTGCAGACGAAAGCGATACTAGCTCGCTTTACTTTGACATAATTGGCTTTGATCCCCGAGGTGTCAACAATACCACGCCGCAGTTCAGCTGCTTTCCCAGTCTCTCTTCACAGCTCAATTTTGAATTGCAAGCCGAAGCCGAAGGAATGCTAGGCAGCTCCGCGGAATCTTTCATGCAAAATTGGCAAAGAACAGTCGCTCTGGGTCAAAGTTGCTCCGAGCAACTGCTGGCAAGAGTTGATCCTGCCGGTGACGAAGCCCTAGGCGAACATGTGAACACAATGCCTGTGGCTCGTGACATGATTGAAATCACCGAAAGGCATGCGGAGTGGCGTGAAAAGCAGGGTATGAAACAGCAGCAAGAGGAGGACGAGGCCATAGGCTATGATAGCAAACAGAACATTGTTGCTCGTACACGATGGAATCGTGGAAACGAGAAGTTGCTCTACTGGGGTCGATCATACGGCACTGTTTTAGGCGCCACTTTTGCGGCCGCATACCCAGATCGTATTTCCAGAGCAGTCTTGGACGGTGTGGTTGATTTGGATAGTTACTATGATGGCGCAGCAGAGTCGAGCAGTATTACTGACGCCGACATTATCTTTGACCGTTTTTTCGAGTACTGCCATGCAGCTGGCCTAGAGGGATGCCCATTCTATGTGCCGGGCGGTCCATCTGAAATCAAATCGGCCTACGATGCCCTTGAAAACCAGATCCGAAACAAATCCGTACCAGTGGCAGCATCCAGCACTCGGGGGCCCGAGGTCATTACTTGGACCGATTTAAAGATTATCCAGCGTATCTCTGTGTATCAGCCGCTACTGGTATTTCCAGTCTTCGCGCAATTTCTTGCGGATCTCAAATTAGGCGATGGCTCATCAATGGCTGCCTTTAAGCAGCGCAATCGCCAAATTTCTTGCCTCTCCGAGGAGTGTGTTACGGCTGGTTTGTGGTCGGAACAGTGCACTGGCTCCGGGACTAGTGAGGATGCTTCCAGCCAGGCAATTCTCTGCAGTGATGCGAGGTATATGACTTCTGTTAGCAACGAAGAGTTCAAAGGCACCTGGGACGGGCTAGTGAAGGATAGTAAAACTATCGGTGATTATTGGGCCAGTATACACTTAACCTGTGCTGGATGGATACCACAAGCCAAATGGCGACTTGAAGGTATGAGACTGAGCCTAGTCGTGAAATAACTGCTGTGCCTAGTTTTGCCACACTCAGCATGCCTTCCTAACATTTCAATTCTGGTTTAGGTCCGTATACGGCTAATACCTCGCATCCTCTTTTGTTCGTAAGCACCAGTCTAGACCCAGTCACACCACTTGAAAAGTAAGTTTTGCACGCAATGCCTTGAATATCTTATGGCTTTCTCTTGCTGGGATTCGGCTAATATACATCGTAGTGCGAAGAAGATGTCTAGGAGCTTTCCCGGATCCGTCGTTCTCCAACAAGGTTCCGAAGGAGTAAGTAACTGAGGTACCCCCTCAGATTTTACGTGTGAAAAACTAACCGAGTTGACTTTCATACAGCATACAACGGGATCCAGTCCGTCACTCTGTATCGCCAAGGCTATCCGTAAATACTTTCAGACTGGACAGTTGCCAGCAAGCGATGCCTTTTGCCCTGGTGACCTGAAGCCCTTACTAGGCGTCCCAGAAGAATCTGTGACGATGCTGACAAAAATAAACTCAATGGATCAACCTATATTTCAAGCTCTGATTGATGATGTATCCACATTTGGGGCTGCAAGGTCACTCGGGTCAGCATATTCAGAAAGATGGGAGACAGTCAAATGAGCAACCGACAGGCCAAAACGAAAAAAAAGCGGAAAAGTTCGCCCATACTATAATTAACTTCTAGATTACTGCCACTGACGCCGGCGTAGAGGCAAGTTGCAAATCTTGCGATTGCCCATCACAAACGCAAAGCGAGATTGATCATCAATGACCCTGCTGAAGATTTGTCAGGAACAAAGCCTTGAGAGTTTATCTCTCCCTCAACGCTTGCACCTTTTTGCGTTGAGGCTACCCAGGGCTATTTGTATAATTTAGGGCTACACCTAGCGGTTAACTATATTATTATTCACATGCTTGAATAACAGATAGACATACATTACGAGCCAGATGATCCAATCAGAGTACACGTAGACCGTACCATAAGCGATTCTGGGGCACACTAATTGGTCCGAAGTGCGAAACCTACGTCAACGACTGACCCACCACGACGTCAGTTTGTATGCCCTAACTCGCGCCCAAGAACGGTAGGACGATGACGGAATGGTGTGAGTGAACCAAGTCTTTATAAGGGGTAGTTATTACTCGCTTGACACCTAAACAGTCACGAACCCTTCAATAAACCAAGAAGATATTTCCCAAAACACAGAAAGCGGCATTAAAAACCCCAATTTGTCCGTATGCAAGCCGCAATGGACGCCGCCAAGCAAGTTACAAACTCACCTAGTCAACATACCGAAGCCCACAGGCAGCATCTGTACAACAACTTGCCAGTCGAAGAACGAGGAAAGAAATCCTACTATGAATGGGTTAGGGAGGCTTACCAAGAGCAGTACGAGAAATGGGTACCGTGGCTCGAGGACCAATACTTGAAATGGTTTGGAAATGGTGATAACAAGGCTTCCTATGCGACTAAAGGTATGTTTACTCATGGTATCACTTCCATATTTTATGTCACATTTCGCGAGGAATTTATATGCATATCGATGCTGACGATATACAGATACCCTGAATAAATCCAAGGTCAGCGGTATACCGCAAGTCGACCAACTTCAAGACGATGCCCATAATCTTCTCGGAAATCAGCTTGGCGAGAATGGACTTGCAGCGCCCGTTGGCAATATAGCAAGCAAAGAGGGCGTCAACAGAATGGAAAGGCAAGGCAAAGACGACAAGGGGACATACGGCGGCCCCGCCGCTGGGTATACAGATTCTATACTCAACAAGGCAAAGAGTGGTGCGCAATACGTGGGAACCTCGCTATCTGATGGTGCAAAAAGTACTGGCAGCTATATGGGACTTGGCGAAGGCAGTCAAAAAAGTCAGTAATGAGACATGACAGCACAGGCAGTTGTCCTATTGAGTCCTTGTTTTGTTCTATTGCCCCTGTAATTTCGTGTTATATGTCATGCAGATTCATAGTGTATTATAATCATGAGGTTCATTTCACAAGAAAGAGAATTGCATAACAATTATCTAATTAGAGCAATAAGGTAGGTGTGGTGTGCCCGAGTCCGTAGTTGCCTTTTTTCAGACTAATAGTATGTCGTCCAAATAAGCTTGAATCAACCATACCACCTTCAACAAATTTTCTTTTGACGTTTCTCTTTCTTCCCTTTCATCCAATGACGTAGACAGTAAACGCGAATTGCTAAGAAAAAAAAAAGGCGCCATAGAAAGAAGACGCAAAATTGGAAACGTAGAGATAGAGACCGTTTGGCGCTAATGAATCTCGACAAAGCACGGAGACATGAGAACCAAATAATCAAAAAAATCCAGAAGTGCAGCTGATGTGCAAAACAAATGAGAGAAGACAAAGTTATTTGTCTAAAATTTCATCGCGGGACTGAGGCCCATATTGAAAACAGGGCTCTTTTCTATATTCTTGTAGTCGAAAAATGCCATTGTACACTGTCGCGAAATCTCGACTTCTTCACCTCGGAGTAGCGCCCCCTTGTCGTAACGATCTATAGCAACCCCCCGTTCCTCTTCACCTTTGTGCACGGATGTCAATTGATTGACGAGTTCATAGGCATCCTTTATTGCCAAGTTTCCTCCTTGGCCACGATGAAAAGTCATACTATCGTTCGTGCTTCATTAGTATGATAACAGCACTGTTTTGGTCTGCAATGTTCAACAACTCACCTATGTGCCGCATCACCCGCCAAAGTCACACGCCCCCTGTGATTATTCCATGGTTTGGTGTGCCATATTCTCAATTCGTCGTGTTTGATGACTGTATCATCTGGAATTGTCTCAACGATAATCTTGAATGGATCTACCCAGTCATCCATGCGTGACCGAAGCTCAGCAAGTTGATCACTGGAGTTCGGACTGTCGGTGCTACTGCTTATTGCCCATGAGGCAAGAATGTAGAATAGCCATGTTTCTGGTTTTGCAGAATCCGGCTTGTCCAACAATGAAAGGCCCATGTACATGTTCTTGGGATGGGCTCCAACTTCTACTGTTGGACTCAGGTCTTTCTCCAGCCACAACGCCAATTCGGACGGTAAACTGAACGAGAAATTCATAAACTTGCATGGTAGCACTTCTTGAGAACCAACGTCACCAAGCAGCCAGCGTCGTACTTGAGATGCTCCACCATCAGCGCCTATTACGATAGTGCCAGTTTCTGCGGTACCGTCGTGGAAGTGAGCTGTTACGTCGTCGTCGTCATTCTTTGAATTAACAGTTATGCCAACTAGTCGCTTCCCGTATTGCACAGAGAGACCTTGCGATAAGTGCTTCTTTGTTTTTTTATGGTTAACCCGTCTGATTGAAGGGAATTGCATTCGTCTTCTGATATCCCCTGTCGACCCATCACGTATAGTGATGCCATACTTGCCAACCTCGACTGAGTCTGCTGTGGGATCTGGCTGGCACAGGTTTATCGTATTGAATAGGGTCGCTGGTAGAAGCTTTTCAAGCAGAGGAAGTGCCCATGACATCGTAATGCACCAGTTGCGGTCTCTGGGAACTGTTTCCCGATCAACAATAACAAAGTCTATGTTGTTCTGCTTGACAGATATTGGTATTGGGGCATCCCATTAGCCAAGATCTCACCCAGTTGGAAAAGCAGGTTGGGTAAAAATGTGATAAATATGGCTAAAGGTGACTCACCTTCTGTAAGCCGTGGGCAATAGCTAAGCCAGCCAGCCCTAATATAAGCCAGCGTTAGAGGTGTAATTATGTATGGAAAGCGATTGGCCTCCTACCAGCCCCGACAATTATAACACGCATAGGCCCCTTTGTCATTTTCTCAAAACCAACACTGCAGGAGTTAAAAGGGAGTTCTAATTCGGCGCAAATGTCATTTATAAGTCGACTGTGAAATTCGAAGTTGATGTCTGATATCGAGAGCGAACTGCCTTTATGAACTCCCAGAAACCAACACCACCGTTTTCGGAGTGTTAAATGCGGGGTTGTGTGTCACCAGTGTGAGGAGTTCCTCGTCCACTTTAAAAGCTGCTGCCATCAAATTAATTCATGCAGATGGCATGCCCATTGACCAACGGTACACAGATATGGACTGGGCACGGTACGAAGACGGATTAACCATGATTCGATAGGTTACATTTTGGACAAAACAAGGCCCGGTACATGGTGGCACACCCCGATTGGAAGCTTGCAGGATTTCCACGTTCTTCTCAACTGGCTCCTGTCAGAACAAAACGCGCCATGCCTCATTATCTGTGAAAACAACGACGAGGAGGTGGCTTGGAGGTGGAAGATAAACATTGGAACTGGCTCATTGTTGTCTAAAGAGCTAGAAGCCCGCCCTAAACCATATTTGTGCAACCGACAAGCGATAAGATAAGATAAGCCTCTTAGTGCCTGCGGCTGAACAGCAACAGCCACAAAAGCAAAGGAGCGCCTCTCGTATTCTCGGAGACTTCCTCGCTGTCTTCGCTCGACGAGCACAAACACGAGCGATACCAATCTGTCACACAATGGGCAAGCCGACTCGCTCTCAGCTGGCAGCAGAACCGTCGTCTGTACCATCCACCCATTCTCTACACCCTTTTGACGATGATGATATCAACCCAGTATTGAGCGATGATGATGGCGACAACGTGGAAGATCAAGGCATTGACAAACCGCCATCCTATGATGCAGTTATTTCAGACCGTCTGGGCGAACCCGGGTCGAGTAATATCAACCCAGATAGGGACAGCATTGCTGATACCGGGTTTACAGCTCCGGATAGCAGGCCGCAAGTCTCTCCTCACTCACGGTTAAGGGATGCTGACTACCGAGTCCCCGGTGGCCGAAAGGCCCAAAGTGTGCTCAATAGCACACGTACAGTCACTCTCGAACCGGTTTTATCGCATTCTGCACGCGAGCTATCCGCTGTCATTGCCGAGCAAGCAAGTCTCCCACCGCGTCCGCAACTCGTCATCAACGGATCGCACACAAACTCAAACAGACGAAAAAAGGATAAAAATAACAGCGACACAGTCATAGACTTTGATTTTCGTCTTGATCTCGTAGAGACTGTTTTAACCGGTTGGGGAGACGCCCGCAGAACCGCATCGCCAGAACAGCCGGACACGCAAACATGGCACAATGTTTTGGTGACTGAGGACTACGACGGTATCAAAGCGTACAGAGGATCAAGGGTGAAAACCCTCACTTGGAAAGAACCCAAAAGACCAGCAAATACTCGACTGTCGGCCACGAATCGGATGTTCCACCGCGACGACCCGGAGAATCACCTGTTATACAGAGAAGATAGAGAAGAAGCTGATGATGCCGCTGGGGAGCAAGATAGATTAAGCCAAGAAAGTCGGAATGCAGATTTGGAGTGGTGTACTCGGTTTTGCAGGGATCCGTCTCCCGTCAAGTCGTACGTAAGCTGACTTCAAGATCAATTTTCTTTTGACTAAATGTGTTATAGGTTTACCTTGACCCGAGAGGTACATAATTTTGAACATGCGATCATGATAGATTGTCTTACGTCTCATATTCGGGACACAAGCTATAGAGGTCAAATCACTATGAGGATGGAGATTGTAAATGGCAGTCTCACAATATACTCACCACATTGGATTAACAAGCTTCGCAACAATCGTTTCGTCTTTTGGATGTGCATTATTTTGCAACTGTGGTGCATCACCTGGCCCGTCATTTGGCTCCTTGAAAAGCGGTATGAAGTCGTTCGCTCCTGTTGGTATGCATCACACGCTATTGAAGATAGAAACGGAACTACTCGCACTAGGAAATATGCCCGTGGTTGCGATGAGCACGACTTGGGCGAGTTCTGGGCGCCAGTTGTCAAGCAAGCAGCCTGGGGACGTCGTCGGTATAATGAGGTCATCAGATTGGAAGATGCCCAACGTGCAGAGGGTCTTACAACCGCTGAAATCCTTCGAGTTCCCATACACGATTCTGAAGCCGAAATTGAACGAAGAGAACGGGTCAACCGTGGAGATGGCACATTTTCAGACTCGGTGGTTGGTTTCGTCCGAGGCCTAAGTGAAGTCAGGCGAGGTTGGAATCTGACGGCGGGATGGGGTGAAAATACTTAAAACGATTCCTAGTCGTCACTTCAACTCTTACATACAAATATTCTGTAAATTTATCATATCATAGTGAACATATTTGCAATAATCTTCGTGTTTTGATTTTGCTCAGGAAACGCAATGTGCCATCGCGAACTCGTTCCTCTACGTTTACGTGGTATATAGCCACCCCTTTCCTAAGCCAACGAAAGACTCTCCTCAGCATCATACGCTGATGGTGAATTATTGTCGTAAGGCGTTATTGTGGCCTGTCTGTAATGCCTAATATACCAGTTGCGTTGGACTTTTCTTTATGGACATGGAGTTCTGTATGAAACATGCTGTGTTATGTTTTCCTAATTTTAAACTATCTAGACTATAAGATATCACCTCATTATGATTACTATCTGGCCCCATTAAGACTGCATACTTCCGATGTTCTAGTATTTGTACTTCTGCTCTTCCTTCTGTGCACTTGATGTGTTAGCCTCGAGAAATCAATCGCAGGAGCAACCGAGAAGGCATACCCAGTAATCATTGAACCCAACACCTTTTACAACCTCATCGTAGGAAAGTATCATTTTCGGTGCTCCTACTGTCACATTCCGCTTCAAGCTTTCCAAGGCATCGCGAATACTCTTCAACTTAGCTGCCACAAGTGTCCATGGATATGCAGCAGCAGCAAAGCCTAGCTCAGCAAGCTCTTTGGCTAAAAGGTTTTCAGTCTTGCCTCCCTCATAATATTAGCTAGCATGGGCATATTGATCTCGTCTATACACTTCTTCATAGCAGCACGATCGGGCAGGGCTTTGACGAAGATAGCATCGGCTCCTATGTGCTTGAACTCCTTAGCACGAGCAATCGCTTCTTCCCAGCTAATAATTAAGGCGTCTGTTCTTGCCCATATGAAAATGCCCTGGCCCTGACCATGAGCATCGCAAGTGGCTCGTATTCGCGCATAAGCTTCTTCACGAGAGACGACGGTTTTGCCAATTGTATGACCACAGCCTTGATGAATCAATTGTTAACGTTCCTTTCCCCCTTGTTTCAGTAGCATTGTGTCCCTACGCTTTGGCCAGGTCTGGTCCTCGATCATGAGACCTGCGGCACCTGCTTTTGCACATGCTTCCACGGTGCGCCGTACATTCATGGGACTACCGTAGCCAATATCGCCGTCCGCCATGATCGGTATAGTGATCAGCCTTGAAATTTCTTGAATCTTATCACACATTTCTTGCATGGCAATGTACCCAGTATCTAGTAGCCCATGTGCACTTGCCACTTGAAAACCGAATATGAATATATTCGGGAAGCCAGCCTGCTGTACCAAGCGAGACGAAAGTCCGTCGTAAGAGCAGGGAAAAGCTAAGATTTTCTCAGGGTCCCCGTATGCCTCTAATATAGACTCCGCAGCCGAGATGTCCGGAGCGATGGAATACGGCCGCGGACATTTTTCAGGTGCAATTTCACGTCTGACTGCTCGAACGGTAGGTGAGGATTGGTTATCTCCGCGGCGTTGAATTGAAATGGATAGGGCTCCATTGGTGTTGATAGCGAATGCTAGTTAATCATTCCTATTTTTCTTTTCTTTTCTTTTTCTCTCTTGGACTCGAACTCGAAGGTTGTGTGACTCGGACAGTATATTTCGTACAACCTGCATGATTAGTCGAATATCACTGGTGATCGGCGAATCTTCCACCACTGTTTACAATATGCCGAGTTACGTGGCAATCGGTGATAGTCACTTTCCAAGGCTGCTTCCAGAATTATAAAAAATGATTCTCGGCGTTGAAGGGCCCGAAAAGAAGAAAAGAATGCATCCATAAATTTGAATGAAGGAATGATCAGATCGGTGCTACTTTAATATTTGCAACACCACTGGTGAAAGGTGAACGTCCAGAATCTAAATTATTATCTCTCACTAAATCGAACTTTGATTCTTATGATTTAACGAGATACGTCAAAAGTACGAAAGACTGGAACTGGTGGTTGAATAACTATCAACAACATCTGGGTACAGGCAGATAGACATCCCAAACGCCTCGCCCTTCACCACAAACGCAGTAGATAGCAATTTGTCAAACTTTATCACCACACGAAAAATCGATAACAAAGGCTTAATAATTTACTGCCTCGTCACCTCCTACCGCCTTCTTTTTGATACGGAGCAACTCCAACATTTCCCTCCAGAAACCAACATCGCGATCCAGGGTAGTCAGTTCATATCTCTCAACGGCCGGACGATCCCAAACCAGATCAGCCTCATGGGGCTTGACAAAGTTGGTTCGCTTGATGATCTTCCAACCGAAGAACGTAAGGATAGCGAGAAACACCATAGCGTAGTGAGTGAAGAAAGAACTAACAGAGAACCGCCCAGGCATAAAATTGACATAGCCGTAACACACTACGACGCAAACTTCGAAGCAGAGAGCGAAGACAGTGCTCCAAGGTTGAAAGTAGCCGTAATAAGGAAGCTCGCGACGGTCGACTCCTTGCGTGACACAGGCTCGGTAGAAGAAGATATAATTGACACAGATGACGATGTAATCGATAATACCGCCAGCAGTAACAATGTTCACGAGCCTAAAGCAGTTGATTAGTGAGTTCGAGGCATACATACTATTGAAGGTTGGAGCCTACCAATTCAAAACAACGTAAGCGCCATTAGACAACTGTAGCAGTGACAGGAGAGGGAATATCATAGTGATAAGTAGACAGTAGACCGGGACACCTTGTTTGGTGCACTTTTTCAAAAACGCAGGTGCATGACCGTCATGAGCAAGACCGTGTAGAGTTCGCGAGGCACAATAAGTGTAAGCATCTCCGGCAGAGTAGATAGATGTGAATAACAATGCGTTTACTAGGTGTGGAAGACCTGAAACCCCAAGATTCTGCATTGCAATAACGTAAGGGGAGGCAGCGCCAGTACCACTGCCCTCGTTGGCAATGAGAGTCTTGTCATTGTAAGGAATTACAATGCCCACACAGAGAGCACCGCCGATAAAGAAGATACCGAAACGGATGTATACCGATTTGAAAGCGCGTTTAACGGTGATACGAGGCAGCTTAGCCTCTCCAGCAACCATTGCCATGTATTCCGGGCCAACAATGGCAAAACTAGCTGCCCATAGAGCTCCTAGGAAGCCTTCCCAGCGACCCATAGCACCGCCTGACAGGTATTCCGCAAAGGGTCCCTAAACAAAGGATGAGATAAATATCAGATCCGGATCAAATAGCCGCTTTGGGGAAGGATCGCGAGAGGGCAAATTGTTGTTCGAGTCACATTGTACATCGTAGGGAGGGCGCTCACCGGATGATTCCAGTAACGAAAACCGTATGCATCATGTTCAGGATTGCCTCCAACCATGGTTACGAAAGTGAAAGAGAATACAATCATCATAAGAAGTAGTTTACCCCATGACAACCAGAACTCAGCTTCACCGTACCATCTTACGGCTGCTAGATTGATAAGACTTTATGGAAATATCGTAAATCCCAATATGGGCACACAGACATCAGTACTTGTTTTAAGAAACTAGGTGAAATTCCATATCTGGGGCAGGAAGAAGTGGCGAGGTTGTTCGGAGTAAGGGAATGGGGGGAGTTCGAGCAGGAGATATTGTGAGGGCTGGGGATTGGCGTTGCGGATGATTGATATACCCATAAGATACGATACATGCAGCACATATGGCTCCGACTGGAATAGAGTCACTCCAGAATCTCAAAATCAGATTCAGGGCACTGATCTCAAAGGGGATCAGAATAGCCTCATAGAAGAAAAAGTTCCAGCCGGCCATGAAACCCCAGGCATCGTCGACCCAGACGGAAGCATGGCGGATGAAAGAAGCATTAACTGGCATATAGATGGCCATCTCGGCCATGGCATTGTTTACCAGGGCCAGTACGCAAGAGTACAAGGTGTAAGCGATTAGCAAGCTGGCTGGACCTCCGGTATTTAAGGCACTGCCGATACTGACGAACATGGCTGTCCCAATAGAACCGCCAATGGCGATCATTTGGATTTTGCGGTTGCTTAAGTGCCGCTTCAGTCCATGGTTATCATTGAGAAGCTCACCACTGCTTACATCCTGTGTTTCGTCTGTGACGGCAGCCTTGTCCTTGGGGTAAGTTGTTCCTTCTGTCATAGCGTCAGTATTTGGTCTTGTCGCTTGTGTTTGGTGTGCTTCAACTGGCGATACAGTATGCCAAAGAAGAAAGAACGAAAGCGGGGAGAAGATGGAAAAAAAAAGGCCTTTTTTTCCCTGTTCCAATCTACTTTTTGTTCCATTTAGAATCCCCCCGGTGTGGTTTTCAAGTTTCTTTTCTCGATTTCTTGGCTGATGCCCGTTCTCCAATAAGAACCGCACCGCAATTAAAACTGCTGAAGCAATGCTTTGATACGAGTCGCTGGAAAACGCGTGGTCGATGCTACCATGATAGAGATAAGCCAATCGCAAATGGATTAACCAATCACTCGCATTCAAGGGCACACAACTGCGCACATTACTGGCTGACCGAACTGGAGACAAGTCGAGCAAACTCCACCTGCCATCCAGAAATTTTCACGCCGCTCAGCGCGGAGTACTGCCAAGAGATTTTCCAGTCCCATCAGCGTCAGCTTTCAGTGGGCGAGTGATAAACTGAGAAATCCTGCAGCCCTAGCCTGCTCTATGGAGTATCGTGGCATTCCCAACAACAACATTTATGAACATTATCTTCGTAGATCACTAGTATATGCCCATCATTCACTTCGTGAGTGATGGGGGCCAACGCCATGGCGTTCAAATGGCAAATGGGAATGGCAAGTTTCAAGAATCAACAGCCAACTCGGACTAAGACTTCAAAGTTTGTGGCGCTAGGATATAGCGCCAGGCCCACACTGGGTACTCCACCCGCTATACCTTATGAGTAATAGTCCAATGAGCCGTGTGAGATTCTCACCAATGAGACACGGCATTGCTTTATAACTACGCCCTATACAGGAATAGCTTAGTCTTGGCGATACTACTGTGCCGCCACTTCATCCATCGGGTAAAGGGCACGGCCCGGCACGTGACTGACCCGCTCCGTTTTATCGCTAGGCTGGAAAAGGTATCCCGAAGGAAGCAAGTATTGCACGATGCCTCCTAATCCAGTATTGGACTGGAGGCGCCGCACTGCCAGAATGAAAGTAAATCCGAGGCAATCACGATGCGGAGACCCTAATTCTGAAGAGCAGGGGGGTATAGCCATTAGTGATATGCAAGTGAACATTCATGGACTAGGAGAGAGATAAATCTGTTAAAAACGAATGCTATTGCTGCCGCCGTAATCGATAACATGGTTGCAATTGGCGAGGCATCTTTGTCATTTTGTCGTAGAATTCTAGACACTTTTCCGAGGGTGCATAGGTCGTACAGGTAGCAATAAATTAGGAATGCGACTTGCCCTTCGTTTCACACTAGATTCAAGTAGATTGCCACATTTTGCTTTCTATGTTCAGTTTCCAATATTATATCACCCCGGTGAAGACAATTTATGCGACGCAAAGAGAAATAATCGAATGGCGATGCCATTAAGGTGCTTATTCATAACAAAGCATGTTGTCGAAAGCACCACTTGGTTTATATCCTAACATCATCCATCGCATGTAATGACCCTCCAATATCTGGCAGGTGATAATTGTCACTTTCCGAGTTTCCGCCAGATGTCCTACATAGCGGAAAGTTCACCTGGGCACCATCCGCGAGCAAGAGACGGGCATACATCTAAAAGCGCACACCATCAGGAATTCTGTTCTTCCAATCACTATGCTTAGTGCTATGATGCCACAAATCACACCTTTGAAGTATTTTCTTCGATTACCCGGAACAGCTGGCTAAATTATACATCATAGTATGTGTAATAGCGGTGTTCTACATGAAACCCGGCTAAATGAATACAAACCTAAATTATCCACTCCGGATCATACTAATAAACTATTGGACTGAGTTACATGTACCTACGGTTCTACTGAGCATGAAACCGGACGAAAAGTTTGGACAATAGGACCTAGACGACTGGAACTCGTTCTGTTGCTTCGATCTGTAGAGTTTTCGAAATGACAGGCAAGTTGTGACTTTTTGAGAACCATAGCAATAAATTTGACTCGAAGAAAAAATGAATCAGTTCAGAATAGTCGTTTAACGTTCACGAGGTGACTAACGATTACTCACTCCTGGGAAATACGAATGTCCTTCCGTGATTCCGCGAAAATACCCTGCAAATGTGACTATATTGCCTCAGGGTACTATAATTCGATATGAAACCACTTCCTCGTCACCAGAGACTCTGTTACGCCTATAAAAGGGCATGGAAGCTCTTGCCTCGAGCCTTTTCTTCAAATTCTAAGGTCTTCAGCTAAGTTTTTTACGTGACCGACAACACCCATCCTTGAAAGAGAACGACAATCAATTGGCAGTCCAGCATGGTTAATTTATCTTCTTTTGCAATATGTCTTTGTACGATCTCTGCAGGGGTCTTCGCTGTCACACCAGAACTATATCAGCGCGCTGCAAGTGATCTCAACAAGCGTCAATCTATCACGACCAGTTCAACAGGAACCAATGGTGGATACTATTATTCATTTTGGACGAACGGGGGAGGTGAAGTTACATACACGAATGGTGACGACGGCGAGTACAGCATTACATGGGTTAACTGTGGCGATTTCACAGCTGGAAAGGGCTGGAACCCTGGAAGTGCACGGTAAGTCTTTGAAGACCTCATACCTAAGTAATGTAGTTACATTTGTAGTGCACACTTCAACACATGTTACTGAAAATCTGTCACCGCACGCTAACTTAATGCTAGTACCGTTACATACTCCGGTGACTTCAATCCCTCTGGCAACGGCTACCTCTCTGTCTACGGCTGGACCACCGATCCGCTCGTGGAATATTACATTCTCGAATCCTATGGCGATTACAACCCGTCCTCTGGCTTAACTCTCTTGGGCCAAGTGACAAGTGATGGCGGCACATATAATATCTATCAAACTGAGCGAGTCGACCAGCCTTCCATTGAAGGGACTGCTACCTTTAACCAGTATTGGTCCGTTCGTACCGAGAAGCGAGTGGGTGGAAATGTCACCACTGCAAATCATTTTGCAGCCTGGGAGGAACTTGGGCTTTCAATGGGAACCTTCAACTATATGATTGTATCTACTGAAGGATATGAGAGTAGTGGCTCTAGTTCCATTACTGTGGAATAACCTAACGAATGTTTTCTCTACTGTAATGAAGTTTCCCATGCTCAAGATTGCTCAATAGTCAAGGTTGTCGTGGGTTACTACATTAAGTGGGAAATACATAAGGACCAATATTAATTTCGGAAGACATCGCCCTTACTAGTAGTGATTTGATGAAGTTGGGATCATATTAACATACAAATTTACGTTGCAACTCAATCACGATCAATTTTGTACCCTCCATAAACGTCTCCTATTCCTCATCCTCCTCTATCAAAGACCAGAAGACCACTCCAGTCACTGAGCTATTGTCTAAAAAAAAAGAGAAACAAAACAACACTAACTAGGAAGTCTCAATCAAGCATCGACGACCTTTCGGAGAGACTAAAAAAAAGATTCTAGCCTCCATATCCTCATCACACATGCCGTCTTTTTCCGAAACTTTCGCTCGAGGGAATGTCCGAAAGAAGAGAGCAGTTGCCAATAACAGTTCCATCCAGGCAAGATGTATACCAATGCATACTGAATACAAGGATTCAATCAGAAAACAAACCATTTATCGAATAACGATGCAAAACATGGGGGTTGAGACTTACTTCGAGAGCCACCACCGAAAGGCATGAAAACATGTTTCATCTCTTTGGTGGGTTCTTCCCATCTGCTGGGATCAAAGCTAAGAATTGGAAGATGTATAGTCAGTATCATATATTTGCAATGCAGCTATATTGCCTAGCTCTCATATTCCACTAATCTTTTGAATTGTGATTAATGGCGAGTGAGTTTCGTAAACAACTCACCTTTGAGGCTCCGGGAAGACGTCGGCATTGCGATGTAAGGTATAAGCCTGAGTAGACACAGTAATCCCTCCTGGAATATTGTATCCAGCCAAAGTCGCTCCTTCTTTGGGAACTGCTCTCGGCAAAGCACTGGGAACGGCAGAATGTAGGCGCAAGGCCTCATGGATTACCTGATTTAGAAAAGGCAAATCACGAATGTGATCCTTATTAAAATCAGATGGCAACGTGTTGACTTCGGCGACCAACTTGTCTCTAATGGCCGGGTTACGGCAAACAGCCCATACAAGGTAAGTCAAGGTGATGGCAGTGGTGTCACTGCCGGCCACAATATATCCACCAGCCTCGGGAGTGATCTCTGCCAGAGTGAGACCGTCTGGTCCACTATTGAACATTTTGGTAAAAAGTGTCTGCTTGGGGTTTTCCGGGTTTTTATCAATCATCGATTGGTAATTCTTAATAGCCCTTTGCGCATATTGAGCCATGCGTCCGCCTGCTTGTTGTACTCGTCTCAAAATCGGTATGGGAAAGAAGCTTGAGTACTCCACTAACTTTGGGAAAGTAACCCTGACAGCCATAAAAGAGGAGACGTTTTCCAGGTCTCTCACGTATTGGGTTTTCTAACTCTGTATGTTAGTCTTCCTTTCTACGACTACCGAGGGACATATAAGCGGATGCACCTCGCCATGCTCCAGAGTCTGAAAGGACTGGCCAAAACTCAGCTCTCCGATAACGTCGGTAGCCATAAATGTCCACCACTTGAAAACGTCAACCACACCTCGCCGTCTCATTTCTGATGCCATCTGATTCATCGTAAGCTGAAGACGATCATAAACCAAGGGCTCCACCGTTGAAAGGTTGGTGTGTGCCATTCCTGCAGAGAGAAGACGCCGACGAATTGCATGGTAATGAGGATCAGTTGTGCTAAACAGGGTTTTGATACTGCGGTGCCCTATATTATTATAGAAATCTGCTTTGCGATAGTGTCCTCCTACTCGATGGATTTCCTTCACGGCGTCAATGTCAGAGATGTCGAGCTCGTAGGGACTAACTCGAACTACCGGGCCTGATTCATAACAAAATACTGATTAGAAAAAAGACTACTGTGTGGCTGTGTTTAATTAAATGGATGAGTATGTAGGTACCGTATTTTTCATGCAGTGCGTGCACATAGCGAGGGCGATCGCCTGAAAGAAAATGATATTTTGCGAGAAGGTCCGTGTACTTGGATATCCATGGTCCTGGATAGGTTGAAAGAGGGCCTCTCTGAGCACGAACTATGATAATGGTCTTTTAACAGAATACATGTCAGTCTGATGTGGAACAATGCGTGCAGTTCCAAGCCCAAGACATTTGTATGCATGTGTAATACTTACCAATCCCAACAATGCCAGGGTGCTAACAAATACCGCTCCCGGTGCTTGGGCCTTTAGAAATTCTGTTTCTAGCAACATTGTGTGGCGCTTCCTCTTGGTTTGTTCTCGCTTGCAGGAGTTTCAAGGTCGTCGAATTGAACCGTACACACACTTTTCCTTCGCTCTTCTGCTCAAATTGACAGCCCTCAGCACCCATTTAAATGAGAAAGGTGCATTTGACTTACAACAGACCATTCCGTACACGTGTTAGCAAGACAACCAGCATTTTTATCATCTCCGCATAAGGTAGCCGGGGGCTTGCATTCAGTTCGGAGTAACAATAAATCGGGATCATTTCCCCGGTGTGATTTACCGGGGTTTCCATGCATTTTTCCGTTGCCCTGCCGTAAGATCGACTTCATGTATTGGCTGGGATTGGGTTACAATTTCTTTGTCAACTATTGTCGAATCGCCCGCTTTTTTCATTTATTTCACACCACGCCGGTATTCAACTCCTACGGAGTACATTGCTAGCACAACAAGCCATTGCGCTGCTGAGGAAGATTTTAGTAAGAATCTCCGAACCTAAATTGCGCACTTTTGATATTAGGTGTTTGTTAGACTAGATCGACAGGCCTTATCCTAATATTCAATATCGAAGTGATCGTTCGGAAGTCCCAGTCACGGCAACTGGTGAACAAAAGAAATTACTTTGTTAGGAAGCACATATTCCTACCTATAGATTAAACAAGGGATCGGAGTTCATATGCTGGAATTCTGTTTTCAATCGAGGTGGCTTCTGGATTTCAGCTAGCCATAGAAAACGCAGACACTACACGGGTTCCGACGTTCCTTGTTTGCCTATTTCAATAGGCTATTACAGCTTCTTCAACTAGTAATCGTGAATACATAGGTAGCTACCATCTAAGCACTTTGATAATGATGGGGGTGTGATATGCACAAAGTAGTAAGGGAAAAAATAATGAAAAAAACAAAGTAGGACTCATTGCATCTAGCAGAAAGATTACCCACGAGCTCAAATTGGTTACCGTATCTTACTGGTTGGAACAGAATCAGAATGTAGCCTGATTTGACCCATGTAGCTTCTATTGAATGAGAAGTTTTCATAATCTGGATTTTACGGCGTGCATATCAAAAGCTTGCATGGAATTCCATTGAATGCGTCTAGTTTAGAGGTCATAGGGGCCATCAATGCTTTTTTCAGCAGACCTTTTTAAAATGCCGACTCGGCACTTCTGAATAGCGTAAGTATTTGCAAAGATAGTAATGTTCTATTCGTGGCTGCTAGAATGATTAAGGCAACATGAACACTGAATGATGCTGGTCGCGGTTGACTCTTTCCTATTTAGGCAATAATTTGTGATGTCCTAACCGACACAACCGTAGTGTGGGAGAGTACCATTCTCCGTACCATCTTACAGCATGACATATTAAATTACAAATTGCTAGTGAGGGCAATCTCGTAGAAATATATGTGACATATGCAATTACCTATTGAAGATTACTCGCCTCAACACCTTGGTGTTCTTTAGCAATCCTGGCTAATCATATTTCTGGAGTCATGTATTGTTTTGATCTAACTTGACTCTAGATGGTTTTTAAATGTATCAGCCTTTGGGGGCTTCATATTGCAATATCATCCACAATAGTCAGCATGCTCCCCCCGTGTACTTTCATCTACAATTCGTCATACGTCTTTCATTCACCGTCTTTCCGTGAAACTCTCCACTGTCGGCCCTTTACACGTTCAAGTAAAAGAAGTGGAATACAAAACCCACAGATCACTCCAATTACTGTGAAACACCACCCTACACCTATCGAGTCGATGACCAGCTGCATATTAGCTACCTAAGTGACCAGGCTAAACAATTCTTAGCGTCCGATTGTTTTTGTTGTACACTCAATGGGCGGGTTGGTTTTTAAAAAGGTGAGCAGTGAAGCTTGCAAGAAAGAGGAAAGGAAGAGAGTTATACTAAGCTTCAGACAGGCCTTTCTCTATGGACAACATGACGATTCTTATCGGCAAATCATCGCATCGATTCGGGCGGTTATATTTCTATCAACGCCACATGAAGGCACTCACCTCGCAGATACCCTCAATAAACTTCTAAGCGCTTCTTTGCTATATTCACCTCAACAGTTCATTGCTCAAATGGATGTCAACTCCCCATACCTTGCAGAAATAAACGAAGAGTTCAGAAACCTCCAGATATTCTCCTTTAACGAAACACAGCCCACGGTGATAGCTGGTAGTCAAATAGTGAGTACTTACTTTATAACGACATACCTTGCCGTCAGGTATTAAAGCTAATACCAGATGATCGTTAAAAAATCCGCCGCAGTCCTTGGGTACCCAGGGGAGGTTTCAAAACCACTCGGTGCAGATCATCCCGGTGTTTATAAATTTGACAGTCCGCAAGATATCAATTGTAAAAGTGTACGCTCGGTGCTACAATCATTAATATCTGTCTACAAGGAAGAAGGTAACAATCCATCTTTGTGGATGATGCCAACATTCATGCTCACTTGTTTTAGGAGATAAGTTCATCCAGGAAGCGTCATCAGAAGAATATCGGCAAATCGAAGAATTCCTTTACGTACATACAATACCTGAATATGACCTCAACTTCTTTCTAAGCCGCTGGAATCCACACACGTGTCGTTGGATCCTACGAAAGATACCTATCGACGTTGGGTCGAAACGCCTAATGATTCCGCAATTGTGTGGCTACACGGCAAGCCTGGAAGAAGTCCTTCCATCTTACTTGATCCAAACCCTTTTCGAACATGATGTAGCGGTGCAATATTTCTTTTTCAGGTTTGGGGAGCAGGTTAAGAATTCCGTGGCGTTCCTTCTACGGTCACTCGCCCTTCAGTTATCTCGAAGTTTTCCAGTATTTCGCAAGTCTCTTCTTAGGCTTAAGAATAGAGGTCTCTCCTTCAAGAATTCGGACTGGCAATCTATTTGGGAGCGCATATTCAAGTCTGTTCTTCTTAGGGTGGATCTCGGCAAACCTACCTATTGGATTATTGATGGTTTGGATGAATGCGAAACTCCTAATACGCATCATACAGCTAGCAATCTTCTTTTTCTTTGGCAGGACACATCTCTAGCCAGGGCATGCTATCTGCAAGGTCTGTAGTGCGCTTTCTTAGGCGCAAGCAGTTGGAGGTTGTGACAGGTTCGGGGAATATATTTGGTCTAAGGATTTTCAAAATAGGAATGACGTGAGAGGCTTATATGAGGCTGTGGTTGATTCAATGCCGCCCTGCAGTCAACATGAGAATTCTAGTTAACTAATTATCGATGCTTGGTAATTGCAACAAAGGAATGGCAAATGACGGCAGTGCAATCCCGACACAATTTGATAACGAATTGCAAGGGGCGCTCAAGTTGAATTATCCCTTCCCAAAGGGGTAAAATATACAAATTGCTCTTTCCGGCACTCAGCCTCAGAACCCCGGGACATCAGGTCTTTGTTCTTATTTCAGCTCGGCACAGCCCTTACCCAGGTACGTGTCACGACTCAGGAATACGAGGTTATGCCTGCTTTGGCATCATGTTTGCAACAATGTGATTGGCCATGTCTTTCTTCTAGTTAGAAATAGACTAGGTTACCTATCCGAAGACAACCGGCCATCCATACATGATGCTCGTACATGTTAGAAGCCTCTTTTCTTTGTTTCCCAAGCGGAAAACATCGCCATCCGGCCAAAAATAAAAGTTATACCCTGTTAATTAGAAATCATGGCTCGGTTCAAACTTGAGGGTAATCATGGAATACTGGATTTCTTTACAACATAAAGAACTGCATTCTTCCTGTCAGTAGACGCTTTGTCTATTGCACCGACAAGAATCATATTCCCTCGATACATTTTTTCACACAATACCTTTTACAAAACAAAGATTCACAGCAACAGCAATGCACCAAGGCATTATCTACCTGACTCTGGCAGCACTGTCGATAGCTGCCCCGGTTACAAAACGCTCAATCAATAACAATGTCAGCGACGAGTTCCAAAACATTGACAGCTTTCCGAACCCCGATGCTCAACAACTTCTCAGTACTGAGCAACGAGCTCACGGTACCCTTACAAACAGCACTCCTCCAGCCTCCATCAGCTCCGATACTGTCATCAGCCTTCAAGTCATCGCTGCCCAGGAGCAATTCGAAGCTGCATACTTCAACCAGTTGTTAGCAAACGTTACAAACGCAGAGCCAGGATTCCAATTCAACAGTACTGAGGCTAAACAGTTGGCTATTGACTCCCTGACTGCGATCGTCGCTGTATGTCTTACTGCTACCATTAATTGCGTTAAAATGAACTAACTTTTAATAGCAAGAGGAACTTCACGCCCTTGACGCGATCACCTCCCTTCAACACTTCAATCAAACCCCCGTAGCACCTTGTCTGTACGATTTTCCAGTTTCGACATTCGATGAAGCCATCACTCTTGCTCAGACTTTCACTTCTGTCGTGCTTGGGACGCTGCAAAATGTCGTGGTTAACATGGGTGAACATGGTGACGCCGCATTAACGCAGGATATCTCGTCAGTCATAGGCCAGGAAGGCGAGCAAGAAGGCTGGTTTCGACTACTCGGTCACAACATTCCCAGTGAATTGCCTTTCCTCACAAACTCGGTGCGCGACTTTGCCTTCAACGCCCTAAACCAGGACTTTATCGTACCAGGCTCTTGTTCAAATATCGAACAAGTCACGGCTCTACAGGAATTGCACGTTATGCAGCCATTGACTGTGATTAGTTCCTTTGATCCCAGTGAGCATCCCGCGAATGAGGTTGTTCAGCTGAGCTTCACACTTCCCAATGGAACCAAGCCTGTCGACTATCAGGTGGCCTATATCAATCAGCAAAACGTGCCATTTACGCTATCATACAATGTCACCAGCCAAGACGGACAGACTCTATTCATCCAAGCCCCATTTCCGTATACCGAGCACATCCTGAATGGCCTTACTATATTAGCCATCGTTCCTACATCGACTGCGAACAGCTTGACTTCTAACCAGGCTGTTGCCAACGTCACGCTGGCAGGTCCTGGATTGATTATCGTGAACTAACTTCTACGCTATGTCTTTGGGGGGAGACCTTTTGTTTACAAATTATGATGCATTTTAATGCCGATTTGAATGATAAATGGATTCCAAGTCATGACTTCATGTTTGTTAGATTTCCACATGGAGTCTCAAGGTCACTGCGTGACTCGTGAACTAGAAACTGTGCCATATCAAAGTATAATTATCCATCACGAAAATGAATATCGTAAGATTGTATGAGACTTTGTTTCCACAAGATGCCAGCGCCAAATAGCCCTAGCCCTAACCGTAACTATACGTATCATCCGCCAATGATGAAAGAGTTGAAAAGTTGATGCCGTTCCCACCGCGCTTTTAGCTATGTATGCATTGTCTTCTCGGACACAGAACAACCGTTACTGTATGTGTACTCCCGGCTGAGGCATTCAATGGCAAATTTGACTGTGGGTATTACCAAATTCCCATAGTTAATATTACACATCGATTGAGGTCTATGCCAGCAGCTGTATTCCTCAGTCGATGCATAATCAGTCGAATCTTACTCACGAGCCGGCAAGGCGGCGAGGCCCTCCTAGTCGTTCTTGCGATGCATGCCATGACAGAAAGGTAAGGACCAAAATCTCACTTGCATTCTGACAATATCCCATAATCATGAAAACACACTAGATCGCTTGTGATGCCACGAAGCCAAGGTGCAACGGGTGTTTGAGTCAGAATTTACCATGCACTTATCTCAGATCTAGCGCCCTGTAGAGAAGAGTTCAGCAAAGGAAAATTCAAATTTCCTCTCACAGTTTGCATAAAATCGCTAACAATACAGTAGCGTTCCGTCTGACTCTTCGCCCAAGGGAGGTGGACCTAATATATATGTGCCCCCAGCGATCAGCTCAGCAACTTCAGGTCAGTCGCTTTCCCTCTTTGCGTTGCAAATTTTCGAAATCTTGAATCATTTATTTATCTTAGCAGCAAATCAAAAAAACAGAGCTTTCCCAGAAGACAATGACCGACCAGTAGAAACATGGCTCTGGCATTTGCCCAACACCTTCCGTTTGCAGAACGCCATTTAGGGAACATCTGTACCTTTGATGGCACTCCCGTCCTATCAGCAAGTGGTCGGAAGTGAATCGAAGCATGTACTGGGGAACAGTTCCATGTGGACCCATATTCCTTACATGATGCTCCTCGATGGCTGAAATCTGATGGATAGGGCTCGTCTCGTCGCAGACAGCTACCTTTACCAGACCTAGCATTCCTGCATGAGCAACTGCGGCAGTATCGATCATCAGTTTTTGGACTTGTCTTCCCCGTCATTGACCCACTGTTATTCGAACATACGATAAAGGCTGCATTGTTCCAAGAGCTGTCTACAGCGTCGCCGAGTACAAATAGTGCTAGGGCGTGCATTTCTGGCACTAACACAGATAGCTGTTGTCCCAAACGATGACGGAACCTCTCTACGTCATAGTATTTAATATGCTCGAGAGGCCCATCGCCTCCTACCAGATATTCTGAATGGGCCAACCACATTAGATAGCCTACAAGCCATTTTGTTATTTGTGAGTCATGCATCATACAGTTTATTGTTTAGAAGTTGTTACCGGCTTTGACACAGAACTGGCACAGCTTCTATAAGTGTCTGTGCTCCCAGGGAGTTGGAGGGGATTACCTCGCCATGGACCATCTTCTTTCGGCCGCTTCACGATGAATATATCATTTCAGGTCAAATTTATCACCTGACAGGGCTTGGAAAAATCCTTCATCTTTTCATTATCACGCAAGGACTGGATAACTTATGTATGCGATAAAGGCTTTAGCATGGTCACGAACCTAGCTCGTAGGCTTGATGATGCGCAATGTGATCTTCATCTCGTCTCCGTTCCTGAACCGCTGGCGTGGCCCGATAAGCCACTACATATGTATGGTGATCCATATCCCGGGTCCTATGTACATATCTACGCTCATTTAGCTTTAGCCCGAATTCAATCCAGTATCTATCGCGAACTCTACGTACCTGGGGCTCTTTATCTTCCTGATGTCGAGTTGCTCAGAGCAATGAGGAATTTGGACCATGCACTTGAGAAATGGAAAGATGCAATGCCTCCGGAGAACCGTCCTTTCATTTAAGCTATTTTCTGGGCATATACCCGGTGCTACGGACATGAGGCTCTCGGGTTTTTCACGTACAATACCACCATTGCATGTTGATGATTCATCAGTCCAGTAGTCGCTGTACCTCTTGGACAGAAAATCAAGACACACAAAATACAAGTTCAAGTCTTGCAATATCAGTCACTGTTTGTCTATCTCTGTTTCAGACGTTTGTTACACATAGTCTAGAGCTTGGACCTTCTAATCTGTTGTGGGTTTTCGATTATTTCATCGAGACAAAAATCCCCAAGCGCATAATTTTAAATGCAGTTCTGCTACAATCCTCCTTTTGCTCTGAGATTCTGTCTGTCTTACATTGTTCAAGCCGCCATCAACCTTTTTGTTAAGGTTCTTTCTCATCCTCTAAATGACGGTAATCACGCCGACCTGGATCTCATCGCTCAGATCTCTCACCCCATTGCCGAAAGCCGGTGGTGCAATGACCCGCCATGTTATACGGCAAAAACTAAATTTGCCGAGGGGTTTATTCTTGAGCTTAAGAGACTTGTTCAGTGTGCTATAAACAAGCCTATGCAAGAACGACGTTATGGTATTATGCATTAATACTCAAACACAGGGTCTGATGTTAGAAAGGCTGCATTGCGTAGCATTTGACTCTGCTAGTTTATACTAGTTGTACGCATTATACCTCATGAAGCGCTATTTTTAAGACATGGCTGATTCGCCATACTACCCCTTGGGGATGGGTGTTTCAGTCATCCTTTTCAAATAGTATGATTCAAAATCCATGCAGTCTCAATACATATTCGAATGTATTACGGAGTACTCGGTCCATTAGAGGCTTGTAATCCTCGCGAATCTAAGCCCGATACAAGTTCAACACAGGTTCATCAGATTTCTTAGCCCAGCCCCATAACTCGAAGTCCCATGTAACGCCGAAAAGCTTGACTATAACGTCGTCAAGGAAATAAGAGACATTCACACTAATCTTTCCCATCCAGAATCTCCGTGCGGAGACAGCGGATGCATAGTTTGCGTTCTTTACAAAAGAGCTGACGTGGTCCATCTGAAAAAGGAAGCCACTAAATTAAGCAGTCGTCAACAATATACCGCTTACTAAGGATCAGGCTAGCTTGTTATGGTTAGAGGAGCCTGTTTTCTCTTAGTAAGCGGATTAGTCTAGCCATATTTGGTTAGTGTGTGTATACCCGCACATAAGCCATCCCCAATCGGGACGTCAACCCAGAGAGTGACAATACAACTAAAAGGTTTCCAGAATGCATTCTTCGCCCCGGGGATTTGTTAGCTGCTCAGTTTGAATTACTTGCTAGCATACGGCATGCAATGGTCTGCTGTGTCAGTATTCACCTGTCTCGTTTTCTCTGGCCTGGTGGCGCGCTAAGCGTCTAAGAATTGGAGAGTGGTAGTAGTACGTAGTACCGTCTACGTAGGCTGCGCACTGGTTTTGATATAGATTATGAGTTACATACTAAACTAGGGCACCATTATAGGCTTTGTGGAGACCAACAGGTACTTGCAATAGGCCAACAATAGTAGTATTGCTATTCGAATTCGTGCTAGATTCGGCCTCTTAAGACTTTAGCCGTACGACTGGATGTGATTCAGATTCTGGGTTGTAGTACTGAGCTGAGCCCGTATTATATGCGCTGGTGGCGCCTTGAAATTTTCCAGGGGCCTTCATTTTCTTCCCTTCCACGTTTGCCTACGGAGTGGTAGTCCGTACACAACAACTACTGATTTCATACGCTCGCTTTATGCTATCCATTTGTTTGTTCCTCTTTCGTTTCGAACAATCTATGGCACGGCTTCTTTTTAACCTCTAGCGGTATATACGACCTTTGGACGACTTTTATTTTCCATTTTTCATGAGTTTCCGACGCACTCGTTAGATACCCGGCGCTCGTGATTGCTCAGCTAGCAAGTCATGGTTCGTCTGATTCAAGTCATCGCCGCGGCAGTCACTGTTGCAGCGGTGACTGCAACCACAACGTGTTCAGCGGATTCCCATTGTCCCGAAGAAGCGCCGTGCTGTTCGGGTGAGTCTCGCCACGAGATTCAACCTTTTCTTTAAGTTGAGGAGGCTAACTGGCTCAAAGAATATGGAGAATGCGGAGTCGGTGAAGAGTGTTTGCTTGGTTGCAATCCGATCTTATCTTATGCTCTCGACTCCTGCGCCCCGCAACCCGTCTGCGAGAGCAAGAGCTTCAGTAACTGGACGACTACCGATGAAATCATTAAGAACTGGGAATACCTTGGCAATGCCACAGCCAATGATTGGTGGGTTAGTGGAACGCCACTGGTAGCTGACGGCAACTTGCTCTTGACCATGGCTGCCAACACAACCGGTACCCTGTTGTCATCTACGCATTATGTTTGGTACGGGAAGATTTCAGTGACTATGAAGACATCCCGAGGCTCTGGTGTCGTCACTGCCTTTGTTATGATGTCCGACGTCTTAGATGAGATTGATACAGAGTTCATCGGTTCCAACCTAACTACGGCTCAAACCAACTACTTCTTCCAGGGCATTGTCACCGGTGAGTGCCATATCTGTCACTCGCTCGTTTATGTGAAATTTGGCTCGTCATCTCACGTTCCCGTCTTTATTTTACCATGCTCTTGATACTTATGGTTCCCCGTGATTATAGGAGAATTGGAGGTCAACGCTTCAATGTCCGACAGCTTCGAAAACTTCCACACCTACGCTCTTGACTGGACGCCAGATTCACTTACCTGGCTACTAGACGATGAGCCTGTACGTGTACTGAATCGGAGCACTACATACAACGCAACAACAATGCAATACATGTACCCTCAAACCCCTTCTCGTGTGGAGCTCTCTATATGGCCAGGAGGTGCCTCGGATGAATCTGCTGGTGTCATCGCGTGGGCTGGTGGCGCAATCGATTGGAATTCAACAGATATCCAAGAGGTCGGATATGATTACGCGACTATCAAAGAAGTGAACATTACTTGCTACGATCCCCCGTCCGGTGCCAATATTCAAGGCAACATCTCATACATCTATACCAATGATGCAGCTACAAATAATACTGTAGAGATCACGAACAACTCGACGGTCATGGCTTCCTTTGAAGATACAGGAACCAACATGACCGCAGGAGCGACTACGGCGGCCGCACAAAGTACTGCTACATCGAGTAGCACTTCTGATTCTGGCTCATCAGAGTCATCCAGCTCCAGCTCATCAAGCAGCAGTGGAGATGGATTTTCCCAGGGTAATGGCAGTGGTAGTAACTCGTCCATTGCCGTCACATTTAACCCCTCGTTCATTCAGGTTTCTTTGGTCCTTGCTATGACCACGGTAGCGTTGATGGCGTAAGTGGATTGCTTTATTATCATATGAAATAAGGGCATCTTAACATCTTGATATTACTTATCAATAACTTCAACTAGCTCCTCTTAATCATTTCTCGTGGCTACTTTGTATATACATGTCTTCTCCAACATATTTGCCTGCTTATTAAACTGTGTTACCTTAGCTAGAAAATAAGTCCTAGTTCAACTTATAAGAAATTATAGCATCCCTCCAATCAACAGTTAAACATACTATGGTATAAGTTAGTTATGCCCGTCGAGATAAGAAAAGCCATATACAAACACCAATGCCCTATCGCAAGATCTCTGATATTTGATTGCCAGCCATCGATTATCATGTATAATACTTCAGAAAATCAACAAATTACGAGCTCAATACACTGTCATATGCAAATACGGGTAAGTATCGCTGCTTCGTTTGTACGCTGACGTGCCGCATAAGCAACGTGGTTAGTGTCAATTATGTAGACCAAGGCCCGGTTGAAATGAATTGTTGATTTCAAAGCATCGACCCTGAGCAACAATCCCCAATAATCCGAACGCCGAAGGGTCAAAATTGTGTCTTTATAAGCTTGCCAAATGTTTAACCTTGTGCAAGAACTTAAATAGCAACTTCTCTATTTGAGATCATGAGAACCATCTAGCTTACTAGGAACTACCCAATATCCTCTAGGTCAACTACTTCATGTCTGATTCAATAACAGAAGAAGATATTCACTGATATGGCTCTTAAAAACGTGATTATCGTTGGTGCCGGTGGCCACCTCGGGCCCTCTATCTTGTCCGCCTTCAGTAGTGATACAAGATTCAACGTCTCTGTACTAAGTCGTCAATCTTCACTTTCAACATTTCCCGAGACTGTGAAGGTGTACCGCGTTGGCGATGAGTATCCTGCTGATGAAGTTTTGGATGCCTTCAAAGGCCAAGATGTTGTTATTTCCACCATTGCAACTGCGAGCGCCACGAAGCAGGAACATCTTATCGACATCGCTATCAAGGCTGGTGTTCAGAGATTTGTGCCTTCTGAATTCGGAAGTGACACCTCAAACGAGAAAGCAGTACAAATTTTGCCACAATACTTTGGCGGGAAGAAGGCAACGGTCAACTATTTAATCGGAAAAGAAAAGGAAGGTCTGACATGGTCTGCATTTGTGACCGGCCCTTTTTTTGAGCTGTATGTGCCCCCTTTCTCTCTTTCAGCTGGCAAGCACACAGGAAATAAGGCTGTCATTTCCCTCTTAGGTGGTAATACTATGAACTTCATTGCTTACTGACTTAATTAGGGCAATGGCGGGTTTCATGGGATTTGATATTTCAATCCGTAAAGCCGTCATTTATGGAAACGGAGAGGGCTCCTGGTCCACCACGACTTTGCCATCCATTGGCCTTGCAGTCAAGAATTCCCTGTTACTGCCCGAAAAGACAGCCAACAGATACATCTACACTTCCACCTTTACTATCAAACAAAACGAGGTTTTAAAGGCATTAGAGAGAATTACCGGTTCAAAGTTTGACGTCGAGTATGTGGATGCCGAGGCTCAAAAGACAGCAGGCATCGAAAAGTTGTCCAAAGGTGACTTCAGTGGTGCGATGCTATTGATCCGTTATATTAACACAGTGGATGGACATGGTGGTAACTATGCACTTTACAAACCTACTGATAATGAGCTACTGTCATTGCCTACGGAGGACCTTGAGGAGGTATTGACGAAGATTGTTAACAACTGATGAGCATATTCAGAAACTTGCTTGGAAATTGTTGTCTCATACGTAGTTAGTTGAATGACAATATATTTATTCCGTTTTTACAAAGGCATTTATGTGTCTAAATTAATTTACGAGTGCTATAAAGCAGCAAACTTTTCCGTAAAAACAATGCATACGATAGCATCATGGGTAAATTGACTCAAAATTATAAGTGCACGTCCATGTTCAGTTTCCATTCAATTCGTGAACAATGTTGCTCGAGCGTGTGCTGCAGAAGGAGTGTCAAAAGATGGCGTCTTCGCCTCAGAACCTTGGAATCTGCTAGGTATTACCTGCATAGGCATCATCCGGACTATATCCATATATTTGCCCATGGCTTACTGTCTATATTCAATTAAGAATAGAGCATTTTATCCCAAGTTGCATCTTTATTTGAAAAATATCTAAATGTATACCAAGTAGGGTAGTTAGTCAAAGATGCAAAATAAAGATTTGCAAAGCATCCAAAGTGACTGTTAGTTGAGATTAATTGCTATTTTATTTCTGAGTTGGATAATTTCTAACATCAATTTGAACAATTGCTCATCACAATTTTACACAGATTAGGCATTTACACTGAGAGAATAATGTGCACAGATAAAAAAGCATGCATCTCTCAAACAAACTCGGTCTTACATAAAGGCCGAGAGCCTTGTCGTGTACATAGACATATAGACCCTTCTGTCAGCCAAAAGCAAGATGATTTATCAGCCAAAGTGCGATAATGCCGAGATGTAAACCCCTGTCAGGGCTATGACAGCGGGCTACAGCAAATCAAAGTGTTTCGGCGCTAGACACGTATCACTATCATGGTTGAGCAATTTTTTTTTAACTTTTATTTGATACAGGATGTATTGTCAAGCCTGTCATTGATTACATCTATTCTCATCTATTGGGTGGGTTTGTAGTACACAAGTGAGGATTTATGTGTCTTTCTAGTTACTGGCCTAAAAACATTGCGTTTGCTTGTAGATTTTTGCGGTTAGATGTTATAATATCCCTTAACATTTATGTTGCTTTAATAGTCTGGATGATTCAGGTGGTACTGGATGGTTCGTATATATGCGGATCCAATCCCTTGGCTTCTGGAAATGGGTCATAACTCGTGTGATAATACTAAGCTACGTCAACATGACCTTAGTTGCAGTCAAAGATATCCTTTTAATTGCTGCAATTAATATATATTGACTATAACATCGAAAGGTTGACAAGGTAGCATGACTCGTAAGAACCAGACGCTGACTCCTTGAAATGAAGCAACACCTTCGAGTCTTTCATGAATCATCAGGCATCACATTTTGGCCTATTTAAATACTCGATTTCAAATTAATTTATGACCTTTGTGAACTTTCAAGGATATACTCATTATCTACTTTTATACGAGCATCAATTAAGAACTCGTTCATCTACATTCGCCTTCCCTTAATTTTGAATATGGACGATAACAATGTGAATGAACAGATAAAGACAATAATGGAAGAGAGGAAACTGTATGAGCTTTCTGCTCTTGACATGTTTGCACCTGTGCCCGTGGCCAATTTCTTAATAGTCTATGAACATCAGTCGTCTACCAACTTTGACAACTTGATATCGTCGCTTCGAGAGGGAACCAGGAACGCCATCAATCAATTCCCGTTATGGCAAGAAGTGTGAGGGTTGATTCTTTGAGCAACCCCTACATTATTACACTGCAGGGGAACAGGAAGAGTTAGTTAGTTTATCATTTTCTATACGATGAGTACAAGAATTTCTCCGCCCTTGCGGAAGGCTCGTTTGGGACAAATGACTTGGACTCTACCAAGTTGAATTCTCAATGGCCGGGGGACCAACATCCAAGTGTGTGCTCTACAGTTGAATATTATCCCGGTGGGCTAATTTTGAGCTTCACCAAAGAATGCGCTGCTGAGGATTGGGCATCTACAGACGCCTTTCTGACAACGCTATATTTTGCGACAGGATTCAGACTTCGCAAGGCTGTGCGGCCTAGATTCCTCGGCCCTTGCTCGGAGCTTCCCTAAATCTTGATTTAAGAGTTTCATGGCTGATTAGTTAGTTAAGTAAGAAAGACTCAAATACGCAATAAGAAAAACAAACAGATTAGCTCCTTCCCTCACTTGTGATACAGAAGCAGAAGCATTGGGAGGACAAGGGCTTTAATAAACATAAGACATCGATCAGCCATGCGCTATTCGAGTGAATGACTGAGCTAGTAACAAACAATATAAGAAATGGTAGAATTCGGGGTGTAACAGTTGACTTTCATTCTTAGCAGCAAGTGACCTCAGACATGGGCTAATCTAGATAAACTCGCGTCAGGGTAATTGGAGTGTCTGAGGAACTCAGATCTCTTGGACAAAGAAACCTTAAGTGTGACCGAAGAGCATTTACCATTGACTGATCTTATTACGATCTAATGTTCTGGGGTATCTTATTATTTCTCGGGCATTGAAAATGTAATCATGCACTCAGAATACCCCGTGATGTCCCTCAAGCAGATTGGGTTGTTTACAAGATTGAGTCTGTGGAAATTTCGGATACTTGAGCTAAAAACATGATCACTGTAGCAGTCTCTTGACGAAATCTTTTTATTTGCAGAACTTGAATGGGTTCTATGCAAGCAATACATACATGAATCAACGCTGTCACTTTACCCCTGTCTGCCCTCTCGAACTGCACAAAGCCCCGAGGTTAGTGGGAGCTGTCAAGGCTTACTCTAATAACTCCTCATACTCAACAACTTCACCCCGGACTTCTCCGCCCTTAACGCTCCCGGATGCCAATACCCCCAGATAAGCATCGCGGCCCACATCAACACCGCGTCAAAAACATACATCGGCCACTCATGACTCAGCAGATAGCCATTTTGCCCCGTTGCATACTCAATCACACGGAAGATTGACCGTACCATAATCAATACACTCACCGCGTATAGCGGATACAGGTGCTTCTGCCACGACGCTTGATCGGCCGTTGGAGCCTGCCTTATCCGCTTTTCGAATACAATTGAAGTGACTATAAAGAACCCAAACATGATAAGTTGAATCATCAATCCACCAATGACAATTCCCTTCGCTGTACTCGCCATTCCGTTCATAGCCATCATTCCCGCGCCGCTTCCTTGAACAATGAAAGATATGATGTCGCTGGTGACAAATGTCTTGGCCATCCAATCAATCCGGATAAGAGAATATTTTTCCGCGTTCACGCTACGAATCAGGCGAGCGAGGAACATGTACACCGAGGCGGCATAGAGGACAGGGCCGAGGAGGATGAAGGTGCTTTGGATGATGTATGGCCCTAGTTGCGCGGTGTTATTGGTGCAGTCTGTACGGCCTCCGTAGCCAATTATCTCGACTATAGTAGGTTAGAAATGCAGGCACAGGTGGTGGGACGGGTCTCCGGGGGAGAGGCAAAGCATACATAGCCCACCAAGGCAAAAGGGGATACAGAATTTAGCTCCAGTTTTCCATGCCTTCCAGGTATGGAAAACCGTGCACGTGAAGAAGAGAATGAGGAAAATGACCGATGCAGCCAAGGAGGGGATATAAGCCCAGAGGTAGTAGTCGCCTTTGTAAGGTTCGAGTTTTGCCATAGTCGCAGAGCTATTTCACAGTTCAAGGGGTCAATGTTTGTTTTCTAAATTCGAATAATATTGCAGGTAGACAGGTTTTGAAGTAATACTTATATACTTAAGTACGACCGTACGTCGCTTAAGAGGAGAAGGTATACGCGTTTAGGGCTCGGAACCGAAAGGGGCAATCCCACAGATGTGGTCCGTGCATACGCGGACTTTTCGTGCTCCACCAACATCGAACTACTTGGTTTCTGGTACAGAGTAGTAGTCCATCGCTGCCTATCTGCCTTTGTGTGCCGACAAAAGCAGAATATTTGCACTAAGCAATAGGAATGCCGCGCAGAAACCACAAAAAGTCGCGGAACGGCTGTTTCGAATGTAAGCGGCGCCATGTAAAGGTATGTACGGTTCTCCCATCCGATCTTCGAATTACATACATTTGCTGAGCTTCTCAGTGCGATGAGAGGCGGCCCATCTGTGCCAACTGCACTACCTCCGAGCGCGAGTGCCAATACCTAAGCAGCTCTAAGTTCCTGGTTGCGAGATCGATTTCTCCGGCATTCTCAGCAACGCCAATTGGATCTGCTTCCCCGGCAGCAGAAAGCCCGCGGGCGGCTTCCGGTGACCTACCTGTGAATATGCTCCATGTCGAGCTCTTGCACAATCTGTATACCAGAACGCAGGCAACATTCGACCCTACAAGGTCCATATCATGGCTCGGAGAAATTGTTTCTCACTCGATTACCGTCCCGTACCTTGTCAACGCGATGCTCGCCTTCAGTGCACTACATCTCAGCACTCTTCACCAAGACAAACGCGACTTTTACTACTACCACGCTGCCCAACTCCAAACACACGCTCTTACCATATTCAAAGAAACTAACGCCGAAGTCACGGAAGAAACATGCATCCCACTCTTCCTATTCTCCTCTGTACTCGGAGTCCACATGCTCTGCGATACCATGATTTACCGCGGAAACAACTTTGACAATTTCCTCACCAGATTTGTGCACTATTTTCACCTGCACCGCGGAGTCCGGACAATAGTCGGAGAAGCATGGTTCATGCTCAACGACTCTATCGTCAAACCCGCCTTCGACATCGGAAAGGCCCTTTATACATCGGACGGGCATCTAGGGCCGGTTTGTGAGAACCTTCTCAACCTCATTTCGTCGGCAAAGTTGGGCACCGAACTCACAGCTATCTATCGGCAGGCCATCCAGTACCTCCAATCGTGTTACAATGTGGCAAGCCGGGATGATAACCAGCATGCGGGCATCAATGGCGCAGTGGCTTGGCCGATCCTTGTCAAATTGGAGTTCAGCGATCTATTGCAACAGAGGAGGCCCGAAGCGTTGATTATCCTCGCTTACTATGCGACTTTGTTACATCGCTTTCGGGACTCGTGGCTGTTTGGGGATTCGGGAAGGTTTATTATTACAGAGGTTGGACAGTATTTGGGGGCAGGGTGGGAAGAGTGGTTGGCTTGGCCAAACCAGGTCTTATCTATGGGTCTTTTTAGAACATGAACAAGGTGTGGATGATTATTCAGAGTTTTGAATGCTTAGTCTTTCCCATTATATATACCTAGATACAACCTGTAACCTCTCTTGTACGCAAGCCTGCACCTGGCAACTTCAAACTCACCAAACTGACATTGCAAACTAGGATGAACCTGAAATGGGAACAGATATCACTGCCTATGTCATAGAGCACCGGCCGATTCTACGGCATCTGCGATGTCTCAAGCATATAATGGCTGGGCTACAGAACAGCGATATACCGACGCTCCCAACAATGCTCTTCCCACACGAAACTCTTCAACACGCTCCTCTTGAGTTTTTTCGTTATGTTATAACAATAGTTTATTTTTCTTGCAGGACAATGTCCCACCCGAGCTGGGTCTATAGTGGCTGGAGTCTATTCTGACCTGTTCTATTCATAATATTATATTATCTAGCTTCGCATCAAGAGATAGGTATGCATAACCAAGCCTGATGAGGTGTAAGAGTGGCGACGGACTTCGAGTCGCATTTATTTATAGCATATATTGCCATACCAAAGTTATATACGCTCGGCGCATTATATTTGAGATACTCTGAAATAACGCATGCAGCACTGTTGAAGAAGGATAGTTATAGGCTCTCATACTCAAACCACCTCGATATAAGGCAAGGGGGTGGGCCGTCTTGACTTCTGTGATTTGCTCTGGTATCATTATTATATATAGTATTTGAACGTTTTATTTTTTGAAATATTTGAAGAAAAAACGTATCAATACCCCATAGCATGTAACCGAGCCGCACTGTCTCTCCATCTCTCCTCATGCTCTGAGTCCCGCAGTAACGTCCACTCTTTTAAAGCGTCGTAGTCTCTGCACGTGTGATGCACCTCGAAATCGGGAATGAATCGACCTTTGTTGAAATCCCAGATGATCGGAGCCATGGTCATGTCACCAGTACACATTATACTTTGCCGAATACTGTCAATACAGTGATCTGGGGTGGTGGTTAGCCAGTGTGCTGCGCCACCAAACATATATAATTAGAATAGAAAGACTTACCCAGATGCGGCTTGAGGATGGATCGGTTGTTGTGTGGATAATAGTCCCAGTAATAGTACAGGTTTTGGCGGATCATATTCTGTGGAGATATCAATAGTCCGTTCATGAATTAAACGCTGTTATTCGTTGCCTGCTGTAGCTACTTACTAAACAATGGAGATCATGAAATACAGTCGGTCTATTTCCCTCGTCAGCTCGACATACATTCCCTTAACAGATCGTGAGATAGCTAGGGCATACATACTCTGCCATGTACAGGTTGGTGGCAGGGTCCATGTATAGGCCTCCCCCCAGACCAGGCTCCTCTGCAGCGGTAATGAAGATGTTGACAGCTAGAGAATAGTCAGGGAAAAAAAAGTCAATTACACTGTACCGCACACATCACAAACCTCCCATTAGCTCTTCCCACGCACGCTCAAGCTCTGGCGATGGGTCCCCGACATATTCTTTGCAACCCGAACTGCTGGTGCGAACCAGCTCATGGCTCTCGTTGTATTTGAGGCCGGCTGAGAACCGGACCTGTTTTGAAACGGCCGGCACCTCGTTTTGAACGGTTTCTAGGTTAACAACAGTTAGTACCGGAGGGCTGTTAATTAGTTAATATTTCTGTAGTATCCCAGAGACTAACTCAGGTCTGTTGGGTTCCAATATCCTACTGAAACCCGGTTCCTTGAATTGGCGAATGCTACCGCGAGGCCGATACACAAAATGCTTAAAACACCCGATAATGTTTTGAAGACATTAGCGAGGAGACGAAGCCGCTTGTAGGCTTCACATTGAGGACAGCTATCGCGAGGATACTCAGCCAACAGACTCTCCTTGGAGTCAGACCGGGGTTCCTCCCTATCTCGAGAAAAAAGTGACCATGCCATTGCACGGTCGCGATATCAGCTAACCGTGACCGTAGCAGGGCGCAAAATAGGAACCATAGAAAGGTCTATTGCCCTCGCTAAAAATTTAGGATTCAATCTATCTGCCAAGACACCGCGTGGCATAAGAGTGTTGCGGGGTACATACATAAGCGTTTATGGTGGTGGTGATGGCGCCTTTCCCACGTAATACTGACTGCTGAAGAGCCAACAATTACGTGGGTATCTATGATGCGCGTCTTATGCCGGCACTGAGAGCAACTATTTGATCAAATTTAGTGAAGGTCTCGTCAAATCGAACACCTTGACCATCAAAAATGCATAATAATACTTGCTGGAGCTCTCGAGATTGTAGAGCTGACGTGATACGGCAGCGCCAAAAGTGTATATTCAACGTGACGGAGAGGAAGAAGCAACACCGGCACGCATCCGCTCCTCCACGACCCAAAAAAATCAAAGGATACCATGGTTCAAATAGCAAAATATACTCCCGACTGTCTCCGGTTAGGACAAAGACGAGGCTATGAGAAGGTCGGGCTCGAAGCCGCCGGTGAAAAAGAAAACTCAGATAAAGACGACCCCTCAAAACGCCACTACATACTCCTTTTCGTCGCGATAACCTTCTTCGGGGTGATACTGTTAAGCTTGCTTGGACTCTTCCAATACCTAACAACCCGCAATTTGCCCACCAATCCCTGCGGCAACTCAACAGCAGAAGCACTGGCGTTAGGGTGCAAATTCGACCAGTTGATGTGGGCGTGGTACCCAGCGCATTGTCCACACTACGCCAACGATGAGTTCCTCAACACAGAGCCCGAACGGCCATGGCAATTCTACATCAATCCGTACACACGCCAGGTGGCTAATGAGGAGGAATGGCTGAAGGCGATGGACAATAAAGTGCGGATATACGGAGAGCGGAGGGAGCATCTCACCCACTGCGTCTTCATGTTTTTGAGTCTAGGGCAGATTATTCGGGACGGAACAAAATACACACCTAGACAGGTCGAGTACCCTCATTTGCAGCATTGTGCAGATTTGTTGTTGGATGCTTTGAGAAACGATACACATTGGTATGACGTCCAAACGCAGGCACCGCATGTTTTGTATAACCAAGATTGCTAGTCACCAGCTGCAGCTTGGAATCTAGGTGTGTATAGTATATATAGAGATTAGGTATGATAGAGGAAGTCAGAACCTGTTTAAAGTAACAATGTGAGCTTAGTAGTATTTACTGCTTGTTTTGCGTCGTCACAAGCATGAAACGATAGGGTATTAGAGACTTCCCTTGACCTGACGCGCGTGATAGCTAAATACTTGGTGTGACTATCTAGGGGTAAAAGAAAATAATGGTTTACATGTATGTATGTATCTATATCTATTCTATGTAAATAGGTAATACAGTCATGGGCGTGCCTACTACATTAATGCGTCATGGAAATAAATGCAAAAAAAAACCCTCTTATTTGATCAAGGTACTTGGTGCTATTTCCAGGTCAAAAAACACCAGGCCTGCCTTGAGCGACGAAAACCCATTTCAACCTCGCTCCACGTTTCCAACCTCCCCTATTCACGACATGAAATACTTTTGCCCAGCATGATGATCAAATATAGACCTGGCCACCACGCGTCTCGGGTTCAAGATCATCGCGCTCTGTAAAATCATTAATACCGCCCCTGCACTCCAAACAATCATGCTTACTGATATAGACCTGGCCACCGCGCGTCTCGGGTTCAAGCTCGTCACGTTCTGTTACTACTCAGCAAGGAGGTCAAGAGAGAGCCCTGGTATACGATATCACCTACTGATATACACCTGTCCACCGCGGGTTTCAGGCTCAAGCTCATCACGCTCTGTAGTCAGTCAGCTAAAAAAGAGGACAAGGTGTGTTCCCGACGACGTCCGTCACATACTGATGTAGACCTGTCCACCACGAGTCTCGGGCTCCAGTTCATCTCGCTCTATCATCGTCAGACAATCGGTAGCGAGCAGAACAAGATGCCCAACTCACTGATGTACACCTGGCCGCCGCGCGTTTCGGGCTCCAAGTCATCCCTAGTAGCCAAAATGTTCTTGCTGCCGACAGGAGCGGCGGCAATACCAGTCGCCAGTGCAAGGGCTGTTGTGAACAAGCTGAGAAAACGCATTTTCGCAGATAGTCGATGCTGACTAGGTTTTTCTTTCCTTCTGAGAAGAATGTAATAAATAATAAGATAGGTTCGAGCAGAGGAGAGAATCCAAGTTCAGCTGACAGCTTGATCAAAAGTCAAAATCAAGGTATCAACTCATTTTTTAGACATCGGTAGTAGTTGCGGCACCGAGGTGCGTTCTCACGAAGCAGTAGAGATCACCTCATTGGCAATTCCTTAAGGGCCGGCTTATTCTTTTCCATGCTAAGTAAGAATATATGACGTTGGGTTCAATTGGTGTATCTGCATAGTTATCAAGGGATGTCGTAAGCTGCGCGCATAAGCTAACTTTTATCCGCTGCGACTCCGATGTGTACATGTACTAAATTTTGCTGAGCATAGCGATAGTTGCATAGGTAGACGAATAGGAGAGTCCCTTCTTTTTGTTGTCCCCCTTTCAAGCAGACACTCGTCCAAAAAACACCACATGTGTTGAAGCGCCATTGTATACAAACAAAACCCAGGCAATGGCCAAACTCGATGCACTGCAGGAGGAGGTCGACGACACCTCCTCTCATTTGCTTCTTGACAAATCCGCGCGCGATCGACTTTCATCGAGCGATGATGATGGCTCCATTTCCACCGTTTTTGAAAGAGCAGCGTGGCAAGCCCACAAGCGCTATAGAGCCGGCGGGGGCAGCGCTACGCTGAAAATCACATTTGGTCTCCTCTTCTTTGCTCTCATCCTGACCTCCGCCACTTCAGTCGTCCTCGCTACGTGGCTTGTCGCACATGACGACCATGCCAGCCCCAGCAACAGCGCACAGGGGCATGACCCGTCTCCGCCTCCGGCTATGGATATGGGTATGGCGCGGCCTACAACGAAACCAGGACTGACATCCTGCGGCTCCTCTGCCGCTGAAGCCCTAGCAGCCGGATGTCGCTTTGACATCTTTTCCTTTGGCTGGTATGCCCCGGAATGTGCCGATCCCCAGCTCTACAATACTACGCTCTACGCGCTCCGCGACCAACTGGGGGGCTCGCCCGCATTTTACAGCTCGCGGGGCCGTGAAATTCCGATCGAGGTCGTGGAGAACTACGGTCGTGGCGTAATGGCCTCTGACGAGGGAGCAGTGGCCGATGGCCAGGAGATCAGAGGCACCTGGGAGCACTACCTAGTGTCGTGCGGCTACGCATGGCAGAAGGTGCAGCGGGCGGCGATGCGGAATTGGCCATTGGACGAATGGTCTGCAGGCTATAATTTAGCGAAGCGATGTGGTCCGGACATGCTGCATCGCGCAAAGAAAGATTCAGAGTCTCCGGAGTCGTATTTGAAGCCTTGGTATCCAGCGTGTGGGTTGGAGGCAGAGGACATTCGGCGGGAGATCGCACATTAGCTATATACATACATACATATGGTATATTAGTAAGGAGTATATGATATATTGGAGGAATGAAAGCCTTAAATATCCTATGTTCATGTATTTATTTGCTTTTGCCCGTATTATGTTTGACCCCCACACACGCATGACACTTTTCCGTTTCTGTACTCGAGTTCGCTACGCACAGTATAAAAAGAAAGAAGGAAAGAAAGAAAAAGCAAGGGTACTATTCAGCTCCATATGCATGCATCTGGTCCGCAGTCAGTCCACATCGTCCAAACAACATTGAGGCCGTCTGCGTCGCCGTCTCATTTCTCCCAGTCTTGTCCCTTTGGAGCAGATTCATCGAGCAATGGTGGGAATGCACATATCTCGCCAGCTTTCTGTCCAGCGGGCGCTCTTCTGCCAGAGCCCGAATCAGCCTCAGCCACTCGTAGGTGCAGTGTAGGTCATGGAACTGGCCTGAGATTGGGCGGAGGTCGATATGATTTCCCTCCAGGACGTCAGCGGTAGCAATGGGAGTGTAATCCATCGTGCGCCATTCAATCTCGGAGCCGTGAATGGCGAGAAACTCGTTGTGGAGGTTTTTGTTGTAGCAAGGTGGTGGGTAGTAGGCGAAAGAGAAGAGATCGAATGCGCACCCGAGTTGCTTCGCTTCGGATGGGGTAGAGCCGCAGGTTATTACATCCTCTTGTGGAACTGGAGGTGAGACATAGAATGCACTCGCCAAGAGCTGGTTCAGCACCAGGGCATAGGAAAGAAGTAGTTGCGGCCGCATTCTGGCTGTTCTGGAGACAGATGGAGTTTGGGGAAAGGAAGGGATACATATCAGACTACATTCCAGACACTAACTACTCTAGACGGCCTTCTGGCAGTATGGGAACGGTCTCACTTCTTTTTATCTTGCTATCTTTGAAAGCCGATATAGAGTAATCGCTGTCATGCAGAAAGCCTGTATGTACACACATACAGTACAATTACGTGAGACGGATGGCAACATTTATTCAACTACTCGGCCGGAATAGCGTCAGAATCCCAGTACCTTAGGAATTGACCTCCGGGCTATGATTGCACCGGCGAGATCGCAACAGGGTCCGGCCGAGGCTTTGGGCTGGATCTTTGCTGTGGCGGGGCACCTTATCGGCGCTAGGGGCAATGTATGTGACTGACTGACTAGATAGATAGTTACCAAGTTGCAAGACAACTTACAACGGACCGACACGGTGATTTCTCCCTATCTAGGCCGAGGCACATACAGTAGTTTAGTGATCTGGGCGAACAATCAACCGCTACTTTTGGCCTTCGCCTCGGCTGGCCAGAAGACGTGAGCAAGCCGTGCGTGATGTTGAGATCCGTTTTGACGCCTATTTGCCTATCTAGGACATTAATTGCTGCAGCTCCTAGTCCTAGTCCACCACTAGGTAGGCCGACATCGCCGCTCATGCACACTCACAGGCACCAAGACCTCCCACCTTGTCTATGCACATATAGGTATACAGTGAATACGCTGTTATTGGCCAAAAGTAGCGGAAGTTAAACAACCCTTACGCCAAAACGTTGAAGGGGATAGCGGAGTTTTATACCCATATATCTTAGCAAAGGCTTAGCTTATCTTCTGGTGTTTATATATAGCCAGTATCACAGTATCCCGCAATCATTATCAAAGTCTACAAAAACAAAGAAACGTTACCGGCTGGGCCTTAAAGGGTAAGTAACTAGGCAGGGGTAACGTGAAGTTATTCAGCACACACAATGAAAGTGATAAGTATCAGTCTAATGCCTAGGTAGGGTTACATTTGCGGCGCTGCAGCTACAGCTGCAGTGCTAGCTTTTCTTTAGCTCTATACAGAACGACAATGTTTACTTCCCAGTTCGATGTCTTTGTTTGATTATGCTGGCATACGATCTCCGGGAAAAAATATTTATAGTATAACAACAGCAAACATGATTGGTTCTATTAAGTGGATAAAAGCAGATTCTTGTATAGCTATTTTGCCACGAATATGCTCATTCGCTGGTTAATATACCCCTTGTACCGTCAGCTACCAAAACCCCTCGACTACGTGGGATTTACTGATAGCGTTTCTTTTTCTTGTTGGGGGCGAGTTATAGATTGCACAATACTGATGGATTAAATACCATAGAGCACTCACCTTGGGCATTGCAATACTTGGTACTCAGGCTTAGCAACGCGCTGGACAGAACCTGTATATACACATTGACAGGAGAGGTAGAATGGCAGATGCATCGAGTGGCGTCCGAAATGAGGCTACCACTGTCTCCCAGATCATGGATGCAAAGGAGCGCAAGCGGAATCAGAATCGTATTGCACAGAGAACATATCGTAAGAGACCGCCTCTCCCAACAATGGGAAACAAGCCACCTCTAACTGACTAGCGGTTCCTTCGTAGGTCGGAATCAGAAGCAGCGACTACGCGTTCTGGAAGAGGCCATGAATCTGGGTATGTTTGGAAATGCAGAGCTTGACCGCGGCCGGAACGCATCGTCTGACGAAGATCCGTTTTGGTCGTCTCCTGTGAACGATGGAGGGCAAGCACCTATATCAATTGCTCCAGCTCTGGATCTGCTACCGAGCCCTCCACAAAGCTCGGAGAAGGAGGATGTAATGAATCCTTGATGGTATTGTCGACTAGAACAGTGGCCCTTGCTAACGACGTCATACCTTGAATCACAGCCCATATCTGTCCTTCCAGACTTTAATATAAATCCCTGTTTGACCACCACCGCAACCACCACCACCACCACTACCACCAACCTTAGCGCGGTGACAGGAGCCTCATCCGGTAGAACATCCCTCCACCGTGCTGTCTGCGCAGGTAATGAGCTCCTTACGCGTCTTCTTCTCGAACGGGGGGCAGATCCCAAGAGACAGGATAGCCAGGGTTTGACAGCTTTACACTTAGCGGTGGAAGGGGGTCATGAGGCGCTGGTCCGAGTTCTACTTCTGGAGCATAAAATTGACCCAAACGTGAAAGACATTCTGGGTCGCACGGCGTTGTTTCTGGCAGTGCAATGTAACAATGATGCCATGGCCAAGCTTCTCTTAGATGGAATGGTCGATGTTAACTGTCGGGATATATACGGTGATGTAGCTTTGCACTTGGCGGTGGAAAAGGGATCGGAGCAATTAACAAAAGTTTTATTATCGTATGGTGCAGACATTGATGCCTAGACACACATACATAGAAACAAAAGAATCAAAAGAAAAGAAGAAAAAAAAAAAAAACACACTAATTAATCGTGGTGTTCAACGGTAGCTACTTTTCCACCTGGTACCTCGTAATTCCGACTGCCATTCTGCATCCTGTACCACCCCGAGTGCCCCTCGGCGGCCATCGCACCGACATCCTCCCCGCATGAAGGGTACTTGGTGAAGATCATTGTTGTTTTACCGCTGGCGCGAAAGTCATCCTGTCTAAGGAGCAAGTCGGAGCAATGTGCCGTGTGGTGAATATTTCCTATGTATCCATCAATTGGATACCCATAGAGTACTGCACGGTGCAATTTTGCCCACATGTAGGTGCAGTGCGAAAAATGGTAGTCCCACGAGACATAAAGCAACTCATGCTGTCCCTGGTAGACTTCAGCGACAGGAATTGTGGTGTTTGTCTCACTGTCCTTGTACCATTGCCACTTGCTCGTGGCGAGGAAATCGTCCACTAGCTGTGCGTCAAAGCAAGCTGGTGGCAGCCAGGAGAAAGAGATCACATCGAATCGACAGCCATTCCGACTGGCCTCCTCGGGGCTATTTCCGCACTGGTAGATGGGCAGCTCTTCAAAAGCCAGAAGATACGGAGGTATTGTTGGAGGTAGGAAGAGGGTTAACCCAAGAAGAATGAAAAAGCCAAGTAAAATACCGAACCACAAGTGCGGGCGAGAGACTTTTGTCCAAAATTCTCCTCTTGACGGCCCATGAGCCTCAATGTGGTGCTGGCTGGGCCCCATTCAGAGCTTCCTGGCGCTGGAGATGAGTTGCTGGTGAGCAAACAGCTTTGAAAATATGTCAGGTAGACAGACAGAAAGCCACATGCCACTGGCAGACTACTTCTCTATCTTCAGGCTGATATTACGTTATCCTTGTCGTTATGCACGGGTCGTCTACTTCTCAGCGGTAGGCAAGGTAATTTATGAGTTTAGTAGAGTTACCTACGTAGGTATTTTATTTACGAATAGCATAACAGAACCAAGAAAAGAAAAGAGAGATATCTTCTACAGTAGATCAACATCTCTAATATGACATCCTGCATAGCCAACCTCCACCTTAATAGGGACATTCCTCAAATCAGGCCCAAACTGCGTCATTCGGATCAAAAAGTCTGAACAATGAATCGTGTGATGCTCATCCACAATCATCGAATCCAGCGCCTTACGCTGCCCGAAAAATTCCCTAAACTGCTTCTTCCACAGCGACGCGCAGTGGAGCACATGGTCACGCATGTTGGTATAGTAGAACGGAGCCATGGACATGTCTTCAATAGTCAGAAGCTGCGTGCGGTTCTCATCCGCATAGCCAAACCAGGTTCCATCCTCCTTATAAACATCTACTGCGCCCTGGTCCATGCAGGGAGCGGGCACCCAGTGGTTACTGAGGATGTCGTAAACGCAGCCCAATGCTTTGGCTTCTTCCGTGGATCGTCCGCAGGCTACATATTTTGCGCCTGTTATGAGATTGGGTGCTTCTGCGAGAGCCGCTTGTTGGCTGGGCTTGGGAGGTTGTTTCACAGTGAACAGAAGAAAAATGCTAATCCAGAAGACCGACGTGACGGCAAACAAAATAGAATGAGATGCGTAATGGAATTGAGCTTTAGTTGACCGTTTCCATCTGAGTTCTTCTGGAGAAACATCCGTCATAGATGGACTCATTTCGTCTTCAGGGGTCATTGCACTTTCATCTGCGTTAACCAAATGCGTTGATCAAGTGTTTCGGCGTTGCAAAGCATGGAGATAGCCACCACTTTAGACCGTACACACTGTACAGTACATACATACTATGATGACCTGTCTTGATGAGACAGAATTATTACGTCAGATACAGACTGCGATAATCTGTCAAGCCCTATTAGTTGTGGACATGTCCCTTTAGAGAGCTGTCCATCTTTCACATCACACCTTAACTACATACCTTGCCTACGACTACTACTACTACTACTGCCCCTCCCACTAAAATTAGCACTGCATAACAACAACCTGAAGATGCAGGCTACTACAATCTGGTTATTACTTTTCTGCGCGCTGGCAAGTGTCGTCAGCAGCGCACCTATTATGACACGCCCCTCATCAAAGCAATTCCACTCTGCATACGAGCACTTTGTCGATACCGTTTCTGACGATGAAGTCTTCGGTCGATCACACCACGTAAGAGTGCATTCCAGAATAATATTCTCTTCTACTTGTGGACCAAGCTCATCAAGACAAAACTTTGACAGTAAGCCTGCTACTTGCTCACTCCACGGATTACGCAAGAAGACGCACATTGCAAACGGTAAAGGTTAATGAAATCCAATACCGTGATACTTTTGATCTCTTGTATGCTCAAATTACGATTCTTTGATATATGATATTACGTGAGGGCTGGGTATTGGTGGGGGAATTTCAAGTTCTAGGGCTTTAAGAAACGCTACTCAATTACGTGAGCCAGTCTCTTAGTTGCAGCTAAAACCTTGCTCACCGCATGCTTCTCACTTGAGACCAGCTAATGATGAATTACTGGGTATAATCTTGTACGAAGGAGTAGAATGTCACCTGTAGTTACTTCGGTGCAATTCCAGGTCAGAGACGACACATTCTCAGAATCATGAAGGCGTTTCGCAAAGCTCGATACCAGGTCGTTCCCTCCGACGAGGTTTCAGCTAACCCCGATTGTACGAAGGAGGATGCTGTCTATCCTCGGCGAAGCTGGTTCCCGCTGGGTCATCGACCATCGCGCTTCACGCTCGCACTTGGGATTGTCCTTTTGATCATTCTTCCGACAGCTTCGTTTGCGTTTGGATGCTGGTTTGCCAAGCGGCACGCACAGTCGGTAGAAATTCAAGAGTGTTTGGCACTGATAGATTCACATTGTAAGTCGTACATATTGTTTTGTCAGCTAGTAGTTAGTTAGTTACTGATTCTAAACACAGCCCCCGCGAACGAGGCAGTTAGCTACTATGAAACCGACTTTGCAAATGCATTCAACCAGAAAAGTCAATATCGAGGTCCGCCCACACTAGAGCTTGAGGAGGCATGGAACGAGCTATGGGATCGTAAGTCATATAATCCAGATTCTCTATCATCCATCCCCTTCAGCCAACCTACTAACAGCAATAAGAGCCCGAAGTAGCAATTCCAGCAGAAAGTATAATCGACATGAAGAAGACCGAAGATTCTCTATCCCCGTATATCACTGTTCCTGGGGACGAAGGCACCGGGTATATCGGGGGCCTGGAGGTGTTCCATCAACTACATTGCTTGGTATGGAACATATCTAGGTACTACTACTTACCACTACTACTTGGCTGATCTTGACACGACAGAACTATATTCGACAATTCACATGGTTTGTAATGGACAAATACACAAATGAGACTCTTCCCGCTGAGTTCAATATTCCTCTCAAGGCACTGAGAATGCACACGGACCATTGTATTGAAACCCTGCGACTAGTCCTGATGTGCCAGTCGGATGTCACCCCAGTAATGGTCAAATGGAGCGCTGACACGCCTCCAATTCCAGAGGCAGACTTCAATTCACATCACAAGTGTCGTAACTTCGATGCTATTGTGGCTTGGAACAAAGCGCATGCAGTCAGGTCGTGGGGAGGTCCGCCCGGTCATCATGATCATCACCCTGAGCATTAGAATAGAAAATGCATGCATATATGCATGTACATGCTACGATATCTTGCAATGAATTCATTCTCTAAACTATCGATTTATTGGTGATCCTACTCTGGTCCTCTTATTGCAAGCTCTTCGTAAAATGCCTGCGTTGTGGCTTCTCTGCCCAGGAAATCGCTCAATGTTTTCATCTCCGGCTGGCTGCCTCCTTTCTCCAGGACCATGCGACGGTATCTTCGGCCTTTTTCCGGGTTTAGCGGATCTGACCTGAAGGTAGAGTAGAACATGTCTAATGCATAGACCTCGGCCAAAAGGTAGCTGTAGTATCCTGCTCCGTAGTCACTAAGTAGGTGGAAGAACGTGGCGTAGCCGTGGCCCCAGTCATCTCCCCGGGTATCTCTCGGTCCTGCCATCTGGGTGATGCTCTGCCACAAAGAATTGTAGGTACTTGTAATGTTTGTATCGAGAATACTGGTGTGCGACGGCGGCTGATGGATATGCAAATCAAAGATAGAGACATGAAGTTGTCGAAGGTAGAAAAGCCCACTATTCACTCTCTTGACTCTCATGAGATTGTCCACCATCGATTGCGGAATGGGCTCTCCTGTCTCGTAGTGGTGACTGAGTGACTGCAGCGGGCCCGGAAGCCAGCACCAGTTCTCTAGCATTTTACTCGGAGTCTCGCAGAAATCAAGCACTGTCATTGTCCCATGGAAGCGGGAGTAGCGGGTTTTGCTGACTAGATCATGGATACCGTGTCCCAGCTCATGAAATAGTGTCACCATGTCCGAGTGGTGGAGTAGGCATGGCTTGGTTCCAGTGGGTTTGGCAAAACTGCATAACAGAACGGTCGATGGGTAACTTCGGTCGCCATTCTCATATTCGAATCCCTAGTAGCAGCAAATAGTCTTTAAATGGGTGCAATGGACGAAAAAATATATATATATAGTAGCCAGGGCTTACCGGTTGAAGGTTGATGTTGCATGGATGACCACGCTTTCCATCACGAGCGTAGAGATCAAGATAAAGATATCCTACAAACTCACCACCGTCGTTATCCTCGTCCCAAACGTGGAAGAGGCGCACATCGGGATGCCAGTTTGAATCCTTTGTCTGAATGCTGGCATCTATTTCGTAGAAGACGAGCCCAAACAGCTTGGAGAAGATTTCGAGCATGCCCTCGAGTGTCTTATTGAGGGGAAAGAACTTGGCAATTTCCTGCTGATCTATCTGGTAATCCCTTTCCAGTAACAGGCGATTATAGTAACGATGATCCCAGAGGCTGTATTGTTCGCTCCCGGCAGGTTCCTCTCCCTGATCAGCTATTTTCAATGCTTTTAGTCGCTTGATTTCCTCGGCACCGCGATCAGCCAAGCTGCGTCGCAAATCATCCAGAAACGAGTTGACCTTTTCCGGGGAAGTGACTAGTCTGTCCTCCAGCTGATAAGCCGCATAGTTGGCATACCCAAGCAGGCGCGCGGCCTCATCGCGCAGGATCATCATCTCTCGGAACAACGGCACATTGCCCTTGCACTTATTCTCAAATGCCAGGAAGAGTCGCTTCCTAGTCTCGCTGTTCCTCGCATTATCCATAACCGGGAAATAGTCCGCATACTGCAGTGTGACCTTGACCACACCGTCCTGTTCCGGGTCTCTCTCTAGCCTGTTTATCACATCGGCCGGCACACCATCCAAGTCCTGCACCGAGACCCATATCTCGCGCGTGTCCTCATCGAGGTTACTCTGAAATTCGACGCTCAGGACACTCATCCGCTTCTTGATTTCCTTGAATCGATCGCGCTCGGGGCCAGGCCTAAGACTCAGTCCGTTGGCAACATACTTCCGGTGTTCACTATTGAGGTAGTGGCGTGCCTGTATGTCCAAGTTCTGTGACGAGGGGTCCCGTTTCACAGTGTCGACTAATTTAAAGAGGTCGTCGCGCATGTATTTTTCGATCTCGAATTCTTCAAGCTGCTGGGCGGCCTCCCGAGAAGCGGCGCGGAGCTCCGCGCTGGGACTGGCATATTGGTAGAACTTGAGAATGTTCGTCTCGAGAGATGCCCGGTTTTCGTTGTAGGCGAGCGGGGCGATACCAGTCTCCCACGAGATCTCGTTATCGGCTATCGTAACCAGACGGTCGTGGAGACTTCTTGACTGCTCGAGAAGGCGGTGCACCGAGTCTCTAACAGAGGCCGGAGTGTGGGAGAGAAGCGGAGCTGTCTGAGATGGCGAAGGCGCCATGGTGTCTGCGTTGGTTAAGCCATGAGTGCTGCTGGAGGGGTTACTTAAATAGACGAAACCAGACCCCTGTCCATGTGTTATCGTGATGTGGTAATTCAGGATTACGTTGTTGCAGTAATACCCTTACTGTCAGTCCATTACTACCAGATAAAGCGTGGTCACCCAGGCCTACTTCGTAATAGCGAGGACAGCACAAAGGACACGCCCGACATAAGGACTCTACGTGAAAGAAAATTGCTAGTACAGATGCAAGGAAAGGAAAAACATACAGTGCACCGGATTCGATGGTGCTCACCCAGCCCGGCTTGCTAATACCGAGGGACAACAACGAGAAACTCCCGGTATAAGGAGCACGCTAGTCCTCTATAGGCAAAATTTTTCCAAAAACGGGGCAAAAAAAGAAAAGAACATACAACAGACGGGATTCGCTGGTGGTCACCCACCCAACTACTAACCGGCCGGCGTGTGGCTTAAGTACGGCTGAGCGGACGGGAAGCCCTGTTTTCCACACCCTATGGTCGTATGTACTAGACAGAGGAAGAGAGTGGCTTTTGTACTCGTGGTCAAGTAAGGTTAATAGGTTAATAGCTAGGTAACATTACTGCTGAGCTAGAACGATTTGGACTGTTATATATCCATATATAATTATATTCATGGTTTTCGATCAGTGCCGAACTCAAGACCAGCCTTGATTCGAACATTGATCACTGTCTAGGCAAAATTGCATGCACAATCACACCTGTCCGTCTAGACCCATGGATCATGCAACACAGAAGATATAAGAGAACACTAATATAGCTGTGGCTGTGGATCCCTTTTTTTTCTTCTTTTTTTTTTTTTTTTTTTTTTTTTTGGCCCTAGCATGATCAACTTTTGACCTTTCACTAGCGTCGGAGTTAGGAAGACAGGCACATTTGTATCTGAGGGAATTTCTGCTCCCCGCTCTCTCAAAATACTAGTAACTAAGTAGATAGTGACTAACTTAACTCCAGTTACCACTGACCAATTGTCCCATTTAAATTCCTAAGTCTAGTTCTACGGAGCATTGCATGAATCCGGAAAAGCACGTGGCAGGTAGTATGGTTCCACCAAACTAACTATTGATTGATTTAACTCTCTGATAATAACATCAGGTAGATTCGTGAAACGAAACATATATACACTCACCGCCCTATATACATTTCTTTTATACAATACGGAGTATACATATTGCTTTTTCCTGTCAGAAAATTCGAAATATGGCATCCGACAAGTTCCGTATCGCCATCATCGGCTCCGGCCCAATCGGCAAGTTGCTTGCCTGCTCTGCCACGCCGCACCCACGCATCGAATTGGTGCAATATGAGGCGGACGTGCTGCCTCTGCGTCCGTCCTTTGGGTACGGCGTTGGACCGCAGACTTTGCACACCACCAAAGTGCTCAACCCGACGCTAGGGCAGCAGTTGGAGGAGAAATGCTTTACGGCGCGCACTTGGATGCGCTGGTGGCATGGTGGCGACGAGGATAGGCTGATTGCCGATGTCGAGGTGCCCGAGGGCAAGTTGTATGGCAGACTGGGTCGGGAAGAGCTGATGGACCTGCTGGATGACTCGCTGCCAAAGACAATAATGAGCAAGAACAACATTCAGTACGGTAAGCGTCTCGCCGACGTGCGCAGCACTGGTCCGCAGCAGCTCGAACTCGTTTTTGAGGACGGCACTAAGGACGTTGCCAACGCCGTGTGGGCTGCCGACGGCGTAAACTCTTTGTGCCGGAAGCTCGTGCAGGGGGACTCTTACCGACCGCCTAGCTACACCGGCATGCTTGCGTACCGGGGCAAGGTGAGCGCGAAGAAAGTGGCGGAGCTGGTTGGGGAGTCGTTTGCGAGTGAGAGCTACTGTTTTATAGGAGTGCGCGGCTGGCACATACTTATTTTCCCAATGGAAAATGGCACCCTGGTCAATATAGCGGCTTTTTGTATTGAGCCTGAGCAGAAGCGGTTTGCTCGCGATGAAAAGGTCACTCTGGAACAGCTGCTAAGCTACTTTCCAGGACGCAATGCCAAGGTAGACACCTTGCTCAAGGTAAGCTGGGATCTTTCTTTTTTAACTCCCCCCCCCCCCCCTAATAACTCTTTACAACATTGCTACTGACTGACTGACTGTAAATTTGCAGCTTGTGCACAGTGACACCCCTGGCGGCTGTCAGCGGCTCAACATCAACCACATGGAGAAGCTGGAGACGTTTGTCAACCCACAACTCTGCATGACAACTTTTGGCGACGCAGCCAATGCCATGACTCCGCACATGGCAGGTTCCATGTCATGCGGCTTTATCGGCTGCACTACTTTTTTGCACGAGGAATGGAACCCGCTTATCAAATCTGGGTCGCTGCCTGCAGACGCTTCCAACGCAGACATTGCAGAGGCCCTGGTCAGTGCTTCGCGGACTTACGAGGCAAAACACCGGCCCCTGGCCCAGAAGCTGGTCGATATGTCGGCGCAGCAAGGCCCATTGTGGAGCGGTGGCATTACCGACGTAGCAACGCTAAGAGAGCGGCCAATGTTTCTATGGAGTTCAGCAGATGACAAGCATTAGATTTCTGACTTGAGGAAGCAGCCTTTGAATTTAAAAGAATAGAATATAGCAAACCAACTTATCTACCATATTTCCTAACGTAACTACCTACTTTTGACATTATGTAACGTTATTCATAGAATATGCCTAGGTAACCTTGGAATGGATTGACCCGGAACTATGCCGGACGCTTATATATATTAAGAATTCTAAATCATACAAGATTGTCATATTGCACACATAATTTACATCGCGATCATGATCATGCACTACCAAAAATGAGATAATAGAGCAGCATCATCCGTCGTAGAAGATAACTTCAAAAGGAGAAAACCGATTACGACCGGTACTTGAAAACAACACCGCTAGTCAAGCTGTCGATGTTGTCTGTGGCACGCGGCGAGCGCCTGTTGTGCCATTCGATGTACGCCCAGGTGACCGCAGTAAGACCGGCAGCGACGCAAGTCAGGATGAGACCGTCAATCATACCGGAGGTGTAGTAAGGAGCCTGGGAGGTACGGAAGATCCAGGATGAGACAAAACCACCGACGTTGCCGACACCGATCACGAAACCAGATCCAATGGCCTTTTGTAGCGGAGTGGCTAGGTTGAGCGAGGTCAAAGTCCACACCATAGGCAGTGAGATATAAGTGCCAATGGAAACAAAGTAAAGGCCGAGCATCTTGACAGAGGAGCTGTCTGTCTTGGGGAAATGAAGAATGACATATCCAATAATCTTTTAACGAGAAAAGAATGTTAGCGCGGAGTTTTTGATTTTTTTTTTTTTTGTTTTTGCTTAGCTTTCATAAAAAAGGAAGAAAATGCCATTTATTACTCACAGAGATGATATAGCCAAGGATGGCAAACGCAGAGCGGTGATTAAAGCGGTCTGCGAGCCAGGCAACCAGCAGACAAGCGGCGGCCGAGACTACGAAGATGGGCACGACTTGTCCCTGGATCTGGGGGGTTGATAGAGTTGGGCGGAATGCCTTGACAAAGGAAGGGGCGAAAATGGCAACAGAGTAGGTGGTTGAGCAGGTCAGCACGTAGAGCGATGGCCAGACGTAGTTAAGGATGCTGCTGAAAAACGTCTTCCACTCAGCAGCCAAGCCGATGGTAGACACGCGCGACTCAACGCTGGTAGCGATGATATCCTTTTCTTCCTGTGTCAACCATGTGGCCTTCTCCGGACGGCCGATGTTGCTCCAGCAGCAAGCCAGACCAATGCCCATGGTAATGCAGCCCTCGACCAGGAAGATCCAGCGCCAGCCATGCCAGCCATTGCCATTGTGGATTTCAGCGATGGCATAGGCAAGGATGTTAGAGACAATGTTACTGACAATGTTGGCGACCATCAACATTGACATGCGCCACTGCATGTGGACGGATGGGTAGTAGAGCGACAAGACAAAAACGCAGCCTGGAATCAAACCGGCATCAAAAATGCCAATGACGAATCGCGTTCCTAGAAGCGCGCCATACGTCTTGTCAAACGCCTGGCCCAGAGTCACAAGTCCTGCAGAAAAAATTGGTTATCAGCCGATGGTGCACAGAAAACATGTTTCTTATCTCTCACCTAGACAGAAAGTAATCAAACTCAAGTAGCGCATGTAGCTCAGATTGAACTTGACCTCCAGCCACTTCATGAGCAGATTGCTAGGCACTTCAAATAGAATCAACATGACGAGGGAGATGGTGGTGGCCGCAAACACCTTCATCGCATCGAGATGCAGGTCTTGGATCAAGTGCTGGATAAAAGCGGCTCCGATGTTCGTGCGTCCCATGAGCGACAGGACATTGAGAAAGAACATGGGCGTTAGGAGGTAGAGGTCCAGCTTCAAGCACAAACGCTCCTTGAACAGGACTCTGGCATCCTCCGGAGTCATTCCGGAGTGGATGCTGCCATCGTTGGAATTGATGGCGGCACTCTTCTCCGCATCCTCCACGGGCACATTTTCGGCAGCCATGAGTAAACGATTGTGCTCCTGTCTTTATGTTGAAGAGAACGCAGAGAACAAAAAAGGAAACAAAGTGTTGGGAGACGCGGGCTGCACGGATGTCTTTAAAGCGGAGGAAAGCAAAGGAAAAAAAGATCAATGCTCGCTCGCGTATCACTAAAGTTTACGGAGGTGTGGCCGCCACGTGTTTTCGGCGAGCAAAATTGCATGCATGGCAGAGGAGGAAAAAAAATGATAACAGTCCGGAGCAGTTGACTTAGTTGAGTAAAGCCAAGAGCCCTTGCCTGCACTAGCAATTCCTTAGCGAGTTGCGCCACGCTGCAAGGTGGGCAATTCTGCTTCTTTGGTCGACCAAGGTTGGTCTGGACTATCGTTATCACCGCGATTGCGCCTTGGCCAGTCAAGAAAGCTTCATCGCACATAGGCTGTACACCAGCGCCTCGTATATTGGTCGACTCCATATAGTATAGTAGATAATAGACGGATTATTCCGCCGTTCCGGAGTCTACAAGGTTCTTATTTGCCAGGTACACCCACCATTGGCTTTGGGTATTCCTACAATTTATCAAGGGTTCTGGCATCTTGCACGGAGTAAGTTACTTTCTTGACACGAATTGATGCATGCTCCGGAAAAAGAATAACAGAAACCCTTCCGGTCAGAAAGAGGGAGAAAAGAGTTCGGGTAGCTAAGTGAAGTGGGAATCGTCTGGCCGTTAGTAAGAGTTGTATACAACTTCGGTCGCCACTGCAGCATGGTGTGGATCCCATGCTAGTCAACTAGTACGCAGTCGTAGCATGACTCTGCAGTGCCTGCAGTGAAGAAAATTGTGCGACATATTATTGAACACTACCGAGAAGCGTCCTGAGCTAGCATGTTGAAGAAAAATAAGATTCAATCAACGTCTAGCGCAATGCAGACCCCAGTCCTTGCCGCAGCCGAGCGATAGTTGATAGTAGATTGGATAGCCGATATCGATAGCGATGCATTGTTGTTGCTGCACGCAATAATGGCACACGCTGCTTAAGATCGACCGCGAGGACTGTGGGACAATCGCAGAAAACTATCAGACACCAGATCGGGCAATTGGCTCAGACCGTTTCCCCTTCCGGAAGGCGGAAATTTGCAAGCAAAAAACAAACGCAAAAACGAGTTCGAAGTCTGAAGAAGCGCAACCCGCGGAACGGAGATGCCGCGAAGGATTGCGTGTGGCGGGGCTTCCCAAACCTTGGGCGCCACCATCAACTTTATTCTAGCGTTGCGGCAATGTGATTCGCTGCCACAGATTCCAAACCCGCAACGACCCCGCATCACGCTTCTGATTGGCTGCGCGCTGAACAGAGTTTCTTCAGGCTTCCACCTGCATAGTTCAGTCGCAGTACCGTCTGTTACTCTGGACTCTGCCCGGTGGACTCTGTCTCGTCGGAGTACAGACTGAGAACAATGATACTAGCAGAAAGACGAAACGATCAAGACAGTTAGGTATCAATCAAGCCCAAAGCACACGCATTGCACCAACAGCAGGGGCTAGCCACAGGGAAGGAAGACTCAAGCGGTCCCGAAGATGAAAGTAAGCTTCGCGCCACCAATTTACTCGGAATGAGCCAGTGAATGAGAATAATTGCAAGGCAATGTATTATATATTTGGCCCGTATTGCCAGGGATTGCGCAGCGGGGTCGGAAGCGTGCCGAGCAGCGAATCGCTCGCCGCGCTTCTCCGCCAAGAGACTCTCGCAGCGAGTGTCTTGGATGCTTTTCGTCTAGACTGTGCATATGCTAGATTGATAGTCTACAGAGTAACGCGCGTTGCCAGCAGTCAGAGACTAAACATTCCCACTTGGGATCCTGAGGCTGCCTGAGACCAGGGTAGTATGGTCGCTCCCTGCACAGACTTGGCCTGGCCCCTGTTCCAAAACCAGCTGCATAATGCTTATAGCGAGAGGTGCAGGCATACGGCCTCCAATCCGGGCCGCTGCACGTGACTGCGCTGTGCTTGTACCGGGGGCGGCGCTATTGGTTCCACGGCGCCAGCTTCCTTCCAGAACCCTTGGAGTTCCTCCGAGGGAAATTCACACAAATCCGAAAGTTTTTCATTCGATGAACAAATAAATAAATCATACCATTCCATCCCCTGATCCGGTGGAGCGACGTCGTCAGCCCCTCCTCGGATCGTGAGCGATCTATCCGTTTATGCTGACCCCGGCGTTGTTTTTCCCATACTATGCACGCAGTAAAATAAAAAGAACTACAGGACCCTGTCTGTCCTTCTTTCTGCCCTTCCTGCCCAGATTTCATTCTCGACAAGAGAGGAATGCAATGGTGAACACGTCGACCAGTCCGCCGACGCTGGCGAACCCGCACGGGGCTCCCCTCGTGTCCGCTCCCTCTGTCGTCCTAGTGTTCATGACCTTCGCTGTGGCCGCTCGTCTCTGGGGTAGATATCGATACAGGACGCTTTCCAGCTCGCGAGACACTCGTTATGGAGAGTCTCGCTTCTGGATCCTGCTCTCCGATATCACCATCGTCCTCTCCTTTGTATGTGTGACGCGCCACTCACGAAGCAAAAGCCAGCAAGCAGTGCGCTAATCCGGTGAAAATTAATGTCTGTAGATCATGAACGTCGCTTTGACCGCCGTCTGCTTTGTCGCCGTGAAATGGGGCGAAGGCATCCACACCAAAGAATTGAGTTTGTATCAGGTGCACAAGGTGCTCGAGATGTTCTACGTCTATCAAGTCCTGTACAAATTCGTCTCGGGCATCGCCAAGATTGCGACCCTTTTTCTGCTCCTCGCCATCGCTACGCCCCAGATGCGTGCCTTTCATACATTTTGCAAATTTTTTATCCTCTACATCGCCGCTTATTGTCTCGCCTGCTCCCTGGCCACCGTCTTCCAGTGCAGCACGGACTTTGAGAGCAACTGGAACAAGGCTCTTTCTCAGAAGAAATGCTTTACCCTGCCACCGTTTTGGTATACCCATGCCGCCATCAACATCTCTGCCACCATGGTCATGATCTTTTTGCCATGGTGGTTGTTCTCTACGTGAGTCTTTTTTTTTTTTCCCTTCTTTTCAATTTCAAGTCGTACCTCGAAACTAACGAGCAAAAAAAAAAAAACAGAATCCAATATAAACGCAAATACGCCATTGCCATTATCATGAGCTCTCTCGCCGTTGCGTACGTGTTTGTTGTATTTCGCCGCACTTGGATGATTCAGTGCTGACTATTAATTCCAGCGAAACTGCCCTCGGTGTCGTGCGTCTTTACGGTCTTTACAAGTCGGCCCATTCCAAGGGTGATATGACATGTAAGCACACCTTGAAACTCACTCCAACAAGCGAGTTCTTTGCCGCTAACTTCCAATTTCTTCTAAACCACAGATGGCACCGTAACCGGTATCCTCGTGTCCCAGCTCGAAATTGACTTTGCTTGCATTGCAGCATGTGTTCCGACCGTGCTCAAGATGCTTGAAGAGGCCCTCGCTTTCTTCATTGTGCGCGTCTTGGGCCGCACCTATAACGGAACAAGTGGGATGAAGAGCAGTCACAATGACAATACCACCGGAGGCAGTGCGCACATCATGTCGAACCTGCGTAGCAAGGATCGCGAGCCACGCATCCAGGGACCATACACTAGCTTCGACAAGGATGACCAAGGCGGTAGCATGGATTCACAGGAACATATCATCGGAAAAGTTGATCCACCGACCAGCAGTATCAAGGTGCAAACCGACTATTACGTGACTATTAACGAGTAGCTAATTTTTATCACTAACGCGCTGCAAAAATATCCTTTCTTTTTTTCTTTTCATTTCTCTTTCACAACCCATTTACTTGTTTAACTTGTCGTGTTACGGCTTGCCAGTCATTCAGCCAGTTCTCTGTATATATAGAATGATCTAGAAATGTATAACGCTTTCCTTGTCGATGAAGAAGAGGCATATGCAAACATACTTGTATAGTAAAATCGCTGGTCCAGTCCTCAGTCACGGATGCAACGACCTGTGCTGGTTTTAGATTAGATGCCTAAGCATATCGGTCTTGATGTTACCAGGTATAACGTGCTAGAAGGCCTAGCATCTAGGTAAGATATAAAATATAGTGAATTTATAAAACTGTAAACTTTTATCAAATATATAGCTATGTGTTTGGCACTTGGGTACGTACTTTGAAAATCTTAGGGTAGGTATCAACTGCGGAAATATATATAACGGATATATACCGAGGTATAAAACCAAATCCGCACTAGAACCAATCATGATAATAGAGACATCGGAAGGGGTTATTGGATTATTAGAAATAAGACATCAATTCCATTGCTTCACAAACATGAAGCAACTACTCCTGAAACTCGAAATCCCTAGGTAGGACGAAGATAACAGGACTCCTCCCGTTCCGACAACAAATTCAAACCCCAGGTCCAAACCCCATTCATTCATAAAAAGATCAAGATCAATTGATCAGACACAGTAACCAGCGCCATTCTCAATAGTGCAATTCTGTCCACGACCGCACTCTGCAGCGGTAACCCAGTTTCCGGAAGTATTGCATTCCATGACGTTATATGCCCCTTCGTGACCGGGTTCACATTTGTAGGTTGCTGGCGTGCAACCCATTGCAGTATAAGCGACTGCAAAGAGCGTTGCGAGAATGGCGGTGAAATGCATTTTGAGACTGAATAGAAGGTCGTTAATTATGTCAATGAGCGTAATACAGCAGCAACAGCAGCAGGAGAACTACCTTTTAACTTGAAAGATTGAGGATTGAAGAAAAGATTCGATAGCTCTGGTGCCAGAGAAGAGTAGGATAGCTAGGAAAGAAAGTATATCAGAAACGAGAATATGAAATGGAAGTACCAAATTAGCTTGGCCTAACAGCGAAGCGAGAGATGCTAGAGTGTTGCTTGGTTGAGTGTTCACAGAAGTTCCATCTCCCAGGGGGAAGAAGGCTGTTTATAAGCCTGCGCTGGTGACCAGGATTTGTCAAACAAAGTTGCCATGTGCCAGCAAGATATGGCAAAACATTCCGAAGAGGGGACAACGAAACGACGAAGAAGTATACACAGAGGCTATGATCGACTGCGCGGTGTTGAGAATGGTACCGCATCGAGGCAAGGAATGGAAGCCATGGAGGTTACTAGAATTAAAAACAAAGAACGTGAAATGTTTCATTTAACCTCAGTGACCTAAAAAAAAGTTAGTTCTTTGTGTTGGAAAATCTAAAGACTCAGAGAATATTCACCGGCACAGAAGCCAGTGTGTCTCTCTTCTCTTTGACTTGGAATACAGTCTCGGATGGCAGGTTCAGGTGTTGAACAGCCTGACAGAAATTGCGCTTTCTATTTTGCAGCCGCAATTTAGGGTTACATGTATGGGGACAATGGAGACTCGGAAGAAACTGATGAATGAATGCATCGCCGAGACGCTCTCAAAGGAGAAGAAATCGCAAACATAACTGACTCCACACAAGCCTGTGTAACAGTAGAACGTGCTTATTCTGACTGCCGAAATAAAGTACTGCTACCTCGGCAATGGAACTTTCAAAGGCAGCCCCATCAGGCTCATCTCTGTTCAGGGGGTATCGCATGATATCATTTGAAATTGGTGTACCATGTCCAAATCTAGGACCTGGGTTTTGGCCGTTTGCATATGATACTTTCTTTCACCGTCGGCCTTTCATAGCGTATATGTTCCATGCTTAGAGACCCTTGCCAGAGTAAGTGTCAGAAAGACTCTTTCTCATGTGGATGCATCCGCAATTATTTTGCCATGGTATGGAAGTATACTTGCATATTGTGCGCCCTGCTGGTCTCTCGTGATCTCTCATATTGGTTTTGATAGATTTGAAATTTGTTGCCGGTGCCTTTTTCTACTCCTGGGAATGACTCACAGTTTGACCAGAAGTGACAAGTAGATTCCCTGTTTACCATATATGTGGCGGTGATTATAGAAAAGGTGGTGGGTGTATGCTGTCCGTGCATCTGATAGGTAGCATTCCGCGGGAGCATTCTCAAAGAGCAACTAGGTATTGGTGTTAAGTGGTTGCCGTATCATAGCCTACGTGAGTGGCATATGTTGAATGATGGTGTTAGATTAATTAATATGAAACGAACTAAGCACAATCCTTCTACATACATATCAAGGCCACGAGAGAACACTCCGGGAGCAATTCTGATACTTCGTCTTCAGCTTTAACAGATACTAGGTCTCAAGGGTACCACTTCAAAATACTTTCCATGTTGTCCGTAACAGTCTGTTCCAGGGACCTCCAGCTTTGCTGGCCATTCCACTTTTCCAACAATGCTAGCGATTGACTGCAGTCCGTAGTCAACTGGAGTCTAGAAAGGCCAGGAATATCATCCATAAACTTCCTTTCAGGATAGAGTCTCCGCATGATGGCCAAGATGTCATTCCAGTTGCAGTACTCCCCCCATCCAACAAGCCGCGCGTTCCTGACCTCTGGGTCCAGTACGGCCGCAACATGGAGCAATGCGCAATCTTTTACGTCATTCAATATTACTGTAAGAATATGTGTTAGAACTGTGATCAACCTAGTAATCAATTAGGAAAAAAAGGGGTGTTACGAACCTGCGGGACTCAAAGCCAACTCCTTTTTTCTCCCATCATATATCATTTTGATGAATGAGTAGGAAGTTTCCGCGTGTCTTTTGTTGAGGTATTCACCCATAATCGACACTGGAGAGATGCTGTTGACTGTGAAGCGCGGCGATTTGTCATGGGCAAACTTCCACAGAGCCTTCTCAGCCTCAACCTTGCTCGCCATATACACCAAGAAGCCACGACTGGGGTCATATGGTGGTGGCGCCCAGGCGAGCTGTTTTGCCGTCTCATTCCAAGTATCTGGACCAATATGAGTAGTGTCGCTTGGGATGGGGATAGCAGAAGCCGCTATGGAGGAGGTGTAAACAAACTCCTGGACCGACGGCTCCTTGAGGGCGGCTTCTAGAAGCGACGTGACTCCTGAAACGACCTGCGGTACTACATTGTGTGGGTTTGGATCGAAGGTGCCAATCGAGGCTATATGCACAATAGCAGAGACCCCCTTAACAGCATTGTCGAAGGCGTGTTCAATAGCAAGGTCAGCAACCTCGACTAGCTCAAACTCGCCGCGGCCTGCGTATGTTTTGAAGACGTCTCCGGTGAGCCAGGATGATTTTTCAAGACTTCGAACGGTCCCTCGGACATTGTATCCACGCCCCAGGAATTGTTTGATGGTGTGCGAAGCCAAAAACCCATTGGCGCCGGTTATTAGGATCCAGGATCCCTTGGGGATGGTAGACTTTGGTTCAGACATTGTTGAGCTTGGCCTTTGAGAATCAGAATGAATGTATAATATGATTGAGTATGAGGCCAGGCCGAATATCTTGAGCAAGAGCTGCCTTATGTACCCGCGGTCCTTGTTAGGCCGGGATAGTTGAGACACCGATCACGAGCTGGTCATGCGTAAAGCCACCAAAGCCTTGACAAATCCACCTTTTTATTATAAGTTGACCAATTTCCAGCAAGTTTTCCTCGGTCATAATCCATTTCTTGACGCTTGCAAGACAGTGCGCGGGCGGGAAAACCGGCTATACCCAAAAAGGAAAGCGTATATTACCCGAAAGGGAAAAGGAAGAAATTTGCAGTTACCGCAAAAGGAAAATTGTATCTATTGCTGACTGGGTACCTCAAACACAGAGTCAATATCATCGGCATAGGACCGGTTCTGGTAGCTTCGGTCGTGTACGTCGCTCCAAAGCTTTTCAACGAGGTACTCCAGAAAGCCATTCAGACCCAATGTCTGGAATCCACCATTGTGCTTCACCATTTGCAGCGCACCTAGCGCATGCTGTCTAGACATGGGGATATCGCCGAGAAGAATCTGACCATGGTGTTAGCAGCAGCACGCGGTGGGAGAAGAGAGCAAAAATGAACACATTTCCACCCACCTCATCGAACCCTAGCATTACTACCGTCGCAACAGTGGTGTCGGTAATCAACGCTGAAATTTCGGACGAGATAGCTTCGTTTAAAGCTCGCATACAGGACAGCTTGTACCTAGTGGCTAGCTGCATGTAATAGTGCCGCCGTTCCGGTTGCTGCTCGGAGCATAGCGATAGGTAACGGCACGCATTGAGAAATAGACTGTCGAGAGAGTCTTTTCTGGAGACAGCAAGCGGTGTCCATGATTTATTCATGACTTCACAGTACTCCCCTCCATGCCAGAGCATATGACAATTGATGCTTTGATCCGGAACTACGACTTGTAAATCTAAGTTGAGGTTAGTGAACAGGTATTAAGCCTAAGGTTAAGAGACACATATGATAGATCGTTTCTTCAGACCTACAATAGCTGAAAAGAAAACGCTCCACCTGATTGAAGGATCTCGCTGAGCTTGGGAACGGATATATGCGGTCCGAGGACAGCTGGGTGATGGGACTTGGCATAAGCAGAGTAGCTGTCGCCTCTGCCTTCAGTTCGGAGGGCGCTGACCCAGACCTAGACCAATCAATTCGCTTTGACGGTATGCTGCCACTATCTTCTGCTATCCGCCTATTCTTTTCGGAGGGGTATTCTATAATACGGAAGCATCCTCTCCTCCTAGCATGGGCGACACGGGCTGCGTGCGCGTGTGCTCGCTGCTGTGACCTCGGCTTCAGAGCGTCTATAAACTGAATCTCGCTATGTTTGCCTGGCGCCATATACTCGGGATGCTCGGAATAGCAGGGCTGATGCAGGTATATGTCTGTGAAATGTCACTGGTATATCTTGAAGTTCTGGCGATGAGAACCTTGGAAGGCAGTGATAATGATATGTCAGCATGTGGGAATCCGCTGAAGCGGCGAGCCACGCTAGTCCAGAAACAGTACCGCTCTGGGTTCGAATTCGAAAGGAGTCAACCGACTACATACATTGATCTTTCGTGATAACTTAGTTGAATGTTGAGAAAGTTATCTCTCTAGTTGTTACCTCCATGATTTACTCCTGTCACCACCTCTCGGCACTGCGTCATCTGCAGCCGTCTCCAGGAATAGTCTACAGCAATCGATTTCAAACTCTTCAAGAAAACCTCACTCATGATGATGGTATTGCATATTTGGACCGTCAAAATCACGAGATCTGGAGTCGGATTCTTGATGCTGAAGTGAGAGTCGCAACGTTTTCGGAGACTAGTAGCGAATACAAGTCGAAGGCTGTCAGACCCTAGATACTTCTTTCATGCATTTAAACATTGGCCAGAGCCGATGCCGTATCACTTTGTTTACATACTACGCAGCTACTTATCAACTAAACATGCTAGCTATTTACTTTTCATTTTATATGGGTATCTCTGAGTCGTGAGTATATGGAGCTCGAAGTCCACAACCATATATGATCGCGACGCCACTACGCATATCAATGTCAACTGTGAAAAGTATCACTTCTAGGAGGCGTATCGCCTTCTGCATGCGGCCCGGCAAGCATCGAGTACTGACCCCCAGCACCAGCCCAGGAAAGCCTTCTGTGACGCACCGCGGAGTTGTCAATCAGAGTCGCATCTGTAATATCATCATAATTTGGCCCTTGCCCGCATTGATAGTTGGCATTGAAGCCCCACGAGTATGCTCTTCCTTCCGACGTGATGACAATATTGTGGTCTGATCCAGCAGCTACATAGGAACAACCCGCTATGGGAAGCGCTGTAGGTTCAAGCAGAATGCGTGGCTTTTCGTGTTCTGATACAACCGATTTTGGATCGTTAATAGGCAGAGTGCTGATATCTATGCCCATTTGAGCACCATCCATACGGCCCCAAACGAGGCATTCGCCATCTTGAGTAACTCCGACGGAATGATGAGTTCCGCCCTGAATCATTTTCATCTTTCTGCCGAACAGAGATTGGACTTTCTGAGGAGTAACTATAGTAGTACCATTTGCACCGGCGCCTGCCTTGATGCCGGTTTGCCTAAATTTGTTTAGACTCCACGTCCAAGTATTGCCATTGTAGTCAATGGCAAAAGCATGATCGCTGCCGGCGTGGATAGATGCGATTCTTATTCGGGGTGAAAAGGGTACACGGCTAGGGACTAGTCCGATGTTGAGATAGAGTTTATCCAGCTGTGCCTCGGAAACCATGGCACTCGAATGACGGTCGACTATTAACCGTCGGCCTAGCTGACTTTGTTCAGACATTCCCCAAGAGAAAACTTTGCCGTCGCAATCAAGCGCTAGGCAGAAGTTGTTCCCAGCACTAACCAGAGTGATCTTCGAGACCGGGTATCAGAATTGGCTTTTCCTGTTTTTCAATAAGTTGATTTTGGACCAGGAGAAAACCTTTCCGAGCCTCGTTGCTCTGCATCTAATTAATGCGTGTAGTGCCTGGCGGTAGCCATTTGGCGCGATTTGCTTACAACAAATGTTCCCCACCCATAGACATGGCCCTGTTGCGTCAAGGCAAACGAAGCGCTATCACCGGCAGTGACGCTAATGATCTTACTCTCTGGCGCAAAGCTTTGCGATGGGATTGTTGTCGGTGTAGACTCGTTCACGCCCCAAGTCAAAATTTTGCCATCATGGGTCAAAGCTACAGCATGCATGCCACCTGTTGCAATATCAACAACACCCACAGTGCTTGCCTCGAGATTCACATTTAGCCGCGGTCCTGTCACGTCTGTGGCATCCTGCGTACCAAGACCGAGCTCTCCAGCGCTTCCATCTCCAAAGACGTACACGTCTAGTCGCGCAGTGGGTGTTTCGTTATTAAGGAGTCGTGGGGGTTGAAGGGGCGTGGCTTTTTTAGATCGTTTCGCAACAGGCTTGGTCGGCTTTGAAGATTCCAAGGCCTGGAAGCGTCGCTTGCGCGCTGCAGGTCTTTCTTGAGTCATTCAGAATTCAATATAAATCTTGTGAATAAATGTTTCTCATGTTTTTCCTCAATTGGGGGGAGGGGGGATTAGCAGAAAATGGGAAATGCACAGGGGAACTCGGAGGTCAAGGAACTGACGCGCGAGTAAACAGCGCTATTCCCTTTGTAACGGTAGACCGGCCTAACTGCATTGGGAAATACCCAACAGAAAACGAGGAAATTCTCGACCATAATCCTACTGTGACCAAGGGGTCTTTTATTCGTACAAGTGAGAGAAAATGAATAGCATGTTTACTGTCATCGAGAGCTGGCATTCGTTGTGATGCCCCTATTCGGAGTAGGCAAAGGCAACCAGGCTAGGGCTAAGTTAGTTTTCCTCCTGTCAAGTCAGACATAACCTAGCCAATATCATAGATTCTAGAGCATAGAAGAAGTGATGTGTCACATATGGACATCCACAGGCAGGCCAAAAAAAGTAGAGGGAGATCTTTAAATAAACTGGCCATCAAATTCTCATCTCTCCTAGAGTCCGGCCAGCCATTCCGCCGATGAAAGAACCTCGGCTTGTTTCGGAAATATCTTCTTCATCAATATATCATGAGATTCCTGGTCGCGGTCCCTGCATAAATCTTCTAACACGACAAGACGATAGTCGTGATCCGCTGCTTGGCGAACGGTCGAAAGGACAACACCACTGGTGGTCAAGCCTGTGATAACGAGAGTCTCTACATCGAGACTACAAAGGACTGTTTCAAGGTCGCATCCGTGGAAAGCAGAGCCACGGGACTTGTTGACGATAACGTCGCTTTTATCAGGCACAATCGCGTCATGGATGTCGGCGGATTTGCTGCCTTCGGTCAAGATGCCCCAAGCTACGACTTTGGCGATTGATTTGTTTTGGGGGCTCGCGTCGACGAACCCTGGTCGAAAAACAGTTCGGATATGCACGATTCTGAGTCCAGCTTTACGCGCAGAGTTGATCGCAGAGGACAGCCGGTCAAGATATGGATTTATGTCTTCCATGCGATCGACGACACCATTCTGGACATCCATAACCAAGAAGGCCGTTGTGCCCATTGTTGCAAGATCGTTCAAAAAAGCCAATGAGAAAACTAGGAGGACTGTCGATGGAACTTGTATGAAAGCAAACGACGGAGAAAAGATGCGTGAAGGGCAATACATATAAATAAGGCGGTTGACATTGGACAGCACTGCTCCGTGCTAGCCCTGATTCGCCGGGCTTGGCCGGTACCGGGCGGTGCCTAAGCTAATTACCCAATGGGGAAATTCACTTTGGGCGGTAACGGCATAGTCGTTTGTTTATACACTGGACAGCAGTGGGCAAAAAAAAAAAAAAAAAAAATAAGAAAATCTAGGGCTATGTTATTTGCCCTTTCATCTTGATCCCAATACTCTATCTTTTCCTTCGAGAGTGCTGTACCATACCAGAGAAGCATGTCGTGCTATGCCTCTCAATTAGAGTACTAGGTATGAAGGATCATATAATACCTAGGTAGCGAGCAGACATAAACAATAACAAAGATACAACTTTATTTCCGGAGGTCGGTGATGTTTCTAAACAGTTCAGTAAAGTATCAGAAACAGCAAACTGTTTTTGAACTACCTAATCGCTCTGCAGAGTTGGAAATAGTGCCTTCAATTGATAGTACTTGAACTTATATTCGCATAATACCATTTTCCACATTATCATAGTGTGGAATTTGTTTTCATTACTGTTTATAGAGGAAAGGCCAATCAAAAACCCGTTGATAACGACGTCACCCGCTCAGTCTTCGTACCTGCTGCCGTCAGGATACCTCATTAAGCCTTCTAGCAGGCTCAAATCAGGCATGCCAGATGGGCCGGGGATAAACTGAGTGTGGTCGGTCCAAGTGCTCGAATTCCACCAAATCTCGTTTTTCTGCAGAACTTCTATCACTGGAGCAGAGTCTGTGAATGTGCGAATTTCGACCATCTGACCTTTGTGCCATCGTGTCACCCATACGTTGATAACATCGAAGATATCGCCTAGGAATATGAATGTGTTAGATAAAATGGGAGCACAGTTCGAAGTCAACAACGACCCACCAGAGTTCATTTGTCCCAGAAACCGGACCTCCTGAACAGACCATGGATTGTTGCAGCCACCGTGAATAGCCTGTGGAAGTATTCGAAATTTGTCTTGGTGCTCCGATAGGCAGACGCTGACACGGCGCAAAGCATTGACGTAGAAATGCATCAGATCATGGTAGTGACCCGAAACCGGGTGGTGGCCGTTGATAGTGAAGCTGACGTTTTTGTGAATCACTGTGAACAGCTTGCTCATGTCCTTTTCAAGGTCCTTGAATGAATCCCAAATATACGGCTGCGACGCGTATTCGCAGTCGAGAGAAGGATTCTCAAACTGGAAACCGTCCCGATCTCTATCGCCATGTGAAGGGTTAGGCACGATGCCGTCCCCTTTGCAGTCACTGTCCGGATCTACGATACCGGTACCATCGCACCCGGGAGAGTCTAACAGATGTTGTTGGAAAGGGCTAAATATGCCTCGCCCAAGGGCCTGGCCCGTCAAGGTCAAGACCATTGTGGTATGGAGAAGGCGAAATAAAGCGACCATCTTGACTATAGAGGAAAGTAATCGAATGCCTGACTGTGACTGAATTGTAATTGTAGAAATTAGACACGAAACTTGTTCATCATGATACTATTTGTAGCTGGCTACATTGTTTCTTTGTTGTTCGCTCTAGATTGCTATCATTCAATCTAGCCCGGAGTGATTGATGATATCTTCCAGCTTCATGACATCAGAGTGTGTTCCGCCGATGAATGATCAAATCAGAAAGAAAAATCCAGACAGCGGAAAAGGCGCAAAGAAGTTTGATCGCCGCGGGGACTTCTTCTGGTTTATGGCGTCAGCAATAATGCGGAATACCGAGCATTATACGTAAAGTCTAGTATTAAATCCGGAACCGGCGAGGTGTAGTGGCGGCGAATTAAGCAGAGCCACGACAAAGAGGTATGCTGCATGGGCGAATTCCGACTTTATGCAGGTAGTCACGCAGCTAAAAGTTGGTTAGAGGAACGGTGTAGAAATTTGAGCGTACTGCTATTGTGCATCATAAAGCAACCCTTTGCGTACTTTTGTTGAACTTTAAAGCATTTCTTGATTCATAGTTCTCTGAAAGTAAGCAAGTTTCTCGTAACAAACGACTCACTGCAAGCAATGGCGTCAAGCTCGATGAAGCCACAGGATGTGTTGGCACATTTCACGTATCTGCAGTGGAAAGATGACTTCTTGAAAGAACGCCCAATCGAGGTGCAGCATGACCAAGATCCTCGAAAGACAAATATGACTTGGTACAAATCAGGAAATGCGGAGATTGTTCGTGATGCTCGTGGTCGAGAGTCCGAGTACAATGTGGATACTCACGGATTCACCTTTGTCAAGCATGACACTGGTTTGACCACCGATGATTTCTACGATCGCAATCAGGTCATCGAGCGATACATTCCGCAGGCAATTGACCTTTACAAGAAGGTGTTTGGCGACGTAGACGAAGTCTACATATTCCACTGGCAGGTGAGTGAGATACGGGACCATTTGTTATTCGTACGCCCCCGACTAAAGATGGTTTCCAAGCTTCGCAGCACTGCACAGCAGCGTAAGCTCCGGGAGCAGAATAAAGATGTCCACGTTGGTATGTCTTGTTCAACTGTGTTTAGTTAGCAGCATTTGAACGGTGCTTATAAAACCTCTTTCTTGACGCCTAGATCAAACCCAATCCGAGGTCGAGCGACATGTCCGTAATCTCTTGCCAGATCGGGCCGAATATCTTCTTAAGGGACGAGTACGAAATGTAAAGTACGTCTGTTTATATTTACCCCAGTTATATTTCGTGGCTAGTGTTTGTTGATGACGGGTTTAAAGCATGTGGCGTCCCGTTAGGGGACCTGTTCAGAACTGGCCACTTGCCGTTTGCGATTCGAGATCTGTTTCAGCAGAAAAATATGTTGAATTTGACCGTATCTTGCCAAAGGGAAATATGACAGCAAGGATGGTCTTGGAACATCCAACTCTGAAGTGGCACTACCTCAGTCAGCAGCAACCCGACGAGGCTATTATCTTCAAATGTACTGACTCACACGAGGGTGTGGCGAAGTGTAGGTCAAGAGCTTTAGATCAAGATGGCTTTAGTACTGATTCATAGAAACTAGGTGTTCCACACGCTTCTATTGAGCTTCCAAACACCAATTCTGGTACCCCTGCCCGCGAGAGCATTGAGATTCGCGCTTATCTGTTCTCCTACCCCAAAAACGAGGCCTAATACAGATGCTGGTACATTAAAAGAGCTGGCAAATGAAATTGAAACATTGAATGGATCGGAAACCGTTCATGTATCTTGCTTGAAAGTTCTTGCGGGCCCTCGGTAGTTACCCATTATCTGTGTTGAGGTCCAGCTTTTAACATGTTTTCGGGATTATCTATACAGATCTGGAAGTAAACACTAGCTAGTGACCTAGGCCATTATTTCAATAAGTGAATTATACATTCTTTACTTTTGGTTAATCTATTTTTTCACACCGAGTTGACTGTTCATAGACATGTCCTAAATAGCCGGACGTGTAGTGGATATAACTATAATTTCTCGGCATCTGTTTGCCTCTCGACATATAAATAATGTATGGACAGCCGACTGTAGATTATCCAAATCATTTCTAGAAAGATATCGAATCGTTCACGACAACGCGCACAATGATTGTCTTGTATAGCCTTGTGGCGACCTGCACAATCCTCAGCATTCTCCTAACTGCCTACTGTCAAACTCCACCGGGATATCAACCATCATCATGGCAGCATCTCAATGTCCAATTTGGCCACAATGAGAAAATTGAAACTGGAACAGTCCTAACGCCCTCTCAGGCCTACTACAAACCACATATCCACGCGCCTGACGTACTGCCAATTTACCCACTATACATCTCGTTTATGATTGATGTCGAGGTCAATCATAACGGCATCTCAACAAGCATGCTTCATTGGTATCAACCGGATTTGCGTATCAGCGACTCAGACGGCCTGTTACTGAACCTCACTAACAATGGTGCCGACTATGTCGGGCCACAGCCTCCGCCGGGTCCGAGGCATGTCTACGTGCTTCTCCTCTTCGTTCAGCCAAGTGATTTTCTGTTTCCGGAGTGTTATTCGAGAGTTTTCCCGATCAGCATTCCGACACGGGTTGGGTTTGATATCGGGCAGTTTATGCGCATTGCCGGATTGGATGAACCAGTGGCGGCGAATTACTTTGTCGCTGGAAATCCTACGCCGGCGTCAACTCCGATTCCCCGTATATGGACTACATCGATGAGCTCAGCTCGTTGTGAGAGCACGGACATCCTGTGATTCCTGTTCATGTATCATATATCGTTCACCTGAAACAAGGTTACAGAAGTGACATTGAATCAAAACGGGACAATTAACCGAGTATTTGGACTCCTGCATCTCATTTGCACAGAGAATTTAGCTATCTATAGATTTTAGAAGCTAGGCAATATAATCTACCGTTGAACAATCTACAGAAAGTGGTAGTCTCACCTTAAATGAAACCTTATGGAATAACTAGAACATTGAGGGATACTGAGCATGATGTCCTGCAAAAAGATTTATCCACCCAATACGCTCATATAGTTAAGAGTCAGATCAGCATTTATTCTGTTCTAAAGTTATTAATTTCATCTAGAACCTCAAAATCATGTGACCACCGCCGATAGTAATGCAGAATGTATATCGACAGATTTGCAGACGAAGAGAAATGTCGATTTCTAAAAATTCTCCTGCTTCCATTTACAATTTTGCGACCCTATCCTTTCGCCGCTCTCTCTCTCTATCCCTCAGGATTCTTCGCAGGATTTTCCCACTGGGGCTTTTAGGAATAACTTTGACGAACTCGACTCCCCCCTTCAACCACTTGTATCGAGCCTTTTCCTTCCGAATATGTTCCTGTAGATAACGCTTCATCCGTTCCTTTTCCTCTTGAGAAAGCAGCTTCTGCTCACCATGGCCGCGTTTAAGTACAACAAAAGCCTTCGGAACTTCCCCGGCTTTAGAATCTGGAACTGGGATTACAGCCGCATCGGCGACTTGGGAATGAGTGAGGAGACAAGCTTCAAGTTCTGCTGGGGGTACTTGATGACCCTATATCAAATTAGACATCGATTTTTTCTCAACAGTGCAGACGAAAGTCTCACAAACCTTCACTTTGATAAGCTCTTTGATACGATCTACAATAACCAAATGGGCATGACCGCTTTGACCTAGTACAAACATCGCTTCATCTCCGGTCCGTAGCCAGTCATCTGGCGAGGCACCAAAAGTCTCTTTGGTTGCCTTCGCGTTGTTCAAGTAGCCTAGATATGTGACACTTGGAGAACGCACAAAAAGCTCGCCTGGAGTTTCGTATTTGGTGACCTCAGCTCCAGTGGTTAGTGAAACGAGCCGTGCTTCAACACCGGAAATGAGATTTCCGGCTGATCCTAGCATGATATCATTGGGAGGGGTTGCTGAAATTACAGTAGCTGACTCTGTGAGGCCTAGAAATGTTCATGTTCAGCGAATTGACTGTATTATATCCCAAGTTCAAGGTCACTCACCGTAAGCCTGCCGAATTTTCCAAGACGGATATTGCAGTAGAAGCTTCCTACACAGTCCAGCATCTAGAAGAGCGGCCCCAGTAAATATTTCTCTTACTGAACTAAGATCAAACCTAGCGAGAAGCGACTGATTGTTAAGAATGGAGATTACTAGGGGAGGTACCTGTTGAATGGGAATCCGTTAATTACTTTGGCACAAGCAAGAAGTCATCAACAAAAAGCACCAGTGAACTTACAACAAATAGGACGTTGATTCTGAATTGTTGAATAGCTCTCGCCAAAAGCATTAGATCAAATTTGGGCATGACAATCACCGACTCGCCTCGATAAATGCTGGTGTGGCATACCACTATCAGCCCGTAGATGTGGCTTTGTGGCAGCAGACCGAGCACCACATCTTGTTGATCAGGCGTGCGACTGGGCTTTTCAAAGGCCGTGAGTTGTAGGATGTTGGCGATCACATTCTTATGTGAGACCACAACGCCTTTCTGTTCTTTGAGTCAGCAACAACTTTTCCCTTCTTTTCAAGAATTTGCTCCACGGTATAATCACCGGCAGTCCGGTAGTTCCACTGCTGAAATTCAAGAAAGCACATTGACGGGCTCCTTGGCCCCTTTCCCAGACCAAGTTATCCAACTGGGAGAGCCCCTGCCCCTGGGAAATGAGTTCGTCTACGGTTTTGAAATTTCCGGATACGCTACGTCCGGTCAAGGCCTCGTCAGGCGTCTGAAGTATATAAATATGATGCTCGTCAATTCCCACATCACGCGCCGCAGCAATAGCGGCTTCTAGCAACGACCAGCATGTGAAGAGAGCCTTTGATCCTGAGCTCTTGAGCTGGTGGGCCAGTTCTGAAACGCTGTACGCCGAATTTGCTGGCGACGAAATGCCTGAGAGACGATGCACGGCCCATGACAGGGGTAAACTGTCGATCTGGTTTGCCGGTGTCAATTACGACTTCAGTCACGCAGGCTACTGTGATGTCTTTCACTAGAGAAAAAAGCAGACACGTAGAAGCGTACCGTATTTAGAGCATATATCGTGATAACTTTAGTCCACGGAGACCCGCTATTAGGTTTCCATCCTAGTTGCTGCGAAAGTGATCTTGCCAGCCAGTCAACGCGTTGTGCGACTTCTGACACAGAGTACTGGCGCCCTGACACGCCGCAAACAAAGGGAGCCTTGGAATCTTTTCGTTTAAATCGGCCATACTTCTCATTGAAGATGAATTCGCAGATTGGTATTGAATCTGGGATCTCGTCGACATCAAAGCCAGACGCCCACGTTGGGGGTGTGAAGGGCATTCTGTGTGGGCTTATTGCCTCGGGTTAGTGCAATTGATGGTGAGAAAAGAAGTCCAAAGATCATGAGGAGGAGAAGGAGGAGGAGGAGGAGGATGTAATGTGCCGTACCTTTTTTTTTTTTCTCACTCTGCGCTACGGCGAATTTTGGTCTGACGACTATCTACGGGGTGTTTTTTCTCCCTTCTTTAACCGAAGTATTCGGGGAATATTTACTATTCAGAGTACATACTTCGAATGGCAACAGCCGTAGGGCTGTTTCGTGGGTATATGATTTAGATGTTTGGCCCTATACTTTAGGTATCATCCCGGTTCCGGGCCGTGTTTCGGATTAGCAACCAAAAAGATATGCATGTCTCATATTCAAGGTCTATAAGTACGATTTTATTGTGTAGATCCATGCATGCATGTGGCCAATAACATGTTGACCGTCGACCATAGAATGAACATTTAGGTTGTGTTCGGGTTCGGTCATTCAAGCAAGTAGCCCCCGAGGATGAGAACTGAATATTCCAGCCGGATCAGCTCCGATGGCTTCCACGATTGGGCCGAAGACACGCAGGTGTCTGGAATCCAGCGGGCTGTGCAGAAATATATGCATGTATTGGTGAGCTGAAGGCAGGATATGCGTCCGTTGCATCTGATGGCCGCATATGCATTGCAAGCACATGCAATAGAGGCAGGACCCGCCCTATGGCGGAAAATAAAATATACCTCAATACACTGTCTTCGTCCCATTATGATTGGATGCAGCGATATCTAACCATTTTTGAAGGCCAGAGAAGCAAGATCCCTGGTGGCTCGCTCAGCCATAAGATGTATCTTCCATAGACTGTACGCGTAATGTAGCATGCTAGACAAGGTAAGATATAAGAATGGGACAGTATCTGCCATTGGAAGACCTTCTGGTTGGAGTTGGTAATGTCAGGGTTTCTACAATTGTGATCATATTTTTTTCCTTGCGAGAAAAGTCGTTACCAAATATATACGAGAAGAGTCATATCCCCACCGCTCAAAGGCTTCCAAGCTTCCTCTACTGGAGCCCCCTCTTTGTTTCAAAAGTTGCCAGAGTACCTTGGTACCCCAGGTGGGCTGCAATGTATTCAGCTGGAATCCTTCGGCCCGTATTGTGATGCGCGTGTGGCCAAATTCTAACTCAGCTTGCGCCAGAATAGGAAATGACAGGCAGGATAAACTAGGCTGGTCAACTGGGCTGCTGATGACGTTGGAGTTTGAGTAGCATCAGACCAGGACTTCCCTTCACAAAGTGTAAGCAAATCATATCCATACTGTTGCAAAATTGAATTTTACTAACGCTACAAGTGAATCCCTCTTACAGCTAGGGTATAGGGGAGAAAGGGGAATCATAACGGCTTTGAGTTCCGAATCAACATTAACTCAGCAAACGCATAATATGAGCTCCTCAAGCGGCGACATGACACGAGCTGTGACGCCATGCAACTGCTGCAGTGGCATCAATCAAATTATGATGGAAATCCAGGACAAGTCCGCCATAGAGTTTGAGACGTTTATCGAGGTTGGCACGCGGTTCACTCGACAGTGTGATATTCTGATCTCATGTGATCACTGTCGAGCTCATTTTGGCGTGTTTAATACCCTCAGACCGACACTAGAGTACATGCTCGCCTTATATGAGGCTGCATGCGCAGCCTACTCGTTCACCAGAGAGGATTTAAGTGCTGATATAGTGTCAGATGAAGGACACCATCGTGGCACTCAGCGACAATTTGCTGAAGCTAATCAACCACTGACCGAGAAAATCGAGGGACGAGTGTCATCTGTTTCAATATCAGAGCCAGCAAAGATCAGCTGGGGTGGACTGGAACTGAAAGGAGAGGACGCAAAGTTATTGATTAAAGTGCTTCTTCGACGACGGCTTGCGAGTTTAGGTAATATATTGGATGAATTGCACGAGATACTTATGGGGCTATGGGAAGTGGCTTGGCCTAGACAGAGAACAGTGCTGACAGCCTGCGAGATGTCCTTTTCCAACTTGGGGGAACGACTGGACAGTTTGATGGGACTTCTTAAATGAAGGCCGCGCTTATCGGAGAATAAACCATGGGATTTCCATATTATGTAGAGCAATTGATAATCAGCAATCTAGATAAATTGAAAGAGCGACATTGTATTATTGATACTTGAATAGATCTTTCGTATTAGGCGCGTGTGGAAATTCTTGTATGAAGTGAAGATAGAAACCCCCCCAAACTACTTATCTAGCGAAAAGCCTTCGGCCCTCCCAAAGCTCCAACCTCCCTATCACCGAATGTAGGCGTCGGTGCATTTCCTTCACCAGGGAAACACCGATACTTGACAGCAAATGAGAGTGCTCCTGCATCATGCATGCCTGCAGTCGTTGAACAACCGAGGATAAGGAGCTCAACTGTCTCTGGAGAAACTGCTTACCAAAATCCACCTTCTCATCAGGCGAAATCTCAACATTGCCAATGAGTAGTGGACGGCTGTCTATCAGCTTCATGAATATAAGCTCCTTGGCATTGCACTTCGTTGGCGGCCCTGCGTGAGACGCCTGCATGGAAGAGCTGTTACCCCCACCGCTATATAATCCAGGAGGGGAAAGATTCACAGGCTGAATGTTGAATCGAGTCATAACATCATGACGCTTTTTATGGTTCAAAACGCTCTCGAGGATGCAGAGAACGTTGTCAATGGCAATGGCAAGTAGAAGCAATAGGTCTGGCCGATGCGTTGAGTGCGTTTGGCATTGAAGAACCTTGTCGGACAAGTCTTGAGTCCGCCTATTCAAGGTGAGGATCAGGTCAATGGCCATTGTCAAGCTATTCTTCCTACTATCTTCAAAATCAAGCAATCGGCTAAGAATGGAACGATAGCAATCACAGCCTAGTGATGCGGCAGAGGAATTGTTTGACAGTGCTACGGCTGCCTCTTCTGGGAAAAGAGGAAGTCGAATATTAGGTATTTCTGTTGGGTGTATCGTAACGGTTGATTTACTTGCCGAAGTGTTGTTATTAAAACCTGGAATGGATGACCCTGGCTGTTGTCCTGTTTCTATTCGCGGCGTCTGTGATCCAGCTTCCCTGGTCGCGAGATTTTTAGTGTTCAGTGCATGGCCAACCGCATTATCAAAGGCTGCTTCAGCGATGGAAGCCTCCACGAAGTCCAAAGATGGTAATTGAAAGTTTGGAGCGATTGGATAGCTAAAAACATCCATTTCGTCACTGTATAGGCTAGACAGATTGATAGTATCACCATCAAGGCTTTGTGGATCGCCTACAGCATCCATCCAACTGCCTGTGTCTCCAAGGGCGGACGGCAAAGTTGACAGAGCGGAACTGATAGTGTTCGCAGCAGAAGAGACTGTACTATGACCAAGTGACGGAGTAGTTGAGATAGAAGCACGGTGATCTTTTGATTCGTCACAGCTTCTAGAACTTAAGTTTGAATCGGCGGCCTTTTTCTTTCTCTTTGGAGGGTTCTCTTCTTTTTCTTCATTCTTTGACTCGTTCGTGTTCCGTTGAGGTCGGCCAATCCGTTTCGAAGGGCTGTATTTGCACTGTACTCCATGGTGCATGCACCGGAAGCAAGGATTCCCTCGCGAACACCTGCTTTTGGCTGCTTGACACGCATCACACGTGGCACGTAGTTTTGGCACCTTTGCCTTTGGATCGTCATTTGAACTGAAAGTGCTAGCAGGTTCTCTGTCTGGGCCATTCTCGTTAATCCCTTGACCTTCAGTGTTAGCCATCGTCGGAAGGCTCAAGACGATCAATGGTCTCAAGAGTGCTGGGTTATAATTCTATCGATGAATAATAGCCACCTGCCTGGAGATGAATTCGGATAAAGAATAGAGACGGGCGGATTAGCCAACTGATTCCTAATATACATAAAGTAGTACTATAGCACTTGCTTGCAGATAAGGGTAGTACAAGCGAACCTTGGAAGCATGTCTCGCCTTTGCAGCAAGATTCCTTTTCTTTTTTTTTTCAAATACGCCCAATTTTATGCACCTGTACTTGGTGGCGATGAGTAGACTTGCATAATATAAATGGCCCCAAGCGGGGTGGATAATTGGGCCATGCACCGACTAGGTATTTATTTACATTCCTGAGGGGGTGGCTATTACTAGAATAGGCAATTGATAGCAGGATGCATCTGTGGCAACCTCCATTCTTCTACTTCGTATCGTGCTACTATGTCATCAGCGTCTTCGGTCAAGTCCTAATGCCGATTGTAGCATTGATAAGCCAGCTTGTTGCTAACTATTTACCGAGGAATCTCGTAAGCGACATGATGTAGTAGTACGAAGTGAAACGTGCCAGGGTAGCACAGCATGCCAGTTATCAATCTATGCTTTAGAATACATACTTGTTGCTGTAGCTCGTGCTGAGATTACATACATGCATGCATGTAAGCTTTCCTAGTAGCGCCACCACGTTAGATACATCAATGCGTTAGTCAAGCCTCAGGCCTATGGATTAATAGCATGACCCAACGCATACTTTGTTTGTCTACAGAAGAAGATATTTGCTGACTAACACTAAGACTAAGGTACTCGAAAATGAACATAGAACGGTAGACCTAGAGCTTTGTGTAGGAGTAACGTACGAGCAAATCAAGAAGGTCAGAGACGTTCCTATCGCCGCCGCTGTTGACGATCTTCTCAATTTCCTCAATCTCAGACCTGGAAAAGAGGAGGGCTAGATTTTGTCTATATTTATGCACGACGGCAGCGTGAGTGCCCGGATTACGAACATGGCCGAGGGGAAATTCGACCAAGACCTCCTCAAGGACGTCGCCATTCGTCAGATGTATGGCCAAGGCCGACGGGATACTCTTTTTGTCCAGATCAAGGTAATCGGCTGTCAGGGACTCGTCAGGCCGAATCTTGATCTTTGCGCGCAAGTCCTCTACGGCCTGGCTGGAGGCATACAGGCTACCGTCTTGAAAGTCCCCGGCCTCTGGAGCGGCACCTTTCAGAAGCGCTACGGCAACACAGTACTGCATACAGTGGTCGCGATCCGCAGCATTATGCAGGGGGCCATTTTTGTCGATAATCAAGTGTGCAGCTGCACATGTGCGAATCTCAATTCGGTGGATGTCCTTCACGGGATCCAACAAGCCGCGGTGCAGCATTCGCTGCGCCTGGACGACGGCAGCTTGGACGGCCGCGATTCCGTGGCCCTCGACTGGCATGACCTTGAAGAACACGTTCTCGACCACCCAGGTAGTATACGGCTTTGGCAGTGTAAATGGAGCGCCGTTGCGCCAAATGCTTGCATAAAACCCCCATCGAGGCATGGTGAGCGGGGTAGGGGCGCCGGGTTGTCCGGTCCGAGTCAACAGCGCAAACTGCACTGCACGCATGCACGCATCTCCAGCAGCCCATCCCTTTCGGGGAATAGTATTCGAGCCAGATCGATAGACCCGTAGCGGCGCGAGATCCATCCACGCATGTGAAATCGCGGCCAGTGTTTGGTCCTCAGATAAACCAAGCAGCCAGGACACCACAGCCGTCGACGCAAGCTTTACAAGGATGGTGTGGTCCAGGCCAACAGCATTGAAGGCGTTGCGCAGCAGCAAGCATCCCTGGATCTCGTATACCTTGATAACGGCTGTTATCAGGGTGTCTATTGTCAGAGGCGGTCCTCGGTGCACTAGACGGCCACTGGTAGCTGCACGGCTCAGCCAGTCCATGACGGCCAGCAGTGCTCCCAGATTGTCTAGAACAGGGACGAAAACCGATGGATAAATCAGCATAACATTCGATACAACTACCTAATACTGAGAAGGAAGAACGGACATACCAGACGGGTGGCCCCAGTCTGCTCCGGCCAAGGCATCGTTATGGTCGAGATAGCGGATTAGGGCACCTAGGTCGAAAGCCCCTTTCACCGGATCCAACTCGTACGAAGTACCTGGAAGTCGGAATCCATCTGGTATGGTTGTGCCGGGCACAATTGGTCCAATGAAGCTTCTACATTGTGTACTCTTCGCAACCGACTCTATAGCGCAACCCAGGGCGTCGAAAATGGCAAGACGAGCACACGATCGCGCCCTTTCGCTTGTAGCCTCATACCCGAAGACGTAGTTCTTGATATCAACAAGAATCCGATCATACGCTGGCAAAAGGGTAGGCATCGTGTTGGCATCGATACAGAAAGGCGCGGCAGGTTGCAAATGAGAGAAGTTTGTTCTACTGAGGATGGATACTAGACGAACTTGAATCAAAGTGACAACGAGAATCAAATTTTGACATTAGCCCCTAGGGATATATGTCTTTTTAAAAAGTTGAAATGTTCCGGGGCATATTCTACAGTAAGTATTTCCTGCATGCTAACTGAATGCTATCCAGTGACACTGACACTTGGCCGGTGTTTCCTCCACTACTTGCATTTATGACTTATTCGACCGGTCGTGCACCACCTCACCGAAAAAAGAGGACGGGAAATTTTTTTTTTTTTTTTTTCTTTTTTTTTTCACCTGTTAATGTAGTTGGTGGCTTGATCAAAAATGCCACTGCGACGTGCGCGCTACTCTCGGGGCTCGCTAGGGCTGTAAGCTTAACCTTGTGGTTGCAGAACATCAGTGAGGGGCAACAGCGGATTGAATGTAGTATCCATCTACTAGAGAGATACGAAATGGAGGTTTATGATGCATTGGTCCGCATCCTCTCACACCAAATTATGGGTACAGCATGTAGAACATGCAGCAGCGGTTGGCATCAACCAGGATCATCTCCCCCAGTTGACCGGAAGCGGGCCGGGAGCGGCGTGTTCAACGATATATTATAATCCTTTGCTACCAATAAATTCGGTATAAACGTCCTCACATGAATGAATATTGGTGCGCTAAGATAGCAATCCAGCTTCCATGCCGTATGACGGTAAAGTCGCAACCACACACCAAGGAGAGGAGTGTATGTGAGTACCAATTGCTGCTCATCTAGTAACAGTATAAAATGGCTGTGGCCGTGACGGAAAAGGAAAAACCCCACTCAATACGATGCCATGCAAGTGCGACATGCAGTGTCAGGTCAAGGATTGCCCTTCTTCAGGGATAATATATGCAGAGATTAGTCATGCACCGTGCACTGCCTCGCTCCCTAATCACCTTGTCGTCACAGCATGGGCTAGAATGACAGTGTCAGCTTATGGCGTCCATAGATGTCCGCATTGTCTCTGAATCCCTAGAACCATGATCACTGGCTTGCATATATTACACTGACTTGCTAGCTCGTTCATTGTCGTGAGTAAGCCGGCTGATCAAGAGGCGGTTTCATGGGGGTATACTCAACGGAATAAGAGTCTTTGATATAGAAGTTGCCGCGGGGACATTCGGATAACTGTGCGCGTGTTGATTATGTCTATGTCCGAGCTAAAGGACATTGACTATTCAACCTTAGGACTCAAGATGACTAAAACATCTTCTCCGCTCAGGGGGCGTCAGATAAAAGATAGTGAGGCTTCGCGGGCACACGGTTTATCCTGAATAGTTTCATTGTTCCTTTCTTTCTCAGTGTCACGGGCTGTGATATCTTTCGTGTTTAGCATACCAAGAAGAGCAGGTCTATTCGAATTGACTCGGTTTTAGATTACGAATACATATATACTACACAACTATGTCTGACGGGTCCCTCTACATCAAAGATTCTCGAACATCTCGAGAATACGAAATCCCAATCCATCGTAATACCGTTCTCGCAACAGCGTTCAAGAAGATCAAAGCTTCACTCAATGGAGCAAACAAGGCGGACAAGGTGGCTGATGGCCTTCGTCTCTACGATCCAGGACTGCAAAACACGACTGTGGTGGAAACAGGCATGACCTACACGTGAGTTGGAGTTCTTTGAATCCACAAAAACATGTCTCCTTGTGCTTAGTTTTGCATGATGTTGACAAGAACGTAAATCGTCTACCAATTACAGAGACAGCGAACGCGGGCTACTGTTATTTCGTGGGTATGCGCTGGAGCAATTGTGGGACGCTGAGTTTGAGGATATGCTACACCTTATGGTCTGGGGTAAATTGCCCACTTTGTCCCAGCGAGAGTCCCTACGAAAGACTCTAGCCACACTCATGGCCAACATCCCGGAGCACGTCGTAGAGGTCATCACCACATTCCCGTACGTTTTTGGCTTAGGACATGCTATTTTTTTTTTCTTTCTTTTTGCATATACTGACGCCATTTTAGAAAAGCTGGTCCGATCATGCCGATGATTGTGGCAGGGCTATCAGCATACCTAGCCGATGATGTTGGTTCTATTCCAGCCTATAATGGAGGAAATATATACCATGGAAATATAGAGAAGGTCGATGAGGCAATCCTTAAGACCGTCGCTGCTTTTGCAACTGTAGTTGGTCTTGCTGCTAGCCACCGACGAGGAATAAAATTTAAACCCGCAACAACCGACAACACCTACCACGAGAACCTCTTTATTATGATGGGCCTAGTCGAACCGTTTACAGAACGACCTGATCCTCTCAAACTCTCTTGTTTCCGGCGCTTTGCAGTACTGAATGCAGATCACGGGATGGCCTTGTCTTCGTTCTCGTTGCTGGTAACGGCGTCTTCGCTAACGGATCCCATTTCAGGACTGATAGGATCCCTGGCCGCTGCATACGGTCCATTGCACTTTGGTGCTCCAGAAGCGGCCTACAAAACTCTGCAGAAAGTAGGCAGTGTCGAAAACGTACCGGCCTTTCTAGATAATGTCCGGACCGGGAAACAAAGACTCTTTGGCTATGGCCATCGGACTTACAAAACCGTTGATCCGCGAGTCAAGCCAATAAAGGACATGCTGGTTGAACTTGATGCTGATTCCGACCCATTGCTGCAAACTGCACGAGAGATTGATCGTCTTTCCTCGACCGATGAGTATTTTCTCCGACGTGGCTTACATGCCAACGCAGACTTTTATGGAACCTTCTTCTTCGTTGCACTGTAAGTATCTACGAAGCATCTGCTATTTTGACTGTCATTTGGTTTCTGATCTTCTGTTTCTCTTGTCCAAAAAAAGGGGGTTCACACCAGAAGAAATCCCTATTGCGATGCTAGCACAACGGATTGTAGGTATTATGGCTCATTATCGAGAGTCTATGCGTAAGTCAACGCTCCAAATACAACACTTCATGTATATTAAAACGCTAACCCTAGTCAACATTGAATCAGTGCGAGATATTAGGCTATTCCGTCCCACTCATGTCTACATCGGTGAGACAGATCCAGTGCAAGACAAGGTTATCATTCCTAGAGAAAAAAAGCTGTAATTTGCAAAGACCCACCACACCATGTATTTTCAATGAATTGATACTTTCGTGACCGATAGACACTGGAATCATTGTCATGATAATCAATGAAAAGAGTGTCAGTTATTTGTAGACATGTAGCTTTGAACCCTAGACTCATGCTTAGAGAATTGAAATTCCATGTTCTCAGCCAAGGATCTAAATTGATTGGTCTATAGGAGAGTGGCCCAGAGAAATGTGTGTCGTAGACCCAAAAATTTATGGCTATCGTACTTGGGGGTCTATGTAGCCCCTACTAAATGACTTGTTCGCCGGGGATTTGCTCGGAGATGGGGCAGTGTTGACTCAAGAATTGTTAAAATTGCCCGGATTTCTTACTTAGACCCCGGGCACTTAATTCTACCGTACACGGTGGCCTACGTTTAAGTATCCGGATTCTTTCCTTTAACCTATACAGTATGGGAAACTTCCATAGACAAGTGACAGCCTGGAATTGATAGCACTACTATATTTGAGTAACCTGATTAGCTGTCCGCTGATACTCGTCTTTGATCATCACTGCAACCTGGCAATATTTTTCACGAATTTCGACGTGCTTCTTCCATCTGAATTTAGGACATCAAAACGACCAATAAGCAGGCGATGGACAATAGACATGCGTCTGAACCATTGAGTTCACGTTCTACCCCGTCTGACCGTATTGGAGACTCCGAGAGGACTCCCTTGCTGAGAAGGTCTCCAGAAAAATATTCACAATTTACTGGGCGACAAAAGCTCTTCATTGTGCTGATAGCAGCATTTGCATCTACCTTTTCCCCATTTTCCTCTAATATTTACTACCCTGCAATCAATTCCATTGCCAGGGATCTCAATGTTAACGCGGAGATGATGAATCTCACGATTACAGCATACATGGTATGTTGAAATTGACTCCGCTAAAACAAATAGAAAGAGCACTGAATAGTCTTCACAGGTGTTCCAAGGATTAGCTCCCACTTTCATGGGGAACCTTTCCGATTCAGCAGGTCGACGGCCCGTATACATGCTGTGTTTCTCGCTCTACATCATTACCAATATCGCACTCGCACTGCAGAATAACTACTGGGCTTTGGTGGCTCTTCGAGCATTACAAAGCACTGGTATTAGCGCTACTGTGGCTCTTTCCAACGCTGTCGCCGCAGACGTAGTCACCCCAGCTGAGAGAGGAACATTCTTGGGCATTGCATCCCTCGGAGGGGTCCTCGGACCAGCTCTTGGTCCTACCCTTGGTGGCCTGATGAGCGAATATTGGGGATGGAGGATGATATTCTGGTTTCTTGCAATAGTCTCAGCAGTATTTTTTATTCCTCTTCTGCTATTCTTTCCAGAGACATGTCGAAAAATAGTTGGCGATGGATCTGTCCCGCCACCGGCGTGGAATCGCTCATTGCTCGATCTACGAACCTCTCGGAAAATACCGAGCGAAGAGACAGTAGAGCGTTTTGAGCGACCAAAAATACGCTTCCCGAATCCGATTACTACTCTTCGACTACTATTCCAGCTCCCAACCGGGCCCGTGCTGTTCGTTAATGGAATTGGATACGCCGCTTATTACGCCGTTACCGCTAGCATACCATCTCAATGGACACAGATTTATCACCTCAATGATCTCCAACTAGGGATGACCTACATCCCCATTGGCCTGGGGACAATAGCATCAGCTTTCACAAATGGATGGATTGTTGACTGGAATTTTCGGCGAGTCGCGGCGAAACAGACTGTTGGCATGCCACCTATCAAAAATGGAAAACCTGACTTATCCGAATTTCCCATCGAAAGGGCGCGTCTACAGATCACCTTGCCAACTGCAACTATGGGAGCTGTGTCCATAGCAGGTTATGGATTGATCTTGGAGAAGGAAGCACCTATCAGCGTCGCGCTGGTGTTTTTGTTTCTCATCGGATACTTCGTGACATCAAGCTACAACGTGATGAACGTGCTAATTGTAGATCTGAATCTGGACGCGCCTGCGACTGCCACTGCGGCCAACAACATGGTCCGCTGCTTTCTAGGAGCTGTTTCTACGGCAGCAATAACCTGGGTTCTGGGTACCATAGGGCGCGCCAATAGTTTTAATGTCGTGGCAGCAATCTGGATAGCGACGGTGCCTTTGGCATTGTTGGTGTATATTTTCGGCTGGGAATGGAGACGGACAAGTACGAATTGAGAGTTTCTTCTGTTGAATTTATGAATGGTATCGTTATAGTAATCTTCAAGATATGCTAAAATACTCTCCAAAAACCGTTCGTGAGTTTCAACACGAATCAAGATACATATGTTGCGATCATCCTAGAATCCTATAAAATCTACGACTTGCCACCATTGGGACATTAAAATAAATCTGACGGCATCAATGTCTTGCTATTGCTTCCTATTGCCCTCGAAGTATTCCCGACATCTTCGGCCAGCGACGAGTAGAAACACTATCTAGTATTTGGCATCTAGTCATTTTCTACTTGGATATATCCAAAGATACGCTGACTTTGCCTGGGTAGCCTCTGCCGTTGATATTACTGACAATACGTTAGAGATTTGCAAGAGGAAACAGTGAAGGTGAATGTAGCCGCGGTAATCAGTACAGAACAATAAAGACCTACCCAGATGTCAGAAACCTGATTCGTGATTATCTAAATGTATGTGGCCTCCGCGGGATAGCCGTCGATCTTCCCGCTGACTCTGTAATTAAGCACCGGCGAGTGCATATCTAGGCAGCCCGGACAACGATACGTTTCCTGAGTATAAAGCAAATGCAAAAAAATATGACTTCTTCTACAATCTCTATAATTTTCGATCACTTGAAATAGCAGACAACCCCGTGTCCTCACCTCGCCTAGTTCCATTAGCTAGCCATCGATATCAAAATGCCGTTCAACACACGCCTTACTAGGGCACTGGGTATCCAGAGTAAGAGCTTTCCCCTCATTTTCAACATAATTCCTGCCAGTGTCTAATAGTTGTCATATTTCGTGAGTAGTCCCAATCGTGCAAGGTGGGATGCAATGGGTAGGGTATGCAGAACTCGCCTCGGCTGTTAGCAATGCAGGTGGATTAGGTATTGTCACGGCGCTTACACAACCTTCCCCTGAAGATTTGCGCAAGGAGATTCGGCGGTGCAAAAATATGACGAGCCGCCCCTTTGGGGTAAATATTACAATTCTCCCGGCAATGGTGCCCCCAGACTATAGAGCATATGCTCAAGTAGTCATAGAAGAGGGGGTCAGAGTCGTTGAAACTGCAGGCAACAATCCGGAACAAATAATTACGCAGCTCAAGGACGCTGGTGTGATAATTTTACATAAATGCACCTCTATAAGACATGCCCAGCGCGCTGCGAGACTTGGGGCTGATTTTCTTAGCATCGATGGTTTCGAATGTGCAGGGCACGTTGGTGAAACAGACATCACGAACCTCATTCTCCTGAGTCGGGCACGTCAGAGCTTGACAACACCTTTTATTGCCTCTGGAGGTTTCGCGGATGGACATGGACTAGCAGCAGCGCTTGTTCTCGGCGCGGAGGGAATCAACATGGGTACTCGATTCCTCTGTACGGTCGAAAGCCCGATCCACGCCAACATCAAGGAAGAGATTGTCAAGGCTCAAGAAACTGACACGGTTCTGGTGCTCCGGCGGTGGCGCAATACTATGCGCCTGTTCAAGAATAAGGTAACTCGGGAAGCATTGGAAATTGAAAAAAGTACGTCTAGCTCGGATGACTTTGGAGAGATTGCCCCGTATGTCAGTGGTAAACGGGGGAGGGAAGTGTTTCGGCTTGGGGATCCGGATTACGGCGTATGTGAACTGGCTCCCGCATCCTCAGATAGAAATTTACGTAGTAACTATGACTGCAGGTATGGACAGCAGGCCAGGTGCTTGGTCTCATTCGCGATATCCCGACTTGTAGTGGCCTGTGCACGCGGATTGAGAAAGAGGCCGAGATTACGTTGGCCCAAACAACAGCATTGATTGTGCGTCAGGCTCACCTGTAACTTAGATAAGCCAAGCTGTATCTAGAATTTCTTCTGTCAGTGTCATCATTGTTTTTAGTAGAATTAGTATATCTGCTCCCCCTTTTTTACTGTGCACCTGCCCGCTTCTTGACGGAAATACAGCCGCGGCTACTTTTTCGTATTGCATCTACGGCCTCCAGACTGTAGATTAATACAGATTACATTTACTAAATATATATATGATTTGTAGTAGCTAGAGAGCATTGATTTTTTTGTATTCTAGTTATTGCAGTGCAGCCACTGTCTTTGTAAATATAGATTGACGCTAGGTGAAATTAGGGTTTTAATTCCTCAACCCTAATTAATATCCGGTAGGCTTACCTAGCTAGGTAATTCGGCACTCGCATTTGGCGACGTATTTTCTGCGGTTTATACGGAACTTTTTGGAGATATCGCTTAGCTTCTCTGCGCTATTCGTCTCCCAGTAGTAAATGAATTTATTGATCTGATTGGTGGGGATGCATTTCCACAAACCACTTACGACGTAGAAATTGCACCTGTGCAAGATGTTAGGTGATGTTTTCCAAAAATTCGCCGTCTAAGCTAGAAATATAAGAATCGAGCACTTGCGTCTTCTGCTAAATGTAGGACTTTTGTAATAATGAACGTGCAGTTACGGACTTCGCAACATTGGCCAATATATTCGAGATTTCTTTTATTCACGTACTGAGACGAGACTTTGTATTCACCATGCCTATGAGGTTGCTTTGCCTTCATGGGTGGGGCACCAATGTGAAGGTATTGTAATGGTATTATGGATGCTTTATGCGTTAGCTAACTAGAAACGCCAGATTCTTCAGTCACAGCTGGGTATGATTGCCAGCAAATAAAACACCCCGACATTCCAGAGTACTAACGTTTACCGCATCCTTGTACAGCCCCGCTCATGAAAGATCTTCAGCGCGACAACAGCGCGGTATTTCACTTCATCGAGGGGGAGATCGAAGCAGAGCCAGGCCCGGGGATCGACGGGTATTTTGATGGACCGTATTATAGTTACTACAAGTTTCCGCGGACATTTGATGACACCGACGAGTCGATGATGGAGGCTTACGAACTACTTTACGATGTGATCGAAGAAGACGGCCCCTTTGACGGAGTTATGGGATTCTCCCACGGAGGAACCTTGGCCTCTGGATTTCTGATTCACCATGCGAAGACTCGTCCATACGATCCCCCGCCATTCCGGTGTGCGATATTCCTAAACTCTCTTCCTCCGTTTAGAATGAACCCCGGAGAAAGCCCCGTCGTTGATGCGGATCTTGAAGGATACCTCACTCTTCCAACCCTTAGCATTGCCGGAAAGAAGGATTTTGTATTCGAGTCCTCCGTTGCTCTGTACAATCTCTGTGATCCACGGAAGTCTCAACTCGTGGTTCACGAAAATGGTCATGACGTGCCTAGGGATCCTAAAAACATAAAATTAATGGCCCAAGAGGTTAGGAAGTTATTCACTGTGTCCATGTATTCGTGGTGAAAGTATTCATTCATGCGGATTAGAGGTAATCTCCTTGCGTACATTTTATGTGCCGGGGAAATTGCTTCCACTACCGCACTCTTTCTCGGAGAATATTTCACATTGAAACTATAAATTAGTGATAGTGTGTTATTATAGTAGGAAGAATATATGATCTTCTTATAGAGGAATGATTTAAACTCTATCACCTAAAGCCTCACTTACCTGCGCTCTAGTCTCATCACACGATATCAAGCCAAAGTTTGCACGTGAAGCAATAAGGTGTCTGAACGAACCTTGTTTTCAAGTTAGCACTTCAAAGCTTCATTGTTGCAAATACCTACCCAGAATCCTGCAATCGATTTGGACACCATTACATCAGAGACGCCCGGTGCTTCCTTTTATATATCTCGTTACTAGACATATTAATTGGTGATACGTCTCCCGTGAACTGAAATCACTGAAACCGCTGGATCGACTTATAGTTTATATCATAGACAAAGCGCAACAATATTTTTCTATTTTCTCTGTCCTGATTCACTTAGTGTTGATTCACCTTTCCTCTATCCTGGACGCTGAGCCTTGCTCCAATCAACCACGAAAAGATGACTCCACTCATACTCAACCATGCGGACGACGATGTTCCACCTCTTGACAAAACCTTCAATGGTTATTCGACGCTGCCCAATGAATACCACCACGGTTGTATGAATGGAAACCCGTTGAAAGACGATAAAACTATGCCCATTGCTATCGTGGGAATGAGTTTCCGTGGACCCGCTGATGCAACCAATGTTGAAAGTCTCTGGGAGATGATATGTGAACGCCGAGAGGGTTGGAGTGAGGTTCCTAAAGAAAGATGGAATAACGATGCCTTTTACCATCCTGACAATACCAGACATGGAACGGTGAGCGTTGAACATTTTGATCCCACAAAAATGAAATGCAACCACTCTAACACACCTCCATTCAAGATTAACGTCAAGGGCGGCCACTTTTTCTCGGAGGACCTTGCTCACTTCGATGCGCCTTTTTTTAACATGACCAACGCAGAAGCAGCGGTAGGGATACCTCCGTTTTCCTATTATGAAGATTTCATGCTCATTGCCGACATGTGTAGGCATTGGATCCCCAACAACGCCTTCTGCTAGAAGGAACGTTCGAAGCTCTAGAAAATGGTGTGTTATCCGGTGACATGAGAGGAAGGGAAAATTAGTCTGACGCTTGTAATAGGCGGTATTACTTTAGAGAAAATCATGGGCAGCAAAACCTCTTGCTTCGTTGGCTCTTTCTCTGGCGACTACACAGATATGCTTTTGCGTGATCCAGACTCCGTGCCCATGTACCAGTGCACGAATGCAGGCCAATCGCGCGCCATCACGGCGAACCGAATTTCTTATTTTTTCGACTTGAAAGGCCCTAGTGTTACTGTAGACACCGCTTGCTCAGGAAGTCTTGTGGCACTCCATCTAGCTTGCCAAAGTATCCGGACTGGCGATGCGAAAACAGCCATTGCGGCGGGTGTAAATACAGTTTTAAGCCACGAATTCATGAGTACCATGAGTATGATGAGGTATTCATATCATTATTGAAGCTTAAAATTAAGGGATGCAGATTAACTGACGGTCCAAAGGTTTCTTTCACCGGATGGACGCTGCTACACTTTTGACGAACGTGCCAATGGCTACGCGCGGGGCGAAGGAGTGGGCTGCTTAATCTTGAAACCACTAAAAGATGCATTGAGAGACAACGATACAATTCGTGCTGTGATTCGTGGATCAGGTTCAAACCAGGATGGCAAGACATCGGGAATCACTCTTCCTAGTGGTGCCGCACAGGAGGAATTGGTGCGAAACGTCTATGAAGCGGCAGGTCTCGATCCCCTGGAGACAGAATATGTTGAAGCTCATGGTACTGGCACACAGGCTGGTGATCCTCAGGAGACTGGAGCTCTTTCCAGAGTATTCTGCCCTGGTCGATCGTCGGATAAGCCTCTACGTGTGGGATCCATCAAAACTAACGTCGGGCATCTGGAAGGCGCCAGTGGCATTGCTGGTGTTATTAAGGCAACTATGATGCTTGAGAATCGTATGTTTCTTCCAAATAGAAACTTCGAAACCCTGAACCCGCGAATTCCTCTCGATCTATGGAAGCTTAAGGTGCAGCTTGACATTGAGCCTTGGGAAACTGATGGTCCGCATCGAGTCTCAGTGAACAGCTTTGGATACGGTGGAAGCAATGCTCATGTGATTCTAGAGGATGCAGCAGGATACCTGAAATCGCACGAAATGAAGGGATATTATCGTAATCCAAAGGCAATCGCTCCGAGGGATTCCAAGGAACACTCTAATAGCAACCACACTACGGATGAGAGCAGTCATTCCAAGCGTTTTACCAACGCCCACTCCGACAACATCTTAAATGGTGAAAAAAAGGAAGAAAACGGTCATTCTCAGCGAAAACAATTGCTTGTGCTATCAAGCTTCGATGAAGCGTCCGGAAAGCGACAATCAGATCGCTTGCAAAAATATCTACTTGCTCGGAAGCATTTAGCTAATGAAGAGTTCATGACCAATCTTGCATTTACTCTCAACAACAGGAGAACAAGTTTCATGTGGAAGGTAGCAATCTCTGGATCTAATGTACAAGAAGTTGCACAAACGTTGTCAAAAGGAGTGAAATTCTCCCGCGCAATGAAGAAGCCTACTCTGGGTTTTGTATTCACGGGCCAGGGCGCTCAGTGGTGTGGGATGGGAAAGGAGCTCTTAGCTGCGTATCCCGTCTTTTCTGACTCAATAAACAAGATCGGCGCATACTTGAAAAGCCTAGGCGCACCTTTTGACGTTAAAGGTATGTCCACTTTACCACTGATTGTTTTCAAGAGATATGGCATGACAACTAACGACAGGCTATAGAGGAGATTACAAGGGACCCCAGCGGATCACAGATCAATCTAGCCCTGTACAGCCAACCCATGTGTTCCGCAGTCCAGATCGCTATCGTTGACTTGCTATATTCCTGGGGAATCAAACCCGCTTCTGTGACTGGGCATTCAAGTGGCGAAATTGCTGCTGCCTATACAGCAGGTGTGCTGAGCATGGAAGATGCAATGGCAGTAGCATATTATCGAGGGGTTGCATCAACTCTGATGCTAACCATATCTCAGACACAAGGTGCTATGATGGCAGTCGGACTATCTAAGGAAGATGCAGAACCTTACTTATCTAAATTGCAGTTTGGAAAAGCTGTTATTGCTTGTGTTAACAGTCCGTCAAGCATCACTATCTCTGGTGATGTATTGGCCATTGATGAGCTGAAGGGTATCCTTGACGACCAAAAGATCTTTGCACGCAAACTAGCAGTTGAGGTTGCCTATCATTCTCATCATATGCAGCTAGTTAGCGAAGAATATTATCAGCTCATTTCTAAAATCAACACAAAAATCGCCGCGGATGAAATAACTGAATCTGTCGAATTCTTTTCCTCCGTCACCGGGTCTAAAGCAGTGGCTTCGGAATTAGGTCCAAATTATTGGGTGAAGAACATGCTTGGTCAAGTAAAGTTCGCCGACTCGGTTCGTCAGCTCTGCTTAGAAACTACAGACCCTACAAACCGCACGAAAGGAGCCGGTAGAAAAACCCGCAAACGAGCGGGGGCAGCTACCAAGGCCAGCGTGGACCATATAATCGAAATCGGACCTCACTCGGCGTTGGCGGGACCAATCAAGCAGATAATCAAGGCCAATGAAACATTGAGTTCTGCATCGATTGCCTATTCAAGTGCGCTGGTCCGTAAGGTAAATGCAGTTTCTTCCATCCTGGACCTCGCAGGCAATCTTGTTATGGCTGGCTGGCCTCTAGACCTCATCGCATTGAACTCACCTCATGGGGTTGGCACGAACTATGAGAGGCAAGCACTTGTTGATCTTCCACCATATCCGTGGAACCACAGCAATACATACTGGGCTGAACCTCGCCTGAGTAAAGTTTATCGAAACAGGAAATTTCCTCGTACCGATCTCCTCGGGGTCTTGGATAGATATTCTAGTCCTTTAGAGCCACGGTGGCGCAATCATATTCGGACCACGGAGATCCCCTGGGTGAACGATCATAAGATTCAATCAAACATTGTGTATCCAGCGGCAGGGTACATTGTCATGGCCATCGAGGCAATGCACCAGTGGATGCCTGAGCACTACCCGGAGGGAACCATCTCTGGGTATACTTTGCGTGAAGTAAATATTGGTGCTGCCCTTGTCATTAGTGAGCAAAGCGCCGTAGAAGTCATGATCTCCCTGAGGCCATACAGAGTGAGTGCTCGAGGGGTGTCGAAAGTTTGGCGCGAATTCTCTATTCTATCAGTGACAGAAGAAAATAAATGGACCGAACACTCGAGTGGTCTCATCTGCGCGCACTTCGAGGCCGATACAAGCAACAATTTAAAGCAAGATGCGGAAGTCTTGCATCAGACTCTCGCCGAGATCTACGCAAAATGCGATATGCAAGTAAACGTCAACGAGTTCTATAAGCATCTAAGACAACTTGGTCTGGAATATGGAGAGACGTTTGCTAATATGACAGAAGCATATTCAGCGACAGACAGTTGTGTTGCTGAAATCACTATCTCGGACACTGCTGCCACAATGCCGATGAATTTCCAATACCCATTTGTCATTCACCCGAGTACATTGGACAGCATGTTTCACCCCATTTTTGTAGCATTGTCTGCCGAGCGTGGGTTGATTCAAGACCCTGCTGTTCCTATTGCCGTCGACGAGGTTTATGTATCGAACTCATTGAAGACAACGCCTGGACACAGATTCAGTGTATATGTCTGCACCGAGAAGAAAGACGAAAGCAATATTGTAGCTTCAATCGTCGCTGTGGACAAAGAGGAAGACGTATCATCTCACATGGAGCATGTGGGATTGTCTATCAAAGGTTTGACCTGCAGGGTACTCCCACGAGAAGTGGGCAATGGCACGGATGAAGAAAGAGAACGAACGGCCTATAATATAAAATGGAATGCTGATCCGGAGCTTTTGTCTGCCGCAGGAATAGCCAGTATGTGCACAAGCTCACAGCCGTCTGAAGATGATCTTCAACAGCTCCGGTTATATGAGAAGTGTTCATCAGTCTATGTTGCCGATGCTGTATCCCAGTTAGACTCCAAAGACATACCGGCGGAGAAGCCTCACATACAAAAACTTTGGAAACTTCTCAAGGCTTCTAACATCAAAATTTCCGTTTCTGACGACGAAAAAGCCTGGATAACTGAGCAGACAAAACGATCCGGCCCTGAAGGAGAATTACTATGCACCCTTGGCGACAACCTACTGTCGATACTCAGGGATGGAATTGATCCTTGGAACATTATGATGACTGAAAACCGGCTAGACGCATACTTGAACGACACCAGCAGATTGGTTCGCAACTATAAGATTGCAGCAAAATATGTGCGCCTTCTAGGGAATAAAAACCCGCAACTTTCATTATTAGAGATAGGAGCTGGTACCGGAGAGGCTTCCTTGCCAATTTTACAAGCTCTTAGTGAAGGCAATACATCCGTCTGGTTAAAACGGTATACATTCACAGATCTCAACACTGATATGTTCGAGGTCGCGCAGAAGAAGCTCTCGGATTGGGCCGATCTCATTAAATTTAAAGAATTCGACGTCGCAGGTAGTCTTGAGGAACAAGGATTCAAAAGTCACAGTTACGATGTAGTGATTCTTGGTCATGGCATTCATCTGGCTAAATCCACAGACCGAATGCTGAAGAATATCCGTAACTTGCTCAAGGACGAAGGGAAGTTTATTTTCGTTGACGAAGTTTACCAGAACGAAAGCATTGAACGATCCCTGGTTTCAGGCACTTTTTCAAGCTTGTGGGAGGACGATGTTGAAGGGAAATACCGTGTCAATGCATATACAGAGGACGACTGGCACCAGGCACTACTCGATGCTCGATTCTCGGGGATGGAAGTGTGTCTTCGGGACGCAGCTAGCCATGGATCTTCTGTAATGATATCCAAAGCCGTTGGAGATGGCTTCCCTTCGCCAGCCCTCGACATCCTTCTCATTACTGAAGATGGAGACTGTGGAGTTTCAGAATCTTCACTCTTAGATCACTTGAAGACAGCTGGGGCTAGAGTTGAGACTTGCAGATTCAATGAAGCCCACCCCGATGGCCGCACCTGCATTGTCCTCAGTGACCTAAGCTTTCCAGTTTTGGCAAAATCAGATGCTACCGCATTTGAGATTGTGAAATCTCTTTTTCTACACAGTACGGGAGTCTTATGGGTCACTCGAGGAGGTTCCGGTTTGACTATTAATCCTAATGCAAGCCTCATCACCGGTTTTGCAAGAACAGCGCGGGCAGAGGCGGATGGCGCCAACATCGTTACTTTGGATTTAGATGGACAAACACCCTTGTCCCCGGAACGAGCTGCTGAGACAATTGCCAGCTTATTCAGACACCGGTTCGTTACAAGAGCCAACACGACGGAGCAAGATGTCGAATATGCAGAACGACAAGGAATTATCTCTATTCCGCGGGTTACTGAGAGTATCGGTTTAAACAGAGATCTCGAATCAATCCTTGGGCGAGCTTCTCCTACAACCCAGGCCTTGTATCAGCCAGGCCGGAAGCTCCGCCCTATAGTTGCCACTGCTACTGATATGAACTCTATGCACTTTGTTGATGAGCCAATGCAGCAATTGCCTGATGATTATGTGCAAATTGAGGTTAGAGCATCAGGAATCAATAAGAGCGATTCACTACTAGCGAGAGGCCAACGCCCGTTAGGCGCCGAGTGTAGTGGCATTGTTTGTGCCATTGGAAAGTCCGTTATGGATCTATCAGTTGGAGATCGAGTTTTATGCTTGGGCTCCGGCACCATCACCAATTATCACCAGGACAAGGAATCCGCCTTTCAGAAGGTTCCTGAGGATATGAGTTTTGAACACGCTGCTGCATTACCGGCTGCCTATTGCACTGCGTATTACGTCGTATACAACCTGGCTCGGATCGTTAAGACGGACTCGGTGCTTATTCATAATATTGCAGAACCAACAGGACAAGCAATCTTGGAACTCTGCAATCTGATCGGAGCTCGAGTATTCGGAACCGTTAGTGAGGCTTCACAAAAGAAATACGTCGTAAAACAATTGCCTATCCCGGAAGAAAATATCCTATATTATTGCCATACGACTTTTGCCAAGGAAATAATTCGCATGACGAACAAGAAAGGTGTTGACGTTTTAGTGAATTGCCTTGACGGAGACACAGAAATGCGCCGTTTTTCTTGGAGCTGTGTCGCTTCATATGGCCGTTTTATCGATTTGGGATCACGGGGAATAGCTGACAATAGCCGTCTAGAAATGGGTAACTTTGCCAAAAATTCCCTTTTTGCCTCATTTGATCTCCTCAGTTTGCTAAAGGAGAAGACGTCTGTTGCCCAGAAAGTATGGGCAGATGTGATGTGTTTATTCCGTACCAAGGCGATACGCGGTTTTAGCTCGTTGCTCGTTCATGACGTCTCAGATATTGGCAAGGCATTGACTGAGATGGAATCAGGCGGAAGGCTTGGTAAGACAGTCATCGTTGCTAAACCCGGAAGTGTCGTAAAGGTATATCCAAAATTGTCTCAAAATTTAAACAAGGGCCCTTCATTAATATTCTAATTAGGCTCTCCCCAGAGACAAGAGTGGTGAATTGCTTCGGAACGATATGTCTTACCTCCTGGTCGGCGGTCTTGGTGGTATCGGACGAGCAACGGCTTCGTGGATGATTGACCGTGGCGCAAAATTCATCATATTTGCCAACCGGAGTGGCCTGTCCAGAGAGGAATCTAAAGATACGATCCGACAGCTAGAGGCCAAAGGGGCCAAGGTAGCCGTGTATAGCTGTGATATTATCGACGAATCAGATGTTATTGGAATGGTGAAAAGTGCGTCCAGAGAGATGCCACCAATCAAAGGTGTCATTCAAGCAGCTATGGTGCTTCGGGTATGTTACTGTCAACTATGTCCTGGGATCATTCATCAACTCCAAGAAGCTGATTGTCAGTAGGACACATTGATTGAAAACATGTCGTTTGAGGAGTTTTCTGCCTCTCTGAAACCCAAGTTCAATGGAACATGGAATCTTCACAATCATCTCCCAAAGAATATGGATTTTTTCGTGATGCTATCCTCAATTAGCGGAGTCATTGGAAATGCCAGCCAAGCGGCGTACGCAGCCGGAAATACGTTTATGGATGCCTTTGCAGGATTCCGTAATAGTCTGGGCTTGCCTGCTGTTGCTTTAGATCTTGGTGTAATCACAGGGGTCGGCTATCTATCTCAAAATACTGAGCTACTTGCTGCCATGGAGCGTCAAGGATTCCAAGGCACAGATGAACGGACGCTGATGGCTCTGATACAAACAGCTATATCCCAGCCTCATCGACAAGATTCAGACGCTCAAATTGTGACTGGGTTGGGATCTTGGAAAGATGGGAAATCACTCGGCAATTTTGATCAGGCTATCTTTTCTCATTTTCGTCGGCAGTTTTCTGGAGGAGAAAACTCAAGCGAAGAGGGAACCTCGGCAGATCAACTCAAGGAGAATCTCCGAGCGTGCAAGACCCTCGAAGAGGCGGCGAGTGTTATATGTGCAGCGCTCATCGAACATATTGCCGCTCGACTGGAAACACCTGCTGAAAATATTAACTCGTCCAAGTCTTTATCAGACTACAGTATCGACTCCTTGGTGGCAGTGGAGATCCGCACATGGATTGCGAAAGAGATGAGCAGCACGATTCCAATCTTGGAATTATTGGCCAGCTCTTCACTCTTGCAGTTATCCGAGAAGATTGCGACTCGTTCAACTCTAGTCAAAGTGCCAGAGATGTCGTCCTAATATAAAGCTTGGTACTTGAATTTCTAGAAGTCAATATTTTTTGTGCGTTTTGTTATTCTGTAGAATGACCGAACTCTACCTGTGCTGACGAAACATGTTAGCGCGACGTCGCTTTTGATTCCATTATGCTTATTACAAATCTACGAAATGTAGAACAAACGCACTGCCTGAGTTTATGCAATATTATCATTCTACATAACGTTTTCTACATGTTCTAGTAGATATAAATGCTTTCTCTATTCTCGATGCAGAAACATCGTGCGGTGTATCTAGAGGTATCCATAGCTTGCTCTTAGCATACACTATAAATTACCTAAATCCATGGATATATACCTAGGTGTTATAAACCGAATCATCTATAAATATGGATATTTGACGATCGACTCCATACTAAACTTGAATTTATTGTATGCCCAGCATGGGTATGTTCCAATTTCGAATGATAGTATTTAGGTAGAATAACTATCATAGAGACCGTTTCATGTATACAACTAACTAAGTATCTATGTATTTATAATCCGTTCCGAGGTCCCTTCAACTGTTAAGTTAGAGCATATCTTGCCAGATGGGATTGACTGGACAATGTCTCCTCAGGATATAGAATCTCATCACGGACTTTCAATTCGACTCTGTAAGGTTTACTGGTCTTTGCTAACATCAATTCAAAATCTGTGTTTGTATCTGATCAAGACAATCTGAGATGTGTGTGATGTTCGTTCGAGGATTAAGAGAAGAAATTCGGTTGGATGGTTGTGGGGCCGCACCACCCGACCTATCGACCCACTGAGCCCTGTTTCCGCTTATAACTGACCAATAGAATCCAATCAAGTATTGAGCCAGTATTAGAAGTGGGGCTATATCATGGCCATTGGAAAAAAGCGGTAGTATTGTTTGACTAACCCAACAAAGATTTCCCATAGCTAGCAAGTGGCATGAAGATTCTGATTCAGGTACTACAATGCCACGTTTTCGAGACATTCGTGGTCATCTAAGAAGGTATACAGCTGGAGTGGACCGACGAGTATGCCGAACAAAAGCGGGTCCACATGTGGGCCTTGCCGATCAAAGCAGTAACAGGGCTTACGACTGAAATCTGAGGCTGAGCCCGCGCTTTGGGGGCCAATTTGATTCTTAACCCGCCACGAGGTTTTGCTCTATGACTTGCGCATATACTATAAGGCAACAGCATCTTTGATCGCCCATCAAGTTGAAGTTACTCTGAGGCCCTCAGCGCACAATTGTCGCCGTACAGTCTTCCCAGGTAGCATCACTACAAAATCCAGTATAGAAAATCATATAGTCTCCCGAACGAATTTCCTTTATTTCTCTTAGCTTTTACTTCTAACCCGTGAGAGATTGCTATCAAGATTCTATGCGAAATATCTTCCAATCAATCTTCTCAAGGCAAGGCTCGCGCGCTCCTATACGAGAGTTTATCAAGGCTGAGGTTCTAGGATTTAGAACAGCAAATTTTGGGAGCAGGCGTACTAATAACGTTATGTATGCTGTCACCATCAGTGCACCCCGCGTGTTAGGTGCCGTGCCGGATGATGTCGGTGAGAAGAGCCATTGGCTGAGAGATGAAGCCGGGAAAGGCGAAGCGAAGGGATATGTGAATCCCTGGAAGAGTGCTCACGACTTCTCTTTTCCAGAAATATTCAGGGCCATGGTCCGGTGAGAGTTTTCTGTTTTCCAGCGGTGGTTAGAAGTTGCACTAGCAACAGCTAACCAACTTTGCAGACACAAGTTCTTCTCCGGAGACAGCCAGAGACCGGATACCACGCCGCCAACTGTTTCGGTGATTAAACCTAAGTTTCTCCCATCTAGGAAAAGCTCAGAGGCCCTACGTGGTACATGGTTAGGTCACGCATGCTACTACATTGAGTTTCCAACTGGCCTACGGGTTCTTTTTGATCCTGTCTTCGAAGATCGCTGTTCCCCGTTCTCCTGGTTCGGTCACAAGCGGTTCACACCCAGACCGTGTGATATCTCTGACATCCCCAGCATTGATTGTGTGGGTTCACATTGCGCTCATGTATAGTTAATGTCATAACTGATAAATCCCTCTTGGCTAGGTTATCATAAGTCACTCCCACTATGACCACCTTTCTCACCTCACCATTCTCGAAATCCAAAAGCGTCATTCTTCGGTCCAATTCTTTGTTCCAAAGGGTCTCAAAAGATGGTTCACAGACTGCGGCATCAAAAATGCCGTAGAGCTTGACTGGTGGGAAGATGTTGATATCACATTGTCCAGATCAACGGATACAAAGGCTTTGGCAAATTCTTCAGACTCTGGTCGCTCAAACGATGATATTACGGCGAGGATTTCTTGTCTCCCTTGCCAACATACCTCTGCGCGTACTCCTTTTGATAAATCGACTACTTTGTGGGCTTCATGGGCGGTTTCTTCAGGAGGCAAGTCCGTGTACTTTGCTGGTGACACCGGCTATCGCACAGTTCCATACTTGCCCAAAGGGATCGATGACTGGGGCCCAGAGTTTGCTCATCTTCCCGTATGTCCTGCGTTCAAGCAAATTGGCACACTTCGTGGTCCTTTTGATCTGGGATTAATCCCTATCGGAGCGTATAAGCCAAGGCATGTTTTGAGTCCCGTCCATTCCAATCCGTACGACTCCGTCGAGATATTCAAAGATACGAACTGTAAAAAGGCGATGGGGATCCACTGGGGAACATGGGCAGTTGCTGAAGAGAATGTATTAGAGCCACCAAAATTACTCAAGAAAGCCTTGGCTAAAAGCGGGCTTGGAGAGACTGGGGTTTTTGACGTTTGTAGTATTGGGGAGAGCAGGGAGTTTTGAGGACTTTCCTATGGGCTATAGGAATGGAGTACTTCCTTGGTTGAAAAAGAAGAGACCATCGGTAACTCCCCGTGCTTCAGAGTTATATATTTGTACATCCATAGGCTTCAGGTTACGAATTCAACAGAGACGAAGCTGAGAAAAAATATCCCTGTCACTTACAAATCGATTTGATACAATTGCATTCACATTTGCGATTCTATGAGCAGCACATGAAAGATGCTTGCGAGTTTGGCCTGCAGGTTGAAATACAGTACTTAATCAACATAAGTACCACCTAGGTTTCGGCCTTCGAGCCTATTTCAAGATGCATGATTAACGATTGGGTATTTCGTCCTTGTCTGGAACGGCGAACAATATTGTACTGAATAGGGAGGAGGGAAAAAACGATTTGCTTAACTAACTAACGAAAGTTTATATAATACCATAATCAAATGACTGTCATGCGATATACCTCTATATTATTGAGATCTGGACCCATATTGTCCCAATTTCCCAAGTGCCTCGCAGTTGGAATTGAATCCACTATTACCGCCAGCACTGATTAAATTGATCCGTAATTAGCGGGCGGTAAATATGCTATTTGATGACTCCACTCAGCGTTTCTTGGGGCATGTTGCCAGACTAAATAGTATAAGTATTGGATATCTAATATTGAATAAGAAGTATTGAGACATCAATAAGTCGTTCATCATTCACCACACAATTCGCTGTGAGATCCATTTCAGCCAACATGCCAACTACTATCGGTGCCTACACCAAGGAAGAACCCAAGTCTTCTAAATCCCCGATTCCGCCTGTGCTTGAACTCGACGCATCAACCTGCACTTCAGCTGACCTTGTGTCGGCATTGAAGGTGGCCGGTGGCGTGATTGTTCGCAACATTCTAACCGCAGAAGAGATCCAGCAAATCGAGTCTGACGTACGGCCCTGGTTAGAGCAGGATAAGCCTTGGAATGGAGATTTTTTCCCGCAGGGAACACGAAGGGCATTCGGTCTGGTTGGCAAGTCTAAGGCTTTTGCATTACGGCTGGTCGATCACGAGCTATGGCTACAAGTCGTTGACGCTCTTTTGACTAGCGAAAATCCAAATAACTGGGTAATCTCGGGCTTGCCATGAAACGAGAAAAATAGTACATTATTGCTGAATCTTTCAAATTAGGTTGGAGACAAAAATGAGGTCAGCGTCTGCAAACCCCAGCTAAATAACACTATTGTGTTCAGCATTGGACCTGGCGCGCGCGACCAGAGTCTTCATAGGTTTGTATTTACACCAAAATTCGATATTTCTAGCTAACGCATGGAATAGAGATGACCAGATCCACCACCAAAACCACCGCGCTGTTGCAAAGCACGAGCCTGGCCGCGACACTGGTATCGGCTTCTTCGTTGCAGGAAAGAAGACCACTCGCCAAAATGGTGCCACACGATTTATCCCAGGATCACATCTTTGGGATTACGCCGAAGGACCAGCCCACGAGGACCAGACGGTTTACGCTGAATTGAACCCCGGTGACGGATTCATGGTTCTCTCCGGATGTTTCCACGGTGGGAGTGCAAACAAGACGGAAAATGAAGAGAGATTGGTTTACTCGTGCTTTTACACTAGGAGCTGGTTGAGACAAGAGGAAAATCAATACTTGGCTAATGACAAGACAAAAATACTTGAGCTACCAAACTGCTTGCAAGAACGTGTAGGATGGGGGCTGTCAACACCGTTCTTAGGCTAGGTTGATCTGAAGAGTCCTATGGTGCTTCTGCATCCGGAAGAAGATGAGAGTGGTGACCTTTTTTAGAGCAACGTGGACTCCTCAGGCTCTAATATGTATGGCAGTCAACTAAAGAAAAGAAAGAAAAAAAATAGGCCAACACACCTAAGTGATGATTGTAGTCCAATGAAAGTATCTTGTTAGAATGTCCGCATCAGCATCACGGACACAAATCTACTCTCCATAGTAAAAGACAATTAGGTACTTAGCAAGATGTCTCGCGTGAGTACCTGGATTCTAGGAACAAGTTACCTGTTAGGCGTCAAGATTAATCTTGAGATTCAACTACTCGGGGCTTGTAGTATTGGAGACCAAGAACGCTTCCTTATCAAGACCCAGAGCCAAGACCCACCATTGCCGAACCCTGCCCCGCTCTAACCGCGCTGTGGAGATTATCTTGGATCATGCCAGATAATGCTTGTATTTCCTTATCGGTGCATCGTAGCGCCGTCTACCTATATGGTGCAGCCAATTGCACGAAACGAGCATGACTTGATCGGCAGAATTGCGTGGATGCCAAGGATTTGACTTGCAGGAGAGAGAGCAAATTGTTCTAGACTTCATATATCTGTCTTTTAGTAAACAAAAGAAATGAAAACGAAACTCAACCGGATATGAAGCATACAGTGAAAACATATACCTCGGTAATCGGTCAAAATCTCGTAGCGATATGGAAAATGGTCTTTTTAATTAGTAAGTATTTATTAGTTTCGCTAATTATACGTAGATATCTTTGCAAGTAGGTTGAAATTCTGCGTTGAAAATAATTCGGAAAAAGTACAGCTGAAACAAAAAATAGGGGCGAACATAACAAAAGTAGCGACAAGATAATTCCAACAAGGCCAATCACTGCCCATACATCAACAAGATCAATGTTTCCCGGGTACAACAAGAGTTTGGACATATTGCCAATGTTTCTTAGCTGACGTCCTCCGCAAGCTTTTCCCCCAAAAGACGAAGATCAAAAAGGTTAAAGTAAAACCAAGCGACAGCATGGCAACAGCCACAAATGTCTTGACATAGCCTTGAGCATTAAGCCATGGTGTGATACCGTACGAGAATCCAAAACCTATCGTGTTCCGGATCACAATGATGAGCATCATTGCTTCTCCTGAGATTTCTTTGAAGCAGTCAACGCCGTAAGCTAGCGCGACTGAACCCCCTGCAGTAACAGTAGCCATGACCATTCCTGTACCAACAATGATGGCAACCGAATTGATCTGACGAGCTGCCCCAACACGCCAAAGAAGAAATCCAGCTGCGCCAATCAATGCTGACCCTATGAGTATCCAGAGACGATGCTCTGGCTCGCGTATACCGCCATTGCGCCGCGCGAGGTAAAGCGCAACCTTATCACCCACCCAACCAGTCCAGATAGCACCAACAAAGGATCTAATCAAGGGGGATACGTAAGCTAAACCGGCCATATTAGCTGCGAAGTTGTATGGTTCACCGCTTAACACTGCGCTCATGGTCCCGTTAACAACTAAATACCAGGAAAGATTGCTGCCGTAAAGAAAACCAGCCGAGGAAATATTGGGGAAATACAAGAATATCACAAGCGGTCGATACATCATCACGAGCATTTGCTTGACCGATGGACGTCCGGCCATGTTGCGGAATAGTTTTAGCTTTTGCACGTACTTCTGTGGTTCTGTTGTCGTTGTGGCGGGAGTGCCAATTCGCGGTACCGGGCTTTTTTCTTCCTTCTCACCTGCGAGCGAGTTTTCTGCGACTGAATCTTCCTCTTCAATTCCTTCTACGGTTTGGCGGAAGTACATTGTTTCCTCCAGGCCAAAGAAGATGACCACGGTTGTACAGGCAAGCACAATTGTGCCAAACCAGATAGCAGCACGCCAGCCGAGTCCATGGGTAATGAATCCTGCAAGCAGAGGGGCGATGGCGTTGGATCCAAAGAGAAAGAGCGCGTATATACTGATGAGTACCGCAGATTAGATGTCCTGTAAGTGGAACAATTTTCAGCGCGGACTTACCCAATATAGAGTCCTCGTTCATGTGCGAAGCAAATATCGGCCATGGCGATTTCAGGGAGTGATTCACACGGCGCGGCAAGGACACCGAGCAAGATACGATGAAGGTACCACACACCAGGAGAGTGAGAGTACACAGTCCATACCATGGGTCCAATAGACAAGAGACTGCTTAAAATCAAAACTCCACGTCGTCCAAAGACGAGGGCAATCGGTTGCCAGATCAAGCATCCCCAGCCCAGGAATAGAAACATCAAACCAGTGCCGGTGTCAAGGTCAGCGACCGAGATCCCTGTCTCGTCAGAGATGTTTGAAATAACCGAGTACTGCACTGTTGTTGCGATTCCTATGCCTAGAAGGTAGATGTAGACCATTGAGGCAGCCCATCGCTTTCGTTTGAGAGACCAGTTGAGCGGATCCTCAGGATCCGAACTGGGCTGTGGGTGCAATACGATGTCATGAGCATTCGTGTTGACTAGGTGGATGGTCCCGGGAACCCTGTCCTGTTGTTGAGACATAGTTACTAAGATAGAATTAGGTAACTAGGTACCGGAGAGCATGAAAAAACCTCGGGAACTGAGACCATCATTTCGTTCATTCCGAGTACGAGAGGAAGCAGCACAGGGTCGTAATATATATTATAGAAACGGTCATATCTATCCACGCGTATTCCTTTACGCCGGATACCTCCAAATGAGAGTCCTTATCTTCAGATTTGCAATATTGCCTAGGTAGGAACTACGTATACCCAGTGATGAGCAATCCGCGGAGTTTTATTAGAGAAGCAAGACGTATGCGCCGGATTGAGTGTTGAGTTTGAAAAGTAAACCGCCAAGTGCTCTCTTATCAAAGCCTAGTACAAAGCCCAGTCAGGGCTCCGCAGGGGCCGCCTCGCCTCGGCCAACAGAACGCAATCTAGCCGCGCTCTTCTCCAACGAGATGCAAATCTCCGGATTAGGAGATAAGGAAAGGCTTATCATGTCAGAAGAAACTGAAATGGAATAGTAGAAATAACAACAAAGAAAAAGAGAGACGCATTTCAAAAATTTTGGCCAAGAGTTTGTACAAAGTATGCTACATAACATGTAAGCCAGGTCAACTTTTGCAGTGTCATTTGTTGCTACCTCTGCTTGCCAGAGATTGTGTTCTGTCCGCCACTATGGCAACCATTATCGAAGCTCCTGTTGACTATCCCCCAGAAATCACTGGCTATGCCGAGCCATGGATTGTAAGTCCAGGAGACGAGGTAGCCATCAAGGTATGTCATTCCCGGGCCATCACACGTATGAAGCACGATTGACTAAGCTCTGCTCATGTAACTAGGTCTCGTGTACGGAGCCGGAGTACACCCATCAAACCGTCCGTGTCATTCAAGGAGTCAATGTCGCGCACTCGCCAAGAAAACAAGAAGAGCTTTTTCTTAAAGGTGGCGTTCATAGTGGCCGATTTCAAAAAAGCAATCCTGGCTCGTATGCTGTGGCAGAGAAATGGTTGACTGCCGAAGTACCGTCAGGAATAGCTATTACTTTTTTCATGCAGCCGTGGCTCCCGCAGGCCGGCCATGTCCAAACTGTCATTTCAACACTTGATATGAGAACAAAAACCGGATTTTCCGTCCTTATCAACCAAGCTGGACAGATGGAATTCTGCATTGGCACCGGAGATGAAGTGGAGGTCATCCAGACCGATTTCCATCCTGAACGCAAGAGATGGGTTGACGTTGAGTTTGTCCTAGACCAGAGGATGCTTTCCGTTGCTTTAAAGCCTTTGGCACTTGTTGCTGCAGCTTGTAGTGTTACTCCTATTGCTCTCCAGCATACTCTGAAAAGTCCTCTGAGAATATCCATGGATAATGTCCTACTGTTTGGTGCATCCACGGTCAAATCGCCTGCCTATGCATCTGACGTGTTCAGCGGCCGTATAGACCGTCCATGTATTAAGAAAATAGGACTACCGTCCACCACGATTGTTGAATATGAATTTTCACTTGAAATGTCAAGCGATAGAATCATTGACGTATCGGGTAACGCTTGTCATGGGCAACTTTTTAACGCCCCAACTCGTGCAGTTAGAGGACACGACTGGGATGGCAGTGAGCCCGATTGGATGAAAGCAAAGTTTGGCTACGGAGCAATTCATTTTCACGATGATGATCTAGACGACGCTGCATGGGACACAGACTTCACTATTGAAATTCCGCCATATGCACGTTCCGGAGTGTATGCTGTGAATGTGCAGTCAACAAATGGCAAAACTTCCGACAGTATTGTATTCATGGTCTGACCGAGCGAAGCAGCATGGGAACAAAGGGAAGGAAAAGTCGATCTTGTTCTTTCCGCTTTCACCTATCTTGCGTATGCCAACGAGCAGCTCCATGATAAAGATCGCATATCCGCCATAGATGTCGGACCAGGGTTTGATATGAATTCTGCAGCTGTAAGCGAGGATTTATGGCGTATGAAGAGACGAAAAGATGTCGGGTTATCTCTGTATGATGTTCATAATGATGACTCAGGCACTACCTTTTCTTCTGCCAAGAGACCTATTCTCAATCTCAAGCCGGGCTATATCATGTGGGCCATGCGACGACCGCGCGCTCTCAGTGCGGACACTATCATGATAGGATTTTTAGAGCGTGAAGGGATAGCTTATGAGGTAGTCACCGATCACGACTTACATGAACGCGGTGTGAGGGCTCTCAGTGGGTTTAATACCGTATTAACTGGCAGCCATCCCGAGCACCCTAGCTTGGAATCATACAATGCATATATCGCGTATGCGAAACAGGGCGGCAATGTTATGTATATGGGGAGCAATGGATTTTACTGGGTCTGCGCTACTGATATTCATAGTCGGCCACATAGAATCGAGATTCGTCGCGGCGACCAAGGCGTACGAACGTACGTAATGCCTGGTGGTGAACATATTCTGAGCTTGAACGGTCAACAGGGAGGCCTTTGGAGATCAAGAGGAAGAGCAACCAATGTACTGTTTGGTATTGGCTTTTGCGGCGAGGGCGTCGCCCTTGGAGTGCCCTTTAAGCGTTCCGAAGCCAGTTTGGCCGACGCTAGCATCTCATGGATGTTTGAGGGCATCGAACACGACGAACTTATCGGTATGTATAGACTAGGCGAGGGAGCGAGTAGCGATGAAATTGATAGATTTGACATTGCCAATGGCAGCCCTACATGTGTCAAAGTGTTGGCTTCAAGCACAGGACATCCCGATGACTTTGGTATTGCACCGGAGGACGTTAGTTTCCCAATAATAAACACGCTGGGTACACAGACGGATCTGATTCGCTCAGACATGACCTATTACGTGACTGACACTGGCGGTGGAATATTTTCAGTTGGAAGTATCAATTGGTATAATTCACTGAGATGGGAGGATTATCAGAATAACGTTGCGATGTTGACCAGAAACGTTATAAAGGGGTTCCTCTCTGGTTTAAGATAAGATATAGATTTTAAGTATCAAAACAGCTGATTTCTTTCGCCTTCAATAAGCCACTTGACCTGTACTCATTGTACTCGTTCTCGCATAGCTGAATAATAAACAAGCATCAAGCATCTGCTGTCTTGCCTAATCGGGTAATCCCCAATGCACGCTAGTCCAAAGTAGACAAAGCGTGTCTTTGGATTGCCTTATCAGGAGTCGTCGCCTTATCATCTCTACTCCAACCTTCAACGTCAACCTCGTCAACTCAGTGATTACGAACAACACAGTTTGAACCTTGACCATAATTTATCATATGTCATCGGCCATGACTTCATATCTGACTGAGTCTGCAGCAGCGACGAGAGCCTTAAATCGAGCACCTATATCTCGCGTTCGAACAGGCTGCCTCACATGCCGTGCCCGCAAGAAAAAATGTGACGAGAGAAAACCCAGGTGCTATGCCTGCGAACGTAATAACGTTACTTGCAGATGGCCGCCCCATGTCCAGGCCAGCATGTGCGAGACTCCAAGTGGCGATGAACACTAAGGACAGGAGTCTAATCCTGGACAATACGTGTTTTCAAACAACGAATCCAAGCACAGTTCGGATGGTCGAAAAGCAGCGTCTACATCAATGGTATTTATTCCAAAATCCAAGGCGACCTGGCCTGGGAACCGGCTGTCAAAAATATCGACAGAACCGACTATTTTTCCCAGGCCAGTCACCGAATTCATTCTACTTCCTCAGCCACTACTTGCACACGACTGCCAACGTCATGGTCAATGGTGCGTAAATCCTTTCTTGGTTTATATGGTGCCACTGGCCTCTTCCAGCGACCTCATTCATCAACTGCTCTTGACTCATAGCGCTGTCCACTGGGTGAGAAGGTCTCGAGACAGGCCGGATGATATGTCTTACAAACATTATGGCAAATCTCTTAAACTCTTTCGAGGAAGAATAAATGATTACATTGTTAATGCAGACAGCAATGTCATTCTACTCGGCGTGGGTGCTTTGACATTATGTTTCATTGAAGTAGGTATATATATACAACATAGAGAAAATAAATACTGACTGTATTAGAATGTTAGAGTAGATGCGGCTGGCACAATTTACGACCATCTTTTGGCGGCCAAGACTTTATTGGTCAAGATACTTGCAGACTCGAGGATTCTCATAACGACAGACTTGAGATGCTTCATAATCGAGTACTACATTTATACGGCCACATTGAGCATGATATCTACCGATGTCAGGGTCAGCAACCAAAACCTTCTCACCGACGAACTGATACATCATGCAGAGAGCCTTGTTGAGGCACAATACATTGGCAATATGTGCGGTTGCTGGTTAGAATTGCTTCTTGTCATACCATCCATTTTCGATTTGGGCCGACGATGGCTCACAAACGGCGTGGAAGCCCTGAACATGGACGATATGACACAGTTCGCTGTGATACAACACAAAGTTCTTCAATGGAAGCCAAATCCTTCTGTTCAATCTGACGTGACTTTACTTGGTTTAATATACCAACAAGCTATATTATTATATTTGTATACTGTCCCCAGCTCTAGTCAACACAGAAAATTTGTAGGGGTGATTGGAAGCACGATTGATAAGGCCATGGGATACATGCGTGAGCTATCTCCCGCAGCTCCCGTTAATACAAATATGTGCTGGCCCATTGCAATCATTGGATCGCTTACGACGGACTTTGAACAGCAGCAGGAAATAAAGAATTACCTGGTAGCCATGAACGCGACGCTGGGATTTGGGAATATATTGCAAGTCCTGGGTATTTTGGAGGAAATGTGGCAACACCAAGGTGAGCAAATTGGGCCTTGGGATATTTGCACTGCAATGCAGACCCTGCAAACCTGGATATCCTTTTCATAATATACGCATTGTGCCATTGATGTGATGGTACGATAGAAAATGTAGCCAAGGTCCACGCACGAACAAAGAAGAAATATAACACTGATCTTTTGGGTTCAAAAAAAAATTCTTTACATATAAGCTCCTAAAGCGGTAGTAGAAAGAACAATTCATTTGAAATGGGACTTGATACAATAAGAAAAAACCGCAGATTTGATTTAGCTACGATAATGATGCATGGCTTCTGCTTCTTCTGCCGTGACATTGTACGCCTCCAACATCAATAATGGCCATGTTAAAAGCTTCTCGTCCTCAGCACGAGTAATCTTGCTCCATCTTTCTTCCATCCCCGGGATGCGATGTCTCTCCTGCCACGCCAGCAACTGTTCATAATCCCAACATTGATGGTTGATGTCAAAGTCTGGAAACGGGTGTTTCTGTCCCTTGACCCAATTGTAGCTGATCAATTCCACGCTAGGTTTACAGAGGAGGTGTTGCAAAAGGGCATTCATGCAATGCGAAAGATGGGAATGGTAGGAGACAGCGATTCCGTCTGGATGGTAATACTCGTAATTCCAATACAGACTCTTTCGCATGCTGTCCAGGCAGTGTACTAAATGTATCCCATCAAGTTGAACTAGATGACGATCTGATCCAACGCCCCAGCTCTCGGGAGCCTTGACTGTGGTAGATGGATCCTTCCCAAGCCGTATGATCTCTTCGCGAGATACATGCAGAACCCCGACGTCTGACACTCGATCCCAGGCCGCGTCTCCCTCTGGGTTAGGTGGCGGTCTTCGGTATATTGATTCCTCCGAAGCGAGTGGCAAAGTTGACAATTTTTTAGGTCCCCAGTTTGGCTGGAGTTCGTTCAGCACGGGACCTTAAGAATTATCACGTAGATTGTCAGTAAAGTCATCTTCCCGGATCCTTCCACTGTTATAAAATGATTGGCGCATTCCTTACTGTAGAATGTGATCTCTTCTAGAGCATTCTTGGACACTGTCCTCCGAAGTTGTGGCAGGTAATACATTGCAAAGAGCATGGTGATGATTGATGAAAACAGGCAGAGGCCGACATTGAAATAAACAGCTCTCTTCGTCAATGTGGGCGATGCCGATGAGCCTCGCGCAAATTTAGCAAGCCAACATATGAGGGAAAAAAAAAAAAAAAATAAGCACAAAGCGATAGACATACATTGGCATGTAGAGGAGTGTGCCTCTTGCCTAGGAAGCAAGGAATAGGCCTCCTCATCCTCCAGGTTTTCGACACCCATTGAATCACAGTGGTGAGAGGCGACGCAGTAGAGGAAGCAAAATGGCTGTATGGTATTATTTCTCTCGGCTTTTCTCTGTTGAAAGAGTTATGGGAATTCTCCCAAGCACAATTTATGTGGATGGCCTTATCAGAATCGAACTAGTTGGTTATGTGCGCTGCAGCGGCATCGCGTAAGAAATGAGGGCATCCCGTAAGATCAACGTAAAAGGGCCCCAGCAAATGTCATTTCCACAAGAAGCACTGTGAAAAGAGCAACCATTATGTGAATATTATTACATTTTATGTCAAAAATAATGTGAAGTCACCTCATGTACTCGTGGGAAAGTTCAACAACTGTTAACCCAAGATATTTGGAGATATGTGAGACTCAAGGTTATAAAAGGACTGGCGATGCAAGCATTAATTGGATTCAGAACCACACAGTTTCGAAAGCATTCAAGACCACCTTGAATAATATCACAAACAAGATCTTACTCGTTTTTTGTCTTCGAGAAACTTAAACCGCCAAGTTATTCAAGATGAAGATCCAAACTCTTGCCGCCCTGCTCGCTGTCTGTGCACAGGCTATCCATGCTGCTCCAGTTGAAGCTAAACCGGCTGGTAGGTGTATTAGCCACACGAATATGTCAATAGAAAAACATATACGCAGATTGCTAATCCCGAAATGCTACAGATCATGGCTTGGCCGCTCGCGAGGACCACTCCGCTGAGGACTGGAACGAGTGGTACAACAAGAAGGCCATTAAGCGCGACGAGGAGTCTGCCGAGGACTGGAATGAATGGTACAACAAGAAGGCCATTAAGCGTGATGAGGAGTCTGCCGAGGACTGGAACGAGTGGTACAACAAGAAGGCTATCAAGGCTTAAAGCCGCCTAGAAAAGCACTCCTAAGGCTGATAGGGAGGAAGACAGCATGCGATGAGAGGAGTGCGGAGGATGAGAGATGAAAGAAGGAGGGAGTCAAGTTAGAATGTTATCGGGGGCTTTTCGGCTATTCTCATATATTTTAAATACAAGCGTGCCTAGGTATATATCATTGGTGATGGTATGAATAGCAAATGACTCAAATGTCTCTAGCAACCTAAAAGAAAAAAGTGTACCCTATAGCGGGGAGGAGAGAGCAGTTATTCAAGTTAGAAGCTGGTAAAGAGCGTTTTGACTACCTAGGTATTTTCAAATGCAAATTACAAGGATAGGAAGCAGGAGTACGTAGTGTAAATTAAACCCTGATTAAAAATGAAAATATATTTGACTAGTCGTAAATGTACCTATATCTGTTGGTAGACGGGGGTTCTTTTGCAAGTCGTGAATCTCTCTACTAACAGCATGTAGGGGGGAGAGAGGAGAGGATTAGTTGAGTCAATCAAGTTAGAATCCATTGATAGCCCTTTGAAATTTCAAAATACAAACGCATATATCATTAGACAGTGGTCTTAATATAAAGAGATTTGAATGCCAGTCTTTACATTTACCACCTCCATTCTATCGTTATTCGTCATGCATCGACATCGGCACCATGAGAGAGAAGGAGATTGATGAGTGACTCCGACCCCCCGTCTACTGCGAGATGAAGAGCAGTGTTCCCATGCAGGTCTCTACAATTTAGGTCAATCGAGGCACTCAAGAGGAGCTCGACGATTTCCTCGTTGCCACTTTGCACGGCGTGAAAAAGCGCGGTCCGGCCTTGGATATCCTGAGCATTGACATCGATCTTGTGGTCTGCTAGCAGTCGCACAATTGAGGCATAGCCGTTCTCCGTCGCTACATGTAAGACGGATCTGCCGTATTCATCGCATTTATTGATATCGGCTCCACGGTCTATTAATAGTCGTATCACGGTTTCATTGCCGGCGTGAACGGCTCGATGAAGAACTGGGCGGCCCAGCTGCGGTGCGGTTATCTCCGAGAACATAAACTAGGCAGGGGTTTGACGTTAGTGACACCGGCGACATGTTTACCATACTACGTTATACGTGATTTGTTGCTTGCTAACTCCGTATAACCATTTCTCTTACCTGGTCGTCGACGGATGAGGTGTGAGGAAGCATGGAGGGCTGCTCCAAGGGATAGAAGTCCAGCGCGTTTTTTGGCCATGCTTGTTCTCCGATCACTGCCTGTTCTAAAGCTTGCAGGCGGGCCTTTTGATTTCTTCCTTGTTGGACGATGATAGATGAGCATACCAAGATGGGGGGCAATGGAAACAGACCACCTACTTACTGTACTTCTGCTGGGCAATGCGATTTTGCTGCCGCTTCTTTTCCTTATCGTCGGCTTCCGATACTGAGGCGAGTGCTGGGGATGTAGGAGAGAACATTGGGAGAAGCAAGGCGCTAGGCAATACCTACCTTAGGTCATCGCAGAGGAACAGATGGGATACATATAATACGTGACTCAAACATCGTACGGATGCAATAGATCTTCGGCCAAGGGGCATAATTATCTCTAGGTTCGCATTGCCGTGTTGTGCCGCATTAAAATCTTAGGGGCCAAAATCCTTTTAATATTAACAGGCATGTGATAAGACGCCAACTAAGCCTTCTAGCAGCCGGATCTGACTGAAATCTAGGGAAACGTGCATTAGTGTGAAAAGGCTTGTCCAGTACTGTAGTACTAGTATTGCGCGTAGATTTTCCATCCCACTGCGAGATGGTGTAATTTTCCGTAATTTCGCTTTGTCAATAACACCTACAGAAGACGCCAGGCCGGTTTCTATTGGAGATGCGAAGGTTCTGTTTTTTTGGGGCCGAAGGAGTTTAAGTTTAAATTTGCACGTAATATGCCCCCATGGGGATGTCAAAATGTTCAATGAAATAGGGGGTCGCCGTGCCATGTCATACCGGAGCAGAGCTTCTGGACACTACAAGCTGCCAAGAGATAAGCGCACAGGGTATGTTTCATTGTAGCGTCGCAGGATGTGCAGAATCTGTGCTTGTATGTCGAGAAGAGATGGCGTGACTATTCCTGCCAATTTCGCGAAGGCACTAACAGTTCTTGAAAGGAAACACGGCAAGGAAAAGAACATTCCTTGTTTATGTATAGCCCGAGGTGCTGCTGCGAAATGCCTGCCATTATTTGTCTTTTGATAGAGGGAGCCTAACTATACAATGTGGTTCGTGCCGGCTGAGATCGCCGGGACAGCTCTCGTTGCCATCGCCGTCCCTTCTTTTTACACTCTTGCCACAGCAAATAGACAGCTAACAGCGTATCAAGATGAGGACGGCGAAGCTACAGCAGAGTCCTTCCGCGCGTTTGCACGTAGTCGGTGCAGCTATCTCGCGGGCATTTCTTCCGTCGCTGGTCTCTTGTGCTCGGTCCTCTTAGAGGAGCCCGTGTCTGTATGGGTAAGTGGCAATGCAGAAATACCTAATATGCATAGTAACCAATAATAATCGCACTAATATTCCTACTATTACAACTGACTTCCACTACCCAGGCTGTTTTGTTACTTCAGGCTTTCTCGCTCTCTGTAGAACAGTCCCCAGCGAGAAGATTCAACCTGGCCGTCTTTGCGTTCATCGCTAGTGGCCTACCAATCCTGGTCTCCATAGGATATCTGGAAGATGCGGGAAACGCGAAGGTACGGCTATTGGCTATCCTCCAAATAGTTTCAGCCGTTACAAGAGGACTTGGCTGTCTCTTACTTCCGCGGCGTCCAGATGTCTACCGCGATGGTAAACTTGTAAACCGTGAAAGAACCGTCTCCCTTCTGACAAAACATACATTCGGATGGGCAACAGACCAGTTACGACTAATTGCAAGTGCTGGCCCAGCCTTCAACGCAGACTCACTCCCTCAATTGAGTTCACTTTACCAGTCGAAGCATCAAGCTGCCGTGCTGGAGAGAACGCTTGCAGTGCAAGGAACGCTAAGAGAGACTCTTCTTAAAATATACAGGGGACCACTGGTTATCCAAGCACTGTTGATCGCCTTATCATCGGCCTTGGAGTCGGCTCCCCAGGTTGCCTTGTATATGGTCTTGAGATCTCTTGAGAACCAACAGTCCGGAGAACCGGGCCACCAGCCATGGGTATGGGTATTAGCTTTGGGTGCTTCCAAACTCCTCTCGCCTACCGTGAGTAGCTGGGTTAAGTGGATGAACCAAGGTGGCCTATGTATTCCTTTGAATGCCGGACTGACATCCGTTATCTTTTCGAAAGCGCTGCGTCGCAAGGACGTAAAATCTACCACCAAGGGTGGTGATGATGATCACAAACAGGACATTATGAACCATATCAGTGTGGACTTGGGAATAATTGATGGGTTCATCGGGTACACCTACCTGATACCTGCGTCGTTTCTTAAATTGGTATTTGCCTTGATTTTCCTTACTCGACTCATCGGGTGGAAGAGTCTGCTCTCCGCGATGATCATATCCGTTCTCCTTATCCCAATCAACGCGCGGTTGATAAAAAACTATGGATCACTTCAACGAGGCCTGATGAAATCAAGAGACCGCAGGATGGCTGCCATACGAGAAGCCATTCAAAGCATTCGTTATGTCAAATTTGCTGCGCTCGAGGAATATTGGAAAACGCGCATATGCAAGCGGAGGGAAGAGGAGCTTTCCCAGATCCGATCTAGCTTTTTATATAATGCGCTTTTGTTTTCTATATTCTGGATCATCAGCCCGCTGTTGCTCTCTTCTGTGTCTCTGGCGGTGTATACTTTAGAGTATGGAAGCAGCAGTTTGGCAGCCTCGGTTGCTTTTACGACTGTTTCTGTATTGGATTCGCTCGAGCTGTCTCTGGCCATTCTACCTGAACTGTTTACCCAGGGAGTACAGGCCAATATCAGCTCATCGCGCATTGATCGCTATTTAAAAACGGCAGAGAGAATACCTAATGTATCTGCAGGGAGTCACATTGAATTCACAGACGCAACTATATCCTGGCCATCAGAACAACCCAAGTCCCAGAGTAACGCCGACCGCTTTGCCCTATACAACGTCAATTTGAAGTTCCCGTCCAACAAGCTCAGCGTCATATCAGGCAAGACGGGGTCAGGAAAGAGTCTTGTTCTTGCAGCCATCCTTGGTGAATGTGAGCTGGTCAGTGGATATATTACCAAACCACATCATGATCCTAAACATGACGCTGAGCCGCCCGTTGGTGATATATCAGACTGGATTATTCCGTCAGCAATCGCGTATGTCAGCCAGGTTCCATGGATTGAGAATGCAAGTATCAGGCAAAACATCTTGTTCGGCCTTCCTTACCATGAGGAGCGATATCAGAATGTCCTCGAAGTTTGCGCTCTCTTCCCCGACCTAGCGACTCTGTCTGATTTCGACAATACAGAAGTAGGCCCCAACGGCGTTAACCTTAGCGGAGGACAACGATGGAGAATCTCATTCGCTAGGGCACTGTATTCTCGCGCGGGGATATTAGTGTTGGATGATATATTCAGTGCACTGGATGCGCACACCGGGCGATATGTCTATGAGAATGCTCTGAGTGGAGACCTGGCAAAGGACCGCACTCGCATCCTTGCGACACATCAAGTTCTCCCTCATGCAGACTACTTTGTACATGTGGGTAATGATACTGCCAAACCTGTTGATAGACCCCAGGATGTCGTACATGCAATGTTCCTCGGACCAGCACAAGATTCCCCTGCAATATCCAAGCTAAAGACTGTAGCTCCTCTTGAAGGACCTGAGGAAGGGGATGCCGAGCACAAAAAGCCAAGAAAATTCGTGGCTAATGAGGAGAAAGAAACTGGTCAAACAAGATTATCAGTTTACGCAGAATATCTAAGGAAGGGCGGTCTATTGTCATGGACGATGGTGTTTGTGCTCTATGGCAGTTATACGGGTCTAGTTCTAGGACGGGTAAGGGGGCATAATATTGCTGGAAGACTCGCCAAGCTGACGAACTTTTCTAGTCATGGTGGATCAAGTTATGGACGACCAATTCTCCTGCTGCTCAGTCTGTCGATTTAAACAAGAACCCGTCTTCCAGAATAGAATCTCCAGTCGCTTCATACCTAATAATATACGCAGTATTGTCTGGTCTTGCTGGAGCAATCGGTGTCTGGAGGTACTTTGTCTTGATGCTAACAACTCTGAAAGCGTCACGTCAACTATTCAATGATCTAACGCACTCTATTATAAATGCTCCCCTGAAATGGCTTGACACAGTCCCCTCTGGTCGAATTGTGAACCGCTTCTCGTCTGACCTTTCCCGCGTTGATTCGAGGATCAGCCTCGATGCTGGCTTCTACATTGGCAGTGCTTTTGATCTGCTTGCTATCCTAGTAGCCGGAACTTTGGTATCTCCCTCGATTGTCCTGTTTGGTATAATTATCTTGTTTTACAGCTCAAAGCTATCATCCATCCATGCGGTCGGATCTCGGGAACTCCAGCGGCTTGAAAGCATCTCGAAAAGCCCCATATCTGAGTTGTTTGGTTCGACGTTAGGTGGCCTGGCAACTCTTCGTGCCTATGGGAGGACTGGACTCTACATCCAGCGCTTGCACGACTACCTCGATCGACGTAGTCAGTTGTCTTACCATCTGTTGCTCTTCAAGCACTGGCTTGATTTTCGTATGACCTTGACGGGCACTCTGTTTGCAATGTCTGCCGCCATCCTGGTTATTTCTACTAATACCTCGGCTTCTCTGGCTGGGTTTACTCTTACCTTTACTCTTCAATACAGCCAGAAAATCACCTCTTTTCTCCGACAAGGAGTGAATATTGACTTGAATATGAACGCCGCAGAAAGAGTATTGGAGTATTCGGCCATTCCACCAGAGGAAGAACCGGATGCTGGAATACCTGCACCGGCTGCATGGCCAACAAAAGGACAGATTGAGGTGCAGAACTTGGTTTTGAGCTATGCATCCGACCTTCCTCCCGCGCTTGACGGCATCTCCTTCAGTATCAGACCAAATGAGAAGATTGGAATTGTCGGACGAACAGGAGCTGGTAAATCATCCCTTGCTCTTGCGCTTATTCGGTGCCTTGAAGGCCCTAGCCAGGGCACAATCTCCATCGATGGGGTCGATATTTCCAAGATAAAGCTACATGATCTGAGAAGTCGCATTGCACTCATTCCCCAGGATCCTGTTCTCTTCTCGGGAACAGTCAGGTCTAACCTAGACCCATTCAATCGGTTTGGAGAAGAAGACCTTCAAGGTGCTTTGCAAAGAGCCCAGTTATCTGAGCATTCTGCTTGGAGGGGAGAAAACCATCAAGCGCATGCAGCTACGACTTTCGATACAGCGATACATAATAGCAGTACTATAACCCTTGACACTCCAATATCCGAAGGCGGACTGAACCTCTCCCAGGGCCAGCGCCAATTGCTCTGTTTAGCCCGAGCCATCCTTTCCAGACCTCGCATTATGATCCTAGATGAGACCACGTCCGCAGTTGACACGCAGGCGGATGCCTTGATCCAAAAGCTGCTTCGCACGGAGTTCCAGGATACAACGGTTATTTTTATCGCCCATCGTCTTGCTACTGTTGCTGAGTGTGATCGAATTCTGTTTATGGACGCAGGGAGGATAGTGGAGTTTGGAGCCCCAGAGGAACTGCTCCGGATTGAGGGAGGGCATTTTAGGAATCTTGTTGATTCGAGAATCGCCTGAAAGCATCGTGATGATGAATTGATGTTGTATTCTGAATGGCAGACCTGAACAAATGGAATCATTATTTACATCAGGCGAGTAAAATGATACAATCCTTAATGCTTCTGACAACAATCTTGGAAATATGTAGATCACTTTCGACAAAACAGAAGTCAAAGCACGTAATGCAATAGTAAAACTCTGGGTGGCGTAAACGTATCAGGGAGGTAAGGCGCTAAAAAAGCCCTTTGCCATATTCCGAAATATGTCTCATAAGCTTTCTCGCTAGTTCCTATACATAGGATTACTAGCTGTTTGATGTTGTATCACTAACGGAAACCTTTAGCTGACGTCGGAGGAATTTTAAAATAAGTAAAACTCTACTTGGAACCTCGAATACTAAAGGCGAGGACGATTTCCTTATTTGGATAAAGGTTGAGCTTTGATAAGCATTTCGAGCAGATGCTCAAAAAATTCTTGGATTGTTGATCTGAGACCTATAGCCCTGCTATCTATAGTCCACACTTCCTACGTAATATAGTCTGGGATAGAGAAGAGTATAACGGGCATTTATTAAAGGCTTCAAAAATATAGAGGTTGATAGGACGTCGGAACGTGCATAAAAACAGAGCTATAGGGCCACTTTTATTGCCAACAAAGCAAATACGTAGACTATAGTTGATATGATTTCGCCGTCAAATATTGCCATCAATGATCTCTCTCTCGCACGCGAGCATACCTAAAAAGGGAAATCCTCGTAATCACACCACCGGCTGGTACGTATCCTTCCTCATTCCAATTTCCGAGATTGTTTGATGAATTGGCTATCTTTGATGAAGCGCTACTCTTAGTGATATACGACCCGAGACCTTTAAATATTTTGGTCTCCCTTAGACTTCGGATTAGCTTTGGCGTCGATGGAACACATAGGATCAAGTTAGCGCACGTCGTCTCAGACAGAGAACATAGCGCCAATATGGAAAAGTAATAAGTGAAGTCATTGGAAGAGTAGAATCGCGTCGAGTACTATAGCCGTACGGTGCTTGAAACGCAGCCACTATTTAACAGACAAGGTTAGACCGGAGTGGACAAATTGACATAGAGGAATAGATTGATTAGTAGGCGTGAACTCAAAACTAAGACCCAGTTTCTTCTGCGTTGACATGTGCATGCCCCAGATGACCTTCTGTGCAATGGTTAAAGGAATCAGTTCCAGCGCAAGGTTGGTTGCTCCCGATGCCACGCTGAACACTGGAACGCTGAATCGGCAGTATCGACCAAGGACTAATGGATCCCAAATCAAAGTGCCTCTAGACGAAGCTTTATAGACAAAAAGAGCCATCACCTCCACAGAGACGGGTTGTGACGGGGTTGGATATATTGTCTGGCGTGGTGACACAGCTGAGGCTGACGAGCATATAATACAGAGTGTCAAGCCTGTACTCCACAACACCCATTTTTACAATTTAGGAAAGCACACTCAGTTCAGTCAAGGTAATACAGGGCGTTTCTCGTCGTTGCAAATATCATATCCTGAGTTTTTCTTTACTACTGCTAGTATACAGTTTCACGTCCTAGACTAAGAGGGTTGCTTCAACTGTTCAAGCTGTGTCAGGTTTCTTCCAGGAAGAGACAAGTTAGTTCATTTGGTTTACGAACATGCTAATGTACGAGGCCACAAATGCACTCAGGTGTGATCAATCGTTACCGACAGCGCCAGATCCTATGAATGCTCTTGGTAGTCTCTGGCAGCAAATAGGCAGGTCTTCAACTTTTCCCGGAAGATTTATCGTAGTTGGCATCCAGGTATTCCCAACGATGTGAGGTTCCACTTCACCCACAGAGACCTTCACGCTAGCATTATCCTTATAACTCCAGCTGGAGAAAGAATAACAAAAGATATTGTACATAAAACCATAATGCTTCGAGTCGTCTCCCAATATTGCAAAAACAATGATACTTGATGATTACATAAATCATCACTCTCAGATGGGATTACGAGTGATCGTCACGTTCAACTCTTTCCGTCAATGAAAACTAAAAATGGCCAGTTCTTCACGTAGTAGATACAAGTGTAGGCTGCTTTTCCGCGTCCGTCTCGCTCTTTTTCGCTTCCTCAACGAGCCCGATATCCGTCTCAAGTTCAGTACGCACATGCAACTCTTTGGCAAGGAATGCTAAAAGAACCCCAAGAAGTGCAAATGCAAGGCCTACTTGCCTAACCAACTTCAGACTGTTGACGTAAATGTCTTTCACAATAGCTTCTAGGACAGGGTTATCATCCAGGCCTAATGCAGAGTACAACGGTCCGCCGGCTGCCAAAGTGTAAGCTCCTCCATTTGCAAGCAACGCAGCTGCTGTTTTATTCCCCTGCAGACTGGTAGATATGAGGGTATCAACCTTGGAGTTAAATACGGCTAAAGGTATGGCAGCTCTGCTTCCTGCAGCAGGCTATATAGCAATTGCTCTGTATACTGTTATTTATCTTGCTAGAAATGGTCAACAGATTCAGCTGGTGGAGTTGCAAGACGTCGTGATACATAACGGCATAACACTGGAAGACGGCTCCTCTGGAGTTGACTTGAATTTCGTTATCAGTTTAGTCAAGGAAACCCCCACTAGCAAAATCGTCGAGTTTTCTTGTAACGTCTGTAACGTTGATACCGGATCTCCTGAATTCGCAAAAGAAGTCTTCAGCGGCGGTGCCATTATAAAACTGAGATGCCCGGTTGAAGAACCCTGCCGAGCAGGAAATCCCCAAGCCTGCCCATGAAGGATGTAAATACTGATCGTATCTATTCTTGGATGCAGACAGTCGGGATGGATTACTCGAAGCCATTCTTGATAGACTCGATCAAAAGACGTCTGAATATCGCCACAGTCACCACAAAACGAATTATAAATGATCAATATCCAATTCATCCAGCAACGCTCGACAGCATTATTCAGGGTCTGCTTGCTGCCTTTTCGTGCCCCGATGACGGACGAGTATGGACGATTTACCTCCCAAAGAGCTTTCGGCGAATCATCTTGACGTGAACGCACTCCCGGAAACTAGTTCGCAGCTGATCGCCGACTGCTATGTCACAGAGTCATCAGCACGGTTAATATGCGGTGATATTGATGTATTTTGTGCGGAAGATGGTCATGCTGAAATCCAGGTTCAAGGCGCCATTTTTACCTCCCTTGACCTATCCCACGTCAGCTAACGACCGAGGCATGCTTTGGCGGACCAATTGGAAGAGAGATATGTCGAGCGCCATTAGGGCTCCAGAAGGAAACCATCAACACAAAGACTCTTCAAAAGATCGGGAACTTCATGTGCTATGCGATAGGACTGCTTGTTTTTACCTCAGAGAACTACTCAAAGAGGTCGAGCGAAAATATATACCGTCGATGCAAGAATATTTTCAGTGCTTAATGTATTGGTGCCTAGACTATGTGATTCCAGTAGCTCAATCTGGCCAGCATCCTTGCTGGAAAGCTCACTGGCACAGTGAGACCTGGGAATTAATTAAGACGCTGTCCGAACACGAGAATCTTGGTCAAATTGATCCCAAACTCATACATCACGTGGGCTCAAAACTTCTATCCATTGTGCGTGGATTGGAGCCAGCATTGCAGGTCTTCAAAGAACACGATATGCTTGACTGGCTTTATACGGAGGGCTTAGGGCTTCGCGAGGTGAACGAAAATCTTGGGATACCCTTAGATCCCCTTGTACACCGTTACCCCCAAATGCGAATCCTTGAAATAGGGGCTGGCACTGGCGGATCAACAGCCATGGCTTTGAACTTCCTAGGATCAAGCTTCGGGGACTACACATTTACGGACGTCTCCCCTGGATCCTTCCCAGCAGCCCAGGCCCGATATTCCGAGCAAGAAGGGGCTATGACATACCAAACACTTGATATTAAACAATAACCGATTGAACAGGGTTTCGGAGCGCATTCATATGATCTCATCATCGCTGCGCATGTTCTTCACGCGACTAAATCTATCTCTACAACAGTTCGACATTGTGGAGAGCTTTTGCGGTCTGGAGGCTATTTAATTCTACTCGAGCTCACTAATATAAACACACTACGAACGCCGTTTCTGTTCTTTTGTTTTCCCGGGTGGGGGCTTGGCCGAGAAGAAGAAAGCCGAACTCGAAGTCCAATGCTCACAGAGGCACAATGGGACGTGGTTTTACGGGATAATCTTTTTTCTGGAGTAGATCGCTCTTTCAGAGACTTTGAGGACGTCTCCATTCACACATTCTCTACCATGGTAACCCAAGCAATAGACGATCGAGTCAGTATCCTGAGAGACCCTTTCAACGCAGTCGGCAATGTGACGGGTATCGAGAAGTTGCTCATCATTGGAGGACGTTCACTAATAGTATCCAGGATGGCGACGAACCTACAAACTCTTGTCAGCACATTTACAGAACATACAACTGTCATAAATTGCTTGGAAGACGTGCTAACAGGTGAATTAAGCTGTGCTTTCACGCTCCCATCTCTCCATTACATTCTGTTCAGCCACCATCACATTGCACTCGACGGTGTCGCTTGGAATGTGTTTATTGCCGACCTCACACAAGCATACTCCGAAGGTTTACCAGCAAGCCCAAGAGTTCAGCAGTCAATCGATATAGCGAGGAAGCGACTAGAGATATTCGCGCAGCAGAATCTTCGAGCTGAACTTGCCTTTTGAAAGAGTATATACTGAACTATTCCTAAACCGTTTCTATTATGTATTCCCGTTCGCCAGAGTCAGGTTTCGTCCGGCTGTTAAGGGTCATACTGTTAATATTTGTGATGTTAAGCTGCCTAGAGAATTAACGAAGGCTATACAACGTGCGGTCACTACAATCGGAGTAACCCTATTTCATTTTTACATTGCGAGCCTGGTGACGTTCCTTGGACGGTGCCTGGGCACTAATGATGTCGCTGTCGGAATCGTCAGCGCAAACTGGACCGAGGAAGGGGATTAGAAGACCGTCGGACATTTCCTAAATATGCTGCCGGTGCGTATCTGGCTTGACTATTCTGAACAGTTCAATGAGGTAGCTAGAAGATCGCGCGATGCTACATTGGCGGCTCTGGCTCACTCACGGGCACCCTTACGACCTGCTGCTCAATGCGGCCATAACATCGAGCTGGACGTCAGTAGGACTCATTACGCAGCAAAATCAATTAGAGGAATCTGACGGTGCGCTCCTACTCAAGTGGTATACACCCCCAAAGCCGTAGCCCAGAATCCTGACCTTGCAGTGGGCAATTGCCCAATATCTAATGAGAAAGACATTGAAGACGCCATCAGACTCGGACGTTGTAGTATAGCTGACGTGCCATGGAAGAGCACACTCACTGACCGAATGAATTAAGTAGCGGTCGAGCTACCAGAAGCTGTTGCTATAATAGACGACGAAGGCGAAAGCATTACTTATGCGCAGATGACGACTAGATTGATGCAAATCACGCGTCAATCACAAGGTGTTACACCTCCCCTATCTCCGGTATCGTATGTAGCCATGCTTCTCGATTCCGTCGCGGATGCTGTTTGCTGTGCCCTTGCTATCTTGCACTTAGGCTTCGTTTGGATTCCTTTGGACACGCGGAATCATGAGCAACGACTTCGTAAACTACACTGTGACGGTTTGAAGCTGGTTAACGTATATGGGCCAGCAGAGATTACCCTGGCTTGTGCCAAAGGCATTGTGCCATTGACCGATGCGGACGATAGCTGCGTTGATCATCTTCTGCCTTCGCCAAATTATGAAATCCAAATTACTGACGCTGATATGAACATCTTACCCGTCGGATTTCTTGGTGAAATATGCATCTCTGGGCAAGGAGTTGGTCTGGGATATATTGAGCGGCCTGAGGAATCAAGTCACAAGTTCATTAAAAGTCATCCTCTGTGGTAAGAAAATACCGCTCCGGTGACAAGGGAAGGATTCTCCCAGACGGCACGCTCGAAATCTTGGGAAGACTAGACGGGGATAATCAAGTGAAGATTCACGGCTTCCGCGTCGAGTTCGACGAAATCGCCAATGCCATTGTGAAGATATCGAATGGTGCAATCGTCAATCCTGCTGCTTCTTTGAGAAACACTCCATCATCAGACATTATCGTCGGTTTGTGTTCTTTGACGTCAAATTCGTTGGGGAAAGATCGGAATTTATAGAATGGCTTCATGTCAACATTCCCCTACCGCTAGTTATGAAGCCCGCTTTTATAATTCCTATAGATCGGATACCAGCCTTCCCAAATGGCACGGCTGACATGGATGCGGTCAATATATTGCCTATCAACGAATCCGATGTTTTAAATGATGTGAGTGCCGCCATTCAGAGCTTGAGCCCCTGGGAATAATCGATCAAGGAAATCTGGCAGGAAGTCCTCTTGTTTAGACATGCCCAAACTTTACGGTATAGCGATAGAGCATAATCAATTCGGCCAATATCTGACTTCTTTCAAGTTGGTGGAAGTTCAATCCTGATGATCAAACTCAAGGCTCTCCTTGAGGTCCAGTTAGGCGTGAAGGTGTCTATGCCCGATCTATTCCATGCTAGTACTCTCCGTAGCATGGCTAGACTAGTTGCAAATGCCTCGGATATCAACAATAGTACCACTCTCTCGCCGTCGAAACCGGCAGTGTTCGTTGAACATAAAGATATTCAGTCTACGATTAATTGGGATGTCGAAATCGCAAGCATGGTTGATGGGCTTCCACAACCCAGTCCTACTCTTCCGCTTTCCAACAAAACGTTACTCAATGGGTTCAGTGGCCTCATAGTCATCTTAACGGGCGCCACTGGATTCATTGAAAGGCACATCCTATAGCATGTCGTCCAAGACTCAAGAATATCACAGGTTCACTGCCTGGCAATACGACCTGACGAGTATGGAAAGCCTCGCCATGTCTCGGTAAAAAACGATAAAATCATTGAGTATGTTGGAGATTTGTCAACCCTACATCTCAGCCTCTCAGACTCTCAATTTATGTTTCTATCCGAACACGCTGATGTTATCCTTCACAACGGCGCCGACGTATCACTACTAAAGACATACCGGTCCCTACGCCGTGCCAACGTCGTTTCGACACGTACGCTATGCGAGATGGCCATCCCCCGCCGATTGCCCTTATACTACGTATCGACAGCATCTGTAGCAAAGGTGGTTCACCTTGAAGCAGGTCAACCGCTTCTTGAAGTTCCTGCGTTGCCTGCTGTTCCAGACCTTCTGAACTCTGTCGATGGCTACGCATCGTCGAAATGGGTCAGCGAGATGCTTTTGAAAAATGCGGCTTAGCATAACGAACTGCCTACCTATGTCCACCGGCGAGCGCACGTCGTTGGTAAAAACTCATCAGAACTAGATGCCGTAGGCATGCTTATGAAGTACTCACTGTCTCCTGGCCAAACGCCGCACATAAACTCAGAAAATATTACGGGTCAGTGGGATTTTATCACGGTTCAGGACATGGCAAGGGATTTGGTGCACTCGACTATCGAATCTGCGAGTTCTCTAACTCTGCAGCAGAAAACACAACGCATCAAGTTCCCTATTTTCCTCAACCACTGCAGTGATATAAATCTTTGCCACAATAATTTGCGAGATTACCTCGAGAGCGTAGCTGGAAGACCCCCGCAAGAGATCGATATGAAGGAGTGGCTGGCGGCCGCATGTGAGAGGGCTTCATCCATTAGTATACGAGTTTTTCGCCGCATTCGACGACGGACGAGGAAATATAGTTTTGCCTATCATTGTGAAAGGTGCGAGACAAGTATAAAGTACATTCAAAATATTAATACTCTTATTCATCGTTTTTTGTTTGAAAAGAAATATATACCTGGGCATCCGCAGCCCCGGCTCCTTGCCGACAGCCATGGATGACTCTACGAAATATTGAGGATGATGAAGGATATTAATATATCAAGGTAATTAACATGCGTAGATATATTAGTAAATTAAATAACAACATTTAATTCGCATCAGTATCTTCCATATTATGCAGCGGCATATTATTATCTTCAAGCTACCCTGATTCCGGGGAACACGACGACGCTGCGAATATAACTCAAAAGATTTCAATTAAACCCCCTCTTTCCCCTGGAGCTATTCATCCATTGATTTGTAACTGATTGCTCCAATGGAAGACGAGCACTTACCCCTCGGCGCACAGTCCTCTTGTCAACGCGGCTTTCCACTCCTCGTGTAACAGAGCTGAAACTGACCGTATATAGAGTCTACGGCGTTCATCAACATTCAAACAAACCCAAAAAGAGGGGGAAATAAGAACTAAAGAGACCCACCTATCCGTTTCTATGATTTCTTTGCTGACACCTAAGATAAACTTTTTGCTGCCTGTTTCCAAGGTTCTTTGTTGCGTCGATATCTCCGCCGGATTGTCATTCACGATGGACGTTTCGTCCATTGTTGCAACTTGGCTCTCATTTGCCGCCACAGTCATCGGCCTGAGTTCTCTCGTAACTCATGTCCGAAGTGCCATCGCCCAGGCAGATCCTTTTCTTTCCTTGCGCGACACTCGGCACTTGGGCTGGTGGTGCTTCCGACAGCCCTATGTGCCATGGTATTGCATTGTTCAGCCGCCTCCCCTCGGTCCAGTAATTCATGCCAATCTTCTGGACGGTCTGTGTGGCCGAAAGACAATCAGTCTCAGTCGTCTACCACTAACACAGCCAGCTGGTCAAGCTTGCAAGGTCAGTGCTGCTATCGGTTTTTCACCAGAAAGCACTAATCCAGAGCAACAGCGTCTCTGAAAAGAGCGTCGGAAAACCAAACTTCATAGTCAATATCCACAGCGAGCCATCCGAAACTATCTCAATGGATCGCGGGTGGCAGGATCTACCTCTCGTTCCTCTGATGAGACACGAAATACTACATGCACAATTATCTCCCGCGCGACCTTCATGGCACTGCTTGCCGTGACAAATGCTCGACCGGCATTTCTCTACAATGGCTCTTCCGGACATCGAGCTGCTTACGCGTCGTACTGCGGTCAGTGGCTAGTTGAGTGGCAGATCGGAGGCCGAGCGGTAATTCATTTTGCTCCACACGACTCCCATACCCTAGTGAGTGATGTGTATCCTGCAACAGTTGAAAGAAGAGTAGACAAGTGCCTGCAAATTCTAGTCGGGGTCATCGAAGCACGCGCACCAGGAAACTCCAAATGTGCTTTCCCTGGTCGGCAAGCAAGCGGGAGTTGGTTGTTGAAGTATCGAATCAGAGGGTTTGGCAGTGCTCACAGCGGCAGACAACATGATAGGTGGAAACGTAACTGATGTCGACTTCTTTGCTATGCAAAAGCTTGACAGTAATGCGGAATCTGCTATGTCGGAGCATGTTGTCGTTCTTGACTTGCCCAGCTCCAAAAGTCCTGACCGCAGTTTTGTCTTATATGTCCCTGAGAAGGAGGGGGGTACACTCAACCAAGCTTTGGATTGTCTACCATGGACTCCCCTTTCTTGGTCTGCCCATCGCGGCCTCAGAGATATACTCGTTGCTTTCGCTAAAACCAGGATGGATATGCATCGAGATGTACTGGCCGCAACTCTACACTTGGCGGTGTCTAGGTGGCCCGAGAAGCTCGATGCCAAAGGATGGAATCCAAATTTTGTCAGAGAAAATATGGCAGACATGGCAGCTAGTGCTGTCTTAGCCGGTAGTGGGATTTCAGGGGGTGTTGTTCGGATCGTGACAGATATAGCTTTGCTTCTCTGGGATGGAACGGTAGAAGAACTGGACGAGACGACATTTTGGAGAGATACAACTACCCCAAGGAGTACTTCGAGTCTCAGTCCAATGACTGTTGTCGCTCTCGTCAAATGTTTTGTTCTGGAATGGAGCGTGGACCTGGATTATCAAATGTATCATGACTTGCCAATGGAGTTATACTTTGGATGAATGTATTGATTCTCACATATATCTGATAGAAATTTGCATGCAACTAATTGGCCTTACAAATATTGAATGCAGGTGATATGCTTCGGTTTATTATAGTCTGCTGCTGTTAGCTAGGCACCAATATCACACTATCGAGCATATGAGATTCAGATCACTTTCACTGAAAGTAAAGTTTCCTTTCTTTTCCATCAGACTTCGCTTTTCGTGCGATCCTCAAATTACACAGCCAATACTGTATGTTTGCAAATATAGTCAGAAACAGGCCGAATGACACCAAAGAAACGATAAGACTCCATCCTATGGGATACAGAGGTGCATCACCGGACTGAAATAGCTGGCTTCCAACAATTCCCGAGGCATTCGCAGACATGATGAAGATTGCGAGTGTTATGGATCGTTCACCCGCAGAGCGAGCGTTGAGAGCCATCCACGAGCCGTTCACGGGATCTGATTGTCCAATGTCAGTAAATTCTGCGCCTTCTTTGGTAGTGGAAGGGAACATCTTACGCCACACTGAGGAAAATGCAATAGCAAGTGTAAGCACGGCATACCGACTATGCGAGTCGGTTGAATAGATCAAAAGGCGGCATGCAAGCTGTAGAAATGTTAGACATACTTGCGCTCTTCGTGATGCAAGATTTATTCATGCCAATTCAAGAGAGAAGACGTACTGCAAAAGCCCACCAGAGTATCATCCCTGCCAATACCACTGGGCCTCGTATGTTCATTTTGTCCGCTGTGTAGCCCCAAGCGATATTCAAGACCAGTTGAATCCATTGTCCCACTGAAACCATGGCATTGGACCGCAGCCGTCCATATCCAAGTCCCTCTACTATCTTGGGTGCATATGACCACATAGTCGAAGACGGTGCTAATGCAGCAATGGTGAGAAGAACATGTGGGAGAAGCCTCCAATTTGTCAACTAAGAATTCTTATTAGTCTTGTATTCCCAGTATATTTGTAAATCCATAAGATGACTGAGGCATACTGCACGTAGGATCTCGTCTTTGTTTATATTTCTACGACGCTGGGCCTTGCTGGGGTCATCGAGCAACAGGCGACGAACAAGGATTTCAGTCTCACGCTCAGTGAAGTAGGCATAACCAAAGATATTGAGTGGCGAAGCAACGTCCCGTGGAAAAAGCAAGATGAAAATGGCGCCAACGACTATCCCGAAAAGACCTTCAATCTACACACAGCTGTTAGCTGGCACAAGACGACCGAATGATAGGAAATTCGTACGATAAATAACCATTGCCATCCTGCCAGATTGGCTGCACCTCTCATTTGCAAACTATGCTCGGTGAACAAATTAACCTTCCAGTGTGTAAACGATCAACAGCCGCGGCATACGCACATTCCATAGGCAGCTAGTCCACTAACAGCCTGAGCTAGCATATTGCCCACAAAGAACCAGGAGAACCGTTTAGATGACTCGTTACGTTTGTACCATCTAGTGATGGTGTATAGACCGGCGGGAATAAAACCCGATTCGCATAGACTAGGTAAAACAATCTTTTGTCAGTTTCATGACGATGGATCGAAATCAGCAGTTAGTGTATAGATAGAAAACGTACCCAAGCAAAAGCCTTGTAACAAGAAACGCGCCGAGGCCCTTTTGGAATGCCTGAAATGTAGCCACCAAACTCCTAATCAACGCCGTGAGCATATAATCTCTACAGCGACTGGTCGAGGTGGGTGTCCTATTCACCAAGCGACAATCTGCCCACTGATCCACACCGATGGCCCAACACGATATAGAATGTAGTTGCTTGGAATCTATAGTTATTATCCACGGATAATGGGTTTCGGATGCATGTTCAGTTACACTTCAAAGCGTCAATTAGAGATGGGTAAGGACAAACCTCCCAAATGACAATACCTACTGATAGGAGTTGCTGGCCAACATTGTATTGGTTCTGGGTAATGCCAACATCGGCGAGGAAGTAATCTGTAAGTGCATTTCCACTTTTGTCGCTGTATCAGCACAATTTTCCGAAATCCCTAATTCAAGCAGTGCCGTACATATTTCCGCGGTCGAGTTGTAGTGCAAAGAATGCTAGCATTAAGAGTGGCATGATAAGAGAATCGAGGCTTGACATAATGATTAGCCTGGCTGTTCTTGCTTGGGTAGGTACTTGGGATATTTCGCCTCATACCGATTTACAAGCCTCCTTTCCTCTCCCTCTGTCCAATCCACTACAAACTGCTGTTCACCGTCGCTGGTTCCTGCTTCGTCATATTTCTGCATGACAGTGCTGGTAGCTCCAACACTCTTAATTCCGGGTGGCATAATGTCCTGGATATTCGTTCTTTCTGCTAGACGTGGCTGGCCCGTTGATAAATCGACATACAATTTACTTGAGAGCTTTGGCGGGAGCAACGCAATTGAATCTACGTTTGAGCATCGTAGATACGCCCTCTCGTTATAAAGCATCGTATTTAGCTACAGGGCTTTGCTGATGGCCACATGGACTCCAAAGCTTGAGCCGTAAGTGCCGAACTTCACGCAATATGCGCTAATGTGAGGTTATGTTGGTATAAACCACTCACAGGACCGAACTATGTCTATGATACCATCAGCCCACCATATTGTAGCAGGTATTTACGGTCAGTGGCAGTTTCATGTCGGCATGCACACCGATTGTCCACACCTTAGCTTCAAATCGCACCATGCTGTAACACTGTTGATATTCACTTTGCGCGCTGGGATTTTGTGCCGGTCAAATCGGGTAGCCCGCGCGCTGTGCTCAGAATGGCGCGCGATGAGGTGATGTGACAATGTAACGCTTAGTTAGGGTTATAAGAGTACTTGGGCACTCTCTTTCAACCAAACACACCATCGTCGAGGCATCAATCTATATACCGTTCTCTTTGAACTGCTCCTTGTTTATATACGGCATTGAAAATGGCGTCCCTTGAGTCGCGAAAGCATATTTCCCCGGACTCGGGCTTTTCTGTTACTCTGCATCCCCATTTCAACGCCAGAATCGCATCCCATGTCCCTTCCAGCCCTATCCGGGAAGCTTTCGATCCTCCAAAGGACCGCGCTCATTTCGCCGATCCCGAGAAGAAGGCTCTCTTCGCCGTGGCGAGAAGAGTTGATTTGACGGAGGGTGTTGGCACGCTTTTGGAAAACGTGCAACTGTCTCAACTCAATGCGCAACAACTCGATGAGTTAGCTTTATTAGTGACAGAGAGGGGAGTCGTGTTCTTCAGAGATCAGGATTTGACTACAGAAAAGCAGGTAGAATTATTTGAACATTATGGTATTCTTCCCTCACCTGTGTAATTGTTATGTTGTGCGATACCTTTTTAACTAGAAGAAGGTATTCTGGACAAACACCCTGCCCAAAAGGTATGGAGAAATTCTCATCTTGATTATCAGAAGGATTCACCCAAGCTAACGCAAAGTAGGAATCAAAAGTATCAACATCGTCGCCTTGAGATCCGTTACCTGTTTACTAAATCATTGTCTAGCATAAAGATATTTATGGAAACACCGATGACCATCGTGAAATAGCCAACTTCACTCCTTGGGTAAGCCATTTGTAGTGACTTTTGTTCTTTCTTTCTTCCTTTTTTTATTTCTACTAACGTTACATGGACTGAAGCCAATCGCAGAGTGGCACGCAGATACTTCATTCGAGATTAACCGTATGAAATACCATTCCGTCGGGGTATTTTGCCCAGTATCCTTTGCTAACATCTGTAAAGCTCCGAGTTACTCTCTACTCCGAATGGAAGAACATCCTGAGATCGGCGGCGATACAGCATGGGTACGTCTGTCGTTTCTTGATACAAGATATATCTTGCTTCTAATACCTACGTAGATATCACAATACGGGACATACGATGCCTTGAGCGACGCTTACAAAAGGTTTCTTGAGGGACTGCACGCGGTACATACCTCTCGATTGCAATGTATGTTGTGTCTCTCCGGATCTCAGAACTCAGACTTGATTCATGATAAGCTTATCATCATCACGATAGATGACACCATAGCTGATCTCTGGGGCATTGCCCCAAACCGTCCACCAATTGATACTCACCATCCTGCCGTTCGAACTCATCCAGTCACCGGATTAAAAGCTTTAAATGTGAACCCTGGATTCGTTACAGGTTTTGCAGAACTGAAAAAGCTCGAGTCTGGTAGGGACCTCTCCTAATTTGCTGTTGCGCAGATTGCTTTGGTCTAACTTGCAGATGCAGACAAAGTTCTCGATTTCCTATACACCCACATTCACTCAGCAGATGACCATTATGTGCGCTGGAAATGGAACGTGGGCAGCGTTGCCTTCTGGGATAACCGGTGAGATATCTTTCATTTTATGTCCCCGCTCATTATTTGCATGGTTTGGTTACCTGTGACTAATGAATGTCCAAGATGTGTCGCTCATCGTGTGATACCTGGATCGTACGAGACACCTAGACGTGGCGTTCGCACTACAGTGTATGGCGAGAAACGTATGTTTCGTTACCTCCCCATTCTTTCGTCTTGTTATACAGCTAATGCGTAATTTTAATGAAAGCATTTCTCGACCCGGCGAGCGAAGGCCGTCTGCAGCGTAAGCTACGAAAGGCGAGGGAAGCGAAGACTAACGGCACTGCAGTAAAACAATAGATGGTGTGCATACATGGATGAAGCACTCCAAATGATGAATTTCTTCCGCCTGCAGATACTACATCATTGAACTTCATATGTTTACCTTATAATCATGTCCTTTCGCGGTTACCTCTTTGGCTAGCTACGTCTATAGCACTATTCACTATCATAGAGCCATTTCAGAAAACAGAAACTTCATCAAAGCGGGCATGGATATTCGTCTATAAGCTGAATGTTACACATAACCACAGAATCATCATGTTCATAACCATGCCACCCCCTATTGAGAGATGACTAGAACCCGGTGGACAAGGCTAATCTAGAAGATGTATCTAAACTGAGGAATCTCTTTATCAGTCTTGTCCATCTCACTCAGCATGATTCCAATTGGTGATCCATTTGTCTCCAGTGGACTGCTTTCTTTGTCCCGACGACGATTTTCCCAAATAAGATAAAATCGTAGCACCAAGCAAGTCACAATTCCCACGCCGTAGCATACCAGCATTGCAAGGAAGCCTGAACTATAGCCCGGTGATTGATAAGAGAAGAATAGGTTTGGTCCAATAATATTGCCCGTACAGTATGCGATGAAAACCTGTGATGCGCGCTTTTCGTTAGCCGGTTTTAATTACGCTTTTCCTTCATGGAGAAACACTCACAACTGCACTAACGGAAGCCTTTTTGGTGAAGCCGCCAAAGTTACCCGAGATCAGTGACATGATTAACGGGAAGTTGGCTGTGAAAGTTCCAGCTAGACACTGACCGATGAAGCGCGGCCACTTCAAGTCCTCCGGGAGCTGACGAACAAGCGCCACACCGACAACGGAGACGGCGAAATTGAATATCATCCAGAATGTTCGAGTGTTGCGAAAGTACGAGCTACCGCCAGTGGCAAGAAGGACGAAGAAAAGCTGAAATGCGTAGCTCGTCACACCAACTAGTAGTGTCCTGAGCTCACCAAACCCTAAGCCGTTGGTAACAATAGTGCCGAACTAGCCTTCATGTCAGTGGATGATGTATCTTAAAAGATAATGGACATAGTCTGGTGGCATACGCTAGTTAAGCCACCATTGGGAATGTTACTAGCGAGTTGAATGATAAAAACAAGCCACGTCTTAACATCCAAAAGAGCTTCGCGGCATTGGTGCCACTTAAAGTGGTCATTCTTTACACCCGTCAAATTTTCTTCTACTCGTGCAATAGCCTTGAGGCGATCTGCCGGGCCAAGGAACCAGGACTTTGTAGGAACATCTGGGAGCAGGAACAAGGCACAGAAAGACCATGCCACTGTGACGCCTCCAAAGATCAGGAACACCGCCTTCATTGAGGAATGGTTAGATCGATCCAGGTGTGAGAGACGGTCACGAGTCATGCATACCTTCCACGAGGGAATAGTTTCTATATGGCCTATTGCATAGGCAAGCAGACCACCAACGATTCCAGCGAATGTGTTTCCGAGAAACCAGGCGGCATGACGCAGGGGCTGTTCGGAGCGCTTGTACCACATGCTGATAATGATAGTGAGTCCCGGAGCAACTGGAGCCTCACAGATTCCAAGAATGAAGCGAACGGCAAGAAGCCCTCCGGCATTGACACAAACAGATGTTAACATAAGCATCACACCCCAAGCACAGCTATAGCAACGGTATTAGCCGCAATTCTCATTTTCATCAGATAATAAGCTTACATTGAAGCGGTGATGATCTTCCCGACCTTCCAACGCACCATGAGTGCACCAGCAGGGTAAGAAGCAACCAAATACCCAAAGTAGTAGATAGCACTAGCCCATGAGTAGTCACCACCGCTGAGATGTAAATCTTGACGAAGTTTTAGAACGGCGGTGTTGGCGAGAGCGGACTTGTCTAGAAATTGAAAAACATAGGAAATGGTCATGACTGGCAACAGACTGAGTATCTAGTAAGCATTGCCCTCGTTCAACTGGTAGTTGTGTTGCCTCTTACCATAGGTCGATCTTGCGCAGAATTCTCCTATCCTCCTCGGGAGAAAGCGACTCTGTCACGGTCCCGACGGCAACATCCTTGTGCTGTTGGACAATTTCAAGCTCCATCTTTCCCTGTTCTATGATTGCTGACATGATGGTAGTATTGGGAGTGGTAGTAGCATCAGGAGTTGCTGTTGTCAAGTCAAGGTAGATAGCACGGGCATATCTCAAGGAGATGACGGAGGACTTTAAGTATTACGGTGTAATCCTTGAGCACGGCCGCTATCTCTCCCAGCAATGCGTAGCCAAAATATTAACATTGATAATGGATCGATACTTATCACAGTAGATTATGCCAGAGGTCAGTTCGCTTTCCAGTGCGGAGAAAGGTGTTTTGCCTCCAATTCGAGAAAGACGGCCGGTTTCCGTGCGACGTGATTGGATTAGATAAGGCCAAAGCTTACTACCTCTCACGTAGTGGATATGAGTAGACTGGCAAAGATCGAGTGCCTGTCCCATCAGGAATTAATCCATTGTCAAGGACGTGAAAAAGTAATCTATCTGGGGGTGGCTGCGGACCCACCGCATCGGCTATTAGCCGACGCGGCTTGTCAGCACTAAGCCTATGTGGGGCCTGCTATATCCGGTTTAGTCAATCTCTCCATTCTTGAAGATAGATCACAACTCCAAGTTCAATTCCCGAAACCAAGGGTCCTGATAGGCTTGACGGGCTAGAGATTACTTCGGATTGCAGCCTGATTAGTGCGGGGCATCGCTGTGTACAATGGAATCTGTCTGCCACCTACCGACGCGAAACTCGTCCAGCCACGAGATCGTAGAAGAGTCACGGGCAGCGCGTGAAATAATATCGCCACATATAAGAGAACCACATGGCGTTCTGGTTCTGACAGTAGTCGGAAGCGCAACAATTGTTGAAGTCGCGTCAAAGGCCGTGTAAGAAGGAAATTGGAGTTTACAGTAGTACTTGATAAGGCTATTTGAGCAACATCAAGATTCACTTGCCCTCAACGTTTTAGGAAGGATAGAGCTTTCTGTCTAGATAAAACTTCATACTATACATGAAGCCGAGTCTCTATTCTACCATTGAGGACCAGTCTAGACAGCCATGCGACTGTCTTGTATGCCTTTGGGCTACAGTTATATTGTTGAGCTCGTTTATGGTACATACTGTTAGGCTTGGTTAAATGAGGGTTTCCAGATTGTAGTTCATATGAACAATTTATTATGAAATTGCATTTTTTGAATTTTTGTGTTTTGCACTACTTGCTTGCTGTTCCACATAAAAAGGATGACATTAAATGTTAAAGTTCTTTATTCTGAATTTAATAGGGTTACTCTGTCAGCTAAATAGGTACTTTATCCCCATATCAGTCGGCATTGCTTTTTAATTAGACAATTATAGACATTAAACTCCAGACGCCTTCTAGGGCTTTCCGGATTACCGTATTCACTATTGATAAATCGGCAGGATAGCAATGATAATCTAAAAGATGTCCTTATGCCATGTGCGGGATTTTATAACCTAGAAAGGACGATGATTTAGCTCGGACGCTTTGCTAATTAATGTGTTTTTGGTATAAACAAATGGGAAATTAGGTTTGAACAACTGATCCCAATTCAGATAACGAATAGCTTCAGATCTTCTGACTCGGATTGAATTCTTTCGAGATCCATTACACCCCCCAGGTTCATATGCAACGCTTTTAGTTTCACCGCGGTCATGAGGAAGCGGTGGGCGCGTTGTATATTTTTGCCATAACAGCCCATTGCCTGGAAGCGGGAAAGAATCCATTCCCGGTGCAGTTCATCACTAGTCTCAAGACCAACAATAAATAGAGGCCATGCAATGCGCACCAAGGCCTCATCGCCCTGATGCTTGAACATTTGCAGAGCAAGATTCATAATATTGCGCATGTGGTCTTCCGATGGCGGGGAGTCATCTAAGCCTAATCGTCGTTTCACGCGCCCGAATTCAATCAGAGTGGCATAATACTGTGGCACAATGTTACGAATATTTGCTACCAGTCGTTGTGAGCTGTCCGTTGCTATAGATAATTGGCCTGCCACTTCAAGCAGTTCTCCGAAGCGACTCTCCACGTCCTGTACAAAGAGCCCTATCTCCAAACATCGTTGCCGTGCCAACTCGCCGTGTAGTTTCGCTAACTGGGCCACCATGAACCTTAGCTGAGCTCTGGCAGTAGCGAGAGCAAATATGTCTCGGTTATTAACGTCATCTAGTAGCTCCGACTGGGGATAGTCATTACCCCAGATGGTGCGATACAGAGGGTAAGAAAATCTGTGAAGTCTAGCGGCAGGACCATTCATCATTGATGCCCCAGGATTTTGGGTCGGCAATATTTGGTTGAGTGCAGCATTTATCTCTCCTCCAAGGCCAAAGGTTGAGGCACTCGCATCATGCGTGGCCAAGTAGACGAGGACGCGGGCTGAAAATAAAGATAAGGATTGGCCGTTGTTCTCTTGGCCTCGCTGCATCAAAGCCACTTTACTAGGCTGATCAGGGGAAGTGATAGCCATCTGTAGCGGAAAACGGAAGTGGTGCTTGAGGACCACGGCTGCCCCGGCAAGGTGGTTTGACAGTCCGGAACACCTGGCATCTCCGTACTTGCTTTCGTACACAACCATTAAAAAGAGTGTCGCGTAAATAGTGTCGATATCAAGCGGCCGATTCTCGACATCGCTACCGCCACCCAGCGAATCGGCCATTAGCCGAAGTGCCGCAGAATAGTGTTGGACACGTGAGACGGAATGCTTGCGAGTCCGACCATCGGCTACCGCCAACCCATTATCAATGCCCTGACGTCGCGACTCCAGTTCTCTATTCCCCAGAGCCAAGATAGCGCGCATAACCATTGGCTCACGCTGTGCCATGTTGAAAATAATGGCGTACATGGAATAATGCGGGTTCTTGGTGTGGCGGATGCTGGCAAATGTGGTGCGGAAGTATCGGATGGCCTCGTGGTCAGCAGAACTGAGATCTATCGAGCATGCGCTGTTGGAAAGCTCTGGTAAATGAGTCGGCATGGATGATGCACTTGGCTTGTTAGGGGCAATTAAGCTATCACACTTAAATTGGCGCGGGGCGTAATCGCAGAAAAGCTGAAGGCGCAGGCATCGGCCACACCTGGGCCGCTCTTCGTCACACTTGACCTTCTTAGTGCGACATGTCCAGCATCCATTCTTGGAACGAGGGGCATTACGACCTCGCTTGCTGACTACACGAGGCGATAGTGGCTGGTTTGCTTGCATGGCTTCGAGTGTGAAGCGAAAATGGGGCTGCCGCTGTCAGCCGTAATTATTCGTACACAGAAAAATATAATAAACAAGTTGACAGCAATTCACCTACAATTCAAAATTTGACGACCATCGGCAAGCAAAATTGAAGGAAAGCACTGTCTTATAATAGTTTCTGCCGGCCGTCGGCAACTGATAAGAAATCCCCGCACGGTAACTTTTTCGCCCCACCCATCGGCAATGGACCCGCTCTTCTGCCGTAGCAGTCTTGGCGACGCACTCTATCTCCACGCCCGAAAAGGGGAAACTTCACGATAGTGCTCGTATAGTACGGAGTAGTGCTCACGGGATTGGACGGTCTGCAGAGTGGAGGAGATATCCTTTGGCTCTAAGGTAACAGCTAGCTCTCATCATGCTAACAGACGGACAGAGTCAAGAAAATCCCTCGCTCAAATGTTCCGAGCTCGTCTCTTTATATACTTATACCTTATGCGCAACCAGTAATGTTCAGTCATCTGTGGTCAACTTTAGAAGCGCCCCGGCATTGGAAAATAGCAGATTTGGAGTACTTTGTCCTCTATTTTGGCACTCACTTTAGAAGTCTGGGAAATAACAGCCGTTACCTAATATGCCCCTGTCTGCAATTGACCTCGAACAAGCAAGAGTGCTTGTGAACGATCGCATCAATGAAGCCAACCCCGATTTGCACAAAATCAACAAGGCTCTTCATTCGCACCCAGAGTTAGCCTACAAGGAGTATTTTGCGCACGAGACACTTACTACATACTTGGAGAGCCTCGGATTTGTCGTGAAACGGAGCACGTATGGCCTAGAAACCAGTTTCGAAGCCTCACTCGGCCAAGGCGGACGCCAAGTCGTTTTTTGTGCTGAATATGACGCCCTGCCAGAGATCGGTCATGCGTGCGGCCATAACCTCATCGCCACAGCGTCCTTAGCAGCCTTTATCGGTGCGGCGCACGCTATGGTCACTCTTTCTATACCCGGTCGTCTGCGGTTACTGGGCACCCCGGCCGAGGAGGGTGGCGGTGGTAAGGCTAAGCTTATTGACGCTGGAGCTTTCAACCCACCTGAAGATATTGCTGCCGCCATAATGGCCCACCCGAAGGCGCTATACTTGATACAACAGGACGGTGACGGACTGTCTGGACTGGCAGGCATCAGACTTGCAGCTAGCCACAAATTTCGCGTCGAGTTCCATGGAAAGACAGCACATGCAGGTAACTCGCCATGGAAAGGCACAAACGCCTTAGATGCGGCGGTGGCAGCGTATCACAATGTTGCTCTTTTACGCCAGCAGATTCAACCAGACGAGAGAATCCACTGCATCATCGAAGTGGGTGGGACAGCGCAGAATATTATTCCTGATTATTCACGGCTTAGCTGGAACGTCCGTGGCCCAAGTATGACTACGGCAGATGCGCTGCTAAAACGCGTCAAGGCTTGCATTGAAGCTGGAGCTACTGCAACAGGTTGCAAGTTAAACTACATCCCGTATGTGACGTTTTTCTGATGATATCCGACTCACAAAGCCGCTACTAACAACGAAAATAAAAGATCTCCAACTTCAAAAAATCTAAGGATAAACGATACTCTTTGTAGAGTGTATGTGGAAGATATGGCAACACTAGGGCAAAAGATCTTATTCAAGAGGCCAAAAGGCGGTTCCGGGTCTACTGACATGGGAAATGTGTCCCACCATGTCCCCAGTTTTCATGGATATTTTGCAGTCCCAACAGAGAAGGATGTTGGGGCTCACAACCCGAAGTTTACCGCTGCTGCTGGCAGGGATGAGGCTCACGTGTCTGCTATCGAAAGTGCAAAGGGGATGGCTATGCTTGCTCTTCGGGTTCTTGTTGATGATACCATTGCCAAGGAGGCACTGCTTGATTTTGAATCTCTGGATGAATGAGTCAATTAAATATGCATGGCGGTTATATAGATTTAAATATTGTCGGATTCGGTGCAATAGATAAAGGGTATTTTTTCGTTAGGCAAAACGCCATCAAATAAGTTGAACATGATTTTTTTTCCCGATATTATAGGATAGTTTAACGTTGATGAACCACAGGCGAAAAATAGTGTTCTATGTAAATATCGCGAACTGCTAGGAGATTGCGCACAATTCATTTCAAGCTAGCATGAACATATATTAAAGCCAATCAATGCAAACCCAGATATTACGAAATAAAGCTGCTTCAATCAGAAAATCGTAAATCCACCATGACTGTCCTAGAGTTTAACAAGCTGGTCTTGGTCTTTGTCAGAAGCCTGAATGTCAACCAAACGATCTCTGATTCATTGAATCTCGCGTCCAGTTTCATAGCTCCACCACCCAGACAGAGGCTGTATGGAGTCAAGTTTAGCTTCCTGAGTTGCTGGGGAAGGCATACTTTTACTGTTTGAAGTCACGTCCGACTGCTTCTGGTTGCTAGTGCATCCACTTGATGTGGCTGGGATGCTAACCGACCTAGCGAGCATTTCCGTTTTATAAATATAACTGTGATCATCAACAGTAACTGGGACAGAGGCATAGCCGGGTGGGATGTTGCTGGTGTCAACAGAGCGGGACAAGACATCGTCTAGAGCAATCTCCGTGTTCCGTGCCTGAAACTCTGGTGATGAGACGGGAAATATTGACAACCGACGCCTATATTTATCTCAAAAACAAAAGGCCGTCACCCACCCAGTCAGGAAGGGCGAGCCACTTCCCCCTTGTTTACGTGCACACTTGTTCCAGAGACGAAGCGTCTCAGGCGAGTCAGGCTATCAAATGAATGTACGAAATGATTCAAAACTGGTCGAAGAAGCTGAGCAAATCGCGCCGGTTCATCACCGAGTTGATAGAGCTTATCAAGTCTCCGCACAAGCTTTGTCAGTCTTCTGGCTTGCCTAGCAAAGTTGCGGACGGAATGCCACAACCAAGTACAGCCAGATAATCAAAGTACTTTTGCATGGATCCCGTCATTAAAATTGCTACAACCACTTTTTCAGACTCCGTTGTTGTGCTAAAGTCCGGTATGATCCAGCTTCGTAGGTTCTTGTCCACCACATTCTCCTCAATAAGTCTGGTCATTTGCATAGCAATGCTACCAAAATCAACAGTATGGATGGTACCGTGGCCGCATACTGTCAGCGTCTTTTTCCCCTCATGGGAGACAAATAAAGATCGCAGCTCCTCAGCGTGGACATTGATATAAAGCCTAGCTGTGTTAAGGTGGAGAACCACAGATCTTCTGGTCGTATAGTTAGGTTGTGATGTAACCCGTTACTATAGGCGTGAAAGCCTGCCCGGAAGAAGCCATTATTCGAAGGAGATACATGGGAGGTGTTAAACAGATCGCTGACAAATGAATTTTGAATTGCTGCAACGCTGTGTCGATGATCCTCTGAACTTGAGCTTTTAAACAACTCTTCGGACGTGGATACCTTTGGAATTTCCCTTCTTTGGGGGGATGTGCTGTCGGAGTGAGAGTGATAGGCATATTGTAGAGAAATGTTAGCCAAGGCTGTATAATGGGTCAAAGCCAGGAATATTGTAAAGTCAAATTGATGCTTGAAGGAGAGTGGAGAACAAGTAATAATTACGTGGGCAGGAGGCTGGCTATATTTATAGATGAGCCGGTGTAGGCAGCAGCAGCAGCAGCCTAGTAGTTAACAAAGCACAGAAAACTCAATGAATGATCTTCAGGGTGGCCAAAACAGAATAAAGCCTAATACAGCTACTTCAGGCTTCTTCAAAATGTATACTTTTGCAATGACTCACTTTGTTGGGCTCTGGCTGGTTGGGACCGGTGATATTTTTTGTTCACTTTCATGAAAGCCTGGGCGGTATTTGATATCACAGCCCCACAGCCTTTTATTCATTACAATTCTTTTTTACTAATACTGGGATTCGCAATATTTCTGGGTAGAATTTTATGGATTACCACTCTCTGACAGAGTGCAGCGAGAAGCTGTTCTCTAGATAGAACCAGCATGAAAGAATATGAGGGCTGAAACAGTGCATGCTTAACAGAAAATGTGATAAAATACAAGGCAGAGGCAAAGAAAATTTATATTTTAGGAAAAATAAAAAACAGTAAAGTGCATAGATGCTAACAAAGCGTTTCGCGAATCACTATGTGAGTGGCTCTGTTAGTATTGCTACTTATGTATACATAGGTGGCAAACAAACCGTTCGACTATAACGGTGTGAGAATACACTATTAAATTGCTATTTTAAGGGAGTCTACGAAAAAACTCAGGCTGGGTCTGACTTATCATAGAAAAGGCAATATGTCTGATGGGAAAAGGATGTTTGACTGGTTTGCATTACATGTAGTTCGCTTTTACTGCCTGAGGCGCCTGACCATGATGTGGCTTGACAACAGTGTGTGGCGCAGCAGTCAAAACCTGTCCGGAATTTCGGATACTTCCAATCCTCGTCCATCAACAACATCACTTTCGTTTGCTTTCTCTTCTTTGTCTCTCATTGTATTACTATTACTATTAGTGCTATAATTTTTTTCAAACCTCACGATTTTGACACTCCTTACTTTTTTTATTGCTTGTGTTTATTGTTGACCCGAATTCAGTGCCGTATGGCGCTACATCCTTGATGGCCTTTGCCTAGCCACATAGAGTTTGATGTTCCCAACTCTCTGAGTGACCGTCAACTACAGATAATTACAGTGATATCATATACCCGCAGAGATATGGCCCATCATATCCATGCTGGGGGCGTTGCAAGCCGTCCTCTGCTAGAACCTTGCTTCCAGGGATTTGTTTTGATTAGAGAAGTTTTGTCCCGTTGCTTGGAGTTGGACATCACGCAGATCGGATCTATTGTTGCTATTGCGGGAGTCCTACCAACGGCTTGGAGATTCCTGCGCAGGACTTGGGATGAAGCCTATGCCTGGATTAGGCATTGTTTTCTAGCTTCAGTCACGATACCCGGAGGGGATCCTCTGAACAGGAGCGTCGTTGAATGGATCCTGGCAAACCGGCCACGTAACTATCGGTCTTTTACGGGGCTCACAGAAGTAGGAAATGTCGGTATTGACCGGGCTGCTGCACTGAAGAAAACCCAACACCCAGTTCGCTATTGTCCCCATTGGGATACCAGATGGCTCTGGTGTAATGGGAATGCATTCCTTGTGGTGCGCTCAAGTGATAGCCATAATGTTTCTCTGTCAAATCCCAATTATGACGGCATTGGAGGAGAAGAACTTACGATAAGCTGCTTCGGCTGGTCCGCAGAGCCTGTCAAACAGTTTATCAAGGCCTGTCGAGACTATGCCGAGACGCAGACCCAGTTTTTTGTCATTATTTACTCAAGGGACCGATACGGGCTTGCGTGGCAGCCCAAAGCCCGGAAACCAATCCGCCTCTTAGATACCGTGCATTTCGATAATAAAATCAAGCAAGAGCTTCTCGCAGATATTCGAAATTATCTTGACCCCAGGACTCAGAAACGTTATCAAACCCGGAGCATGCCTTATCGTAGAGGATATCTGTTCTACGGTCCACCTGGAACTGGAAAGTCATCCTTGTCACTCGCTATTGCGGGTGAGTTTGGTCTTGACCTTTACGAAGTTAAGATTCCCAGTGTTGCTACCGATGCAGACCTGGAACAGATGTTTCAAGATATACCTCCAAAGTGTGTTGTCTTGTTGGAAGACATTGATGCCGTATGGATGGACCGCTCGAATTCCCAAAAGAATGTGCACGATGGGCAACCTCTGCCGAATTGCACTTTATCTGGATTGTTGAATGTTTTGGATGGTGTTGGGTCGCAAGAAGGCCGTATTGTTATCATGACAACTAATCGGCTGGAAGCTCTGGATAGTGCATTGGTCCGACCAGGACGCATCGATATGAAGGTTTATCTGGGCAACATCAGCCAGAAGTCTAGTAAGGAGATGTTTCTTCGCATGTTCTCTCCAGACCTGGGGTTCAAATCTTGCTTGGACATGAACGAAATTGACAACCTTGCGACTGAATTTGCCAATCAGATACCAGATGACAAAATCACTCCCTCATCTTTACAAGGGTTCTTCCAGCAGCATTTAGACAGCCCCTATGAAGCTGCTTCGCTGATTGGCGGCTGGGTCAAGGAAGAACTTGCAAAGAACTCGGATAAGGAGTTTGAGGTAATAACCGGTAATGAAAACGAATCATAGCCTCGAAACATCCAATGTATATTATATAGAGCTTTACTTTCAATGTACTTTATAGTATATATAATACGAGCGACTTTTTATGTCTACAATATGGTTGGGATAGAAGAAAGAGCTTAGACTATCCTTTAAGTTTCGCAATTTCTAATAGTCTCACCATGCTATGCATCTGACCGATAATGTCGACTAAATATTATGCAACCGCAACAACAGCAGTGGCCTCGACTTCAATTAGAAATTCGCTGGACGCGAGGCGCGCGACGCCGATGAGCGAGCTCGGCGGCTTATGCGGCGCGTCGTCTCCTTCGCCCCTGAAAAAGTTCTGAATCACCTCGATCAGAGCTCCCCGCATGGATGGTTCAAGGTCGACAACGAATATGCTAATTTTTGTGATGTCGCGGGGTGTCGCACTCTTCAGCGCCAGACACGCAGCCACATTGGCGAACGCATTCTCTGCCTGCTCCCGGAATGACGTGGGTATGGGTGATGGCGGCGTGGTTGGCGGTGGTGTACCAACTTGTCCTGCTGTTTGCAACAAATATACGCTTGGGTTGACTGAAGGGATCGCCGTGACCGATAGGCTGGAAAAGGTCGAGGTAGCTGGAGGCGCGTCGGTACGGTCAAGCGTCGTGATGACCGGTGGACTCATTGTGGTAGGTGAGGAGTGCCAGGTCAAACAATGAGAATTGAAGAACTCCACCAGTTCAGAAATTGCTATATTGTATAAATTTATGGCGAGAGAGTTCCATATGTCATATATTGGTCAAATGTTCCCGTTACCTGGATATTCAGCAATACTCGGAATTGACTGCAGAATGGCTTGAGAGGAGACTGGTGAGTCAGTTCATTCATTGACCAGCCTTTCACCAAGCCCTATCAGATGCTTAGTTGATCGTAGTGGTACTCGGGCCTGCGCAGTCACCGACATGGCCGAGTTCGCCGAGCAGTCTACCAGCGACACCCAGCGCCGTTTTGTAATATCTAGGGTGAAGGGAGAGTCACGAGATGGCATCTTTACGGTTACACTAGTATGAAAATCAGAAGCTGCCTTTAAGACGGGCTGAATGCCAGGCGTACCAGGCTCTGAAGGAGACCTGTATCCAACGTCGATCCAGTGTCCCACCAAGATCAAACAACGAGCGTTCATTTCTTTTTTTCCAGCCTAATAATTTCAGATATCACCGCCATGGCTACGTCGATCGAGACCTGCGTCGAGGAGGCCACCACGCGGATCATGGATCAATGCAAAGAGAAAAACTCCTGGCCCATGTGGACGGTCAACGACAAGATCTCCAAGCTGGTGCCTAACCCGCGTGCTGTACCAACGTCGTGGAAGTGGGATGAAATGAAAAAGCTCATGCTTGAATCGGCCAAATATGTGCCTGAAGAAATGGCCGAACGTAGGGCGCTGATGATGGTCAACCCGGGCTTCGGTATGAACTCTGGCCCCATTGCCCGGTTACCTAAGTTAATGGAGAGGCTAACTGACTATATTGCACAAACAGGTGAAGTTACAGGTCCCTCTCCATATACAACCGATACTATCTACGCTGGATTTCAAATGGTGTTGCCAGGCGAAACAGCGCCGGCGCACCGACACATTGCGTTTGCCGTACGCTTTATCCAGGAGAGTGGCAATGGCTTTACCTCTGTGGCTGGCCAGAAGATCTACCTGCAGCAGGGAGATTTGGTACTAACGCCGTCCTGGGAATGGCATTATCACGGCAACGACGGCAAGGAGCCCACTGTCTGGGTTGACTGTCTTGACATTCCTTTGCACGTTTACGCCAGAACCAATTTTCTTGAGCCATATCCAACCGCCAAAGTTCCTGATCTGTAAGCCAGTACTTACTTTGTTATTCATTCATAGGCATTAAAGCTAAATGGCTGTTTCCAAGTGTAACCAATGACAGTCCATTCCACTTCGCCTGGTCCAAGACGCAGCAGGCTCTGGATTCTCAAGACACACCTCGAGCAGTTTACCATTATCTCAGCAACGGAAGCCCTTTCTCAAAAACCATAGGTGCACAGGCAGAGCGTATCCTCAAGGGCCATAGCGTTAGCGTCGCTCGTGAGACTGTCTCGTTCATCTACGTGGTTCGAAGGGGCCAAGGGAAGACGACGATCCGTGCGCCCACAGGCGAGGCGACGATAGAATGGAAAGAAAAGGATGTTTTTGTCGTACCCGCATGGTCCTGGGTGACACACGAGGCGAGTGAATCTGATGATGTCTATCTGTTTGCCCTGACAGACCGGTCGCTGGTCGACAATCTTGGGTTGGGAAGAATTGATTACTCCAAGCCTTGATCATGCGATTTGGTTATCAATTGTAAACGATGGAGTTAGAGATTATGTTCTCAGTCTTAATGATAGTTCTTTTTTAATTCTCCAATTCCATTGAAACATATAGGCGTCTACCTACCCAATGCTATCTGCAGTCTCTACAGTGGCATATGCTTAGGTATATGCAGTTTCACCACGACATTACCTAGGTAGGTTACTTTGACTACCTACCTAGATATCCTCTACGCTACGATCCTAATCGGGAAAAATAATGAAGAGTTAGGCACTCTGCCCAGATGCTAGTATGAAGCTCTACATATCCATGGATACATATACCTGTCCCATATATCCCCAGGGTATTAAGCGCTGGAAGTGGTTAGATCTAGCGTATAGATACACAAGCAGGTACGATCTATTATAATTCATAACCAATTAACATGGCATGGCCACACCGTCTCCCCTTCCATCACTGCCGCCAGAATAGACTCTTTGGCCGGTTTCATCTATGCGCTGCCTAATTGCCTGACCTCTTCCAAATCTGTTGCGAGACCAGCCCTTGAGGACCTCCACATCATGACCCATCCTTCTCAATGTCTCGACAACAGAGTCCTCAATCCCTTCCTCTATATAGACGGTCCCAATGCCACCAAGTTTCGGGGGCATGGGATTCTCGATGCAGACTCGGGGAGCATCCACGGCTTCTTGCGGGTTCATGCCGAATACCTCCATGTTCAGGAGCACCTGGACGTGGCCCTGCGGCTGCATAAGCCCGCCCATGACGCCAAAAACAGCATGAAGATCTCGATCTGGGCCCTGCGTGGACAAACATGGGATGATTGTGTGATAGGGCCGTTTCCCGCCTGCATAGATATTTGGATGGTTGTCCGGTCCAAGATGGAAGCCTGCTCCACGATTCTGCAACGCAAATCCACAGCCCTCAGGAATAATGCCAGAGCCGAATTCCATGAAATTCGAGTTCACAATGCATGTGCCGTTGCCTTCGTTGTCCGTCACTGCAAAGACAACGGTGTCGCTTCGGTTTTGAGCGGGACTCACACCGTCAAAGGGCTGGCCCCTGGCGTGATTGATTGCTTTGGTGGGATCAAACAGCTTTGCACGTTCAGTCAAGTACGGGAGAGACACCAACTGTTGTGGTGAGACCGAACTGTGCTCGGGGTCCGTCACCCACCAGTTAGCATCAGCGAAGGCGATGCGTAAACTCTCTATGAGGGCGTGTAGATAGACAGCGCTGTTGTGATCTTCTTTGCTGAAGGTAGGAATCTGCTTCGCTCGTTCCAGTCCCTCTAGGATGCCAAGGGCCATGAGGGCCACGATGCCCTGTCCGTTCGGGGGATGCTCCCAGAGCTCGATGTAATGATCCCCCGAAGCATTCTGTGACGCGACTTTCTGGCCACCGAATTTGAGAGACACTGGTTGGGTCTCCCAACAGCCTTCATTGAGATGGTGCTCCAGATCGAATAGCTCAATATAACTGCCTTTTTGTTTCAGGGCGTCCACTATTGCTTGCGCAATTCGCCCGCTGTAGATCGCCTTTTTCCCCTCAGCTGCCAATGCCCGTAGGGTTGCTGCCAGAAACGGATTTCTGAATATTTCGCCCGACTTGGGGGATGTGCCGTCTGGCTTGAGCATCTGCATACCATTTGGGGATGCCGCTCTGAGCTTGGCCTCTGCATTCTTCCACTACAAGGTCATCAATCTTCCATAATATAGCTATTATGTCTTTTAGCGGTCTACTTACCATCGAGGCTGAGATTTCGCTGACCGGAAAGCCCTCTTCGGCCAACTCAATGGCTGGCGTCATGATTTGCTCCAACGTCAATTTTCCACTTCCAAACTTCTCGACCGTGTCAACCCATCCACAAGCGGCTCCGGGCACTGTGACAGCCAATGGGCTGGAAAAGGGAATTTTGCCTTTGCTCATGCCGGTATCTTGCTGGACCTGCTCCAGAGTTGTGTTCTTTGCGCTGCGGCCCGATGCATTCAACGCATGCACCGTTTTGGTCTTCGCGTTGTAGAAAAGACAGAATGCATCCCCTCCCAGTCCAGTTGATGCCGGCTCAGTCACATTCAGCGCCGCAGCTACATTTGCGATTAGTTTGCCGTCCTCCACGGGGCAAGATGCGATGCTAGAGACATACCGACAGCCACAGCAGCATCCTAAGTGTTGTCAGGGCTTGCTAGTTGACACAAAAATACTCCAGTAGATCGGCACTCACTGCTGCGTTACCTCCTAAGGCAAGGATCTTTTGCCCCGCCTGTGCCGCCAATGGCTGGGTGCATGCTACCATGCCTTTTGTGCTGTGAATCGCACTGCGCCGGCTGGTGAAGGCGGCAAATGGCTGGCTGCTGTTCTGCACTGCTGGATACATCATGTCTGGTCAAGTGAGTTGCCGTTGAGAATTTGGTGACAGATCGTGAACATCGATACGAAGCATCTCAGCCGTGCCTCCCACATGGCTTAATTTATCAATCTCGGAGCGGGATGGGATGAAATATAGAACAGTCCTGCCGACGACGACGTCCTGGACAGATTCAGTCTTCTAGGACAAGATTTCACTCGCACGATTGTACAGCTTTGTTTTCATGGATCTTTCCTCTTTGTGGATACTTCTCGCGCCGCCTTGATAGCTGCTGAAAGGGCTGTCGGCACTGATATCGGCATTCTCGGCGCTCCGAAGATAGCCTGTTTTCGTATCGAGTTTTTTGGTTAGAGTGTCTCTAGGTCTCCGGGCAAGAGAAAGGAGACATCGAGGCACTTTGAGCTGCTCATTGATATGTCCATCCTTCAATTGTCATTAAAAAAATCTCCTTTCTCACTTGCTCCGGGCATGGCTACACCCAACGAGCCACTGTTCTACGTGCTGTCGTTGATAGTATTATCACAAATGAGTAAATGGACCACAGGATGGACAGACTGGAAGATAGCATCCAGTTCTAAAATACTAAAATATGCTGAGCACTACACGCTCATGATGACAGCTCGCAATCCATGGATGTTATATCAGCACAAGAACAAGCAACAATCCACGAGCAACAATACAAAAATCGATTGTCAATAAGCAAAGTAATAAGTAAATGATACTTAGTCACTATTAGTCGCATTGGCAAACAAAGCTGTATGGTTAAGCCGGAGCTGGTCGGAAGCATAGCTGATAAGGCGCGGGGTGCTAAATTCGAATGTTATCTCCAAACCTCCAAAACTGTCATCAAGAGTGTTGTCCTGGCCTAAGTATGTACACTGGTAAGAGAATTGTCATGACTTCTCCATTGCAGCCCTGGTATAAAACTGCCTGCTGGACCTGTCGCAACCGAAAGGTAAAGTGCGACAAGTTTCTGCCATGCCGGAATTGCTCCATGGCAGGAATCGCTTGTTCCTATCCTCCTCAGGTGCGGACAGTCCGGAGACCAAAGAAAGCGCAAAGTGCTATTCAAGCGAATGCTAGGCAGCATGATGCACTCATTGAGCGAATCGCAAATCTCGAGGCTCTGTTAAAAACGCACTCTGATGCCCACGATGGCGACGGTGATCATGACCATTGCATGGCGGATGCTCAGGACCAGATGAAAGTGAACGAAGGGACGGCGAATATAATGGCTTCAGTAGAATCAGTCACCGATGACGCTTCGCCTGCAGACTCTGGGAGATTTTCTCCTCCGTCGATGCCTTCTAATACGCAGCAAGACACTGTTGCTGCCGACGAAGGCGACCAGCAATCTGAATACTGGAGAAAGATCGAGGAGGAGTGCGCCAGCCAGGTGTTCATCAAGATGCCCTCAACCGACACGGATCGATCGCACAACTCGGAGCAAGAGCGCCAGCCCAGTAGTCCTACTGACAAGTTCGCAAACTTGGGTTTTCCTTTTCACGGACCAACAGCTGCACCACTGCTATCCGTGATACAACGCCAGGTTTGCTGGCGAGCGTATCTAGAAAACGTCGACCCTCTTCTCAAGATCCTCCACAAGCCGACGACACAGGCTCAGATCTTATTGCCAGAGAGCCATTCGCACACCCTCGCTCCCCCTTCGAGAGCTCTCATCCAGGCAATATGTCTCATAGCTGTGACGTCCATGACCGACGCCAGTGTATTGGCAAGATTTGAGAAGCCCAAGGACTCCGTAACGCAGAACTGCGCGCTCCTTACCGAACAGGCTTTGATGGCCGCCAATTTTCTTCAAGCACAGGATTTGGTCACCATCCAAGCGTTGCTACTTTTCCTGTACTATCTCCGGTGCACTGAAGACGCCCGGCTGAATGCACTGAATGGGATGGCCGTCTTCCTCGCCGTGCGTGCCGGCCTCAATCACGATAGTGCTCACTCCGGTTTGCCATGCCTTGAGGTCGAATTACGCCGGAGGACATGGTGGCAACTCATAACCCTTGTTGACCACCCGGATAACTCTGCGCTCGAGTACCTGCCTCCCATCATAGGCGCGGACACCCGGCTGCCGCGTAACGTGAATGATTCCGAACTGGACTTTCAGACCGTTGACCCTAGTGAAGAGCAGACAGGGTTCACTGATACCAGCTTTTGCTTGATGCAGTACGAGGTGACCCGAACCTTCAATCAGATTCGTTACGAGCGTGACCGCACTTCCTCGAGCGCCCAAAGAATCACGGCCGAGGAGGCCGAGCAGCGTCTTCATTCTTCTCGGGAAGGCTTTCGACACAAGTACTTTCAGCATTCTACGGAAGAAGTGGCCATTGGCGACTTCGCAGCGGATGTCATTGCTATGGTCCTTGCAAAGCGACGCCTTTTGACGCACATCTCACTAGATCGCAACAGTTCCGGCGATGTTCTGCCTCCCCATGCCCAAGACCGGCTTTTCTTGCTGGCGGTGCATGTGCTGGAGCTCTCGCGCAGTCTGCAGACAAATAAACGGAATGAACGATGGCGCTGGCTGAGTGCCACATACTTCCAATGGTCAATCGCAGCCTTCGTGGTGCGCAATCTCACCATCCGTCCGTCTAACACCGCAACGAAGAGAGCCTGGCACGTTATTGATGGCATTCTAGACCACTGGCCAGCTCCAGTGCGCGAATCAGCCAATGCCAATAAACTCCGGGCCCTGATCGCCGACGCAACGCGACATCGAGAGGCGAAAAGCCTGTGGTCGCCGAATCATCTGCTTGGCTGGCCAGGGAACAATAACAGCAACAAAACTGCCCTTCCAGCGATGACTGTCTGTCCCAAGAACATGGCCGTTCCTTTCACTTGGAATGATACGCGCGCACATAAACCACAGACGGGACTGGCACTGAACCCGACGATGATGTCGGAGGATTTTGACTTCGACGAGGAACTGGCTCGTAATGTAGATTTTGGATTTTTTTCGCAATTCTCTCAATAGTCTAGGTACTACTAATATGGAATCCTATGTTTATACTGTACATCGAATATCTGCCACAAATCCGTATAAACACTTGAGTTCTTCACTTCCATCTACATTCAACGCCACAGAAACAACCGCATTTCCCGGCTAGGGAAATACAGAAGCGCATATAAAGTACTCTTCGATAGCTAGAATGCAGGGGTAATCTCTTAGTGCCGCTTGGACTTGGTCGCTCGGCATTCTCGGGGTTACATGTACTCTCCACAAGACCAACCCTAAGACCGAAACATGGCGAACTCCTTCCACAAGCGCCGAGTAATGCTGCGTGTGGCCTGAACATGTTGATACCGATATCAGCGACTGATGGTTGGCTGATATTTTCTTACTGTTCTATTTGCTTGTCCACTGCGATCAAATAATACCTACATATCTTCGGACCAGTCTTGCAACAAATGCAGTGACTGGGTAACTGGTACATTCACGTGTCCTCCTGCGACTGATTATAATTCAAACTCCCTCTCAATGGCGTCCATACAGTCTTTTCTGTCGACGGAAGGTGGATTCATTGCGCTGAGGGTCATTTTGTTGGCCGCGGTTGCTCTGACTGCCATCCGGTATTTCGCCAAAAAAGAGCGTTTGCCTGATGTCGAGTTTCTCCGCGCGAGCAACAAGCCAGGAAGAGCTGGAGGTTCGGAAGACATCCAGGCTTTTCTCAGCGACAGCCTGGGCACGATTATGAAGGGCTACAACGAGGTATATCTGTTGTTGCTGCTGTACCAAACCGACTTTCAGCCCTAACACGCGATATCACTGCAGTATTCCAAGCTGGGAAAGCACTTCCTCCTGCGCACTCCACGGCAGGTTTATTTTATTGCGGCACCAAATTTCCTCGAAGAAATCCGCAAGATGCCTGATAGCAAGCTCAGCCAGCCAGCGGCAGCAAATATCATTTTTCAGGTCAAGCACAACTTCCACCCGGACCTCGAGGCCGACAACTATCACTTCAATGTAGTCCGAGGCAAAATGACGCAGGGTATAAATCAGTATCTGCCCGATCTCGTCGCAGAGACGGTACATGCATTCGATTTCGAAGTCGGTAGCGACGCTTCCCAGTGGAGAGAGCTACGGACGTGGTCCCTGGTGTCAAAACTCGTTACACGCATGGCTAATAAGATGCTTGTTGGCGCCCCCCTCTGCAGGAATGAAGAGTATCTGCAGATGTCCTGCGACATCACACCAGCCGTTTTCGACACCGCCGTGAAGATCCGCAACTACCCGGATTTTGTCAAATCCATAATGATGTACTTTATGAAGACAAAGGAGCAGCAGCTCAAGATAGCCCGTAAGCATCTGCTGCCAGTTATCGAGGGAAGATTGGCACTATTGGACAACCCTGTTTCTCGGGAAAAGGGCAATAAGCCTGTGGATACATGTAAGTCTAGCCTTGATTTTACAGCCCGTGCAGCAATGGCAGTAGGGCTGATGTTATCTCAGTGCAGTGGCTACTAGATATGTCCCCGCCAGGGAAGAGAAACCCGGAAATTCTCATGCAAAGGTTGCTCCACCTGAACGTGAACGCAATTCATGCACCTGCATACACTGTGACAGAATGCATGGTTGACCTTTGCAAGAACCCGGAGATTCACGAAGAACTCCGCGCTGAAATTGAACAGGTCTTGGGAAAGAACCGCGACGCTAGCTGCTGGACGAAGGAGAACCTAGACCGTTTGGTGAAACTAGACAGCTTCATCCGCGAGTCCTCGCGGTTGACGCCCATCAGTGCCGGTTAGTGTCATGTCCACCTAGATCAGATAGGCTGCCACAGACTCGTTCGCCTGCAATAGAGTCTTACTGACAGAAATAGTCAAAATGGAACGACTGGCGGTGCAGGATGTCCGACTGAGCGACGGCACATTAATCCCGCGTGGGACATCGGTAGCTGTGATCGCGCATGGCCGACATCTCGACGAAGACATTATCCCCAATGCGCGGACATTCGATGCATTCCGGTATGCTCGTCTGCGCACCGGCGACGAAATGGCGGATGCGGAATATGCCTTCGCGCAAGCTACCTCTGAGAACATGCTATTTGGACTGGGCCGGCACGCATGCCCCGGCCGTCAGTTCGCAACCGCACTCTGTAAAGTGTTCCTCATCTGCGTGCTCGTTCGCTACGATGTGAAGTTTCTCGAGGGTCGTCCTCTGCCTCAGGGCCGTTGGACGCAGAAGTTCCGCAACCCTGATACTACGACGACAATGGGCTGGCAACGCACGCGGTCGACGCGGTTCGATGGTATTTTTGATTGATTGTATGCTGCGATGGTTCATTATGGTTACTGATATCAGGAGAACATCCGGTATGAGTTCCAGTATAATGCACATGTTTACAATCTATCATAGATAATAAGTGACAGAATTCCATTGCTATATATCGTCACATCAGCGAAATGAAAAAGAGAACTAAACTCCGTACCAATTTCTAGTTAATGCCTTATTCAGTCTTACAGAAGATGAACCCTAACTATTGCCATCGATGGGTTAGGTGTGTCTCGAGAATGAATAGTGAGTTAAAAACAGGCACAATGTTTGCTGAACTTTTGACTTCGTAATATAGATACATCACTCAACCAAATTCTATGATAGCCCCCGAGGTACGTTACAAAGACCCTTTGACACTGAATCTACCAGGCCGATAAGGTCGAAGTAACGACAACGGCTGTCCCACAATCTCCGTAGCTGCCAGACGTCCCATAAGGGGTGCCAGGGTGATGCCACTCATCATGGTGGCAACATAAACTGTGCTGTCCGAGTCGCAGAACCCAACCACAGGGCAGCTATCCTCAGGAATCGGCACATGGCCCATGGTCATGGTCTCCAGTTCCGCGCCGGCCAGCGCAGGGACGACTTCTGTAGCTCTGGAAAGCAGCATCTGGCCGTAGGAGTCACTGACGTCGTGTCCATCGGCGCCAGGGGCATAATCAAGGCCGGTCACAATTCTCCCGTCGGGGTTCTGTCTGATCGAGCCCTTCGGTCCGTTGACGACGCGGTGCAGGATTGATGGCATCGGCTTGCTGTAGGCGAGCGTCCCAGATACAATGTTCAGCGCGATCTTAGTCCCCAAAGCTTTGGCAAGACTGGGGGTACCAGCTCCAGCAGCGATGACGACCTTGTCAGCCTCGAGCTGGGCTTTGCCTTGTCCGAGTAGTAGTACCGGCTTGCCTGACGCAGCTCTCGCGATACTTTGCACCTCCACTGGCGTCTCGAATACAACACCAAGAGCCTTTGTTCGTTCGACAAGGATGGTGAACGTCTGCTTGACATCGATGGCGCCGTAGCCTGGTAGGAACCAGCCCGCTCCGAACGCGCCAGGCACGACTCCGGGAATCAGTCTCTTGACGTCGATTTCGCTGACTTCCTGGATATTCACGCCCCAGCTCCTCAGGCGCCCATGCACGACTGTCAAATCATCTGTCTGCTGTCCGGGTGCAGCCCAATTGACAACGCCGCCCCATTGGATAGGTAAGGTGGTCCCTAGTTGGACTTCCAACTGCTTCCATTCTGCGACTGCAAGGCCATACAGATCGTTCAACTCCGCGGGCCCAGGCGAGTGCGACGCGATGAGCATAGCAAACGCGCCCTGCGTGCAGCCGGTGCCTGGTGTCTGCTTATCCAGCACCGTCACTTGTGCTCCACGACATGCTAGATGGTAGGCAATCGACACGCCAATAATTCCAGCGCCAATGACGACGACATGTTGTCGTTCGCCCATCTTGCCAAGGTTGAAGTCTGGCTTTTTGCACCATGTCCAATCCAGGGACGTGCTATCGGGCGAGAATTAGATCGTCTTGATTCCCAAGAACGGCAATGAGTATATCAATTCGCGTGCCTATGAGTCAAGACCATCTCGGCCTGTTCTCGCCGTGGCCTTAGTGAAAGCCCGAGACGGCCGAGAAGCGAGAGCTAATGCGATAGATAGCTTTGCCGACGATAGGCACGGACTCCACTCATCGAGGTCCATATGTATTCGAAACGAACCGGCACATAACGACGCAGCCGTATCCACACACACAAAGGCTCGTTGTGACACTAGTTATCACATCTTAGGGTCGTTTGCTCAACATGCCGCTCGTCTGTGTCTTGGGTTCTGGGATCATAGGTCTATCCTCGGCCGAGGCTCTGCTCGACGCTGGCTTCGACGTTGTTGTAGTCGCCCGCGACCTTCCTGGCGATCCCCCAGGTCTGTCGTGGGCCAGTCCGAGGTATGTGCCATTGCCTATATATTCTTTTTCCGCGTCATTTCGACAGTTTCTAACATGCTCCTAGCGCCGGGGCGGTCATCTATCCAACCCACTCGCCAGACGCGCAGAGCCGGGAATTCGAAGAGCAGACTTTCAAACATTACTGGACCCTGGCACATCAGGATCCGACAAGCGGCGCTCAAATCGTGCCCGTGACGGAGTATTTTCAAGAACCTAAACCTGATGCACAGGCCTGGTACATGAAGGTCAACCCCTTCTATCGCCACCTTACAGTTGAAGAGCTGCCTGTCGGCGTCAAGGCAGGGGTCACCGTGACAACTGTCGCCGTAAATCCGCTCATATACCTGCCCTATCTGCAGCGGAAACTGGAAAACCACGGGACGAAATTCATTCGCTTCGCAGCCACCGACTTGAAACAGGTGATGCTGATGACAGGGGCCGATATCCTTGTCAACGCCACGGGCCTCGGTGCCGCGCTGCTCTGTAACGATGCAGCCGTTGTGCCCATCCGGGGACGGGCCATGTTTTTACGCAATAGACCAAACTGGAATCAGGTCCTGCTTCGGCAGGACGATGCGTATACCTATGTAATCCCACGGTTGGGCTCCGGCGGCGTACTCTTCGGCGGCATCCGACAAGAAGGTAATGATAGTGAAAATGCGGATCTGAAACTGAGAAAAGACATCCTGACGCGAGTCAACCATGTCTCGCGAGGCGCATTCAAGGACGTGAATCTAGACACGGACGTCGACGACCTGGTCGGATTTCGGCCGGGGCGGAAGGGCGGTTATCGCCTTGAGGCCGACGGGGTTGATATTGTTCATGCTTATGGCTTTGATGGCGTGGGATATGTCTGTTCGACCGGTGTGGCCCAAAGGGTGGTCAGCCTAGTCAGACGGTTGACGGGGCAGACGGCGAAGCTGTGAAATTACCAATTATACGAATAATGCTGTCAAGTGCCCGAGGCTGTTAACAATTCATCAAAACTATACAATTTGCCAGTCACGGTACATATCAGTCGATGATAACTCCTATAACTTTGTAATGCCCATACATGTATGTAATCGGTGTCCTCCAGCATGACCGTTCTGGGCATAGCGAGATAAATCTCTAAAAGTGAACATCTCGCTCGACTGGAACGTGTTAGGACTTAATCATGGCATTGATTTGTATACGACACTGAAATCAAAAGTGCGTCCATTTGCAGCAACATGGATGCAATGAAGTTACATAGATTCATATCGGCAACCTCGATTAATTAGGCACAATCAAGCCTTAGATACACCCTCCTCCGTTTCTGGCACACAAGCTCAAAGGATTCTTCAGAGGCATGTCCACTTTATTACCGCTTCCCTAGTGTTGAAACTTCCTCTTCGCTATCAATTTGCTCGACTCCCAACGTCGTGAGGACGGGCCCGTGATACACCCATCGCCCATAAACAAACCATAGAATAGTGACTAAGATGAGACATATGCCGACAATAGGCGCCGCGTAATTCCTAAGAGAAAGACAGTTGTGAGAACTTGCTCGAGCTTTGCAGGAGGATAAATTTACATAGTTGGAGCCGTCACTGGCAGAGCAGTTGGTAGTGAGACGGCCACAAACAGCATCAGGTACAACAATATACCAACGATGTTCGCGCCTAGACCCACGCGACCCATACGCCATGGTCCGTATGAGAGATTCAACGAGCCTCGACGGAACAAATGGAATGCAACTGGCGCGCCGTAGCTCAAGACCTGCAGGGTGAAGACGCCGCTGAGAAATCCGTAGAACGCCGTCGAGTTTCCAACGTAGATAACTGCCAAGCATGTCTGAATGCTACCTGCTAAAAAGATTGCATTTACAGGTGTGTTCCAGCGAGAGTGGATTCGCGAGAAGAAAGAGCCAAGGGGGATGACATTGTCTCGCGCTTGAGCCATGATGATACGACTGATCCCACCCATGCAGTCAATCGCCGACACAAAGGCAACGATAATGATGATGCTAGCCAGCACAATCGCGGCACCCAGGGAACCCGTCGAGTTCAGCACGATCTTTTCACAGTGGTCAGTTTACCTAGAGCATTGAAGCTTGAACAGGGGGGTGATATACTTCGGCAAGAGGGCTTAGGGCTACAATCTCAGACGAGAGTAGATCTGCTGGACTACCCATGCAGAATGCAATGACGATGACAAAAGGGAGTCCAATCGCAGAGGAGGTTAACACACCCCAGAACATAGCTCTAGATACATCCTGGCGTGGCTGTTTCGTTTCATCGACATATCGGGCGGGCAGATCGAGGGTTGAGAAACCAGAGGCCGTCGGTAGCAGGCCAATGAAGAATGCGGCAGCATTATTGTGGTACCCCGTGTAGTTTTCTAGACTCCCAAAAACCTCCTTTCCCGAGTTCTTGTTCTTGGTGGTCGCTAAAAGGGTGATGATGATAGCGAAGAAGCCGAGGACGTGTGTCACCGTGCCTGGGCGTAATCAATCAGCGCATTCAATGAAAAGATCTTGATAATGATTGAGTATGGAGCATTTATTTTACCGGCAGCGGAGAGGTAATGCAGCATGTAGGGCATGAAAATGTTGATTATAACGGCCACCACGATTATGGCTACGATGATCTATCTGCATAGTCAGTGTGATGACGGCCACGCGGACTGCGACGCGTTCGTACAAGATATGCTTCGTATTTCTCTGCAGTGTAGCTGTCCACTGAGATGACGATCAATGCCTGCAGAGAGAAGGCTGCAGCGAAAAGGGCACTGAGAGATGACAGCACGTTCATCAACAGTAGTATCCAAGCACAGTACCAGCCCTATTCATTCATCAGCAATGCGTTCAACCGCGTGTATAATAAGGGATATATTCTTCTTCCAACTTACCACGATTGTCCTCCATTTTGGAGGTGCCAATGCCTATACCAATTCATCCCTTTACGTGAGCATATGCAAATCGTTGGAGACGCGAAGCCCTTACCACTGCCCAGTGGTACTGGCCCGCCACACTAGGCCAGATACTGTTCCATGTGAGTTTTACTTCGATCATGGGAAATTCGCATGACACCTAGGTATTTAGGTTTGCACACACCTTGCGAATTCCGCCAGAGAAGAAGCGATACAGATCGAAGCCACTGCGGAGATGACGAATCCCCAGACCAGCACTGTCGGTCCCCCAGCCAGGATAACTTGGTATAGAGAAGCAATTATTGCTTCCCACTGTCAACATTGCTTTTAGCATCCGTTCGACATCATTCGAGCACGGGTAAGAAGCAACGCACTCCTGCGGTACCAGCCACGAAAAGAGACCAGAGCGTAAGGAAATTAAACCGTTTCCGCATCTGCGTCCCCTCGGGCTGCTGCTCGGACGACTCTTTTGACAAGGTCTGGTCGGTGGCCATGGCGAAATGAGCCTTGATGGCGTCCGCCGGCTCGACGACCTCAGGCATAGCCAGTGGATTACGAATGGACAATCTCACGTCTGTCAATGGCCGTATATTAGATGCTTCCTAGTGGAGTCGTATAGCATGCAGGTACAGATATCCATCCACTGATAGAGATGCATTCCTATACATAGTCTTGACCGATTGCGATGGCCAGTTGGTATTTATCCGTACTCAATGTTGTCTTGGCCTAAGAATCCATTGGGTTCAAATCCTACGAGAAGAAATAGTGATAATGTACTGCAATCTGATCGGGGAGGATGACTCCAGTCTCCACCGAACGAACCAGATACGAGGCATAGATAATGAATAGATAGTGATAGATAGACAATTTTTCTGTGAACTAGTAACGATTAACTCCAGGCTCGTGCACCGTTATTCTGTTTTTAACAAAAAAGAAATGACTTTTTATTCTGCCAAGGGTCTGTCTAGGCCTGCTTAGGACAATCGAGGGACATTGATTCAGTGAGAAGAATCCGTGGCAATCTTAAGACTCCCCTCCTAGGGAACCGAGATAAGCCCGGAATACGCTTTCGTTAGTGCCGGCGTTCTCGGTCTGGGGATACTTCCCGGCCTTCTATTCCTAGTCAACTTTGTGCACTCGAAGAGCATCGTCTAATGTAGTGTTCCTATCACAAGTGCACGGAGTCCCTCAGCAAATGCAATCTTTCTGCTTGCCAAGTTGCCGTCCAGCCGTCTAGAGTGTAAACAGATAGCACAGTCAATCAGAAATTTCAGAGAGAAAGAGGGGGAGAATAACGCTCACATGCATGCTAGTCCAATCTACTACTTTATACACATGCCGCAGAGATGGGGAAATCAGTCATCATCATTGGAGCCGGTGTATTTGGCATCTCAACGGCCTGGCATCTGTCGCGAGACCTAGGATACAACAAGTACAGCTCGATCCGGGTTTTGGATAGATTTCCCCCTCCATCGCAGGTCGCTGCGGGTACAGATATAAACAAGATCATTCGCACCGAATACGCGGACCAGGAATACACAGAATTAGCCCTGGAAGCGGTGAAAGCCTGGACCGACCCCAACGCAATATTCGCGAAACATTTTCATCCGTCCGGCTGGCTATTATGCGCCAGTGGTGACAGCGTGCCGTTCATCGAGCAGAGTGAGCGCAATGCCAAAGCCAAAGGCGTTCATTCTGCACAGTTTATGACGCCGGCGGAGGTGAGCTCAACATGGCCCGTCTTCAATGGGCCAATGCCCGGCTGGAAGATCCTGGCAGATCCAGACGCAGGTTGGGCGACGTCTGGAAAAGTGATGCTCGAGATGGCCAGCGAAAGTGCCTCCCGCGGCGTAGTCTTCTCGTCAGGGGATGCAGGAAACGTCCAGACAATCCTATTTAATAAGAAAGGTGCCGCCATCGGAGTTCGCACTTTTGGCGGCATTTCATACTATGCAGACAATATCATCCTCGCTGCTGGCGCGAACAGTGCCAGTCTTCTCGATATGGAAAACCAACAGTGTGCATTAGGTCACACGGTTTGCTTCATCCAGCTTGAGCCGCACGAAGTTGCGCGATACAAGAACATGACACTAATTGCGAATATCGAAGAGGGTTGGTCAGTCAATGAGACAAAAATAACAGATACAAAACCATCTGATAAGCCTGAATAGGATGCATATTTCCCCCGGATGAGAACAGAGTGATCAAAGTTGCCTCTGTCCACTTCGTCACGAATTTCAAAACATCAAAAATATCCGGCGTCTCTCTGCCTAGGTTCCGCGAAGATAACCCCGGGGACGGCGTTCCGAATGCCATTCAGAGGCGCCTGCGAAACTGGGTGCGCGAGGTCGTGCCAGACCTAGCCGATAGACCATGGTCGGATACACGGATGTGCTGGTGAGTATTTCACTCACCTTAAACTCACTATTTATAAAGAAGGCTGGGCTCAGTCAGGATTGTCACTCGATAGGGAAGCCCAGACTCCAAGCGACAACTTCATTATCTCCCAGCACCCTGGCCATGAAGGCCTCAGTATCACTACCGGCGGTTCTGGCCATGCGTTCAAGTTCATTCCTATCATTGGAATGTATGTCTCGCAGCTGCTCGACGGCACTCTGCCTGAGAAGCTGAAGGTCAAATGGCGATGGGCACCGTCCACCACAGCGTTGACAAGCAGACCAGGCGCCAAACACATGTTTGCTGCTCCGATGCAGGAGCTGGGGGACTTGCCAGGCTGGCAGCCCCTTGCAGCTAAACTGTAACTAAACCATGACTTCAAATGTCAAGATGTCTATAATGAATTTGGATTTAGAAGCCTTCAGAGACTAGAATGCTAAATCAGCACTTAATCGGTAGAATACACGAGAGAAAATTAGAACTTCGATTTTGCGATTGCGATAATGCCAACAGAGACATGCCCTCGGTCTTGCTCGTTCTGCCTGTACCACATGGACGTAATCAAGACGAAGGCAGGGGTCACTGTTGCTTCAAATACGCACAAGAAGAAGCGGCAGGCTAAAACCCCCCCCCCCCCCCCCCACCCACCAGCAGAAGATGTTTACCGCCGTATACTTGCCTACCGGGAGATGACGAAACAAATAGGTGGTTGAGAATCCGATCAAGAAACAGTTAGCCCTTGTGTCCCGCCGAGTCAAGATGAGAGTGCGAGACGGGAAACCTACTCCCAGGCAATATAACCGCCATAGACGATACTTGACACCCAGTTGTAGTCCTTCCCAACCAGGTGCATGTCGGTACGGATGCCCATGAGAGAGTCGTAATTGAGCGTGGTCTTATCAACAAACTGGATCAAGTAGATTCGACCACCGGCCCGCCAGTGAGCCTCAGAGCAGGGTCGAGCATCTTCTCATCGGTTAGCTCGCCCGTGGCGAGATCGACCTTGGTCGGCACGCCGTCTTCCATGCCAGACTTCTTGTCCATCTGGTGATTTTTCTTGTGCAGGGGGAAAAGGGAAGAGTTTGAGCGGTGCTGTCTAAATAGCAGTTTGCTCGCGGGCATTGTAAATATGTCGTACTCTGTAACAACGTAGATAGATTGAGATGGTGGAGCCCACGATTACCACACTAGCGTCTAACGAGTGCTTATCTACTGCAAAATGCAAAGAACAAAATTCATAAGCCTACGTATTTTTGGGATTTCTGAGCAATGAATCCTGGATTTGATTGACCGCATCGTTTCGACGATAATACAATGACGGGTCCGGGGTAAGGATGATTGTGCATTGTCTTCAACACCTCGCATTGCTTTCCTTTTTACAGCACGCAGACACTCCAGCAAACTGCTCTCTGGGCGGCTGAGCATGCTCTGCTCTCTACAGTAGAGTACATGTAATCACATGTAATCACACGTAGATAACGGTCCGGGACTGCTCGGAGGACGGTGAGATGAAGGAGACATGCGTGCCGATTGCGCTGCATTGCTGCGAACAGCATGGGCTGGCGATGCCTTATCTCGACCGGTGTCGCGCCTGATTGTGTTTACAGTTCGTGGTCTGTTTAGCCTGCCTCGTCGCGGCGTCGTTTCTCGCACGAGAGACCGTCCACTGTCCATCACTGTTTGTATTCATATCCTACAATGAATGCGCTTATTCCGAGGGTTTTGATAGGACTGTATCTGGGTAGGATTTCTTGAGTGACCTTTGATTCTCAGACATATTTAAGGCAGACATCTAGGGGAAGGAATAGCTATTAGAGAGGAAAAACTACATTCACTATTTATTTATTTTTTTACCTACGGGAGCGGATCAAGCTAAGCACAGCGAAACGCCTCAATCAGACTATAAAATATCACATTTATCATGGAGCTAGGCCTATCTAGGCGCAGACAACGAATACATTGGCGATGATTCAGTGGCGTACAGCTAGCTGGCTTGGATTCTAGAAATGAGTGCTTTAGCTACAAAATGTGCTACTCCGTACGCTATTGCTGATAACATTTGTTGGCAGTGGGACTGGGTACATAGTCTCCACCCAATAATGAGTCGCCAGTTTCGATCGCCTTTCCCTTCTAGGTTATCATGGGACGAATTTTTGACTATCAATCTTCATGGTTTTCAGAGCTTGGTTACGAAGTCCTAATAAAGCATGATAGGCATCTCCCTTTCTCCAAGAAACGCGAACGGCATCATAGCGATCAGGTCGCAGCTCAGGAAGTCGTTGCTGACGTTGATCTGATTCCTATCCGATAGGACTAGGGCCATGGATATAGATTAACCAATCAGCGGGCCTAACGATGGTATGTTAGTCGCGATTCCCTGCTCTAACTACCATTTACTGATTGTGTATTAGATCATATATATCGTTTGAACTGGTCCTCATTCGCTCTGCTTAACACTCACACCGGGTTAAAAACAATCATCAGTGTCCGGGCCAATGTGCGAAACATTGAGAGATATACTACCATGAGCGCTGCTATAAGCCGTGCTTTATGCCACATCTTCTTAGATAGAGGGTTGAAATTTTTCGAACATCGTCCCTTGGAACACAACGTCCTGGAGCTCTACAAGGCAAAGCTATAGACATGGCAACATGGAATGTAGAGAACGGTCGTAAGATTATAATGCAAATATGAGTATAGCATGACGCACCTATCCCATATGCTAGACAACGTTTTCGCTTGACACATATCATAACTGCCTGGACTCTGTAAACGGACTAATAATGCCACTCAGTTCTATCAACTACTGTCCTTGCTTCAAAATGACATTCCTATATCCCTTCTATAATAGCTGCACAATTTAGACATTCACCAATATGCTATCACATAGTCTTAAATTAAAATAGTACAGTTGCAAGCATAAGTAAAGCAGTTAGATATCTTCCAGTAATAGACAATATAATTCACACCCATGCACGTAAGAGCTATAATAAACCAGTAGCGGCGCATAGACACAACTCATCATATAATTCAAGTAACCTGTTGAGCACGGGCCCAAACCATATTACTAAAGAACTCTTCAAGCTGTTCTGTGCCAAAACTCAATTTGGCAAACACTTGTGTTTCAGCATTTACTTCTATGAAGCTCAGGTGATAACCAGGATATTCCTTCGGAGCATGACAAATATCCGGGAATGTTCACAAAGCTTGTCTTTCGCACATCCTCACCCATGCTAACGGTTTAGATTTCGGAAGAAGCCCATGTGTATTATGGTGGCAATGGGTCAATCGGTGACCGGGTATGCTAGTCCGGAGCTGTATAGAAAACAGGAGCTATTTGGTACCCCTTAAAATGGAAGGATTGAACTGTAATAATGGGAAGCTCTGCGCTAGATTTTACTGCACATCGTGGTAATGATATTTAGGGCAGAACATGTGGTGCTGTCACGCACAGGACATTGAGTATATATTGAACTTCAAAGTAGTCAGATAGGATATAACAAGGATCATGCACCTATTCCATCTATGCGTATCGAGCCACACACCGGCAATCAGAGGAATTTCAACTGGCGAGAAGATATGTCAGTACACCTAGGTATATTACAGATAGAGGAGGCCAAGATGCCTCACCTGAACCGTTGCTGTCAAAGCCATTGATTGAAAAGGCCCCTAGACGTTGCCGCAATCTATGTCCTCATCATGCTTTCCAGTGGATATTTCCGCAACCAGGGCAGTACATATTGTCGTCACGTTGGACAAGACCGTTGTCTTCCGTAGGCATGGCGACAGCAGTGTTGCAAACAAGTGCAACAAAGATGCCCGAGAGGATGTTAGAGAGCTTCATAGTGGCTGAGGAGGAGTTCGAGTAGAGAATAAAATTGATTGAGAAGGTATTTGTAGGAAGATGAAGACCGGGACAAAGTTGGGATTTCTTCTACTCTTTATAGCAACATTGACTGACTGGGCATGACATGAAAACACAGAGAAGCATAGATACATGCTCGGACCTTATCTCAGGTTGTTCCCACATTCATATTAATGTTACATTCAACGCTTGAATAATCACTCATCATGATGCCAGTGGAGTAAAGTCATGATCCGCCAATTCATTTGATTAACCATTCATTGTACACCCACTCATTATGCTTCTTTTCTTCTCTGCACAAGCCTTTCACTACAGTTCTCAGAATCCGGGTTCTGTTTATACTTAGTCTTTTTTTTCAGAATTCGCAAGCAAACAATAGCTTTTATGGTGGTAGGGTATCCTTAAGGGTTAGCATAGGACAGAGATAGTTAATCTAGCAGGGGATAAGCTAATATACAAAATTTTCCCGGGTTATCCGGGATAATCATCATAGTAAGCTGAGGGCTCAGGACTATACTGCATTCTACGACTGAAAGCTATGTTATACCTGTTAACGTAAGCCCTAGTTCTGACTACGCAGGAATATGACTACAACCCACGTCACCTCATGCCATACTATTACGGGGTGGCTAGTACGGCACGTTTTAGTTTACATGTGACAGGCTTCTTGCAGTGGTCTCCGGTTGATATGTGCGAATTACTCATTTTGTCAAATTGATCGGGCCATTCAGTAAGCAAATCAGATCAATCTTGTGGGGGGTGGGGGTTTCAGCTCAATCTCCAGGGTATTAAGTCAAGACCTTGGTTCTTTATGAGTAGTTCTTGTGAATGTAGGAAATCCTGGGATATGCATGCCAAATTCTAGTCAACTACATGACGGTCTCTGATTGGTCCGACTCCATAGTATACAATCGGTAGGAAGTTCGACCTCACATTCTAACACATTCCAGGTATTATGGCAAAAGTAGAAGTGGTAGGAGAAATATTATTCCACTCAATGCCAGCCGAGCTAAATATCTGAGCGTCTGTTTATTAATACAAATAGAGAGAAAAGCAAGTGATGCTGTTGGCCGTGGAGTTCTAAGGAATAGGAAACGCTCAGCAGAGTGAAGAATACTGAAATGATAGGTTTGGATCCTATGGCGAACACATGATGTTGCTAGAACTGTTTCTGCAAACTCCGAGTGAAGAGGGCTTCATCAGGTCATCTTAACAAGCCACATAATATCTGCATGAAAGAATACACATTCACACGCCAGTGCGTCGGACATGAAAGGAATAGTCCCTCAAAGTGCTTCAATCCACTCTACCATCGCAACTCAATCCGTATACAGACAGAGGTCAAAGTTTCCGTTCATGTTGTTGCCCCAGTACGTTGGGAAATTTACCTCGTTTCCAGCAGCGCCGAACAAGGCAAACGACATGATGAAGACGATTACCGATGCTCCACCATCCAGTGCGGCCGAAACAAGATAGTTATACTTGACGAACAGGTTCGGGTGATACCTCCGCACGTAGTACTGGGAGGTGAATCCGACGATGAAGAACGACATTAATGATGAGTTGATTCCGACGCAAAGGTAGGCAATGAAGTAGATAAGGATGGGAGTGTTGATGGCGTCAAATCCCCACTTCGGGAACTTGCGGTGCAAGAAATAGAATGGTAGAGGTGCGACGAATCCGAGAATTATGGCAAGCGTACACCATTGGTAACGCCCTCCGACAGAGAAAAGCTGGTGTGGCATACCACCCCAGGCGACGGCCTGACCAAGAGACGTTAGCAGACAGAACATTATGTCGATAGACATCATATGAAGAGAACAAACCAAGGAGTTATAACTCTGCGGCTGCTGGCCAGACCAAACGTTTGTTCCTTCGATAGAGAGGAGAACTTCCCGCTGGTTGGTGACAATACTGTTCATCATAATATAGTTGAAAACTGCCCCGATCGCAGTCCCTATCATTTGCATGGAGAAAGTGACTCGAGGAGCCAAGTGACCATATTGCGCCAGCTTCATGTCAGTCAACAAAAGCTGTCCCTGGGTAACAGAATTATATCCCTATCACACTCAAAGTTAGCAGGACTAATCTATCAAAACTAGGGGCGTCAGACGAAAGATGGTAACTTACAAAAAGGACGAAATACATATTGGCAACCGGGTTTCCGGGCTGAATGTATCCTCCTATGAGCTGAACAAACGGTTGAATGATGAATCCAATGCCCGTGATGGCTTGCATTGCTCCAAAGGTCAATAGCAGAACAGTAGCCACGAGGCAAGCGACGAAGAATCCCCACCATGGTAGTGTCGAATTCGCAGTATAGATACAGACCAGGGCAACCACCATGGACAGCAAAAGCACGCCAGCATACCACCAGCCAGGGACGGCCTTGTATTTGAGCATAAGTTCATAGTGCGGGTCGTAGTGGTCTTCCATCGGGTCGGGAACAGATCCCTTGCGGAAGAAATCAAGATTCCAGCGCCTGGGATTCAGTTTTGGCCAAATTCTCCTCGGGTCGAGAGCTAGTACGGTGTCTTTTATATCGTTCCAAAAGTAAAGACATATGTGGACGATGCCGGCAGTAATAGCCATGTTAGAGGCTAGAATATTGACAACGTATGTGGCGGCAAAATAAGGTAGACCCTCTGCAGCCAATGCCTCGGGGTCAACTACATTATTCGCTCCAATAACAGCGGTTTGATTCCACTGGATGTAGTTTGTGCTGTTTGATCCTTCTGCAAAGAGTACCTGGGACAAAAAGGGAAAGTTCTGCGCATCCCAAACATTGCCGTAGTAAACGCCCACGAAAACAATCATGCAAAGACAGACACCAATGCCTTGACTGATCAGACTATCCAAAGGATAAAACAAGGGAGAATCTCCGCCGGAAATGTATTGCCAGTCTAGACACAGAGAGAAGAGGCCCAGGCCTTCGTTGCCACTAGAACCGCCAAAGATGTTTGTGAATACTGCGCTATGCTGGTCGGCAAGGCAGAAAATGCTGACTCCAGTCAGAAGTGGCATGATCCACTCCGGGACGATCTCTATCGCAATAAAGACAGGTCAGTTGTGTGACGGATTGGGAAAGAGTACCAGAGATTGATTGCCTTACCCCACAGGAAGATGCATGTGAAAACAATACCGAAAACTTGGAGCGGTTTGCGAGTTTCTGACTTGGGTCGGTGTAGGGTTTCGAACATGGAGTTGACCGGTAGGTTGGATGGCCACAGCATGTTCTTAGGATAGAGCAGCGACTTGCGCATTATGCCCGCCAATCCGTACCCCAGGAATTGTGAAGAGAATAGCAAGAAAATCGACACCCCACCGTTGGGATTGGTATTGTAGTATAGCCTTCCACAGCTAGCAGTTCAATTCCCAAGGCGGCAATACTCGCAGAATTGGCCATGACGACGATCGCGACGTGCTCCTTGACATTGAACGGATGAGGATTCAGCCACCGACCGATGATGCCACGGCGTGGAATGATCAATGACAATCCTTCTCCGAGCAAGTACGCAAGTACCGCTAAGAAAACGGTGGACACGAGGACGGTTTGCGGCTTGAAATAGTAGATTGCGGAAATGACTCCACCGAAGACGGACAGACCGCAACCTAGACAATTTTGTATGAGTAAGGTATTCTCGCAAAGACGGTGCAGTCAGGACGATTACCTATGAACCACGTTCTGAAGGTAAGGGCATTGAGAGTTGGATCATCTTCCAGGTGAATCGTGTGCCTCAAGATGTCGTTCGTGTCGGCAGGATGGTGGATCACCTCCTCTGTCAACCCCTCCAGGTCGCCATTTCCGTCATTGAGAGATGACTTTTCAGTCAAGCCCTCGCTATTCAGGCCCACAACTGGGGTTTTCTTCTCATCAGTGACAATATCCTGGGCGGGTACTCCCTCCAGGACCTCTTCCTCCGGGGCGCTGGATAGAGAGATGTCCGCCATTGCGTCTGAGAAGGAGGCAAGCAGACTCTGGACAGCAGAAGACCCTTCTTGGTAAGGGGTCTGCTTAATCACGAATGATTGTCAACCTCCTTTGACAAGCCAAGGAATCTTGATCTACTTTATAAAGACTCGGGACCCTACTCATTACATGGGTGGGTATTACGGTTTTCCACGCTACCTCGCTTATCGGGTCGCTCGTCAACGTAAGCAGTCCCTTATCATCGTAAGTAGCATGGTGAGTGTAAACATGGGTCCATGGGATATCTCAGTTGATCCACTGTCACCTTCCGAATGTGGACAAGGGTATTTTCTTTTTCCCCCTTCGTCTGTATACTCGCAGATCGAACTATAGCAATTATAGCTAGTGGCAAGTCTTCTCACTAATTATATGACTACGCATAATTTATTAATTATTCTCCATGTGTACTGGCGCGTTTTTTTAGTTATGCGCGCCCCATGCAGTTCCTACGCCATCACCATCCATATACGGATAAGTGAGATACCGGGAAAAAGTCAACGCATTTTACTTGTGCACTATGCGCTACTTAGCATAGGTGATCATTTCGTCAGCATATCTAGGCATCTAACTATCAGTGCCCATTTATGCAAGTAAGAATTATGAATGAACAGTCCTATAAAGACTCTACATTGGATGAAGATGTCTACGCTGTGATCCGGGAGCACAGCATCAGTGTGCAGGATCAAAACTCCAAATCGAGATGCTGTGGGACGGGAAGATAAGACTAATCTGTCCCAAAATATATTAAAATTGCTATCTGCTCCTTCGACCTACGGTTAGGATAACAACTTGGAAAGGCAAAAGATTGGGTCAGTTAGGAGGAATAAGACTTAATAACTCATCTATATGCAGAACCCCTACCTAGGTAAAGTATGCTCGGCGCTCGCATAGTGGACTTTGGTCAATTCGCAAGGAGGTTTTGATCATAAAGATCACCAGAGGTGATTCGGCCGGCGAAAAGGGAGCGGTGTGTCTCCAGACTCTCCACAAAATGTATCTAGGTGGCGGGCGCTAAAAGGCTTATCTCTGCCTAGCGAGTGTTCTAAAGTTAGCGGCATGCAATGGAACGTAGCGTGCAGACAATATTGATAAGGAGGTTTCACGCGATTGCTAAGTACGTAGTGTAATATCAGGCAAGATGCATATCAGGGACAGAGTTCAGTCATACGGTGGTTAAGAGACCAGAGAGACCAATGTCTTGGAGGAACTGTAGCTATTTTCAACGATTATTATATATGCTATCGATAGTCCGCAAGAAAAAAGTTATTTTCTACGGAGTAATAACGTATGAATGAACGAATGCGTTGCCCTGCAGGCCGATTATTCATTAGTAATATTGTATTTATCTCGGCTGCTCGGAGGTTTTATCCAATGGCGAGCCTTGGTCTTAGTGCGCCCATTAATTTCTAGTCAAGTCACATGACTTTCTGCATGGAGCTTCATTGCCCAATTACATCTTTGTTCTAATCACGTGATATATATCATACAACAAATTTTTGCAGCCAATGGAAATTGACTCTGAGCTTAGGAACTGGCAATTCGAATCAATTGAGCCCAGAATTTCGCATCCTACAGAACACGAAAAGGATAGGGTGCTTTTTGTGCCTGACCAGCTAGTCGTAGTCATAATATTGCATAATTACAGGTGCTATCAACAAGGCCGGTTGGAGTAGTTGGTTATCTCGTATCCTTAACATTCAACGGTTAATCGGATAAGGTCGCCGGATCAAGCCCGGCACTGGTCATTGAGACAGCTCAACAGGGGATGTTTAGTTTTTCCCCATTCTTTTTTTTATAACTTATCGCTTTTTGCGGCGGTTCCTAATTCCTGTCGCCAGCCTGGGCCCCTATCGAGATGCCCATATCTACGAGCCTTTTCAAGGCATTATATATTTCTGTTAGCGTTATGAAAGCTAGATGTATATTCGCCCGGAATTTTGATCGTGTTAGTGCCCGGGGTGTCATTGGCCCTAGGATCTGACAAAGTGCATTTCAGCTTGAAGCAAATATAACTAGCAGCATAGTAGTAGTAGCATGTATGTAGAGAATATAATATGAATGATCTTTGCAGCGTTTCCGTCGATACCTACGTGAGAAATAACCCGAGAAATATATGATTAATTGGAGTTTTTACTTAGTACACCGGTTGACATCCACGGAATATATATAATTCCCTCCAACGCTGTTACCTGTATCATACCTATTGACCTTGGAAAGTCTCTCTTATGATCTCCAAATAAAAATCTTGGCACCCTATATTATGGCCTCATATTTCAGGATCTCTCTCAACATGCCCTGTCACCCTTCCTTCTACTGAGAAATTTCGAAGAACGCTCCACCAATTACATATATGAGGAAGCCGACGCCAAGTCTACCATAAAACGCCGCATGCTGGAAGAATGCCTTCAACATCACCGGCTCTTATAGGATTGCATGTAAAGATATTGCTTTTAAAAATCGATCCAGACACCCTTTTATACCCCCAATTCGCCAACTTACATCGTGATTTTCAAAAAGACTGGCACCGACGAGTGTCTCCGGAATAGCCGCATTAGATATACCTACCCCTGAGCCATTTGTTAGACCGATGAGTGTACGAACTCTTCTCTAGTGAATGCTAAGATAAGGGACTAACGACAACCGAGGGTGGCGTACATTGCGCTTACTGGGTATGCTTTTCTGCGATACTTTGTCTTCTTAATAGACCCATTGAACTACGGCTGGTTTATTACCTAGGTAGAGATCCGCTTCAGATTCCGACACGCAAGAATTGATAAACATTACAATTGCTGTTTCCCTTGGAGAGTACAGAGGAGTTTCAGTGTCATATTTAGTAGAAATTAATCCCTATTCCTTTAATTTGAGTAGCCCATGGCAATGAATTTCACGAGACTTCCCAATTTCCATCCGTGATGATGCTATTCATGCAACCAAAAAATACCATCACTAAGGGCAGTCACCCCAAGGAATGTCTGATTCTTCTGTTCCGTGACATCCCCAAACTCTACCACCGCCGATAGCAGTATCATCCTCACCACGTGCAACAATACCAGCATCAATTGCAGTGTTGTCCTCCTCGCCGCGTAGACAAAGCATGTCGTCACCATTTGTGCCCTGGCATCCCCAGATATTGTTGTCGCTGACTTCGGTGTCATCCTCGCCGCGTAGGCAAAGCATGTCGTCACCATTTGTGCCCTGGCATCCCCAAATATTGTTATCGCTGACTTCAGTGTCACGCTTCTGGGTTTCTATAAAGTCCCAGTCAGATATGCATTTGCTCAATTCATGCGTTGCGCTCACTAACCAGATGTAGGCAGAGCAACGGCAAGGCCCATCAGGGCAGCCAGAGTAATGATGGTTGTCTTCATTCTGAGTGACAAGGTTTTGCCCAGTGCAAATGAACTTCTTGAACAGAAAGAGAAGGAAAGTGAATGGCCTGGAGTAGAAAGAGGTGATTTCAGGTTTGGGGATATCCACCTCTTATTTATATACTGCTGAGGGAGTGCTTGCGCGGATAGAATCGGCTTTCGTTATTGGTGTAGATAGGACCAATTTCACGGCCTCAAGCTGAAGTCCACTTTCTCTACCCATTTCTTCACATCATGGACATCTGCTTCAAATCTCGATATATGGACCCTTGCTCCTTTACGAACGCTGATTGGCTAGGAGCTACAGGGAGGACTCCCTTAGTTTACTGATTAGCTTGTGAAATGAGTCGACAAACCCGCTAGAACCGAAGAAACCAATTTATTTCAGCTTATTTCAACTCCTGAAAGGTGCAGCAATCCCGAAAACCAACCACACTGGTTCTCGCATCCGTGTAGAAAACCCATAAGTGCTGACGCCATGCTTGCCACGTGTGATGTGGCCTGTGAAATGAGTAGGATAAACCTGCCAAAACTAAAGAAGGCAATTTATTTCAACGTATCTCAACTCCTCGAAGCTGCACTAAACCTAACAGTCGTCCACCTGGGTTCTTGTATCCGTGTAGAAAGACAACAAGTGCTGACGCCAATGTCTGCCACGTAAGACGTGGTTTCTTTTTTGATAAGCCAAAACCAATATAAATTGTTGCTAGATATGTTACATTAATGTCAACATTGTTGTCACTTGTCAGCACAGCATATTACCTTCCTAACATGGTTAAGTAATCAACCCCTCAGTGCTGTGTCAGATTTAGGTGCCTGTAAGCCATATCTCAACCAGCAAGACGGGTTATCATGGTTTTGTTGTGTATAATGCTGTGATATGGCGCTCCCTGATTGTTTCCAGCGCTGCCCATTGCTAGCCCCTGTAGCTGTAGATTTCTTCAGAGTTCTTGGTTTGGTCCGGGATAACCGAGCGCCGGAGCGGAATATGTATTTATCCGCATCCCCCCCCCCCAGACTTGGGAATAGCTTGATTGATGTATCTTCCACATCCCTTGTGAACTTAAAAAAGAGAAAAGGTTTGATATAAATTAGTCGGCAAGTCCGAATGCGAAGAAGTTTGCCGTATAAAGGAACATCTGACGCGAGGAGAATTGCACCGGATATGAAGAGGGACACCGAGACCCTGCTTTTCAGGGGGGTTCTAACATCAATGAGTAGACCCAACGCGCAGCAATTACTGCCGCCACCATTCCCATAACAATAATATAAATGCTCCACGTTGTAATCGCCGTAAATTCCATAGTAAAAAGCATAGTATTGTTGCTGGTGATCTGGATGGCTGTTCCGTACCAAGTGAACAGGAAAGGGAATAAATGGAGTTGCCAGCTACGCATGAGTCAGTAGAGAGTCGTCAGATGCCAGGTTATGGCCTTACTGGAAATTCGTGTGGTTATTGGGACCGTTATGACAAAATTGATGATGGATAATAGCCATTGTCATCTAGCTATGCTAGCGGGTACATTTATATCTAGGGGATATTCCGCCCTGAATAAAGCCGGGCCCGTTGTTCTGACATTAGCCTCGCCTATATACTATCAACTCTCTGCTCCGATGGCAGCTCTTACATAGGTCTGATTTGAGCTCTGAATATCAAATGTTGGATTCGAAGAAGCCCATGAAGCCCCATAGCACATGAAAGGCAGTCTTAGGGTTATGCGACGGGTCGACCAGCGAGAAGCCCGTAGAAGTTGCTGACAACTGTAATAAGCTAACTAATAGCTGAACCAATGTCCATTGCCTGCTCGGAGACGAAAATGATTGTGAATGATTTGCTCGAGGTTACTCCGCGAGTGCTAATGCTCGGAGCTTGCGAAAACCTTACTCCTACATATCCGTGTATGCATACAGTCAACCAGAACTCCAAGTTATATACAACCATTATTCCTCCAGCGTATATCCGGAGTGGATATTTCATCATTTTCACTTCAGGCCAGTTGTTCCGGATATAAACGTCCATTCTATGTGGTTAGAGGTTTTTGACTAGGACAGATTCGAAAGAAGAGTTAGGCAGTTTTCGCTCTAGTGGGTGCTAGACAGTACATTAGCTGCTTGGCGAAGTGTCTGAGCTCCTGAGACAAAGTAGTGCTACGCGGTCTACTCGCGTTCTGATATCAAGCGGCCGATCGTGATATTTCCCCAATACCTTGTATATGACTTCTCCGACAGCGAATAGGATTTATCTGCTGTATCAAGTTAGCACGGTGGTCCGGAACCATTGTCAGTCCTCAACCTCGTGGCATGGAGCATTCTTCCCCTCAGCGACGGCGCAGCTTCAAGATCAAGACGAGATTTGGCGCTGCTCGGCAATGGAGAAGCCGGAAGAATCCGCCTTGTGATGCGTGCCGGCGGCGAAAGACAGCTTGTATCATCGAGACAAGCCCGCCATGTATTAACGTCCCCTTTCGCCCTTTCGCCACGAATGACTTGGGATCTTTTGTAATAATAACTTCATGGTGCTAGGTCGATTTTGTCGATCCAAAGGCCAGGCCTGCAAGTCGACGGATCGCGATGTCAGTGGACTGTTATTGCGCCAGAGGCGAGTGACACCGGCCGACTTTGAGCCCGATAAGGAAATAGATGTAGATGTCACTGATAGTCCCACCGTCGACACGAGTCATCTTAGTGTACCATCTTTGCTATCGCCAGTCATAGAACAAGTACACTCTGTTCTAGCGACGCCGCTAACGGCATCGATATCTTCTCCACCGGGCGGCAGCCGCAGTACATCGGTGCCAGTTTCACAGGCCTCATCTTCAACCGGAACATACATCCTGACCTCCAATTCCATTAGTGAAGATGTACCAACGGTCGATACCCTCGAAGATAACTACAATCGGACCGCGCACTCCATGGGCCTCGCTGCTGAACAGGACACAGACTTGCTCGCTTCCTTTCGGTCCTACATCACGAACGAAAAGGACGGCCTGAGCTCAGACGTCATTCAGGCTACCCCTGGTGGCCTGGAAGTCGGTTCATTTCCTGTACATTTTAACCTGTTGGTAGACGAGTTCCAGCCAGCGGATGACCGGGCCAAACTTAGGATATCAGAGACTATTGAAGCCATGGTGGCACCACATGCCTTGAGCTTAATCCGGCTGTTCTTCAAACACGTTCATCCTGTTTACTGTGTCGTTTCAAAAGCTCGCTTTCTCAAGGCATATTCTGAGAACAGGCAGAAAGTCCCTGCATCTCTGCGTGGGGCTGTCTACGGGCTTGGGTCGATGTTCTGGCAACATGACCCGGACGTAAAAGGCAACTTGGAGTTCGACTTGCATGACCTGTTTGAGGCAGCCCATGCGTCTCTGCAGCGCGAGTTCCACGCTCCAAATCTTTGGGGAATGCAAGCATGCCTGCTTTTGCTCTATGAACGAGCTGCGGATAACGCGACAATCGAAACCCCACGAACCTGGGTATTTTCTTCCCATATTGTTGCCTGTGCGCAGATGGTCGGACTGCATCGGGATTCAACCACATGGCACCTCGTACAAGGGGAGAAGAAACTCCGGAGGAAACTGTGGTGGGCAACTTACATGACTGACATTTGGTCTTCAATATGTCATGGGAATCCTCCGCTTGTATATCCAGGCTCGTTTACTACAAGCCCCCCCGAGATAGACGATCTTGCCTTCGACGAAGACGTCCCCGCAGATATTCAGGACATGGTGGATGTTTCCAGCCGGACTTTTGATATCTCCACCAGCGCTCGATTCTTGGAGATGGTCAAACTGAGTCAGATTTTGCACGAGCTGATCCACTCCTACTTGTAAGTCCTTCGTGTCCAGTTATATACATGCAACCTATAGCTAACCTTCCCAGTCTTGACATCAGTTACCAGAAGACGGTCAGTGAGCCTCAGGTCCGGGAGGCTAATCTTTTGGGTGTCAGGAGGGAGCTCAAGACTTGGTCGTCAATGGTGCCCAATTGCGTGACAATGGCATATACGGTTGACACAAATATCTCCCGAAATAATGGTACGTCGAGTGGCAAACCCCCGGGAACTGTTTTTAGGTAGCAGCTTACGAGACCTAGCACCACTGAATTTGGCATACTATGCTGTCCAAGCCCTACTTTTCCGAGCACTCATGAGCCCTGCCAGGATGTCCGCCAAGTCAGATCCGAATTCATCCCTCTGTCGCTACTTTGACCAGGCGGTGGCCGAATTTCGCAACTTTACCCTCTTCATGGACAAAATTACTCGGGCTTGTCTTCATGCTTTTTGGGGTGGTCGTAAGTCTGACTCCTCCCACATATTACTGTATAATTCACCGATAGTCACGCTAATGTGTCCAACAGATGCCCGCTCTCAGCTCACACTTTGTGGAAACTTTTTGATCTACCTCTTCCTTCTAGCTCCAAGCCCGGGACAAGTTCACGTCGCATTTGAGCTTCTAGGAAAATTTCATGAGTCACTTCAAAGGCTTCGGGAATGGGCAGACGACGATGCGTCCCTTGCACTTTTACGACCGGTTGCCCTCCGGATAGATTCATTCTTTCTACATGCTGCACGAATAATGAGAAATGGAATGGGAGGTGCCATTTCTGTGTGAATAATCTTAACGTGTTTTTCCGAAAATGATTGTCGTGCAAGAATCAGATCCCTATCCGGTTTTGTAGACATTCATTCCGTAAGTTATTTGGAGTTGTAAGAGTCATAACCTGTGTGGGCGGGCTTGGTGGCCTACTGTGCAATAATTCCAGCAGTCCACTTAAATTTGATTGATACAAGTATACCGTTAATTTCCTTTGCTGTCTTGATGTACACAGTTGGTCGCTGTCGAGGCCATTCTTTAGTCAAGTAAAGTAGATATCTACAATCTGTGCCACCTCCACTGCCGGTTTGCCCATGGTAGTTGGCCGATCAGATCGGCCAACTAGTTTGAACGTGTATTTCTCCTCACTCCACCAAGCAAGTACGGCAGCCTATTCGTACAACCTTGCCAAAATTCATAATGTATTGAAATATGATAATGCTACAGAAAATAAAACAATGCCTACATAGCTTGCTTATAGTGGGAGCTAATCCATTTATGGATTAGTTTACATATATATGGAACTATATAATCTAATTTTGTTTCTATATAGAGTCCTTTAATAACTTCGAAATTCATTAATATCACAAATGCTCTTGTGGATTTTTAGTATGTTAAGATGTCTTAATTTGTGGGCTTACTAAGGCCTAATCTAACTTTTTTAGACCTATTAACTTGTTTTTCCTCCTTATAATCCATCAAAAATTTTTTTTTATTAAGCAGAGTAAGTAACATAATGCAATTATTTTATTTTAATTAAATTATATTTAGCTTATTAACTTAAAATTAGATTTTGATTTAATTAATTGATTTAAAATGCTAAAAATTGTTAATTATTAAGTGGTAAGTGAGGTAATAGATGATTCTTGTAGTTGTGTTCTATCTAATTAGTGAGGTTATTCTTAGGTAATCCTTTTTTAAAAGTTAATATATAAATAGAACCCTTTTCTTACTCATGCTATTTATTAAAGAAGTGGATATTTATTCTGGGTAGTTAGGTTAAAAAAAGAGTTTTAAGATACAAGAATTTTAGAACCCTTTTTATAATAGCACCTTCTTAGATAATTCTTTTTAAAAGCTAATATATAAACAGAACCCTTTTCTTACTTGTTCTATTTATTAAAGAAGTAGATATTTATTTTAGGCAGATTGAAAAAAAGGTTCTAAGATGTGAGAATTTTAGAATCCTTTTTATAATAGTATTTTGGATAATAGAGAGACTGATGATTAAAAGCTATAATAGTAAAATGGACTCTGATAATATAGGATCTAAGAATCCTATTAATAATCTTTCTAGATTGCTAAAAAATGGTCCTAAAATTTTGGATCTATCCTTAGATAGTGAATTGTCTAGTCTATCATCAAGTGATGAGTTGGATAATAAGATGAATCTTAAGAAGAAGCCTGCAGAAAAGGTAGTGATAGTCTAGAAAGATATTGCTTGTAAGTTTTTATTATCTTTAGATTTGACTTTCCACTAATATGGAGAACAGTGAAAAAAATTCTTAAGAATCTGAATAAGAATGTTTTGGTCCTATGATAATATCTTAAGCTTATATCTGATGAAGAGTGGAAAATCTAGTTATAGAGCCCGAACTTTCTCTCTTATTAGGAAGAATTATAGAATTGCTAGCTCTTTAAGTAGAAAAAGTAATATTGTAGTTCTAGTATTAAGTAGGTTCTCTTAGTTATGCGCACTGAAGCAGAGGATTTTAATGAGAAATATATTGACAAAGATAGCTGGGATGATATTTATTATTATGTGTATTTTATGTACCAAATCCTGCGAAGAAATCTTAATTATATAGATGGGCTTTTTAGATTTTATCTTATGGGTCCTAACGAGGCTGAATACTATCTTTAGACTATTATGAAATGTATTTAATATAAATTTGTATCATCTTAGTGATATAGATCCTTAGGCAGCTATGTATTGCTGTATAGGGAAACTCGCAAGAGAAAGGGTTATTCTACTGAGTTTACTTCTTGCAAATTAAAGAAACAGTCTAAAAAGGGTTTTATGTAGAACTCTATTTTAGGCGATCTTGCTTTTAATCTTTTTAATCTAAGTGTTACTTCTGCTGACAGTATAGGCTCTTTTTTAGGGCTTAGTATAAATACTAGCTCTGATAATAACAAAATTAATTTACTTTCTATAGATATTAAGGAAATTATAGCCCTAATTAATATCACCTTGGCTAATTCTTAGAAGAAAATGATTTGATCTTATATCTAAGAAAAGTATCTAGTAAAGTAGTCTAAAGAGTTCAATCTTAGTGATCTATATTGGTGTTTAATGTTTGCTTGGATAGCTCTGCATTGTGTAGAGCTAGATAGTAGAGATAAAATCTAGATTCTGTTATCTTTTAAAATCAAGAATGGTGATGCTGATTAGTTAAATAATGAATCTGCTAGGTTGGACCTAAGTGAAGCTATATGGTGTGGTATAGTGATAGATGCTTTAATTTTTAAACTTATAGATCTGAATTTCAAAAAGAACTATGGTAAAATTATTTATATCTCTAATTCTCTTGATTATCTAGAGTTTAAGGATATAGCTGCAGAGCAAGAAGATTGTGGGAAGGAAGATATTTCTTTAAACTATCTTTTTAATGTTTTGGAATAATCTCTTGCTAATTATTAGAAGGAGCTTATGTGGTTAAATAATCCTAGTTTCTAGTTTTTTGATTTTGACAAAGCATATAGAGCCCTCTATCTTATAGTAGCTGAGAAGGATGATGATGTCCTTATTTGGACTTGTTACAAATATATGTGTTTTAATCTGAATTTGGAGATTTGGCAAGTGCTTAATGTGGCTCGTTTGATCAAGATAATGGAGAAGACTTGTCTTAATAGGTCTTTATTGTTCTGTGGTGGGTTCCTTAGTGACGTTATGGGACTTGGGAAGACTTTTTAAGCAATAGTCTTTATGTTAGAGGTAAGCCTTGTGTTTGTTAAAAAAGGGTTCTAAAACTTTTTTTTAGTTCTTTCTTATGATGATTTTATAAATTTTAAAATCTTTTTCTAAGTGATTTCCTTTAATTTCTTGTTAGCTATTATATTAATTGAAAGTTTAGTAAACTGTGTGGGAATCTTTAAAAAAGATAAATCTAGGTGAATGTGACTCTAAACTAATCTATTAATCATTTCTCTTTATTGTTCTTTCTGCTATTTTTATCTAGTGGATTAGTGAGATACGCACTATCATGAAGTATCTTTAGATGTATGTGTTGTATGGAAACCTTAAAGCTGTTAAGGCTGGGATTTTTAAAAATATAAAGCTTATTAAGGATCTATTGACTCTTTCCTATGAGTTTTTTAATAGTTCATTTTCTTGATTAAACTATATTATTATGACAAGTTATGATATATTCTAAAGCCGCTATGGTCTTCTAGCCTATAAGAAATAGGAAAACCAGGAGAAAGCATATTATAAGAAGAAAGATGACTTGTTTATTGTAAGGCTATGGCTAGGCAATCTTAATAGACTTTTTTGTTATATTATCCTTGACGAGGCTTATATATTGTATAACACTAATAATGGCTTATTTATAACTATCTAATAGCTTAAAGCTAATTTTTATCTTCTTTTATTAATCATTATTTTTTATAATGGTATCCTAGACTTCTAGGGCTATATGTCTCTTATTATATTTGAATAATCTAATATAATTTAGAAGGATATATAAACTTTATAGAGCCTTAATATTATAAATGCTACTAATCCTTTCTTGTTACCTGAGGAGTATTTAGCAAGTTTTTTAAGATTTACAACATATGCACTTAAGAAATATATTTTTATAGATAATATTATTGTTTAGGTTGCAAGTGTTTATCTAAAAGGTATTCTAAAGCATCTAAATATTAGATGAATCTTTTCTTCATCTATCTAAATTAGATTTAATTGCTTAATTATTAGCTCCTGTATTCCCCCATCCTAGATGCGCATGATCTATATCAAGTTCTCATGCAATGAGAAGGCAATATATAATTAGGTGATTATTTCTTATTACAAAAACTTGATAATAAAAAAGAATGGTAAAGTTGTAATAAATATAGTAAAATACTGGATATTAACACTGTTAACTTCCTGGCTTGATATAGAATTTGCTGAGGAGCTTCTTATAGTAAGAATATTTAAGAATATTCTATACTTATTTTATTTTAAAATTATATATTAGAGTCTTGCTTGGGTAATTTATTCTAGAAAATCTTCTATATTTTTTTTAAAATAGTTTTAGAGAACTCATTATCTAGAAAAGATTACTTAATTATCAATCAATGTATTTAGAACCCTTTTGCGAGGCTTTCTAAAAATAAGGGCTATACTATCTATTATTATGTATAATTCTCTTATTTGTTAGAAGAAATAAATTATTTAATATTTCTTTCTAATTATCTAGGTGTATATTGCAGCTGTCTTGAAAGAGTATAGTATTAATATAAGAATATTTTATTTTAAACTTAATTAGTCACAACGCTAGGTATTGATTATAGAATTTACTATTATAGATAAATACTCTATTTTAATTATGTTCTTAGCTATTAATGCTCTAGGATTAAACTTGCACTCTCAATGCAGCATTATATATTTTTTTGATTTGCCTTCCACCAAATCTATTATAGATTAAGCTATTAAGCACCTTTGGTACTTTAATTAGAATTGTGTGGTTATTGCTTATATTTACTTAATGATTAATAATTAGAATAGTATTTAATAGTCTAAATCTGATGAGAAGATAGTTATAAGTATACTCTGTGACTTGAATCTAGCAATATTTAAACTTGTAGTTGAAAGCTCTAATGAAATTTCTATTAGTAATCTTATTATATAAAATGATACTCTCCACTAGCTAGGACTTAGTGAAACTCCCTTGTCTTCTAATAATACTAATAATAAAGATATTATTACTGCTATTTAGAAATTATTTATTAAAGAGGTAGATATAATAAATGCCTTTAAAACTTAAACTATACTTTAATATTTTCTATTTTTTATTTATATCACTTAATTTATTACTTAGTTTATTACTTAGTTTAACTAAAATAGATATCTTTTAGCATATTATAATTTTTTTTAGATAAAGAGTAATAATTCTTATATTCTTAATAAGTATCTCTATAAGAGATATTAGGAAATAGGATTTATATATTTGAAATCCTTTTTCTAGTTGTCTTGCTATTGACATATACTCTTATATCTAGTAATAAATTTAATAATTATAAGCTTCTGGTTATAGGATATTGTAGTATCTACAAAAGAATTTATATAATTGCTGTAGTAAATAGTAAAGGTTGCCTATATATAATTAAGTAGTTAACTTATTATAGTAGTTATATATAATTATTTAATTAGTGCTAAGCTATCTATAGCTAAATAAGATAATCTAGCTATATTTCTAATTAGCTTAATACTTTTTTATTAATTTTTTCCTTTATAACCCTATATATTCTAACATCATATTAGGTTGCTTAGAGATTAATCTTCTTTCTTATAAGAAATAAATTATTAATCTATATAAAGATAATCACTTTATAAAATTAATATTAGAATTTCTTGCAAGCCGCTATAAGATCTTTATTAAGAATTGCACTCTTTATTACTAATTGTAAGAATAAGACATTCATTATTTAGAATATATATATAAAGATTCTTCTTGCTTATATATCTAGATTGCTATTTTATTCTTTTAAGCATATTTAACAGATAAGAAAATGACTATTATATTAAAGAATAAAGGCTTCTAGATAAATTAATAGACAATATAGTGAATTTATCTTAGAATGGGCATATATTATTCATTCAATGCACATATATATATAAAGATAGATGATGAACTATACCTTATTATATAAACTGAACTTGATAGTAGAAGTATTAATAGATTTAGCTGTAAAATACTATATATATATTTTCGCTCTAAGATATATATTATCTCTAGGTATTATTTCTTTAAGCTCTTTAATATCTTGTGATTGACTTGATATATAAAGATCATCTATTTTCTTTTATTAGAGAGATTAACCCTGTTAGTATTTAGAGAAAATGGAATAACTTACAGCAAGTTCATTAGATATTTATTATATTAGGTCCAAATTATGTTTGGTCAATTAATAACTATAATAAATTATAGCTATAAGATATTAAGATCTATACTGCAATTGATGCTTATTCATATTATATTATTTAGATATATATTAATATCAGCAATTGTATAGCTGTTAGCATTTTTTACCAATTCCTTAATATAATTGAAGATATAGGTATTTAATTTATGAAGATTAGGTTAGATTAAGGGGTAAAAACTCTACTCTTTATAAGTGCGCATTTTGCTTTATAAAAATAATAAGACTATAATCTTTCCTTTAATAACTGTTATTGGTTTAGGATAAGTACATCAAATCAGTATATTAAAAGTTGGTGAGAATAGCTATTAAAAAATCTTTTATTCTTGTGGCAGATGAGTAATTAGATTTTTAGATTATATGATAGCATTAATATTTATTTAAAATAGGGATTTTTTGCTGAAATCCAGGAACAAGGCTTATATATTAAAAGCTGGATTGTAGATTATATTACACTTTTTGCTATTTATATTTCTATACTTAGGCAGGAAGTTCATCGTTTTGTCTAAAAGTAGAATATTTATAAGATATATCTATAGAAAGATCAGGAATATCTACTAATAGGAAAGTCTTATATGATGTATTATTATCATCTATATGTTGTAGATAATTTTAGAATAATACTAAATCTAGACCTCTTGAAAAAGTTATAGTAGGGAATAAATAATTAGAATATAACAATTTTTAAAGATTATTTAATATAAGCTGATCTTAATTATAAATATTAATAAATATTTACTAGCTAAGATTATTAATCTCTATAATTCAATATTATAAAGTAGTAGATACTCTTTAAATATATCATAAGAAGATTACCTACTAGATGATAATTATATATATTGTTAAGTATATTAATAGTTGTAATAAGACTTATAGGATTATTTTAATGTATAGAAGAAACCTAAGCTAGTGGAATTATTAAGACTAATAGGTGCTTAAAAATAGCATAGTGAGGAGCTTAAGGCTTACTATTAAACTATAGAAAAATGTTTTAGTACTATAAGTTATATAATATTTATTTAGAATAAAATAGAGAAGGATTAGTTATAGTGATTAAATAAAAAGTGTCTTATAGTATTAATAAATATATAGATATGAGAAAGATTTCTGATTAAGAAAAGTCTAATTAATGAAGATAGATTTTCTTATTTAGCTATCTTCTTATGACGTGTCTAGAAGGCTGGTGTATCTAATAGTAAATTCTTATTAGTATTAATAGAAGATTCTATATAATTAAGATGATTATCCTATATATCTAAATCCTTGCTTTTCTTATTATCCTTTAAAACATTGAATAATCGCTTCTTATTTAGCTGATTAAATAATATAATATTTAGTTTAAGTAATTCAGTTTGGCTGATATTATTAGGGAGATTATTAGGATTATTATTAGAGATATCTATATGATTATTATTATTAAATTCCTTAGAAGCATCTTAAGTGTTGTGAAATGCATTAATATTAATGGTTAAAGGCTTGAGTTTAATCTTTGTATTACTATTATTATCATTATTATTATTATCATTATCATAGGATTCCTCAATTTTTATTTCTAGAGTATGAGTCGCTTTTTCTTTGATAGCTTTTATAGGGAATGAAAGTAGTATATTATCTATATTATCCTTGTCCATCTTGATGCTAATATATAGATAAATTATGAATTAATAACTCTTATTTTTTTTTTTTTTTATTACTTAAAAGTACTTTATTAAAATAGATTTTAGATCTATTGTAGTCTATATATTGTTAGGTAGAATAATAAGAGGTCCTTGACTTTTTTAGAATTGTCTAGCTATTATAACTTCTTATATATCTAATGTCTTGTAGATATAGGATCATATATTAAAGTTCTTTATAAGTATCTTAACAAATTTATCTTTTATTTTAAAATAAGTATTGATACTTAAATTAATTGGAGTAGATATTATATAAGCTTAATTATAAAAGATTATCTGCTTCTCCTCTTTAAGTACTTCCTGGTATAGTTAAACTATTATAGGAAGTATATAAGAGGCTAGAGTAGGAGCAGCTTAATTACTGTACATAGGACTGCTAGTATTAGGTATAGATGTATTTTGCTGCATTCTGAAAATAGCCTTTTGATGGCTGTGACGAACAGTTTGCTGATATTCTAATAGTGGTTAATGAGATACTTGAAGGGTATAACTAGGTCTAAGTGGATTACTTCTTGGAGAAGAGTCTTCTAAGAGATTAATTATAAGAGATAGTAGTATATTCACTTTAAAGATTAAGTTTATCTAGCTATAGAAACTGTAAGCTGGATGTTTTACATATATTATATGTTTATAGTCTAGGTTTTTAATACAGAAAGTAGTCTATGATATTATTTAAAATAATTATAAATATAAAATAAGAAAGTAAATTAATAAGTTAGATATATAGGAATTTTATATTCAATAATATATATTAAACTTTTATTGGTAAGATAGATTATTAGGTGAGAAAATAGTCTATTTTGCTATAATATCCTACTTATTATTAGTTAAGAACTAAGTTAACTAGAGATAATTGGCTAAGTATCTAATTAATTAATCTTTACTAATTAGCTTACTGATTACTTATAGTAGTAAATTATCTTAGTGAAATTTCTTCTGAATAGTTATCCTTAATTGAATAAATATAATATTTTTATATAAGAAATAAAAAAAGGTTTCTTATATTATATATAAGAGAAGCAAAGAAGCAAAAAAGGATTTTGGAACCCTTTTTACTTCTCTTTATCAAGACCTTAAGTTTATCTGTTTACTGACAGATATTTCTGTACTATTAGTACGATCATTACAGAAGGTTTTAATTGATTTACACTTGTGCTATCACATGACCTCTATGTGTTGTGGAATTTAGATTGTAGTTTATAGTAAAATGTAAGTTATATATAAAATTCATTTTGGCAAGGTTGTACGAATAGGCTGCCGTAGCAAGGCCAATTAGATTCCGAACTCATATCAACATCCTCCAAGCAAGTGACATGTGATATGGCAGTGTGAGAATATATGATTCCAGGGGTTGAATGAACGACATCTAAACATCTTCCCGCAATTCTCACTTTATCCAAAAAATAGAGAGAGAGAGCTCACCTATCGCAATGGCTACAGTCGGTATTCCAATTATTGACCTGGAACCTGCCCGGATGGGTGGCCCCGAAGAGGTCGCCAAAGTTGCGCATGAAGTCTACCAGGCCTTCAAGTATGTCGGCTTCGCCTACATCAAAAACCACGGTGTGCCGCTGGAGCTCATCGATGAAGCTTTTGGATGGGTAAGACAATCCTCGCCTCTCAACGGAAGATACGTAGTAGATATAAAGAAACTTAAACAAGCCGAAGTAAAACAGCTAAAAAAATAACAACGCGACCATGATCTAGAGCTCCAAGTTCTTCGCCCTCCCTCAATCCGATAAACAGAAAGCTCCGCACCCGGCAGAAGGCTGGTACCACCGCGGCTACTCAGGCATCGGTCGAGAAAAGGTCGTGCAGATGGTCTTTAACAAGGAGGGAATCGCCGAAAAGCGCAAAGTCCCTGATGTGAAAGAATCCTTCGAGCTCGGAAATGAGTCGGACGAGTACATGCGCAATATCTGGATCCCCGAGGAAGTGCTCCCTGGCTTCCGAGCGTTCTTCAACCAGTTCTATCAGACATGCTCGGGTGTCGAGACACTCATGCTGAAGCTTATAGCGATTGGCATGGGTTTGGAGGAGAGCTTTTTCCTGAAGTATCATCAAAGTCGCACGAACCAATGTCGTCTGCTTCATTACCCCCCAGTGGAGGAGGAGTTACTTCGAGGAGGCAAAGCAGAGCGGATCGCGGCGCATACAGATTTCGGAACAATGACGATTCTCTTCCAGGACGAAGTTGGCGGCCTTGAAGTCGAGGATATACGTGAGAAGGGCAAGTTTAACCCGGCTCCTTACGTTTCGGGCACGGCGGTGGTAAATATCGGCGACCTACTGATGCGCTGGAGTAACGACGAGCTCAAGTCGACGCTGCATCGGGTGAACGCGCCTCCGCTTGTTAACAAGGAAGACGAGGGTGAAATAAAGGGACGCATCACACGGCCACGATATTCGATTCCCTATTTTATTAGTCCAGATAGAGACAGTTTGATTAAGTGCCTGCCGAACTGTCATGGCCCGAATCGGCCGAAGAAGTATGAGGCTATTACAAGTAGAGATTATATTGCCATGCGGATGAATGCAACGTACTAGTAGTGATAGTATCTTTTGAATGATTCACTCCTTTCTTGCTGTTGTTCATTGACTTTATTATTGAATGATTTGAACGATTTAATGCTTGGCGATATTGATATCTAGGTGTATATCTATGTCCATTTCTTGGTCTCCTGCCACATAAGACATTTCTACTCATCGTCTCCTAGAAAAACACGAATGGGCATCCATCCATCTGCCACAACCTTTGACCTCGTTTTAATTGCACTGATCTCTGCAAATTCCTCCTTTGTCAAACTCCACCCGTCGAGATCGAAGTTATTTTCAATTCGAGAGGGGCTAACACTCTTAGGTATGACGCTTACGCCGCGCTGGATGTTCCACATCAATCTGTAATCCTTCTATCAGGATATGTCTTGTTTTACATGGGCAAAAATTATGAGGAAACATACAGAACCTGAGCCGGTGTCTTCTGCTTAGACTTAGCAAGCTTCAATATAACAGGATCGCTGGTGAGGTTTGTGTGGCCGTTTATTGGTGAGTTGTTGTGGCCACCCAGGCAAGAGTAGGCGGTGCAATGGATGTTTTTGGAGCTACAGTAGGCGAGGAGTTTAGGGCTGTATTGTAGTGGAGGATTAGGTCTGCAATCCGATGGTACTTATAGTCAGGCAAATTGCCAGGATTGAGAACTCACGAGGGATTATAGGGATGGAGCTGGATTGAAACTGTGTTAGTCTGAGTCGAATTCCGGCTTTCCATGAGGGAAAAGAGGTACCTCGATTTGATTGACAGCCGGGACAACTTTGCATGAAGGATGACTCAGGAGCTTCTCAAGATGGGTGATTTGAAAATTTGACACGCCGATAGATTTTACCTTTCCTGTCTCCAGAAGCTTCTGCATTCCTTGCCTATAAATAAAAGGATAATTTTGTCAACCGGGTTTGTTATACTCAGGTGCGAAAGAGCCTGCAGAAAACCTACCAAGTCTTTACAAAATCCCAATCAGACAAATGCTTACTCCGATTCTCTGGGTCGGTCGAGCATGGAAAATGAATCAGATACAGATCAAGGTAATCCAGACCTAGGGCGTCTAAACTCGACTGCAACCCTTCTTTGACGCGGTGATGCCAATGGTTGTCCAGCTTGGTGGTTACCCAGATCTCTTCCCGTGGCACATCGGACTCCCTGATCCCTTCTCCAACTTCTTTCTCGTTCCCATAGTTCAGTGCAGTATCGATGTGTCGATATCCATGCTGTAGAGCATGTTTCACGGCATCACGTGTTGAGTTCTCTTTCGACTGCCATGTTCCCAGGCCGATGGCTGGAATAGCGGCGCCGCTGTTCAGAGTGAAGGTCTTCGTAGTGAAAGTCATGTCGATTTGATATCTTTGATAGAGAAGAAAGAACTGGGGATAATTGAATCGATTAATTTTTTTTTCTTTCCCCCATATCCAACTGCTCCAATTTCGCCCCTCTCCTATGCTTATACCCGTTTCTCCGCTTTCCCTGCATTTTATAAAGTACTCTGAGCTAAATTCGGGCAAACTTTGCCTTGTTAGCCGATCAAGACAGAAACAGTCTCTTTAATCAGGCTTATCAGATAGGCCATCTCTTAGTGTTGCTCGTATGTGGACTAAAGATCGGCCAACAACGATCGCTCAAGTCAAAATTTCGGGGCTGGTGATAAGCGGGAAGCTCTAAAATACCGGCTTAGGGCTCCAGCTTTCGCTTTCCCCCCGTTAGTTGATGGCCGTGACTATTACAGATTGCTATTACGTTGATTGTGCTGAGATGTTCTCCTGGTCGTGGCCTGATATTAAACAGAGGCTTGAATGGTTTGTCTTGTTCATTTTCGTTCTCGTGCCCTCTGAATGGTAGATTACATATATAAAGATGGATGTGTTTTGACGTTGCTTTTGACATGCTGTAGCCCTGTTGACGAGGATGCGGACTATGAAAATACGACCTGGTGCAATCGCGACTTGATTCCTATTCCGCCAGAGAGGAGGACTTATGGCGTGTGGTCGTATTTCGGTGCGTGGCGGTCGATCCATATACTCCGATATATATGATTATATCTCAATCCTGCTGACGGGGGCGAGTAAAAACAAACAAACAGGGTACTGGACTGTGTCTGGGTCTTGTATCTCCGCTTGGTCAACGGGGAGTACTCTGCTCTCCTTCGGTTTGAGTCCACAACAGGCGATCGGTGTTGTTGTGAGTTTGTCGTCTGCAACAAACAGACCACTGACTAGGGACTGACGTGGAGACCATTCTAGATCGTTGGAGGATTTCTCTCCGGTTTACTCGCTGTAGCCTGCGGATGGATGGGCGAAGTACATCACATCGGCTTCACAGTCTCAAGTCGCTTTTCCTGGGGGATGAGAGGTTCCTACTGTACATTTCCCAGTGAATGAATGATTTTAGTGCCAATCTGACGTGATAGCAGTCCCTGTCACTCTACGTATTTTTGTCTCCTGCATGTGGTTTGGTATGCAAGCCTTCTGGGGAGGACAGGCAACTCGGGTTATGATTGGTGCTATCATCCCTGGTACGCTTGATTCTTCTTTCTCTTATGCTCACGATTATAATTTAGAGAACAAAAGTAATCTCTTATTCTCACAGGTTTTGCTCATATGAAGAATTTCTTCTCTGCGAGCTCGCACCTCCAAACGAACGACTTCATCGGACTGGTCATTTGGATGTGTGGTTTTGTTCCTGCAGTCCTTATCCGACCTGAGAAGCTTCAGATTCCTTTCTTCGCCTGCTTCGTTCTTTTCTGCGGTTCCTGCTTTGGGATCCTAGCCTGGTAGATATCTCTTTCTGTTTTGATTGCCTTGGAACAATTCCCACTGACAACATCGAATATCTAGGGCCGTGTCACAAGCTGGTGGCGCCGGCGATCTCTTCCGCGAACCCGGAACAGCTGCAAACACCGGCTGGGCCTTCATGTTTGGTATTACCGCTATATTGGGGTCTTGGGGCTCCGGAACATTGGGACAATCTGACTGGGTCCGTTACTCGAAACGCCCATATGCGCCAACGCTCTCGCAGCTAGTTGCCTGCCCAGCTACGATCGCCATCACGGCGAGCATCGGGATAATTGTGACCAGCGCCTCAAATAAAGTCATGGGCGGGGAAATCCAATGGAACCCAATTTATCTTCTTGCCGATATTCAGGAATATTATCACTCCAGTCCGAGGGTGCGCGCTGGGGTCTTGTTTGCTAGCTTGGGAATGGTTGCATCACAGTACTCGGTTTGTTCTCCCCATCATATCGACTACGTCCATGCATGTGGCAATGCTAAGAATATTGATGAAAATGGTGCAGATTAGTGTAATCCTCAACAGTGTCAGCTGTGGCATGGATATGGCAGGTCTTTGGCCGAAATATCTCAATATCAGACGCGGGAGTTATATCATGGCTATCATCGGAATCGCAGTCCAGTAAGGCCCCCTTTTGAGGATAGAATCTTCATTTAAGCATTAAGAACCACTGATTTATTTTCTCTCTCTTTCCAAACATAGACCATGGCAACTGCTGTCCACAGCAGACAAATTTCTCGCCGTTCTTAGCGGCTTCGGCGTGTTTATGGCCCCAGCGACGTATGTTTCCTTCAAACGTCCCCTTCTTTTCCAATGATTTCGTTGGCATTATCCTAAAAATGCAAAAATGAAGTATACTAACTCGAGAAATCACTATTAGAGGCCTCATGCTAGCAGACTACCATCTCATCCGTCACCACAAACTAAAGTTGTCTGATCTCTACCGCGGTGACAGCACCTCGATCTACTGGTTCCGGTCAGGCGTTAACTGGCGCGGCTTTGCTGCATTCACAATGGGAATGTGGCCGCTTCTTCGTGTGTACCTATTCTTTTTCTTCCTCTTTTTATGGTTATACTAATGTAATGGTAATCGATTATAGCCGGCCTCGCGGCAAACGTCAACTCTTGGGAAGGAAAATGGACCGGATGGTTGAGACTGTACAATCTAACATTTATTGTGGGATTAGCAATCAGCTTTATCGTCTTCTGGGTGCTAAATGTCCTTTTCCCTGTACATGGGGTGGACGAGGACGGGCCATTTATTCCTACCATGGATGGGGTGTCGAGTAAAACTGATGAGGAAAGCTATGTTCGGGCAAGGGATGAGAAGGGGTCGGAGAGAATTACAATCGTATAATTGGGAACACACACTTGTATCTACCTAGATACTAGTTGTCTCTTTCAGACAGGAAAGATTTCTTTTCATGTCTGTTCACGTTCTATACCTAATGCGATCTATGTGTATAACCACTTTGCTCGCAGTGAGACAGAGAACTCCAGTGGATATTGCAAGTTGCAACGTAACACACTGCAATGCAGTATTCACGGATGAATTGCTACTGGTATTTGGGTTGAAGCAATTATATATAAAAACTAAAAGCTAAATAATGTATTATCAAAAGTAATGTCTCTATAAGACTCTGAATTGTACAATCATACTTTTCCTTCAGGAACTATTCGACACTTCAATAAAAGCTTCATCTACTTAATTATCTTCAACATGGCCAAATTTAGACACCAGGAACGGTAAAGTCAGGCAAATCCGGCCAATTGCCTAGTTCTCCCGGATCTCCTCCGATCCGAACGAAGGAGCTGTTGGACGGGGTCGGGCCGTCAAGTATGAACAATTGAAACCAGCCAGGAGGAGAAGTCCACGGGTCTGGAGGGGCAGTAATAGTACACTGATTACCTTGACAGGTAAACGCCGGAAATAATGTACGGTGACCGAAGCTGTTTCCGTGCGTGCTTGAGATGAGGCCAATCAAGGACACCTTCAGGTTTGCGACGTTGCCGGCAGTGACTGTGATGGTGTAAGTGCCTCCGTATGCCCAATCGGTTTCGGTGATGGTATACGCTGGTCGCGCGGCTCCGGACAGAAGATACGGCGGGATGAACACCTCTACTCTGTATTCCTCAGGATGGGTATCATCCTCTGGGTCTGAGCCGGAGACTAACACCCGTCCATCAGGTAGGAGAATTGCCTCAGAGTGGTAGAGACGTGCAATGGTGGTATTTGCCATGACTGTCATGCGCTGATTGACCGGCTTTGTCGGGTCGTATAGAACAGCATTCAAATTGGGACTGGTAGCAAGACCGAAACCGGCTACACCCTGGTGAGCGCCGTTCAAAATGAGAAACGTGCCATCTGGGAGGGGTGATATGCAAGTCATGACACGTTTCGAAGGCTGTTGAAACAAGGGTTAGATATGAGAGCTTGTTATCTAGAGGAAACAGAACGGAACTGACCATGCGTTCGATCGTCCAATTCTGCCCCGGAACGTCAGGCTGAATGGAGACACAATTATCGATGGCATCCCCGCCGTAAGGAGTTGAACCACCGCATATGAGAACCCTTACAGGATCTGTGTATGGAGCATATTGAGGAAAGAACACCATAGTGCCTTCAAGAGGATAAGTCCGGCCGCCGAGATCGTTGTTGACGGCACCTGGCATGTTTGGCAGCGTCCGGATCGTCTGCAATGTGGTTTCGTCCAACAAACGAGCCTCATTGTAATAAGCAGCTAGAATCGTCTTGGAGGGCATCACTCCCATGAACGGATACAGATTGTTAGGGTCCGTACGTTCCAACCAATCCATGTAGAGCGTGGGTCCAACTGTCGGTAGGACTTCGATGGTAGGGACAGGGGGCCCGTTTGATCCTGTCTCACCACCAACAACAAGAATGGAGCCATTAGCCATGATCATTCCCGAGGGATACCAACGGCCATCCTGTAGAGAGAGTTCAGCCTGGTTTTCCTGCCAGTCATTGACACCGGGTTGGCCTGGAGAACCATCCGGCCAGTAAAGTCGGATACCTTGGGTGGACACTCCCGACCAGCCACCAATAGTAAGCTGTCTTCCAGCCTTGTCAGGGAGAACGAGGCCAGCGGAGCAGAAAATATCGGTCTTGACGTGCATCGCCCGCCAAGCATTGTCGAAATCGTTCTCATAAAATAGATCCAACTCATAGGCACCAGTAGTGTTTGGCGGTCCCGTTCCCCATTTCTCCAAGAAGGTGACTTTCCCATTGATATTTACGGTTGTCATCAGGGGCACAACCACACCACCAATCAGGAATTGGTAAAGGCCAGCGTCATTTCCTGAAGCATATGTCCACAAAGTCGTGCTGTTTTCCCAAATGTAGTAACTAAGGAGGTTTCCCGCACCACAATAGTGGATGGTATCACCAGTGCAGATCATGTTGCATTGAGAATCAGAGACGATTTCAACGTCAGGGCCAATGTCGAAAGTATCGCCGCAGACTAAATATACATTAAAACCGAACGATTTCTCTAGTCAGAAGTGAAAACCTACAGCACTGTTCACCATACTCCAAACCAGCCGCCTGAAATCCGTATTCTTGGCAACGAGAGAGACAAGCAGTCGCCGAGTTGTTGTTTGCATAGGTGAGTTGATAGGGGAAGGTTCGTGTATTATTAACGTTGTCCCTGAAGAGTAGCAGCTTTAGCCGTGGTCCTACGAAGAGAATTGAAAATGTAATGACGTGTGGACATACTGAAGACAGCCCTTATATACCCAGGACCCAGGTAGATTGGTTGTTTGTACTGTTGGCGGGGGTAGCACTGTTATTGTAGCGTTGGAATAGACACTGAGGAGATTGGGTCCACCACAGATTTCACTGGAATTTCCGGCACAGGTCATAGCACACTGGGAATCTGAGCTTGCGAGAGAAGCATTGTTTCGCACGTAGTCATCACAGAAGCACTGGTCGGAGTACTCCATGCCTGCCACGGTATAGCCCAATAGTAAACATTGGCTAATGCAAGATTCGATAGTCATCGTGGGATTATCATCTTCCTGGACGAGCATAGAACGGACACCACCGATGTTGTCCGCATAGCAACCCCGGTAGTCCCAACCAGATGGCAAGCCTGTAGCAGTTGCAGTGACACTGGTGGTAGTTGCGCTAGTGGATACAGCAGTGCTTGAGGTAGTTGAGAGAGAGACAGGTGCAGTCGCAGAGGACGATGGAGAATCGGTGGTTACCGTAGCGCTGGTGGATACGGTCGTAGACGAGGACACGGCGGTGGTTGGCGTAGAGCTGGAAGATGCTGGATTTGAAGACGCCGTCACGATAGTTGAGCCCAGTTGGTATAAATCGAGTCTGTCACTGCCACCGCAGAATTCGCTGCTGTCCCCAGAACAGGGGTACGAACAATCAGTCACTGGTTGTTTAGCGCTATCCGCCGCCAGAGTTTCACCGCAGTAGCATTCACTGTAGTACTCGACACCGAAATAAGTAGCGCCATTGCAGAAAGTAGCACAGGCATCTACTGTCATGTTGCTGCTATATGTGTAAGTGCTCGATAGACTTCGAGCGGCGGCCGTGTCATTGTAGCAGCCAAGGTACTGATAACCCGGAATCGTAGCTCCTCCTGGAGTAACATAATTGTTGTTTGTATAGACAGAGAGTATGTTCGCTCCACCGCATGTTTCTGTACTGTCTCCCCCACAAGGCATGTTGCAATCCGTCTTCGCAGCCTCTGTACTCGAGCTGCTCAAACCAGTGCCGCAAAAACACTGTGTTGTATATTCAAGCCCAAAATATTGATAGCCACTGCAGAAGTTCGCACACTCCGTAAGCGTCATGTTGTTGTCACTGGTCGTCGCGGCTGGCAAGGTTCTGGAATTGACGTTGTCAGTGTAGCAGCCAAGATAGCTATACGGTACTGGGTCAGAACCACTCAGCGCCGAGCAAGAGCCAGTGAGTGCTGTACTTTTGAAACTATCAGAGGATGTCTCTATAGAAACGCTGAATTTGGATGTAGTTATTTGGTTGGTTGTGAGAGCATAGCTACCGCTATACAGGACGTAGGCGCCAATTGTTGCCGTCTTTGCCATCGTCACGTTGACGGTGGATAAGCCTGGCACAACACAGCAGGATCGAGGTGTTTTGATTTCTACAGAGAGAGTTGGAGAGCCTGAAGTCACTGTGTTGCGGACCTGCAATAACGCATCTTTAGTGTTCACGACGTCAAGTCCTTAGGATATCGGATTTCCTTACCGCAGCGGTAACCGTCATTTTGTAATTACCGTTGCTGTCAGATGAATTGGCTATGCAACTTTGGGGGTTTTGAAACAAGATATTGTCCTGGATTGGATACCCATTCCCGTTGTTATCGTATGTTACTGTGTTACCATCAGCTGTCACCTGTACTATAAACGTCGAGATTGAGGTGTTGGCCGGCAGTATTGCGGAGAAGCTATAGAACTGTCGACTATTGTCATAAAAAATGGCCCCTTCATAGCTAGTGGAAAACTCACGACAAAAGAATCATCAAAACCATTGGTTGTTCCAGCATACTGTGTTCCGATGACACACGATCCGCAAGTGGATGCCCCGTTGCGGTCAGCATATACAAGTTGAACGTTCGAAATGGTGCCATTGAGGTCGGTCGTTCGGACACGAATCTCTCCAGTAAACTGGAGCTGGGTGCCACCAGGTTGTATTGTTAACTGTAAGTTGCTTGGCTTGACCTCGTAGGGAACAATTGCGTCTGTGAGGACCACTCCCGCGGGGACAACCTCAATCAATCGCTGAAGCATCACCTGGCAGCGGGATTGAAAGTATGTAGGGTCGGCCATGAGACCAATCGTAGCATTGTTGTCCGCGGTAAACACTGCTATATCTGAGTCGTACGTATTCTTTATTGCAAGTGGCCCAGCCAGCGGATCTGAGCTGTTTCCACCAGTAAATTCGGAGGCAATCTTCTCGTCGAACAATGTTGTCGAATCGAAGTGCTGGTAGTCATTTTCCACGGTTCCTGACTGTAGCACCTCGGGGAAGTTACCGGCGTGAACGCCGCCAATAGTGTGGCCGCAAGCCGTCAGGGCGATCATTTCCGAGACATTGAAGCCCATCCGCGCAAACTGCTGGATGAACGTATACTGTGAATTCTGCGGCAACGGCACGCCGATCGGCCCAGCTGCAGTGGCATCTATGCGGCCTGTGCGGATGGGAATAATCGGACCGCCACAGACACGGACAGATGCGTATACCCCCAGTGCAATGATATCGGCCAGTGATGCACGAGACGAAAAAAAGGGCGTGAAAGAGAGTAGAGTGAAATTGAACGCGGTACCAATGTTCTCGCCACCGTCTCCTCCCAATTCATACTGTAGAGACGCATCTAGTCCACCGACCCCGGTGAAAACATTGCCGGGGGCCGTGTCGTGGAACGCTGTGCGAAGCCATTCTGCCGATGCAATTCTCGACGGACCATCCGGGGAGAAGGAACATGGAGTTATATCGGCAGAGAAGGATCGCGCCTGGTAGCCAGAATTTAAGAACATGATGTCTTCTAGCTCATCCACCGAGGAAGGCCATGTCGGTAGCCCTGAGGCAGGCCCCAGGACCGACACGGCCGCCATCAGGAATTGTAGCCACGCAGCCATTATTTTGTTACCTGTAGCTATCGACAACGACAACAACGGTTTCCCGGTGGCAACGGGGGTCTATTATTCGCAACATAGTCGCGCTAAGGCCAGTCACTTCAATATGCAACGCATAGCTGCCCCGCTAATGTCAAAATACCATGTGTTGTCGGTGCTGTCTCTCTAATCCCTCTTGTGAAATGCGGGAAATTTAAGCGGGTGTCTTGAGACATGCACCACTCCACAAAACTTGCAAGCACACTATACACGCCATTTTAGAAGTGAGAGGTCGATGACAAATCAGTTTCCTGTTCTCCATTGGGTCTCGCAGGAGCCGCAAGCCGTATTGACGCCGAATTTTCGGTGCAGATAAAGCTACAGGCGTGCCATGTCAGCCTGCAGATGGCCCTAGTGCATGAGCTGAATCCCAAGCGGGAAGCTATAATTCTTGGTCAAACCTGTCGAATGAAAGACTCAGAAATTCAAGTTTGCAGCCAGGGATGTCTCTGATATGTAAAGTTAGGTTAACTTTCTCGTCGATCCGGGCCCGTCCGAGATCAGATAAGCGGCTGAAGTTAAAGACGGTACTAGCCGTATTGTCACTGTTCGGTAATAACCGTAATACAGTCAGTACATATGCATTGCCACAGCATTAATAAGTAAATCTTGGGACTCTGATCCCACGCCGCATCCCCGTAACTAATTGCCCAGACAAGACCTGTCAGTTAAATATGTATACCTGCAGATACGGGGTGTTGACGTGGCCGAAGGTATATCAGGGCAAGCAAGAAAATATTCCAGGCCCAAAAAATCTATTCTTTAACCACAGTCAAGTGAAACTAGTGTCAAACTACCGCCCTAACATGCCAAGGAGATAAGAAAAGAAAAACATCTATCTATATGTTCTATAAGCTACTTGTATTATGTATCGCTTCCAAAGGTACATGTAAACCATTAACATGAAGATCTATTTCAATAAGAAAAGGCTGGGGCTCGTATACCATTGTAATCGGACGACGCTTAGTAGTTGAACACCATCAGTGATGGATTCAGTAGGAGCGGTAGGAGAGCGTGGGATGCCAAAGTGACCGACATTGGCACAATAGCAGTGACCTCTGTAATCCTCCAGCCATGAGGCGCAAAACAGCCCAAGTAAATCATGGCAGGGAAGAATGGAAGCACCACTGCGTACATCCATTTGAAGGTCTTGAAGATCTTGGGCATCTCTTTGAAGAAGTTAGAGTCATCCTTCTCCTTCGCCGTAGTGCCCCAAGACATATTGATACGGAACATGTGGGCCAGAATAGCCATGCTCAGATGGAAGGAGAGGCCACCGAAGAAGATGGCAAACATAGGCATCCACATAAAGTTCTCTACCAGGGCCGAAAACAAGGGCTTCTCTCCAAGGCGATAGCGAATGATGGCCAAGCAGACATTTCCAGCCCCAGAGAAAACGACGAGTAGGCCAAGAAACACTATTAAACACCGAAAAAAGAGAAAGTCCAGTCAGCTTGATATTCCACTACCGAGAGACAGGGAGACTGTACCATTCCATGATTCCATATAAAACTTGTCCAGGTAACCTTGAAACCAGCCGACAATGAAGTAATTAAGAACAGTCAAGGGGAATCCAGAAGCCAAAGCGTAATATGATGAAATGTATCCTAAGATGGTAATCTTGGACGATAGCTGCAGGTTGGACCATAGGAAGGACATGAACAACTTTGTCAGAGGACCTCGATAGATCCACGTGTGGATCGGGTTAAAGACCAGTTCGTTGCATCCGTAGGCATATCTTGCTAAGATGTTAGTCTCTCCTCAATTCAACTATGTATGGGCAGCCTACTTTTCCCAACGCGACAGCTCGTCATAGATGGTAAGCGAGACACCTTCCTTGAACTCATCGTTATGATAGCTAGCCAAACGAATAATGTTCCCTTGGATCTGGAGACGCAACGCGATATCAAAGTCCTCTGATACATGGCTCTCGGACCAGAAGGCCGTATACCCGTCATCTGGTCGGCCGACGGATTGAACCGCTGCAACACCAGCATCAATATTGATCATTACGTTAGAGGTAGAATGCTTACCTTGCCAACGAAGAAAGGCGTTGTGCCCGACAAACGGAGCGGTTTCACCACTGCCTACTGCAAAACGAATGGCTGAATAGATGAGGTTGGTGAAGTACGTGATGCCATTCTCGAAATAATCCCGCGAAACTTGCATGACGCCAGTAGAATGCTGGATGATGGCGACTTCAGGGTTTAGAAACATCTCGGCAGCACCGTAGAGCAGGCAATCAGCTGGCTGCATAAATCGTCATTAGAGGTTCCAGTAAACAAACTTTCGGGCGTCTCAACTCACTACTCGAGTGTCCGAGTCGACAATCAAAATAAATTCGCCCACGCGGATATCACCACCAGCACCGCGGATGCGTGGATCGGATTGAATAATGTGGTCGAACGCCTCTCGGTAGACCAGCTCTTCCTCCATAGGATCAACCATATCGGAGTCCTTCAATGCCGGGGCTATACGCTGGACAAGTTCCGCCTCAACTTTATTCGAGACATTCAAGGCAAAATTCATGTTTGAAGCTTTCTTGAATTTTCCCTTCCGAATGTAACCGTCGTCGTTGTTTTTAGGCCGAGCAACCCAGCCAATGTTGTTATCATGGTAGAAATTGATCCGCTCACTCCTTTGCTCTTCGGAAAGCAAGGCAAAGCCATCGTCATTGATGAAGATATTCGCAGCACCTGTGACTTGAATTAGAAGGCAATTACAACGGATAAAAAGCAAGCCTCTGACCTCCATGCGACTCGTAGTGGGAGATTGCAGTCTTCAAGCTACGGATGGTAGGCTTGATAACTTCTTCAAGCGACTCGGTATAGATGGGCATTTGGATCGTGATACGCGGTGGTGTGAAGCCTAGGGAATACGCCGATTTCAGGTCCGGGGCAATGGGGGAATAAAACCGTGAATTAGTCTTGAGCGTCTTGATTGGTCCGACAGCCTGGAAGATATCCGTGAAGATGACTATCATAAAAAAAATACTGAACAGGGCGAATATAGGGATCGTCGCTGCAAGGGCAAATCTTGTTGCGTTGCCATCGACCAGGTATTCCAGAAGTAAATCATAGATTCCAAATCCAACGAGAAGAATCACAAGAAGCATTACGGCCATTCCGACGAAGATGGCGCTGGTGAATGCCAGTGGCCGTTCTAGTGAGTCCTTTGGGCGCTTGACTCCTTCGTTTATCATCCTTCTCGGAGAAGCATCGCGGGACATACCAGAGTCTTCTGCCGCTGGCTGTGCTTCCTTTGCCGCCTCAAGAGCCAAATGGTATGATGAGCCATTGGGAGACGCTACCACTGATTCCAAAGGAGTCGCCAAGGGTGTCACCTGGAGGTTGAATGTTGGGACGGGGCTTCCCCAGATCTAGTATGGTTTGTTAGGAATGACGAAGGACTCGTTGTGATTCTCTATTCCAACATACCAAAGAAAGTAACTTTGCTTCGACATCGGCAGCATGGGTTAGAATAGCATTCAAATCGTCATTCCAGAGAAGAAGGAGGCGCTCTTCTCGAATCAATGCGCAATATTGATGCCTCTTGACCATATTTGAATGAGATCCCGCAATATCGGCGTACGAATCAATGATCTGGATCTGATAGCCATTAGGAAGAATCAATTCTGTCTGGCCGTGCGCAAGTTGTGATGTAATGATACTCGTGGTCTCGGTCATCATTGTGAAAGCGACTGTAGCATTGATCTTTTGAATCGCTCCGAGCAGCATGGGATTGACATCCTCCGGTTCGGAGATATACACACCCCTCGACCGGCGCAGGAAGACCGCGGTGGAGCTTTGTTGTAGATGTGTCGGCGAAGGAAGCCATTGGTACGCAGTCAAGCGCACATGGAAGAATTTTATCATCTAGGGTGTTGTTTATTTAGTCGTGGCTCCCACGCAACTGGATATCCTCTACTTACAGCCTTATACTTGGAGGCGTCGTCAATCCCACTGTTGACATATCGTTGGTCGACAGAGCTTGGACCATGGCCCGATTGCCCCGACTCCGACACAGGCAAAGAGTTCCTCTGCGATGTGGTCTGGTCGGACGTGCCATCGTCATTCAATGTCTTGCGGGACCTAAAGGGCCATCGAGTAGGGATGAGGGAAGACATGACAATGATCAACGCTGGGTGTGAACGCAATGGACGAGGGAGATTTCAAGGAATCCACGGGCCCGGCCACAGGTATATGGAAAAGCAGGCCTTGACACCGATACTCTTTTTCGACACTTCCTGACCCATGCCAGCAATCTGACACAGGTCTTGGGTGAATCCAATAGTACAAAGCTCGCCATCGAGTCGGCTTGCGGAAATACTGCGATAGTCCGACGCCAGGTCAGACAGGGTATCCGTTATCTCTGTTAGCATGGACGAATTGAATGAGCCTATTTTTAACCGCTTATCCAAAAAGGAGCAACGCTTCACGTAGGAACAGCCCTGCTCTGTGCGCCATTCTGCACGCCAATGGACATTTTCTGAGGACTGTCTCTCATCACAGCCGAGCCAATCGAGGAATTGGCGTTTAGTTAGGATTAAGGATGTACAGTATCCGAGAACCAGAATTTACAGTAGGCACGCTAGCATCTGGCTCGGTCCACTTAACAGCCTTACTGTAAGCCTCAGGGCTAGATCCGAGTAACCATTACGATACAGTTAGCGCTCCTCCCAGCACAGGCCAAGGTCGTCTACGCCGTATCGAGTGAGACGCCGATGCAGCCACGGTGTGATGGCGAAGAAAGACGCAACGCCAAGGCGGAATGAAAGTCAATTGAAAGAACACGTTTCATTCTGGTGAAAAGCCCTAATGCACCGCTCGAAGCCACTTGCACATTGATTGGACATGTTTCTGGCACTCATGCAGGCTCAATGATAAGCCTATATCCATATATGACATATTAAGAGGTGCTGCTAGGATATATCTATTAGTGCGGTCATCAACGCAGAGCGAGCATAGCACTAAATGCACTTTCCGAGCTACGTGGACAGCGACTCTTTGAACGGTGCAGGCACATCCTAGTCATGGACTACCTCGTGGCAAATCCCATCGGCCACAGTTACCCAGGTGTGTGGTTCGAGATGGACTAGATGGTTCGGTCGTTCTCGAGGCTATGGGATCCGATACAAAACAACGAACGACTGGTCGAATGCAATCCACCGAGCCAGCATTAGGCCTGCGCATGGCAAACTTCCGAAGTAGCTTCCTGTAGGCTGTATTAGTTGACTGCGGAAAAGGCGCTAAACAAACAACAGAACAGGCGAGCAAGTTTACAGCTAAGGGGTATACACGCTCAGGTGAGGCCAGGGAGGATTGATTCATTGTCAAGTTATATGATCCAGTTCCTGAAAATGCCGTCGTATAACATTGACTTCCGGACAGACATAAAACTGTGATATATACTGATTATGACTATCTGAGTTCTTTCGACTGATTTGATCAAAATATAACTGCTGAAGAAAGAGCTTCAATGGACATCCGCAACCCATTCTCAGACAGCGCGGCACCCAGTGTTGTCGCTAGTGTTGGGTCCGGTGCTGCCCATTCTGCTGAAGACAGTATTACAGAGTTGCCTCTTCGACAATCGACCTACACTCGTGCGTCGGTGAAACGGAGGTTCAAGACCTATCTCTTAACTGGCGAGTATGAACGGCCTTGGGTGAACGACAAGCGCATGAAGAAAATCCGCGTGAATAACTATATCATTTGGGGATTCTTTATCGCTGGATTGGCCGTGAGTGGTTATATCAGTTATCACGCCACGACACAAGTGCCCAAGCATAGCGTGAGTTGATCTTATTTGAGATTGATTTTTCAATCATCGCTAACAAGAACCAGTATTGTCTCATCTTGGACGATGACTTTTCAACATTCGATACCAATGTGTGGACTCGTGAAGTTCAGGTATATATATCCCCTGTTTCCCCGTATTCTCTCCCACAACGATAGTTGACTGTCGCAGGTTGGTGGCTACGGCACTGGAGAGTTTGAGTGGACTACTACCGACGACCGCAATGTCTTTGTAGATCAGGAAGGTCTTCACATCGTCCCGACTCTCACAACAGACACGACACCTATCACCGCGGCTGAGATTGTCAATGGTTACACGCTGAATCTCACCAAAGCCGGCGGCGATGGCACTTGTACAGGAACAACCAATGAAGCATGTTCGGTGCACTCGAACAGCACGCTGGAAACTGTAATCAACCCAGTCCGCTCGGCACGCTTGAACACGAACGGCAGCAAATCCATCACGTACGGCCGTGTTGAAGTTGTTGCCAGGCTTCCGGCTGGGGACTGGCTGTGGCCAGCTATTTGTGAGCATACAATCAATTTGTCATCCGGAACAGAAACAGCTTACATATCTTCCAACCAGGGATGATGCCTGCGAATAGTGTTTACGGACCATGGCCTGCCAGCGGCGAGATTGACCTTGCGGAAAGTCGAGGAAACGATATTTCCTACGCCAACGGCGGCCGGGATGTCGTGTCGAGTACTATGCACTGGGGTTAGTTCAGAGATTTTTTACGTGGTTTTGTTCTTTTATTCTAAGTCTCTACGCTCTCTAGGCCCAACCTCCAGCCTAGACGCATACTGGCGCACAACGCGCGGCAAGGCCCTTCGCCGGACAGACTTCACCAAAGGCTTTCATACCTTTGGCCTTGAGTGGTCGGAGGATTACATCTTTACGTGGGTTGATAATCCACTTCAGCAAGTTATGTATTGGGCCTTCCCCAAAAACACAAACATGTTCCAACGTGGCAAATTCACTGGGCAGACGGCGAACAATTCACTGGTCACCAACCCATGGTCGCATACTGGCCGACCTAACTCGCCATTTGACCAGCCTTTCTACTTGATCCTAAATGTTGCGATTGGAGGCACAAACGGGTGGTTCCAGGACGGCATTGGGAATAAGCCCTGGACAGATGCGGGCCACGGCGCCGCGGATTTCTACGCTAGTAAGTCGACTGTTCTGGATTGTTACTCATAGATCGCTCCACTGACATGGCGATTTTCTCATTTTTAGGTCTGGATCAATGGTACCCCACCTGGTCCAACACGTCCTCTCGCGGGATGACCGTGAAATCCGTCAAGATGTGGCAGCAAGGTGCCTGTCCTTGAACTCGCGCGATTAGTTACGGGCTTGGTAACCTTGTAAATACGTAGGGCAGCGCGATGAGTTGGCCATTTCTATTCTTCTGGTGTCTTGTCTTTTAGCAACTAGAACGTGTATTAGTCTTGAAAAATCCCATATCTCCGATTAGAGAGGCCTCAGCCTGAAATGCGATACGTAGCGACGAGGATAGAAACTTTTAGTAATTGCAGGAACCCATGCATATCCGCTAAATGTTGTATTCTGTGCTAGTTTACTAGCAGGATTACTAGTGTAAGAACTGTCAATACTAGCTTGTACAGAAACCGAGTTGGATATGGATACATTGCCATAGTCCCCTGCCCTAGAGCATAGCGTACAAATGCCAGATGCAGTAGTCCTAGTTAGCTGGCTTGGCGGACACGCAGCCTCCCAGTTGTTTTGCATGGCATCGCTTAAATATACCTATCCCCTTATCTGTTGAGAAAAATCAGCTCCACGCTAGATACGGAGCTATCTAGGTAATAAAGAGAATAGATCAGATACAGCGAGTACATGTATAATATGATCTTATTATGGAGCTATTAAACTTTACTGTTACGTATTGCTGTCTTGGTCAAAATAGCAGGATCTTTGACTAGGAAGCCATGTTACCTAGTCACCTTGCCCGGTCTCGGATGGACATAACCCTAAGAACGTGCGACTTCCTATTCGGGCAAGTTAATACCACGATGTTCATGTAGTTTAAGTCTACCATCATTATTAGACTGGAAGCCTTGGAAAATGTTCAGAAATTACTCCTGCAATCTGCCAGAGGGTACTCGAGCAAGTAATTGGTTTCTCATACTCCGTAAACCGCAAGAGCATGTATATGCACTACTATATGTCTATTCTGAGGTCGGCACGCCTACGCAACTCCTCCGACCGATAATAACTGACATACTGCCCAACCTTCTCCGTAAAATCCGCCATATCCAAATCATCGAGCAGACCAGTTTCGTCCTTTTCGTCAACCTTCTCCAAAGCAGTGGTAAGCATCTCGCAGTCCCAACACAGACAAACAGAGTACTCATGCCCAAACCGGGTACGAAACAAATGCTGCGTCTCATCCGCCCCGTGACCAAGCGCCTTCTTATCAATCTTGTCGTCATGATTAATATAGCGCCCTGTAGTTGCTCGCATGTACTCTTCGTATAAGACTGCGGAGCACTGGTGTGTATGCCAGACCAAATCAATATCGAGTGTGGGTACAAGCATTTTATCAGGATAAAGCTGGAACAGTTTGAGAAACTTGCTATATCGATCGATGGCGCGGCGCAATGTTCCGCCGACAGCTGGACTGCGGATCCAAAGATGACTGTGCATCTTGTCGACAAACGAAGCCTGACGCTTGACATTTTCGACCATGGATACCCGGGCGGGCAGCTGGATGTCCATCTGAATCTGTACCAAGTTCTTGATGAATTGATTATCGCGTTCGCCGAGTACAATTTGTTTCAGGGTTGTCCATAGGCTTCCAGCTTGTTGTCCTTTGGGCTCTCCGAATCGGGACAGTGTTTGGGCAACGGGGCTCGTGGGTGTCGCTCCGATTTCGACGAGATAATGGAATAGATCTGGCTCTATCTGGCACTCATATTTGGTCCATTCTCGGGATGCCTTGGGAAGCTCATAGGTCCAGGTCCGTGTATTAATTGCTTCGTGCTTGTGCTTGTCAGCAATGACTCTCGCAAAGGATATGTAAGGGAGTAAAGCCTACAATTTCTGCCCACGGAAATTCCACATGGCGAATGATTCTCAACTCGTGGTCGCGGCAAAAGTTCTCAAAATCGACAGGATTCAACAGACATGCGTGCCAAAACATGAGAACATCTAATTACACGGGCTTCTATTAGTCTCCTTCGCACTTTTCTAGAAATGGTGGAATACGTCCACATACCCAATGGTGGCAAATATGGTAAAGAAACACCCTTCTCCTCCTTTACCTGTTCTGCAACAATCTTATCCGCCGCCCGGATCCAGGTGTCGAACCTCTGCACCGCAATCTTCAAGTAAAACTCCCACTTTTCTCTTCTCCGATCTTGAAAGGTATTATCCCGTATTTTCGTCTTCTTGTAGACTGATTTCCCCAAATTTATATCGAATTTATTTCTCCATACAATTCTTCTACTATGCTCGACGCCAAAAGTAGTGTCTAACGCTGCTGAATTGACAATGTTGTACCGTAAAGCGAAGAATACTTCCAGAAGCTCTAAGTGAGCCGCACATTGAGCTGGAGTAGGTAGAAAATATCCATCTTCCCCCATCCTGGCTTTTGTCGTAGTGGTGATGGTCAAAGACTTGAATAGACTGGGCGCGGGGATGAGTGGGCGCTGCCCATCGATGTCGTTTGTATCCCCTACATCCAGCAGTTTCCAGCAATCATCCAGAGGCTCACTGCTTTGCCAGGACTTTAGCTTCCGTATCTCTGCTTCGGCGGCTTGGTGAAGTTTATGTGTTGTAGAAGTGACGAGAAGCGACATTGTACATAATAGACCCTGAGTCTACGGATGTCGTTTGGCAGTAGTTCTGTCCAACGAATCGGTCCGTGAGTCAGAGAGATAAAAGTGTGCCTGACGACATACGTATAAACTTGTTGTCATGATAGTGATAAACCTGCCAAGTTCGTGTTTTACTAGTGGAGATTTGCACAGCCACCAGACGGACAAGATAGACTTTGCAAGGCGTTTTTTTCCTTCGCAGCATGCGTGGGGTTAGGGCTTGACATACCAAAGGAGGCCTAGTTTCGTCAACATTGCTTGGCCATTGGGTATCTACAACTTTTTCTATCACAACTGAATCAATACTAACTGCAACGCATCTGGAATATTAGAAAGTTCGGTATTAGTTGCTCCCACAGCTACTACCACCTCCTCCACAACTGCTGCTCCCTCCACAGCTACTTCCTCCCCCTCCACTACTACTACCGCAGCTACTCCCACAGCTACTAGTATTACTACTGTTACCATTACTACTACTGCCGTAAGTTGTGCTACTCGTAGCAGGATAGGTGGAACTCCCAGCCGCACCTCCACAACTACTGTTCCCACATCCTGTGCCACAACTCGTTCCGCAGGACACTGCACAACCCGCACTCCAGCTTGCGGCAGTACGGCTTGAGAACGCCGCATCTGTATAGCTTTCATTGAGATCTATCGGATTTTGCGAGCGTCCTCTGAGTTGAGAGGAAAACCCTGATCCACCTCCTGCTTTCAACGGCGGCGGCGGTGGTGCACCCGGCTTTGGAACATCGGCAAGCCTGATACGCTCTTCTCGTGCAGCCTCGTAAGCGGCCACCTGCTGATTCGGCGGTCTTTTTGCCCAGTCCGCCAGGAAAAATGTAGTATGCTTCTTAGCATCGAACAGAAGATGACTGAAAGGTTGAGCGCGATGGATGCCGCCTAGCTTGACGCGTACGAGAGATGGGTAGAGAGAGCGTAGCTCTGATCCAGGTTTGGAGGACGAAGATAACCAAGCTGTTGCGGAACGGAATGCGGCTGTTTTAGCCATAGCTGCTGCGGCGCGGTAAAGCTTTGTTGATGCACTCAATACATTGAGTCGATTGCGCATCCAGGCCTGGGGGCTGGGTTCTGTGGTAATCTGAGGCTCGGAGAGAGAGGAGGGCGCATACATGTGTTGCTCACGCGTAAGGTGGTGCGATATCATAGACCAGGAATCAAATGGGAAGGCCCAGACGTGTTTGGACATATTACAATTTCCGCAACATGTTGGATATCGACCATACGCCTCAGTGCAATCCCATGGGAAAATATTCTGATACTTGTATATTGGCCCCCCAAAGGCCCCCCAATCAGACCAATATTCCTGGTAAGTATCGATAATGTCGGCATCCTTATCGGAATGACCGAAGTAGAACTGGGAGATATAATCCTGCGTCAGTCCAGCTGGGACACTGAACTTGTTTTGAACTATCGGCCGCAAGTAACCCTCGTCGGGGCAGACGAAGCTCATAAGGTAAAGAGGCTCGGCCAAGTTGCTGGTCAAACCTCCGAAAATGTTGTGGTCAATCAGCGAGTCGCAAAACTGCTGGCAATTGTTGTGCGTGGAATTCCATGCAAGGCGCGTGGTTGGGCACCAAAGTCGTTCTGCTATACTGCTGAGGTATATCTTCACGCGACTGCCTATCATAGTCATAAGAAGCTCTAGCAATCGTTCAAGTACTTCTTTAAGGTCTGTTCCTTGACCAGAAAGTGATTTACTCGCATCTAGAATCTCGCAAACCAGCGCACGCTCATCGTCTTGTGGCAAGAGCCCGCTGAAAGGTGCGCCAACAACTTGTTTCAGGACTGCCCTGTAGTTAGTCAGACGTGGGCCAAGATGAATATGTTGCCACTGTTTTTGCTCCTTGGAGCCTGTGACCATAAGGCTTCGCTTTCCCTTGTCGGAGAGGCTTAGACGCCTATGGTAGACGGGAGCTTCCCGCAATGTAACAATGGCGCCGTCCTCAGTACTGTTGTGGCCTGGGTTAGAGAGTGTAACTTCATATCATTCCGATTTTGACTTACTGTAGTACACCGTTTGCGATGATCAGCGGCCCGATACGGAGTCTTACGTGGACGTTCGCAAATGGATTCTCATCAATATATTCCTTAAAGAACATTGGAACATCCGGGTCTGCTTGCGGGTTAGTGACCACAGTAGTAGAGGTCGTCGAACCAGGTGTAAGGTGGTCTAGACGGTCATGCCCAAACTTGGACGATTGCCTAAACTTGCTGAGAACTGATTTTTCTGGCGGCCGTGGGGTTTCGAGCATGATTATTGCATGCATTGCCGAATTCAGTTTCCTTTCCTTTTTGGTTTCTTTAACCCCTGTTGCTTTTCGCAGTGCGTTGTACTTTGCAATACCGACAATGTCGTCAAGCTTGCAAAGTTGACAAGTTCCCCGTACGGCTACATGAGGAGCACTGCTATCAACCGGGAATAGTGGCAGGGGGTTGTTGTCTTCGTCGAAATGAGCCACCTGTTGACAAGAACATATTTTCCGGCTCTCTTCGGGTGTGATCGCCTCGGACAGGACGCAATGCTTATATCGTTTGATATAGGATTCCTTGCCGTAAAAGAAACGCAAATAGCAACCTTCACAGACTACACGGGGCTCCTTGGGGTCCTCAGATACGAACATACTTCCAGTGATGATTGCGTTGCATTGAGTATTAGCGCAATGCATAGGATAAAAGTCAAGTGGCCGATCTCTAGAGAAATCCACTAGGAATGCAGGTTAGACGCAGCGACTATATCATACTCTAAGCCAGGTCATAGACATACACTGGGGAACGACCGGCCTCTTTTCCTTCTTGGCTGCTGGCCCACCATCTATCAACTTTTCAATGTCAAGAAACCCTGCAGTGCAAATCAGTCTCGTCTATTCCACGGCGTTCTCCATCAAACAACATACCGGCAGCCTGAAGCAACATCCATACACGTTTTTCTCTTCTCGTAAAGGTCGGCATAGCTTTGTTCTGGAATTAGTAGACATGTATAAGTTTCCAAAAACGACCCGCGATTACCGGTTACATACCCTCTAGGGTCTTGCGCACAGAGGACTTGATCTTTGAGCTGATGTATTCGGCCTTCCGATCCATTGCCGCGTCTTTGAGTGAAGACAAGTATGTCGACGGTTGATCGGGGGTCCAATCCATTTTCGCAAGACCTCTCTGGTCTGACACTCAGTATTAGTTCGACTTCCGTTAAATGTTTCGATAAATAGTATCCATACTATATCTAACCGCATGTGCCCTTGTGTGCTGGCTAACCTGATCCACAAACGTGTCGAATCCATGTACAAAGTCATCATCTTCGTCTGGCACTGAGACATCGGCGAACGTCGGCTGTTGCCAAATCGCCAGAGTGCGAATAATGTTCTCTAGCTCATCTCGTGCGCCCTCCCAATACATCTCTTCGAGGGCATTTTGCAGGGCATTTCGATCGTTCGCGGCTGGAGACGAATTCTCGCGGTGCACAGCAGATACCAGTGTACTCTGTGTTCTCAGCTTTGTTTTTGAAAATCCAAGACGAATGTCTCGAAATCGTGACATCGTGACTTGCCTCGAAATCTCCACGACGCTGAAGAAAGCCACTGCGACTAGCACAATAATATACTCCTTGTCACCAACAGTTAGTCTCATACATTATTCTTTGGTTGGATTGATGACGGTTTTAAATCAACACGTCAGGTCATCGCACTAGGTAGCCATGATAAAGTAAAATCTGCCTTGCAAGTCTATCTGCTATGTACTGTAGTGGCTGTGCAAGTGCCAAGGTCGATGGAGTGGATACAAAGTAGGTATGAGCCACCAGGAACTCCATACTCGCCATTTTTTGAACTATCCGAAAGCAGGTATATGAAACGAGGTCTCGTGATTGAGAAATTGATTCCTGTTATAGTGATCACGTTGGTTTCCTTAGACGTGTGCTGGCTGCTTCTATTACGTGATATCAATCTAATTCCTCTGTATCTTTAGCTCAGGTATTGGTATTGCTGTTGGTCTGCTGATTTGTTTGCTCGCTTATTGCTTTACTGGCGTTTTTTGGTGTATATAAGGCAGATAGGAACGCTGGCTCCCCCAGCATAGCGGCCGTAGTAAAGGCGCGCTGAAAGGGTATGAATACTACTACTACTACTACTATTTAGTAATATTATCTTGGTGTTCCAGAAGTTTCTTAGCTAAGATACTGGATCAAGAGATGACCACAACCTTATGTATGAGTGTAATAATCACATTAAGAGTTTTCTGGATGTCAGAGTATTTTTGTTGGATGCCATCTTCATGCCAGTCAATACCTGCGATTGGCCACATGTATCCGGGCCCTGTTCCAACCTATAAGGTGCACCTCCGAGAATATATCCGAAAAGCGGTCTTAATCCACCTATCCATCCCTAGGGCCTAGAGCAAAATAGTCCCGCACCCAGCAAAACTAGAGCAAGATTAGTGCTGTTGAGATAAGATATGACTAGTATTGAAATAACTAGCTACGTACCCCGCAAGCGGCGTAGGCTCCTTTTCCCAACAAAATTTCTGGAAGCAAAGGATACCCGAATGGAGCAGAGCAATCCGACGCAATCTAATACACCACCGGCCAAACAAACCAGGTCCAGGACAGGATGTTGGACTTGTCGAGACGCAGGTTATAAGTGCGATGAACAGAAACCGAATTGTGGACGTTGTATGCGGCTTCGGATTCACTGTAAAGGATACGGCTCAAGGTTGAAATGGCGGTCACATAATAGCGCCAGTGTGGCTAAATGGCCTCGAACACGACGAAAGAGCGGCACTCCAACATCTCAAAATGACATGAGGTCTGGCGGCTCCTATCAAGCTAATTCTCCGGCTGCGAGTGAGAGCCAACTGCGCTGTATGAGCCCACACCCACACCTCGAAGACCTGCCGCTATCAACATACCCTAGTTTTTCGCTACGGCCATGCGATATGACGCTGGAACAGTACAAACTCCTCCATTGCTGGACGGTATACACCTCGCCACTCCTTTGCATCTCACCAGTATCCCAGACGAACCCGTTCCAGATGCACCTGACTCCAATGGTGCTCCTTGACGACGGTCCATTGCGGCACGCCGTCTTATCAGTCGCGGCAAGTCACCTCGCAGCTTCAGCAGACACGTCGCAAAGCCTAGCGCTAGTAGCGCAAAACCATCGAGTGTGCGCAATTGCTGCATTGAGGGAGCAACTAAATAATAAAAGCGTCGCATATAACGACGCCACCCTTGCCGCAATCCTAGTCCTAGAGGTAAGCAAACAGTTTGATGACGGCGCTCCACGATACGATGTCAACCACCTTATTGGTGCCAAAGAGCTCATTCGGGGGAGGGGCGGGCCTCAATCTCTAACGTCGCCATGTTCGCGCTTCCTCTTAACTCAAGTCCATTACTATGATTTACTGTCTGCTGTCTCCAGGGGTAGTAGTCCCTTAGTTGATTATCACTGGCTCACTCAGCACGACAATGACGACTTCAGCAATCCCCTAGAGACTTCACGTGGATACCACGCGACAGTCCTCGAGGCACTAGCTAGGATCAGCGTGTTAAAGGCGCGGAAAGAAATGCTCCAACACACTGGGCAGGTGACATCATCAATTTCTGATGGCGAGCGAAAGGCGGCCCTGGCAGAGTTCACTATCACAGGCCGCGAAGTTGAGAGGCAGCTGGAATTGATGGTTATATCTGCTAATGACCCAGATCAGGCTTGGACAACGGAGGGCCATCGATCGGCTGCACTGATATATCTCTATCGAGTTGTGTATGATATTGGGGCTCCACACCCGCTTACGCTGACTCAGGTCCGGCGTTGTATAGATGCTATTTCTTCGGTGGACTGCTCGTCTCCTTCGACTTCTGCGCATGTTTGGCCGCTTTTCACCGCAGGCTGTGAAGCCACAGACTCGAGGGACCGAGAGTTTGTCAAGCAGCGACTGAACGACATGTACCAACGGCGGAAGATACCTTCTCTCCAGAAGGTTGGAGAACTGATGGAGCAGGTGTGGCTTACAAAGGATTTTAAGAATGCCATGGAGGGTGCAGAGCAGATGTGTCGCGTTGGATGTATTGAAGTGATTAAATCCTTAGGTGAAATGTTACAACTAGTATAATATACGTCAAGCTATCTGATCGCTGTGAACGATGTGACGTAAGCGAAAATACAACGCATGATCATGGCTTCAGAGAAAAGTCATGGTCATGTCGACCCTGCAAGTAATCATGGCCGTCTTCAGCCCATTCCACACAAACATTAACGTCCCCCCAGTTTGTATGCCCCTTTAAACTCTTGGGTAGAATTATCTTTTGCTCACTGCGATACCAGTGTGGAAAGAGGATCGTCACCAACATAACCCTCGGCTCATCTGTCCGATTCGGCATTCCAGCATGCCACAGCCGCATATCACGAATAATCAGGCTCCCCTTTGGCAAAGATGGCTGAATGCCATGGAAACCCAGTTTGCGCCTCTCCTCAAGTAACTCCTCCCTCACCCGCTTCTCTGCCGCCTGCGGGTCCAGCACATCCTTTGTTGTATCAAGATGGCTTCCCAACCAAACCTCCGTAGCCCCATTCTCGGGTTTCGTATCAATCAAGTTGATGTTAACCGCATACCCCCACGGAATCTTGGGGAAATCAAAATTCACGTCAACATGCACGGGCTGTCGATTTTCAGCCTTGAAGGCCGTATTGGCGCTGTAGAAACGTAGGGCTGGTCGAGGCCCAAAGAGACATTCAACGACTTGCACGGCAAAAGGATTGGCCAGGATATCTTGGAATATATAGTCTTTCTCGACAACGGGTTCTTGCTGGATGTTTCCTGTCTTGAGACCAAAGTTTCGGTGTGTTGACTCCCGTTCGAAAAGGGTTTTGGCTTCGGGGACCATGCGGTCGTTTAACTTATCAAGGTGTGCGGTGTCGACGGCATTCTCGAGGACCACAATACCGTCACGATGGAGCGCCTCGATTGCGTTTTGGAGGTTGTGAGAGTCGATTTGTTGTGTTGCGAGCTCTTCGGGGGAGAGCTTGATGAGGGTGACTTGGGGCGAGGGTGTTGCAGTCATCTTGAATTCCGTGAGATATTGGTAGCCGTGAATTTTCTTTTTCTTGGATAGCGAGGAACATTAGTTGAAGCCGTTCTGCTTGCCTTATTTATGCTTCTCTGACCGTGGACTTATCGTTCTAAATAGGAAGGCGAAACAGCTGTAAACCTTACCATTTGTTGATTAGCGTTGGCTGGATGGCGCTAGTGTCGTTTTTCCCAGCCCTAAACTTTAACTGTTATTTTTGCCCGATGTGGAAATGCGTATCTCCCCATCCATTGGCCGCAGATAAGCCAGTCATGGGGAGTATACCGATGTCCTTAATTTCACCTCATGGTTCGACAGAGTGTCAAAGATGTTTTTACTAATCCGCATACTTGGACTGGTAGACTTGCTCATTGGGGCATGGAATATGTCCGATAAGCGCCGACACGATTCACTAACCAACACTGTCCGATGATAAGCACATAGGAGAGCAAGTTCTACACGCTCAGAACTACAGCTATATAATAAGGATGCTCTCTCCAACCCCCCTCTCCCTGTGGTAGGATCTTTATTTCTAGGTATACTTCCTACAAGATCGATTCGCTATGGATGCAGGAAAGCTGGACAAGTTCGAGGACATCGACAAGGCCAATGGCGTGGAGGAGACTATGGAAGCTCTCGCTACCGACGCCGACTGGGACGCTGAGCAATCCCGGCTGTACACCGAGAAGGAGCATGAGCTAGGTTTTTGGGAGGCCGTCAGGCTGTATCAACCAGCTGTGCTGTGGTGTCTCGTCATCAACATAGCCGTTGTCCTGAAAGGCTTTGACGGTGCGTTAGTGGGAAGTATAGTCGGACTGACGCCTTTCAAGAAGCAATTCGGCTATATGTACAATGGGGAGTATGTGATCAGCGCGGCCTGGAACGGAGCTTTCAACTACGCCAACAGCATCGGAGGTATCATTGGCGCCCTCTTTTCTGGATGGGTCTATGACCGTCTAGGACCCAAAGTCACGCTAGTAACCTGCTCTTCCCTGTCAATCGCATTCATCTTTATGGAATTCTTTGCCGAATCACCTGTCGTTCTTTTTCTCGGCGAGCTCTTCAATGGCGCAGTCATTGCATTTTACCCTATTTCCGCCTCTGCCTATATCGGCGAAATCTGCCCGCTGGTCCTTCGAGGTGTTGCTGGCTCGATGGTCAACCTGGGCTTTGTGGTTGGTCAATTGATTGCATCCGCCGAGTTGAAGGGTACCAACAGCCTCGATTCAAAATGGGCGTACAAGGCGCCCTACGCTTCCCAATGGGCGCCAGCAGTCCTGATATTCTCCTTTGTGTTTTTTTGTCCCAACTCGCCATGGTGGCTCTGTCGTAAGGGCAGATTTACAGACGCCGAAAAGGATCTTAAGCGATTGGCGACTTCCAAGGTTGATGCTAGACCAGCATTATCCAACATTAAACACACTCTCCGCCTAGAGCAACAGATGGATAAGCACCATAATTACCTGGACTGTTTCCGCGGGCCTGACCTCCGCCGCCTCATTATTGCCATCATGGTCTACTGCATCCAGCCGCTCTCAGGGCAAGTCCTTTACGTGAACTACGCTGTGCAATTCTTCGAACGCGCGGGACTCAACTCTTCGAATGCTTACTCTATGAATGTCGGCCTAACGGCCATTGGCTTCGTGGGCACAATCCTCGCCTGGTATCTCATCTCCATGATTGGCCGCCGGCCCATCTACATCTTCGGCACCCTCACAATTGCCTTGTTACTACTGTTGATCGGTATCCTCGATGTGGTCCCGCACTCCGGAACCGGCACGGTCTGGGGCCAATGCGCCCTAATCCTCATCTGCCTGTTCACGTACGATATCACTATCGGCCCAGCCTGCTTCACGATCCTGTGCGAAATCTCATCCGTGCAGCTCCGCAGTATGACTATCGCACTTGCAACAATTACTTGCTACATCTGGAACATCATCTTTGGTGTGTCAATCCCCTATGCTATAGACCAGGATCAAGGCAATTGGAAGGGGAAATTAGGGTTCCTGTTTGCGGGTATTGCATTGTTATGCACTATTTGGTGTTACTTTTGTCTTCCCGAGACAAAAGATAGGACATTTGAGGAGTTGGATATTCTGTTTGAGCAGGGCGTATCGAGTCGGGAGTTTGCAACCCACCCTCTTATTGTTGGTAGGGACGAGCAGGAGGATGTTGTTTAGTGTCACACCCGTTGATGCAGGCTTGCAACTGGCCTTCAATGACCTAATCCTTCGGAATGTGCATGACAAGAAGCACCTTAGCTGATGAACAGTCGTGTCTAATACCTGAGTAAATAGTTAGTATTCGCGTGGAATAATCAGATCTAGATATCCAACCATCTGTAAATACACTTGCACCCAAATATCCTTAGTATTGCCCTGGCTACCCTGGCTAAACATTTGACTTACTAAGTTAATCTAACTTAATTATACTGCCAATTAGATTACTGATAGTGAGTACATTGACTGAGGCTAGAACAAGTATGAGAATACTTCCTTGCGGGATACATGTAAAGAAGGTAAAGTAAGAGGAATACATTCGATCCTTATTTCATTAATGATTTCGTTAGGTAATTTACGAATAAAGTTGAAGTCACTGCTAGAGCCCTAATAAGAGCGATGGGATTTATAGCTAAGATTATTAGAAGGATTGGCTATGAATGGTCACTGATTGCTTACAAAACAGTATGTTTTATAAGAAAGGTTAATCACTTATTATTTTCAGATATTGGCACTTAAGGAGTATAAAAGATACCGTTATGATGGCAAAGACGCTACTAGACATAGCTAGGAAAGCTAGCATAATTATACTGAAAAATCCTGGTCTTGCCATGCTTTGCTAGCACTGTCACTAATGGTCTGGTTAAGCTCTGGCCGGTTTATATGGCGTCCTTGGTGCATGCAGTAGGTACATGCAAAATCCAGAAGTCGGGTCGAATATACGCTTAATGCGATACCCACTTGTCTGGTATGACTTCACAGCAGTGTATAAGATAATACAGAAGGACACTGTGAATTCGGCTTTTCAGATTTTCGCGCGTCTGTAAACTCGTTTTGCGCTTTCGATAAAGCTCTCCCAACCCAACACCAGCACCGACGAAGATTTGTGATCACCACCTGAAAAGAATAAATGAACACCCCCTGGATTATCCATGTCTGGCAATCCCGAGCGTCCTGTGTAATCGGTTGCCATACGCTTTCCATCGTTGTGGTACGAGCTGTTGCTGTTGGTCGCGGCATCCTGGGAACAAGGAGTGCCGAACACCCGTGAGCCAAAATACCCCAAAGAAGCTTTCCAGACTCTTAAGAGGCTAATACAACGAGTGCTCTAGATATATTGGTAACGTGATATTAGCTCATACCAATTTGACCGAGATAAAGACCTCCCTTGGCCTTATGTGGGATGTAGGTGTTAGCCCTGGAGATATCAACCTTGGAATAGGATTTTACGGCAGGTCCTACACGGTATCAGACTCGAATTGTTATGCACCTGGCTGTCCATTTTCGAGTGCAGGGAATGCTGGGTCTTGTACCGACAGTGCTGGAACCTTATCTTACGCCGGTGAGTTCTTTCTGTCTTTGAACAGGTGTGGGTAAGTTTACAGACTCTAATATAACTTGACTCATGATAGAAATTATGGAGTACATGGAAGACGACGACGCCTATGTGGTCTGGGATGAAACGGATGCTGTCAACTACATGTTCTGGGAAGGTGACCAATGGGTTTCGTTTGATAATAATATAACCTTCAAACAAAAGGTGGACTACGCCAATGAAGTCTGTTTGGGAGGGCTATTTATCTGGTCTGTCGACCAGGATACATATGACTGGCAGGCTTTGAGCGGCCTGCTTGACCAAACTATAGACAGCGCCGACATACTCACGGGCGACAACACGAATAACTCTGCCTTATCACAAATTTACTCTGCTTATACTGGCACCGACTGCTACATTTCAGACTGTGCGGATATAAATACTGGTCAGTGTGAGACCGGGTATAGCGTATTGGATTATGTGCACAATGGAACATACGGAATGATTCAGGACCCGAGTAGCACGGTGTGCAAAACTGGGAGTGAAGATGACTCTGACGCTCAATATCGGATGATTTGTTGCCCTGTCGACAGCATGCCTGAAAGCTGTTTATGGGAAAGAGATTATGATGATATGTGCACTGGAGGAAGCGGCACTTGTGGATCTTGCAAGTTCGAATTGGTTGCCGATACCTACGTTGACAGGACAGGCTCAGTAGCTTGCATTGAAAACAGCGTCAGATCTCTGTGCTGCAACACCGACCCAGCACTTGAGAAATGCTCATGGACCGGGTGTGGCGCTTCCTGTCCTGCAGGGAACTACACCTTTTCCGAACAAACAACGTATTCTGGATCTAGTATTTACTCTTCACTTTTCCACGCTTAACACACAGAAAAGCTAGCTAACATGTTTATTATTAGACTTAGCATCGACAGAGGTGACGTGCCCGTCCGGTGAATACTCTAGTTTCTGTTGCCCGAGTGAAGGTGAGATCAAAGGAGACCCTGTCAACGCTGTTTTTAATGCTGACCTGTTTGTAAGAAACCTACGAAGGATGTAGCTGGTATGGCTGTAGCGATAGCTGTCCAAGCACCAAGGTTCTGATCACCCAACGAAGCACGCTGGTCGACGACGGAAGTACAACAACCTGTAGCAGTGGATTTAACAAGCTCTGCTGTGACCCTCCCGATGCTTCCACCAGTTGGCCTGTCAACCCAAAGGATTTATTCGAGTATATGGAAGATGATATTAGTTATTATTATGACGTGCAAAAGACATCAAACGATGAAGGTGGGGTTTCCCCTCGAATAATTCTTTTATAACACCTTGCTGATGGTTTTAGACACCAAAAATGCTAGCGAAGACCCCTTTGCTCTGGTAATGATCGACGCAGACGATAGTGCCTACGACGAGTCGCTGGTCGACCAGTGGTCATTCCTTACTGACGAGACGGAATTGCAAAACCGAAATCTGAAGGTTCACAAGCGTCACAGTTTATTTGAGCACCGCAATGATACATTTGATAATGTCGTGGAGGTTTACCACATCCAGTGCATCAATCTTTACGCAGATGCAAATCCGTGCACGTCTATTTTCAAAGGAGGAGCGCCGAACACCATTGTCAAAATGCCTGAGAATGTGGGCGCCGGTCCATATGCACGTGTTATCGGTCTTTCTCCTCTTTCTTCCAACGAGATGAACCTGCCACCTAGATCTACGGATGAAGTGTATGAGTTGAAGGTTGATTATGACTTTGCCGCTGCTGCTGCGGACGAGAAAGGTGATGTCTACTTCCGAATCGATTATACTAATCTTCAGGGATATTGGTTGGTGTTTCTGATATCCGAATTACCAGTTAGGAGTGCTGACTCAATTATAGGGATGAGATTACAGATACGCCAGCAAAGCACAAACGCTGGTTTGGCACTTTCGACAACTGGTTGAAGAAGATGACGACGATTGTGAAGACCGGTTCCCTGCCTCTTGAGTACCAAGAACATATAAAACTTTTCCATGCTCAGGAGTACTGTCCAAAATGGAATCTTAATGCAACTTTCGATGTTGACGCATTCCTTCGTCTAGGATTGTATAATCAGTATGGATACTATTTTGAGGGTTCCACTCTGCCGACTCCAGAGGTAATTTCAGCATACGGCTATTTCTCGATTCAGCCCGCGGCCGTGGTAAGTGCCACTCAAGTAAATTTATGTCAAAAAATTCTTACTTATTTTGTACAGGTTCTCATGACAGTCCGAGCAAATGCAATCATGCAATCCTCAACTGGGCCAACAAAGCTATTTTCTGTAGGATTTCCCGGTATGTCCGTCAAGGGGTTGATCAGTATTGGCCCTGAGATGCTTCTTTTAGGTCAGTTGGATGCCTCTCTCAGTGTCTCTGGTGAACTCAACGCCGGTATATCTGTGGACTTTTCCCGAACAGAAGTGTATTTCCCACAGGACGCTGCAGGAGAAGCAGATACTGTTGATCCAAGCAATGACAATCGAACTCAAACATATAGCTTCAACCCTACATTGGATGCAACACTGAGTGCTGAGGGTTCCCTGGCGTGTAAGTTGAATATAACAGTGTGCTCTTGAGCACCCTATTCAGCGCATAGAATATCGCTAACCGCCAGCCGATAGTATCCTTGACGCCGGAGGTTCGCTTTGGAATTTCCGTCCTTGGGGTGATCTTATGTCCGGATATGTGACAGCTGGTCTCACTAACACGCTTACCTTTGGCGTGAGTGCCAATGCAACGGCCTCGCTAGATAGTTCACTTACAGCTGGCTTTTGCTACTGGGCGGACTACGTACATTCCATCTTCGTCAGGGCCGATATGTCGTGAGTGACAAACTCTGTATCTCTGCTCACTGTTTCTAATTTTTGTCTCCCTAGCTTCCTAGGTAATGTGTCTTACTGGGGCAGTCAATACGATGTGACATCTCCCAGTGACTCAATCGAAGTGGTACCGGAGACCTGCGTCAGTTATTCCAGCAATGATACCCTTACAAAGAGATATCCTACCCAAAGTCTAGTCCCTGACGGTACAGAGGAGGCTTGTTTCGGAGGGGTTATCTCCTGTCAAACAATCGACAATAATGTTACTAGCGCAGCAAATCTGTCCTGTCCCGTTGTCTGCGATGGGGACTCTTGCACGTTTCTAGACAGTGACTCCTCGAAGAAACGACAAGTTAACATCCCCAAAGGCTGTGTCAGGTTTCTTGCATTATGGTACAACTGTGATTGGTTTCCTAACAAATATATCCAAAATCTGAATACGGCCACCAACTCATACAATCCGTACTATCAGGCCGAAGGTATTCATTCCTTGTTTTTCATATTCGGCAATTATTTAACCGATTGTCCAGGGATTTGCACCAACGTATATTCATACCTTTATCAAAATATGAATCGATTGAGTGCGGCGACCATGGGGTCGAACTTTATGCTATTGGAATATCAGCGAGGCGCCACTAGCACAAACCGAGCAAATGCCTGTGGTGTCGTTGCCAGTCAATGTAGCCAATTAAAAAGCTCATTGTGGTCCTTAGCAGTTCAGCAAGCGCCACCTGACGTTGCTTATTTGATGCAAGGGTACAGTGACAGCATGATGTGTGACGAGTTTCCTTGTGCGTGTTATCATCCACTGCCTTAATTTCATACAGCTAACCCACTATGTCTTTTGTGTGTGCTTGACAGTCCATGCGTGAGTTGCACCTAATGGCTTGATAGAATTAGACAAATACTAACAGTATTGAATAGGACGATCCCAATACCTGGAGTTGCCGCAGTAAGCTGAACAATTACCACGCGTTTTGGAACTTTGAAGTTAACCCCTAGAAAGCGTGCTGCTAGTGTTCCGACTGAACAGCAAACATACCAGGCCATGATAAACAATCAAATTTCCCTGATTAGTGACACAGCAAGTTTTCCCCCCTTCTTTAGTGTTTCTCGGTGACAATTTGTGGTAGTAGCCGGATATTGACACTCCTCAACAGTTGTCGAACCAGCAATGGAGGAATCCGAGTTTCACTGGCTATACTCGCCACTTCACCATAAATCTCTTCGGTTCTAGCAGCAATACGAACAGTCTTGGGCCATTTGGAGGATATTATGATGGTTCAAACATAGTGCCTCTCGTCCAGGTCGTCGGTGGAGTCAACACGTTTCATAGCAACATTTGGACATTGAACAACAACGCGGTCTGTCAACACGGAGAACACAAGCAGTTCAATGTAGATACGCGCGAATATGCGTACGAGGTCATGCCTTGCAGGTGGAATACGAGAACCCCTACGTGACAGGTATATGGAAGCGGGATGATGATTTCGACGACTATCAAGGGCCAGAGCACCTGCATCCCCGACATTGGCGGGTTAAAGATACGTGATGGATGAGCAATACGAATAACGATATCATGCTGACTTTCTGCTCTTTCTCACTGTTTAGAAGTTCTAATACCAAAGAACTGGAAGGAGTTATCGCGTCAAATGCCTAACGCTGAAGTGGATGACGAGACTTTTGCGGCAATGATTATTAGAGTGCTTGAATTAGCTGATGCTGCCAATGAGACACTCATCCTAAAGCCTCATAGTGCGGTCGTGGATACGCCTTCAATGTCTGCAGTCAGTCATATGCCGAGTTCAACGCTATCTCATGAACACTTTGAAAGACATGTTCATTGGCATCACTAGGAGATAAATCTCGAGAAAAAAAGCATGCCAGTTAGCAAATATTTCGGTGTATTGATGCGTCTAGAAAATGTACGAAGGAATATACCACTATTACTGCCAAATTCATCTTGCATTAATCGGGCCAGTTTTAACTTTCTATAATTGCGAAATATAATTGAATATCGGGTGGATCATCAGACGTTTCTGCGGGGATGTTCCACAGATTGCCCGCAAAGAACCTGGTGTTGCGTTGGATTGATCGCGTCCTTCGAAGGCATATTTGATCAATCTCGGGCGGGGAGATTCTAACAGTTAGAGTCGCCAAGGTCTTGCACAGATTACTTAGCAAAATGTATGGGGAGTACTCTTGTGAATGTAGGATTATGATCCTGATTGCTTAGACATGAGTATGTGTCTGTTCTACTACTCCTGGCCTATGGAGATTCCTAGGATGCCATGAGCCTACTAGTAGTCCGTTTCGGCTGAAAGTTCAAGCTTCTCCTCAGAATCTAACATGTTGAGCATAATCGTCTAGGGCCTCAATCCATAAGTTCTCCAAATCATAATCGATTATTCGTCCCTGGGCTTCTAATGCCAGGTATCCGGGCGCAAATCGCTCGATCTCACGCTCCCAAGACTCTAGGCGACCAAAACCCGGGGTGATGTCTAGTCTTTGCATAGCAAAATCCATGATGGTGAGAATGTTTTCGTTCATATCTAGCCTATCCTCATAACATGGGAGTTAGTCAGTAGCCATTAGGAAATTGAGCAAGATGAAAATCCTTACGGCCTATTGTGCATTCGATTCGACCTAAATTCATCTTGGGGATTTAGCAACTTATCAAAACCCCAGCCCAAGCCAGAACGCTTGTTCATTATTGCGGCTGAGTTCCATGGGAGAGGGTTTGCATGATGTGCTACCTCCCATTATGCTTGAAGGTCATAAATGCCACCCGCCCATCATTAAGCTGTTCTGGTCGATCACCATATATTCTTCTACTGCCTCTTCATTCGGGAATATAACCGTGCCGAATCGGGTCATAGAAATAACCCGAAAGTCAGCCGGGTGCAAATAGAGGTTAGATAATAGATCTTGATAAGAAAAAGAAGCAGTATAATTCGGTGTTGTAGATGCGTCGGCCAAGACGTATGGCAATTGAGGAGACTCCCAATCATTATAGGCCCGTGGATGAGAGGAGCCTTTATTATCATGAAAATAAAGAAGAATTAGGAGCTTGATAAGCCGTTGATAATTTTCCGCATCGCGCTTCTTATCCACTGATGCTAGACAGAAAAAACGCTTCACTTTAGAGACATGACCATCGGAGAGAAGATGCGGAGGATAGTCTAGCGGCGATTTTCGTAACGGAGCACGATCTTGATACGACTAGAAAATAATACATCAATGTAAGCACAGAATTTAGTGCTCTGCTTAGTAGATGGATGACTTACATCTCGAAAGGCCTGATCCGCAGAAGCCCATCTTTCAATGAGCGCTCGTCGTTGTTGCGTTTCCTCGGTGAGATCAGTCTTTGGAACCCACTCCTCCTGGTGAAAGTTAATATATAATAATAGGAAGAGAATCAGCCCAAAAATAGCGATCCCTCCACAAACTGGCACCATCCTTTTGATTCCTCCTTCATATCATCCTCCGACAAGTCTCCGTTTTGGTGAAGATGGACCGACGGGGGAATACCACCTGGCCACAGTTTCTCGGGTGTGAGGAATGTTTGCAGCATGGTTGCTAAGCAGACTCGAACCGATTTTGGACAAGAGTAACAATACGCACTCCGTGATTGAGCTCGTTACATGTATCCGCCGGGGCCCGGGGCTTATAAGAGGCGTATGCAAAGAGAATCGGTTAGGCGCCGCTAGTCCGTACGCTACTACGCCTGCGCACCAAAAAAGCCACCGGCGGGCTCATGAAAATTGACCCATTATTTCTCTCCACACTGAGTGCAACTAAGATTTGTTAGTTTTGACGATGTGGAACGCTGTCAAACTTACTACTTTTACGAAACTTGACCTTGCCAACTCCAGCTACATCGCCTCGCCTCACCTCATGTTGTCACATTAGTTACATGATACTCAACAGAGAAGGGAAAAATGTAGATTGAAAAGGGAGAGAGAAAAAAGGGAGAGAGAGATTGTCTACGTCTATCTTTCTTTTATAGAAAAGATACGTGAGTGGGTCGACACAAGGGGGGAATTAACAGAGAAGAGATGCACGACTGATTTTAATATAGCATAATTGACAGAGCCCAAGTGAACTCAGAGCGTCTAAGATGCGTGTTCGACACAACTTTGGCTTAATCCGCCGTGTAGGTTGCGAACCTGCTGAGAGCTCGGAGTTTGGCACCATAGAAGTACAGCAGGAACATCCCTATGATACCAATAACGCTCAAGCCACCGAGAAGACTCGTGCCTCTAGCAAACCCAAGATTATGATATAGCGGATGCGCAAAAAGAATGCTGCCGCTGGCCAGAGCACTGCGGAAGAAGTCGTTTGCAGCGAATAGGGAGGCAGCATACTGAGGGTAACTGAGTGGAATATAGAGGAACATACACTGCAGCAGGGTGAATGTTGAGCCAGCGTAGATCGTGACGCCAATGGTTGGCACGATCCAGTGAATAGAAGCCCTGGCTGTCCAGGCAAACATAAACAGGCCAAGGGTAGGACCAAAGGATGTAGGTAAACCAGGTAACAGAACGTTCTCTTGTGGGCCCATGCCGATCTTCTTAATCCGTGGTGTGATCACAAAGTACAGCAATGAGCCATAACCGACAATGGCGAAAATACACCCAACGGCGATGCAGATAAAGACGAGACCAACTTCACCGAGGTTCATACCGTAGTAAACGGGATAGACAAGTGGAAACACTTCAAAGTCTGTACAAATTAACCTAAAGTCTATGCCGAGTCACAGGACACTTACAGGAATAGTAGATGCCGTAGACAATAGCCGAGTATACCTGCACGAACATAACGGCTGGGTCTTTTATAGTGATTTCTAACGGCTTGATCAAGGCATCTATAGCAACACCTGAGACTTTCATGTGACTTTGGTCAATCTCGCTCTGGGACATTAACTTCTGGCTACCGGTAAGCTTGCGTAGGCGTTGGGCGCGGCGTAAAAGGATATTAGGGCCGCTCGTTTCGGGCATAAAGATAAAGAGGGCAACAAGCACTGGTGCCGATGCCCAGATAGACTCGTATAGTGACCAACGCCAGTTTTCCGCTGGCACGGCGAATCCACTAAGCAGTGGTCCGAGAGAAGCTGTCATAGAGTAAGCAAGCAGATTCTCAACGACCAGCAGGAAGACTTACGCCCGCATGACATGGCACCAACCCAGGCAATCATTGCAAAGGGCAAGTTTATCATGCTATACATATCACTCATTGAAGCACCACCTGCTGCTAGGCAAGGTGACCCGAAAAACCCCTGCAAGAAGCGCAAGACAATAAGGCCGGGGAAATTATTAACCAGGGCTGTTGGGATAGAGATGATAACAAATATGCCGAAGGTGATGATATAGATAGGGTTACGCCCGATTCGGGGAATCTCGCTGAGTGGTGAAAAAAGCAATGGACCAATGCCATAACCTAGTACGTACATGGCGAGACCTAGAGTTGCCTTGAGATTGCTCACGCCAAACTTCTCCATGACGCCTTGGGTTGATGATGAGTAGATAGCTGAGCTCAGGTAAACCACAAATGTATAGAGGCATATAAGCAAGGCGAGGAGCGCACGGCGCAGGTTAGACCAACTGTGCGGGTTGGCGGTATCTTGTTCGTTGTACCAATCAACTAGAATACTACCGTCTTTGGTAACTTTTGGCGTCAAACAGGTAGCAGGAATTTCCTTGCTCTCGAGATCGTTGCTGACGTCGTGCTTCTCCCCTATCACCTCTTGCTTGTGGTTCAAGTCAGATATGGTTGAGGGCGTGGCTAGCTCAGGCCGAGGTGTCCTTTCGAGCTCTGCGCCGCTGAGCATACGGATCCATGGCTCAGGAAGCTTGAAGTCCGGCCGTTCTTCGGGGTATTGGAGAAGGCGATTGTTGGTGAAAAAGCGCACGAGCTGTCCCAAGGGGGCGTCCCGAACGACATCAAGAAGCGATTCGCCAAAGGTCATGTTGCCTTCCATGCTGCTGGGTTGAGTCTGCCGAAAGGGAAGATATCAATGATATCAATGACATATAATGTAGAGTATGTCCGAAATAAGGAGAAAGCAGACGACATCGACGGAAGATGCTCTCTACATTTATACGGCCTCCGCCGACGTAAAGCTGCAGTACTAGCATGACTGATAATAATATTGATTCTCGCAGACATCGAAGAGAAGGTCGCGGTGCCGAGCGAGTTCGGGCTCTTCGACAAGAGACCATCCGATTAGGTAAGCTCCACAGGCTATATCCGCGCGGGGATCGGATGTCGCTCGCAAGCAACACTCCTTGACTGGCAGTCTGCGGTTCATCCCTAGCGGACTCAGTTTTTGGCGGGCTCAAGCAAGAAATTCGAAGAAAATTACTAGTGGGCGCGAACAACCCAGGGTTTGACCGCTTTGCCGGGGTTCCGATCTGCGTTCCTTGCCTTGACTGCCCACCGCCGACCTTTGCACTCCATTGCAGCTCCGTTTGAGGAGTTTGCGCGATTCGAAGCCATCAGTCAGACTTTGTGAACATGGATCCGGAGATACGAAGCCGCAGTTCGAAGCGAACCTCTACAGCGTGTGAGCCTTGTCGGGCGGCCAAAGTCAGATGCCAGGCCAGTGACCAGCCCGGGGTGTGTGAAAGGTAATGCATTAAGTACCTCCGGGCTTTCCCCCCTTAAATGCTTATAGTCTCTATTAGATGTCTCGCCGTGAAAAGGGAGTGCATCTCCCGTACTAGGCCACGGCCTCGCCGATGGGAACGCAAATGGGGGTAAGAACCATGATTTGCCGGCCTCTGGATCCATATTTTTTTTAACGTCTCTCCCTATCTAGAACGAGAGATAGTGGACACTCACCGCAGTCACCCAGCCATCGTGGCACCTTTAGCATAAACTATACCGTGCCAGTCCAAGCAGATCTCAGTGATAGCTTCGAAACCCTGCGGGAGATGCATGATCAGGCTCTTGATGCCCTACTCAGTGAGGAAGATCCTCTTGATCACTCGCAAAGTGCAAGCCAATCAGCCAAGCTCTCAAGCCCCTCAAGTTTGTCAAATCAATCTCATCTAATCTCCAGCATCTGGCGTCAGCCTTTATTCGACGTGGCATCTGCAGAATGTCTCCTGAAAACCTTCAAGTCCATGCTTAACTACCTACCGTTTATAGTCTTTCCCGGCGACTCTCCTATCTCCTATCTCGCTTCTACAAAGCCTTTCACTCTGCTTTCTATCTTGACCGTAGCTTCGGGTTCGAAGATGGTGCAGAAACACGCATTATATGATGATGAGTTTCGAAAAGCCCTAGGTCTGAAGTATGTGTCTGGTGGGGAGAAAAGTCTCGAGCTCCTCCAGGGGCTTTTGATATACTGCGCATGGTATGTCTGGTCGTTGAACTAGTTCTATGCACCTCCGTCTCACGTCGCAAGGTATCCTTTTCACTTGCGGCCCAAAACTGGACAGCTGGTTCACTTCCTGCGAATCGCCGCTGATCTTATTCACGACCTTCATTTGGACGAAGACTTCCTCACAATTCCTGATCAAGTGACAGACGATGAACTTGACAAGATCCGAACATATCTCGCCTATCTATATCTTGTTTCTACGTAAGATGCAATGTCCTCAAGTTCAATTATACAAACGATTCTTACTCCTGAAAGGTACGTCGTTGTATGGAGAGGGGAGAGAGATTTACCCACCAATTGCCCCCCCTGGGCCAGGAACGCCATCGACATCCTTCAGCACAACGCCCGAGTCGACGGCGACAACACGCTCGTAGCTCTAGTCCGCCTATCAAGTCTCTTTTTCGATGCTGCCAAGGCTATCAATGACAGAGACGTACTAACCGTGCAAAATAGTCGACTGATTTTGATTGGCCTTGAACAACAATATCAGGAATTGCGGCATAGCATGAACCATCTGATCATGGGAATCGGTATGACAAGCTAGGGTGAATGTGACCATGAAACTGACGCAGTGAAAAGGACCGATACGAATGCAGGCGATGTTTGTTGATGTATTCCTTGACTGCGGTAGCTTACTCGCCTTCCCCGTGGCGGAGACCTACTTGTCTGCTAAAACAACTTCCTTTCCTCCACCATTGTCCAAGATCTTCAGTGCTACGAAGAAGATAAGAGCTTTGCTGGACTATGTAGGTGGACTAGAAGATTCGTCGCTCCTTTCATTTACAATCAACGACTGGACTCGGCTCATTATGGTTCTTACACTATCGTTCCGCTTATCTTTCCCGCTCTCGCTATATCCTGATTTAGATTCGGCCTGTGCCCGCTCCGAACTTCAATTGGATCGATTCCTATCTAAAATGTCGCATGGGGCAGATGACACGGCTTCAAACGATCTCCTGTCCGCTAGTCGCGCCTTGCTAGGCCTTGCTAAGTCGAAATACGACCGTCGGGTGGGATCACTTGGAAAACTACCATTCGTCGCCTCACCGAGCAGGGTTTTTGGATGCCCTGTGATGAACGGAAGCTTGAGAACATCCGTGGGGCAATGGGAACAAAGCTTCACGGATTCATCAGACGCAGGTGATCCGAAGAATCTTACCATATTTCACGATGTATGGGCAACGATGACTGCAGGATGGGGAAACGGCCGAGACATACCTTGGGACCCTACCTGACCTCAGCTTTGAGGGCGAGCTTGCCCCTGGAAGTCCAGTGTCATACTTGTCAGAAATCTTAGATGTGATTCTTGGTTAGGTCACTCAATAGACTAATTCGCCTCCGATTACGTTTTCGAATTGTAATCTTAGTCAATCACCGTATAAACACCCTCTTGTTCCTGAAAATTCCTTACCCCTTAATCATGACCAAATATCGTTGAGTAACTTAGTAACTAGGCTAGCACCTCCTTGATGAATAATCTATCTCCTTGGGGGTCCAGGTCATAATCGCCGGATCGTTAACCTGTTCCATCAAAGCGTATATACATCCACACCGCATTGCCCAATAGGGAGTCCGTCGGCTTTCAATTCCATGACCCACCTCTATATCCGTACAGCGTCACGAGCATCTTTCATGATTATCAACATTCAATATATGCTGCGTAGTGTAGCTTACAAAGTTGGCAAAGGGTGCTGATAAATTCAGCCAGGGGTGCTTACGAATGGAACAACCGGGCGGCTTACGGATATGTGTTGATGGCTTGCAAAACTTCGCATTATAACAATCCCCAGGGAACTCCCTCGTCGTTACGCATACAACTTCAAGCTGCTCTTCCTTCCTCATTAGCCTACAAACCCTTCCAATCCTGCTTTCATTGCAAAAATGGCCCCTATCCAATTTGGCATTCTCGCCTTTGCCTACCAAGTAATCGACTCAGTCGGGCCAACCGATCTTCTCGCCTCGGCCAGCAAGAGCGCCCTCTTAACCATTCGGGAATACGTCCCCATCGACGACGACCTTATTTCTCGAGCACCAGAGTTTGAGTTTCATCACATTGGAGTGACCAGAGATCCCGTCGACCTGGGTACTAGCCAGATGACGATTGTCCCTACAACAACTGTGGATGAGTGTCCTGAGCTGGATATCTTGCTCGTTGGAGGGCCGTACCTGGGTACTTTTGACCTACACCCCAAGCACGCTGATCTGATCCGAAGACATGTTACTGCTGGGAAGCTCCTCTTTACAACCTGCACTGGTGCTAGCCTCGTCGCATCCACCGGAGTTCTAGACGGAAGAAAAGCCACAGTCAACAACATCGAATACGAGTGGGTGAGGGAACGCTGGCCAAAAGTCAAATGGACACGTGAGAAGAAGTGGATCATCGACGGCAACATCTGGACAGGATCTGGGGCTCTCGCTGCGACGGACATGGTTGCCTATTGGCTCAAGGGCAAATACGGCCTAGACGTGCTTATCCAGGCTGCCGCTACATTGGACTATGAGCCGCGAGATGCTGATGGTTTGTTCAGCGTGCTTCCGCAGAGGGTTGATTCAAGGGGAGAGAAGATTTCTACTCATGCTTTCAGATATCATGAGCAATCTGCAGGTGGACAACGTCAGTAGGGGGCTAGACGCTCAATACTATGTTACTTCATTTTTATTAGATTCTCCGAGGTTGGCCTCGGGCTGATACCCATTGCTTGGATATGGTTGCGCTTACAAGTGTGGGTTAATTTGCATGCATGAGTATGAGAGACAGCCAGAAAAATTGCTTGGATGATTGACTTGTGCACAAGATCTACGACTAGTTGATAAAAACTGGGGTAAAGTACCGTGGTGGTAACAAGTAAAGTAGATGGCAATGCATAAGAATGAAGTTCAAGTAGGCGCCATACAACGCAATACAGTAGAACTGGTTATAACGGATCAATTCTGATTGTCTCCAAATCCATTGTAGAGCGAAAACCTGTTAATAAAGGTAAAATAAAGCATTAGTATTGTCTATACTATTTAGAACAGATTTTATATGGGAAGGAAATTTCAAAGTCCGTTATTAACGAGGTAAAAGTGGGTCTTAGACTTCTAATACATTAAGTCTAGAGCATTTTATGGGTCAACTTGACGGGTAAAAGTGGGGGAATGGGCCTATTCTCTTTCCGTTATATCCAATTATATTATAACCCGGTGTTGCTGTATTTAGGCTGCATATACCTTCCCGACCAACACGTGGTAATTCGATTGATGATTACAACAAGAGAAGTCTCGAGATCTACTTTCTAGTACACCTAGGTAGGGAGATCCTTGATCTTTTGATGCGGTAGACCTTGCAATATATATTTCAGTGTTTTCAACAATTTTTCGGTTACGCTATTTACCAGAGACTCTATCCTGAAATGCCTTTGACAGTTTATCCACATTGCACATGGAACCGCTAATCAAGATAGGCATAAGGTCGGAACTTCAGAGTAGGTAGTCCTGAATATTTGGCGCACTATTCTTCGCGCTTGAACAGGTCAACCAGATACACACGGCTCATACAGTCGATATCGGAGAAGTATCTGCGAGACATTAAGAGCATGGCCGGGACAGACTTAATATTCTACTGACCACTTGAGCATGCTAAGATTGCATTTTTAAGCGCAGATGAATGACTGCTTCAGTCGGATTTTGACTGAGAACGGTTTCTATAGACTCGCATCTGGCAAGCCATTGTAGAGCCGGGCAAAAGCCGAGGACTCCCTCTCTAATAGCCTTGTCGGGCTGTCAAACTCTACCAACGAACCCTTATCTAAGAATGCAATTCTGTCAAAGTCTAAAATGGTATCAAGACGGTGCGCGATGGCGAAAATGGTAGAGTCGGCGAATTCGGCGCGGATGATGACTTGCATTAACTTATCCGTTTCGGAAACGACACTGCAAGTGTTAACTGATATTAGAGTTGTGCTCACTTCGAATAAAAGTTTGGGTTACATACCTGCTGGAAACTTCGTCTAGAATGATAACTTGGCTCTTTTTCAGCAGTGCTCGCGCTAGACAAAATAGCTGTTGCTGACCCAATGACCACTTATCAGCCCCCAGCTTAGCATCCATCCAGTCCGCCGCGTTCCTTGACGAAATCCCATAGGTGGACCTTCTGATGAGCTCTGATGATGACTTCATCTGACAGTGATTCAGTAAAGTCCAGGTTCAGGCGTACTGTGGCCGGTATGAAAAAAGGCTCTTGCGTAGTTGAATTAAACCTAGAGCGAACGGCTTCTCGGGACAAGGTCGAGAGGTCAATCCCGTCCACCGAGATAAACCCACATCTGAGATCAACCATCTGACAGAGCGATAGAATCAAAGAGCTCTTTCCACTGGTAGTGAATTAGATTCCTAGAAGTGCCTAATGAGGAACATTATCACTTACCTTCCAGTGCGCCCACAGATCCCAATTTTCTGACCTGCTTGGATCGACATCGAGATGTCTCTTAGTGCGTAAGAAGACTCATTGCTGATCATTATTAGCGTTATCTCCCATGTCATTGGAGGATACTTATCGACGAACTCGTAAGATACGGATACATTCCGGAACTCGATTGCTCCTGATGGAGGCCACTCCTGATCCACAAGTCTCAACATCGAGCTCGGTCGTTCTTCAGATATGGTCTCCACTTCAAATTCCTTAACCCTCGAGATGATCCCAAGAGCTGTCTCGAGGGACATATACCACTTGATCATATTTGTCAGGCCTTGGTTGAAGGTCATAATATTGACAAGGGCCACACCGATCGTGCCGCCACTGGTTGATTCTTTCAGGACGACCGTTAAAATGATAAGAATAATCGCCAAGCAGGCCACGAGCATGTCCATGACCAGTGTCAGCCATCGTTGTGCACAATACAGCAGGTAGACAGGCTTCTGCGATTCATCCAGCAGCCGAGTGTTCTGCTCTTGCAATTGCGATGTCCATCCAAAGGCGCGGATGGTCGCAAGGCCATTCAGGGTCTCGATAAAATTGGAGTACAGGGGCGATTTCACTTCCAAGTCGAGGAGCCGGAGTTGTCGGGAGGTCTTTAGATAGAACTTATGCACCAGATAGATGACACCCAACGCAAAGGGGATGGTGACGGTCATATACTTGGATGAGACCGAGATCATGACAATCTGCACTACACATGAAAATGCATTTTTGAGATATTAGTGATCTTTCTCCAATTGCATGGAGGCTAGCGTACACAGTGCGGTATTAATGGCAGCCATCGGTAACGACATATCGATGAGCCGCATATCCTGGCTGAATCGATTTGTAATGGCCCCGGTGCTACTATTGGCAAAGAAGGAGAGAGGCGCTCTGCGATGTATTAGCTTAATCAACTGTATCAGGCAAATGATAGATTCTACCTCATGACTGTCTGCAACATGGTTTGTTACAACCTCGCTGCCGATCTCGAAACGATTCGCACCATCAGATACCAGCAAGCAAGGACCAGGAATATCATCGCGGCCACTGCCAGCGCCACATACACTTCGAAGTAGAGTCCCAGATTAGGGTTAGAGGACACTTCGTTGGCATCAGACCACCACTGGACCCATAAGTCTACTTTGATGTTAGCTCATCGTGTTATTAGTTGATTATAAAGCGCGTCTCTCTGGGAAAATTATAGCAGAATGCGACTACTGCAACGCATATCATGAAGGAGATGGAGTTAACCTTCCCTGCAGCTTGTATATAATATGCATAGACAGACCAATCACCCGTTTGGCGGTCTTTCAAGTTAGTGAGATCATCTTGAGTGGAAAGCACGGGATCAGTTCGATGCTATCTTCGGGTTTTGTCGCTGAGTAGTCTTCGGTTGACAACTTCTGCACATAGCCATCAATAGACCGCAGTCTGTGAAGGTTTCCTTGGCTGTCAAATCTTCCCTCGGTGCTGAGGACGATGATTCGATCAGACTCCGGTAGATGGTAACCTGTGAAAATATTAGATGTTTTCCTCCTAGAGACAGTCAACTTAATTGCGTGTGTTACCAGGATCGCAGTCGAGCCCAATTGACGCAGAAGCCCCTGCCTTCCAAATATCTGGTCGAAAACCTGCTTTCGGTGCGCCGATCAAGCCCACTTAGGGCATCGTCGAGTAAAATGATGCTTGGTTTTGCATGGACAGATCTAGCAATTGCCTAGGATCATAAATTAGGCGAATATAGAGAGCCGAGAAAGAAGTAACTCACGATCCGCTGCTTTTGTCCTCGACTCAATGTCATACCATTGCTACCAACCATATTATAGGCGTCGCACTGGCTATACCCTACGGCTTGTTGGCCGACCGATGGGATCACAAGCCCGTTGTGCTGATGAGCATTATCGGCATCGTACTGTCGATGACATTCACGCTCCTCATCTGTGGAATGTGGCAGGTCTTCACGCTGCGACTGGTCTGGTTATCACCCATCTTCACCGTCCTGGGCGGCGGTGGCCCTGTGCTATTCTCGATGATCTTGACAACGATTGAAGATGTCATGCCGGCGAATGAGAGGTAATATATCTGCTACATTGTCAATTATGTACATACCGTACGGGAGACACGGCTAACACGACCAAGAGCTACCGCCTCCTTTCAGCTCATGACCTGCCAATATGCGCGCATATCACCGCCACCCCGATCGCGTCGGCCTTGATGGAGACTCATGGGCCATGGCTACCAATCCAGCTAGGCTATGTCTGTTTCTTTGTGGCCATGCTAATCGCATGTCTGCTGAAAGAGACGGCACAGCCACGCGACGCTATCAGGAATTCCCCAAGGAACGGATTGGCGACCACAAGCAGCGAAACAAGCGTACGACTAAAGAGCAAGTCGCGCACTGAACTATAGCTTGCCTGGCATCTCTCTGGCAGCGAGCAACCACCGTCCTGCGCCACGACGTCAAAGTCCTCGTGCTCATCCTCACTTTCTTCATCAATGCCGTCGAAGAGCCGACCCAGAGCCTCAACCTGCAGTACATCTCGAAGCGCTATGACCTGAGACTCGCACGCGCAGGATTTGTCATCTCGACCTTTGGTCGAGGCTTCGACAATATCATCCGCTCCCTCAGTCACCTCTCTGGTGCCGCCCCGGTTCATTGGGCGCATGTACACGATGATCACCGTCATTGAGACAATTGGTCTCCTCCTTTTGGGGCCGCTGCTAGCTGGCTTGTTCCGGGTAGGACTGTTCGTGTATTTATCATCAATCATACTAGATTGGGCAAAAGTTTTCGCGTGCAGAACTAGCCAGACCCTGGCCATATCACGCCAAATATAACTCTGACGGCACGATGAGCTTCTTCAGGAGAAAGGACACACAGGTCGAAGGATTTTTTGCGGTGATGATGATGATGTGCATGGCCACAAGCGCCCAAATTCCCTACCTAGATATGTCGGGACGAGCTAGTTTCCAGATCCAGAGATAATGCAGAATATACAATATGTATGGTATATCAATCCATTCTAGCCCCTCAACTTCGGACCTCATTGCTAAAATTCATTTTCTAGCTCATACAGCGCTTTATTTGTATCCTAAGTACTGAATTTCCCTCACCGATATAGTAATCAATATACGCAGTGCAAGAAACTAGGCAAACATAAAGACTATAATGTAAACTAAAATAGAGCAATTCTTGTATCATTGCTACCAGCGTCTTGAGCACACGTCTAATGCTTCATTAAGCTACATTACTAAAGAAAAACTGTACACTGAAGCTCAAGTTAAGGATAATGTATTCTAATATTTGAAGCTATATACTTGGTAATAAAACTTTTCTGGTTGGTCACTTGATTCAGTTCTTGGAGACCGGACGAGTAACAAGAGAGTGTGAGAGATTGCTACTTAATGTAACTCATCGTCATAGGGAAAGGACTTGATCGGTAACCGTGAATCGGTCCTTAGTAAGTTAGGCAGTCGAGCTGGTTTGCTGTGTCGGTGAATTGGTTCCAGCCGTAAAACTTATAACTGGCTCCGATTATCTGGATATTCGTCGTCATCGAAGAAAACCCTGACGGGTAACCATGAATCATCGCAAACCTTGAATTGGTCTTTGAGGTTATCAAGCTGGTTTACTTCGTCGGCGGTTAAGTTCCAACCATCAATGTCATAGTTGGCCTCAATGCGAGACTTGCTGACTGACTTGGGTATGACACTCCGGCCCTTCTGGATGCCCCAAACCAGCATGACCTGCTGCGGAGTCTTGCCCTTTCTCTCGGCAATCTGGATGAGTGTAGAGTTCTTATAGAGCGGAGAGTTGGTGGAGCCCAGGCAGCAGTAGCTGGTGGTGTGGATGCCCTTAGAGGTGTTGTAGGCGACAAGCCCAGGGGAGGGGTTGCCGGGGTGCACCTCTATTTGGTTGACGGCGGGGACGATCTTGGTGGAAGGGTCATTCAGTAGAATCTCGAGGTTTTTGATTCCAAAATTGGAGACACCGATGTTGCGCGCCTTTCCGGTGGCTGGCAGCTTCTGCATCTCCTGCCAGGTCTTGATAAAGTTCCAGTCAGGGAGTAGTTTGGAGTCATCCAAGGGATTAAGTGAGCAGGGCCAGTGGACGAGGTATAGGTCAACATAGTCAACGCCCAGGTTCTTCAGTGACGCTTCAATGCCCTTCTCGACGCAGTGGTGCCAGGTATTGTCGAGCTTTGTGGTTATCCAGATCTGCTCACGGGGCACTCCAGAGTCGCGAATACCAGCCCCGACCTCCGCCTCGTTACCGTAGGCCAAGGCTGTGTCGATGTGCCGATAACCCTTAAGCAGGGCAGTCTTAACAGCCTCACGGACTTCATTGGGCTTAGACTGCCATGTACCCAGGCCGATGGCGGGGATTTTGGCATTGGTATTGAGTGTATATGTCTTTCTAGAGGAGGAGGTTGTTAGGCCGTGTGCATAAATGAGGAGGTCACCAACTTACTGGGTATGCTGCGACATATTGCAGATTGCTGGAGCGCAGAGAATATAGTAAACAAAATTCTTATACAAGGAGCAGAATGCATTTATTAATCCAAATATAATCCTTCGCCAGGGCCTGTAGCCGCATTCCGGGCAGATTTTCCAACGGAAGAGGCAGGTCAATACGATACTCCCAAAGTTTAACCTTGACCCTGAATTGTCTCCAGTCAGTGGCTGAATCAGTCATCCACTTTTTCTTAGACCGATTTTAAAGATAAGTCCAAAGCCAATAATGCCCTAGATCACCGTCGCTCCTTATTACAAAGCAGGGGCCGGCTGGACCTTTCTAATGATGGCCCAATTTAAACATGGCGACTCATCATATGATGGAAAAGACCTCGGGAGTAGCGCCGTACTTACTATCTAGCTATATCTAAGCACATTGCTGAAAAGACTGCTGCTCAGCATTTCAACTACATTCTTTGATTTGCCCTTCAAATTGCACCAGACACATCTTCCACAGCACTGTGATAATACGGCCAAATCAGTTCCACATAATGGCTATGCCACGCGCAAACACCACAATTGTCGTTGTCGGGGGAGGCGGCACAATGGGTTCTTCAACGGCTTTACATCTTATTCGCTCCGGATACAATCCTGCTAATATCACCGTATTGGATGTATACCCAATTCCTTCATCTCAATCTGCTGGTCACGATCTTAACAAAATTATGAGCATTCGCGTCCGGAACAAGCCCGATGCACTGCTATCACTAGAGGCTCTCGATATGTGGAACAATGATCCACTGTTTAAACCCTACTTTCATAATACTGGCGTGGTGAGTTTTTTACATCTGATTTGGTATCAATTATCATGTTAGATCCCCTACTAATACACTTCAAGATGTATTGTTCCTCCTCGGAGCAGGGCATCGAAGGTCTGCGAATGGCCCGTCAGAGTCTGATCAAGGCAAAGAGCGAGATGGAAAACACAAATATATGGCTGGATAATGAGGCTGAGATTGTGGCTAAAATGCCGGCTTTCGCGCAAGAACAAGTCAAGGTGATCCCACATTTGTCAGAAAGCGGCAGAGCCATGCTTACGCAAAGCAGGGATGGAAGGGCGTCCACAGTCTAGATGGCGGCTGGCTTGCTGCAGCCAAAGCCATCAATGGTATCGGTGAATTTCTTCGGGACCAGCGTGTCAACTTTCGATTTGGCCGGTTTGTTTGCCGCAATTTCCTAGTTGAATGGGCATCATATGCTGATATAGAAATAGCGCTGGGACATTTGCTCGACCTCTCTTGTCTGAAGATGGAAGGACATGCGTTGGTGTTCAAACAGTAGATGGCACAGATTACTATGCCGATAAGGTGGTTCTAGCTACTGGCGCTTGGAGCCCAACTTTAGTTGATCTCGAAGGCCAATGTGTTTCCAAGGTCAGGGCATATAATCAGTTGCACGACGGTGTTTGCGGACAGTTCTCGCTAATGAGTTGATCCAGGCGTGGGTTTTCGCTCACATCCAACTCACACCCGAAGAAGCTGCTGAGTACAAGAACTCACCCGTAATCTACGACGGTGAATACGGCTTTTTCTTTGAGCCGAACGAGTACGACGCTTACTTCAATCTAATCGCTCAGCCCATCATATATTGACTGTGTCCCAGGGACAACATAATCAAAGTGTGTGACGAGTTCCCCGGCTTCACTCGCTTTATTTCGCATAGACCGTTTGGTTCCAATGAATCCAAATCAATCTCCGTTCCTCGATCACACGCTCAGCACCCAACCGACACCTACCCCGACGCTTCTGAAGCAACCATTCGCAAGGCCATCGCCAGATTCCTGCCACGCTTCAAGGATCGACAGCTTCTGAACCGGAGTATGTGCTGGTGCGCTGATACTGCTGATGCTAATCTGTTGATTTGCGAGCACCCCAGGTGGAAGAATTTCATCCTGGCAACAGGGGACAGCGGGTAGGCTACAGTATCATTGGAAATCTCAATCAAGTGCATCAGTTTATTGACAATTCTCAGACACAGTTTCAAGCTTCTGCCCAACATTGGAAAGCATGTGGTTGACCTTATCGAAGGAACGATTTCTCATGATCTAGCCTACGCTTGGAAGTGGAGGCCTGGCGGTGATGCTCTGAAATCACGCCGCGCTGCTCCTGCAAAGGATCTGGCTGATATGCCAGGCTGGAAGCATGACCGGACCAACCGGTTATAAAAGTGCGTCATCAGCACTACTTCATACGTAAATAACAAGCAAACATCTCTCAATAGCTTAATCAAAATTGTAATACATATACTGTGTAAGAGGTATAATAGACTAAGAGTAGGCAACTATTGCCCCCGAGCGTAGACTATTGATCTGCTATACGTCCCCGAATAACTATACGTGTATATATAGGTGTTGCATAGTGCCTTTAGACTTCATCTTCGGCGTGTCCCAAAGCACAGTTCTCGTTTATATGATCCGTGATGTATTTAGGTGTATAATCGTGTGACTCTGCATTATACTAGGTATATTGAAACGTAAGATAGGCAACGATTGATTTAGCAAGGGGAAGGCGTCCCCGGACTGTGGTCGTGCTGTCGGCTGTAGGAAGCGCTAGACCTGGAATCAGCGAAGTTGTTGTTCTCCGCTTCATCTTCATAGTCTCTATGCTTGCACGCAAGGTGCTTAGCCCACTCAAGATTTCTTAATGTATTTCATTAAAGAAGATCTTTGTTCGCACGAGAAAACCGTGTGATTATGGCGGGCCTTCTCTATACGGACCTGGGGACGGTAGGGACGGTACGGTACCACAAAGCCGAACCAGGATGTAAAAGTGTCTGTAGTCTGAGCCCTAGCGAACTTATCTCTCAAGTCGGTGATGCTCCAAGTAGAAGGAACAGTGTGGATTCTGGGGTAAGTCAAGGAAGGTCGACACGACGCAGGAATCCGGCTCCTTGGGAATCTTTTGTAGAACCGGGGTAGACGCGTCACCAGCCGTTCCAGGAATAAGTACAGTGAAACCTGTTTATAACGGATTATCTATGGGCTCTGGCTCGGCAATTTATTCCGGCACCACACAAAGCATGGATTGGCCGAAGTCTCAGAGCGATTTCGGCTCCAGGACCGGAGGACAATCTTGCCGCGCACATTAGCAATAGAAAAAACTGGGCTACTGTGTCGGGCTAACTAGTCATTGGCGGAGGTCCCGTGAATTTCTAGCCCTAGTTCTAGCCATAAGATTTCTACTTTTTCTTGTTTAGGCAAAGCTTGTTATTCTTTGCCGGCCCAGCGGCTTCATCGGCCACACAAATGACCTCGTAGCCTTAGATAGAACTCTTTTCTGTGGAGATCATTGCTGAACATCTGAATGTCTCTACTCTACTTCTAGATGTCAACAAAATAGGTGAACGTCATCTCACCGGTCTATCAAGATTCGTAGATTTACTAGAGTGATTCAAAAGCTATCGTCGAATTTACATTCACCTTTCTCTACCACTGCCTAAATACAATTAACTCACTGCTGATCGTGAATTGCCCCTAATACCGCTGACCGAATTCAGCTATTGCGGTATTCCACATCTAGGTGGTATATTTGAAATCTGCCTGCTTCCAATCGGTAATGTCCTGGAAGCTATCCCAAGGCTCATCGTCGTCCGGTTTTGCTGCAGATCTTCTGTTCTGTATCACGCAAAGCAGCCAGTATGCCATCATCAAGCCTATGCAAACGCAATAGCAAACCAACATAGCGATAACTCCACCAGTATAAGCTGGTGCCTGGCTTGCTCGGAAAGTTTGGGGCCCGATGAGGTTTCCTACTGCGTAGCCAATATACAATATAGCGAAAGAAACGTTTTTCTTCGTGTGGCCTGCTGTGTTGGCCTGGGCGAGAGATATACCAACAACGTATGGTCCGAAATACGTGTAGACCTTTGAATGAGCCAGTCAGGTAAGTAAATTGGTAATACTATGGGATTTGTTGACTTACCAAGTAAAGACCAACCATTTGGGCGCCCACCGCCGTACGAGGAACAGCATAGAGGATGGCTGTTCCAACTATGGGTACAACGCATGCACACATCGTAACCAAGCAACGACGATTACTCCATTTGGCACCAAGCGTTGAAAAGACAAACGCTGCCAATGTTGACATCACACCAGTAGGCATGGAAAGCAATGACGAGTTCACTGAAGAGAATCCGAGATTTTGAATGATGATTCCGCTGAAGGTTGTGAGACCTGATACATAATATTGATTAGCTTGTTCTCCTCCCTGTCAAAGGCGATTGATACATACCGCCGTTGGGAATGTTGATGGCAATGTTGAAGAAAAAGATGATCCACGTCTTTGGGTCAATGAGGGCTTCGATTGCTTGATCCCATTTCCAGGTTTTATTCATAACACCAGTCTTGTTCTCAGCTAGACGTTGCACCCAGAATACTTTTTCTTCCTTTGACAGAAATTTGGCGTTCATAGGGGTATCCGGAAGGAAGATAAAGGCGAAGATCGACCAGGCCATAGATATTGACCCAACCAAGATGTACAGATATTTCCATTTCGCGAGAGGTGCGTCGCCGGGTATCTTTCCAACCAGCCAAGACAAGAAACCGTTGACAATGGAACTAGCAGCAGCAAAGACCAAGGCGTTCCTTGGGGGTTGCTCTGCTTTCTTGTACCACCCGGCAATCAACAACGAGATGCCTGGAACAATGATAGCTTCGCAGCATCCCATGAAGAAACGGATTGCCATGAGACCAGACCAGTTGTGGCAAGCGGGCATCAAAAGGGCCATTACAGACCAACCAATGGAACAGCCGCAGAGGTATTTGGCTGACGGAAGTTTGTGCAACAGGGCAGACGACGGAAACATGGCCACAAGAGAGCCCAGAGACAATATGGAACCGAGCCAAGAGTACTGCTGTCCATGAAGGTTGTTATCAATCTCCAGTCCGTAAATAGCAGCGGTACTGAGAGCAACTTTGTCTACTGCTCCCAGTGTAGCGGTCACAAAAAGCTGTTAAGTCAACTTGTCAGTCCTGGAGAGCATCATCTCAGGAGGTGTTACTTACCATTGGCAACATGATGAAGTCAATTTTGCGTCTCAGTCTCTTCTCACCTTTTGGAGAGAAGACTGGTGCATCACCAGCACTCGCAAGGAATAGCGCTGCCTGGTCAATGTGCTTGACATCCTTGTCATTGATCTCGTCACCGACAGTGCCTTGGGGCGTCATAGCTCTCTCAATAGCACCCATGGTGAGTGAAGGCCCAGTATCGATAATAGCAGATGCCTGTTGTTGAGAAATCTTCTTGACTGTCGAAATGATCAGGATTGTAAATATTGCTGAATTCCAGGGAGTAAGCAGCCGTTATATCTTCTTTCAAGTCAAGGGAGAAGGTGCTCTCATTCTGCATATCAAGCTAAGCGCGTAAGCCATAGTAGGTACAATGCAATGCTCCATTGTCAATTGATAACACGTTTTGTAGAGAAGCAGTCCTCTCAAAGAAGACTATATCTCATGTAGGAGTCCGTTAGATTCCGGGCTTATCTTCGATCATTTGATAGGGATGTCCTCTGGGTTTACAACGGAGCTGTGTAGAATCGATAACTAAGCATCCGAACCGCTTAACAAATAACTCAAAAAAATGGAGCAAAAAGTTGTCTCCACGTACGGAAAGAGTCTTTTTTTTCTCCTACATGTTAGCATCTCGGAGCTACCTCCACAACCGGCTGATTAGAGTGGCGAATGAAGGTAGAATAATAGATACAATCGCAGCAATCTGGAGATAAGTTTTGACGGAATAGGATGGTCAACACGGCAAGACAAAGCCAGCAGAATGAAACCTCGATTGACACAAGTCACCTACAGTACTAGATAGGAATTTTAAGAATTAGGAAGTTTAATACGACGTAAGTTATCAGTCTCCTCCCGACGTCTGGCGCTTGGAGGTGGAAAAAGTCGTCCGATTTGGAAGGTCACTACGACGAGATCCGCAGCACAACTCCCGTGCCAATAGATTTATTGAACCATAGTTCTCGTCATCGCGACGCCCATTAACCTATGCGCGTGTCAATATTATGATTTAAAATATGTTGATAGTTTCATCGTGTCGACCTTCTGCTCTTGGCCAGGAGCACGATCAATCTTCAATGTGGTTTCATTTGACACCTTGACCTGGTTTTTGAAAACTTATTTCTTCCGTTTTGCATGTGTTTATAAGACATTGATACGCCCTCAAGTCAGGACTAGGCAAGTAGACTTACCAAGAAAGTCAATCGTCAAGATGGGATCAGTAGCACTTTCAGAGTCCATGAGTGGCATCAAAATTGCCATCGACAGGGGTGGCACCTTCACAGATATATGGGCAACAGCACCTGGGCATCCGGACCTTGTATTCAAACTCTTATCTGTTGACCCTGCGAATTACGCTGATGCTCCCACGGAAGGTAGGTGCGGATTTCAAGAGTTTTATCGGTTCGATATACTTACTGTGTAAAGGGATTCGACGTGTACTTTCTACGTATGGGGGTGTAGAAATTCCGAGAAATGTTCCGTTGCCGAAGCATGCCATTGATAGCATTCGCATGGGAACTACTGTTGCGACTAACGCTTTACTTGAAAGAAAGGGCAGGAAGCATGCTTTTCTCGTGACCAAAGGTTTCCAAGATTTGCTCGAAATCGGGTATCAATCGAGACCGAGACTTTTTGATCTGAATATCTCGAAACCCGAGGTCTTGTATTCAGAGGTGTACGGAGTTGATGAGCGTGTCACCATTGAAGGTTTCGACGAAGATGTTGAAGGTCTATTTGGTGTTACTAAGGTCATTCCAGGTGTAGTAGAGCAGGGTATCAATGGCCAGTTGATTCGAATTCTGCGGCCATTGGATGAACAGTCATTAAGGCGCCAATTGCAAGACATCAGATCCAAAGGCATTGATACCATTGCTATCTGCTTTACTCATTCATATGCATACCCAGCACATGAAGCCAGAGCTGGACAGCTCGCTTTGGCCGCTGGCTTTACTCACGTTTCCCTGTCCTCTGAAGTTGCAGCGAATATGATCAAAATGGTACCACGAGGAAGCTCAGCAACTGCCGATGCCTATTTGACTCCAGAAATCAAGAAGTATCTGGAGGGATTCCGGAGAGGCTTTGAAGGCGGCCACCTAGACGACGTCAAATGCGAGTTCATGCAATCCGACGGAGGACTTGTGAGACATGATCGTTTTACTGGTCTGAAGGGTATCCTTAGCGGACCTGCAGGTACATTTATTCTATGGATATTTTGACACTGTACTAAACTATCTATAGGTGGAGTTGTTGGATATGCAAAAACCTCGTTCGATGAAGCCAACAGAATGGCCGTCATTGGTTTTGATATGGGAGGCACAAGCACCGACGTTTCAAGGTACGGCGGTGCCTTTGAGCACGTCTTCGAAACGACCACAGCTGGTGTGACTATTCAGAGTCCACAACTCGATATTAATACTGTTGCAGCAGGTGGTGGGTCTATTCTAGCTTGGAGAAATGGTCTCTTCACTGTTGGGCCTGAAAGTGCTTCCTCCCATCCCGGACCTGCTTGCTACAGAAAGGGAGGACCTCTGACTGTGACCGATGCAAATCTTTTCCTCGGAAGACTGGTCCCCAAAGCATTCCCAAATATCTTTGGTCCCAACGAGAATGAGCCTCTAGACGAAGAAATCGTGCGTGAGAAGTTTCTTCGAATTACAGCCGATATAAACGCGGAAATTGGGGGCACTCTTACACCTGAGGAAATTGCCTGCGGATTCATCGACGTGGCCAACGAGGCCATGTGCAGACCAATTCGCGCTCTCACAGAGGCTAAAGGACACGCAATTTGTTTGTTCTCTTCCATAATCACTCGAAATTAGCGCTATAATGCTAACTGTTATTAGCAAATCACCATTTAAGCGTTTTCGGAGGTGCTGGTGGACAACACGCCTGCGAAATTGCCGCCAAACTAGGTATCCAAAGCATTATCATCCATAAATATTCAAGCATCCTCTCGGCATATGGTATGGCACTAGCGGATGTTGTTCAAGAAGCCCAGAGACCCCACAGTCAGATCTATAATGCCGAAACCCGCGAAGCAGTATCAAGTGTTTTTGATTCCCTCAAAAAACAAGTTCAAGCTGGCATTGTTTCGCAAGGCATAAAAGAGGACAAGATCCAGTACGAGTTTTATCTGAACATGAGATATCAAGGCACAGAAACGGCAATGATGATCATGGAGTCAGACACGTCGGACTTCAAGAGTGAGTTCTTGAAGAGACATCTCCAGGAATTCAACTTTGTCTTCCCCGAGGATCGACACATTTTGATTGATGACATTCGTGTTCGTGCTATCGGTAAAAGCAACGAAACTTTGAACGGGACTGCACAGATCTCCGAGGAAATGAAGAGCTTGACATTTACGGAGGCCAAGCAAAAGCCTGATAACACAGTAAGTTCCATATCACCATTTTTTTTATTTTTTTTGGAGGGGATATATGACCTAAACAACGTGCAGAAAACAGTGTATTTCAAGAAACATAAAGCAACAGAAACGCCGGTCTATTTACTTCATGCCCTACAACCAGGCACACTTCTCAAGGGTCCGGCTGTCATCATTGACGCCACACAGACATTAGTAGTCGTGCCAGAAGCCCAAGCAAGGATCCTAGAATCGCATGTCGTGATTGACCTATTGTCAACGACTAAACAAGAGATCTCTGACCAAGTTGTGGACCCAGCTACTTTGAGTATCTTCGGTCATCGCTTCATGAGTATAGCTGAGCAGATGGGTCGAGCCCTCCAAAATACTTCTGTATCATTGAACATCAAGGAGCGTCTCGATTTTTCCTGTGCGATTTTTGGACCTGATGGTAAGCGGTAACTGTTCCATAAGTATAGCTCGAAAAAATATACTAATCAATTACAGCCGGTCTTGTGGCAAATGCACCGCACGTTCCCGTTCATCTTGGATCAATGAGTTACGCTGTCAAATATCAACATGAATTGCTTCGGGGAAAACTTACCCCCGGAGACGTGCTTGTTTCAAATCATCCCGAAGCCGGTGGTACACACTTGCCAGATATTACTGTGATAACTCCAGTCTTCGACTCTCAGGGCAAAGATGTTGCTTTCTACGTGGCATCTCGTGGCCATCACACGGACATTGGTGGTCTCGGTGGTACCTCCATGCCACCAAACTCTACTGAACTCTGGCAGGAAGGCGCAGCAATCAAGTCCTTCAAACTCATCCATAACGGTCACTTTGACGAAGAAGGTGTCACCAAGATTCTAGTACAGCCAGGAGAGTACCCAGGGTGCAATGGAAGTCGCCGCCTGAACGACAATCTGTCAGATCTCAAGGCGCAGGTTGCTGCAAACAACAAAGGCCTCAGTCTTGTTCAAGCTTTAATGGAAGAATACTCTCAAGAGATTGTCCAGCTCTACATGGCGGCCATTCAACACAATGCCGAGCTTGCAGTTAGAAACTTCTTAAAAAACACACTGCAAACACGTGGTCCGGTGCTGTTAGCTGAAGATGGCATGGACAACGGATCTTTTGTCAAATTAAAGGTCACTATTCAGGAAGACGGCAGTGCAACCTTCGACTTCACTGGTACATCTTGCGAGATGTATGGAAATATGAACGCCCCTCCAGCCATCACCCACTCCGCACTACTTTACTGCCTGCGGCTACTAATTGGGACTGATATTCCCATGAATCAAGGATGCCTTGCACCCACCCAAGTCATCTTGCCTCAAGGATCGTTCTTGAATCCTTCAGCGGGACCAGCCGTTTGTGCAGGTAATACCCAGACATCACAACGCGTCTGTGACGTGATCATGAAGGCATTCAGAGTTGCAGGTGCAAGCCAGGGCTGTATGAACTGTCTCGGATTCTTTGGTGAAGGCGGAAAGGACGCCCAAGGCAATCCACTTCCTGGACATGCATATGCATTCGGAGAGACTATCTGCGGAGGATCCGGAGCCACTGCTGTGGCCAACGGTGCTAGCGCTGTTCACACACACATGACAAACACCAGAATCACAGATCCAGAGAGTCTCGAGAAAAGATACCCTGTTATTCTCCGGGAATTCTCCATTCGACCGTCTAGTGGAGGTAACGGTATGCGAAAAGGCGGAAATGGTGTAGTTCGAGACATCGAATGCAGAGCGCCTCTCAAGTTTAGCGTCATTACCGAGCGAAGAATCACATCTCCATATGGTATGTGTGGAGGTGAGGATGGCAGCCGAGGAGCAAACTACTGGGTCAAGAAGAACCCCGACGGATCTGAAAGATGGATCAATTTGGGTCCGAAGAACATGGTTGCCATGTCTACTGGCGACCGTTGTATCATCCAGACACCAGGAGGTGGTGGCTATGGGCAAGTTGGAGATATTACTCATGACGAGGGAGTCATGAAAGCGCCTATTCAATATCCACGGGCTGCAGGAAGCGTTGCTGCATATGCAACCACGCAAGCAGAAGCATCTTGAGCTCAATTGTCCACTTGTAAATCTCCAAGGCGCCTATTTGATGAATTCGTGGTGGGAATGGGTGTTTGACAGACTTATCACAATGTGCTGAGAACACGCGGACTCTTAGGTCGAAATTGGTGTAGGGTATGTAATCTATGAAGCGGCAACCCATGCTTTATTCTTTGACGATTTCAAACAACTGATGAATGATAGTACCAAGTATTTGCTTTTTTTGCTAGCTCGCAAAAGAAATCTCTAAGAAATTTTATCTTTATTAGTCACTGAGAAAGGACCTTCTGGGTCTCGGCCTTCTGGCCGCGACTCCGCTTCAAAGTTCAAACAAGTAGTTAGTCTTTTATCTTGAATGGGATTAGATTTGTATTGAACTCGTAATTCGTACACATAAAACTGCTTCCGATTCGCTGTTTCAATTTCCAATCCACAAATTCTCAGCTGTAGTTATAGATAAGGGATGAATCATATATTTCATTTGAACCCGCCCACTCAATCAATGTCTGGTGTCTAAACTCGTTTCCTATCTAATGCCAGGCATTCTTTTCAATTGGACTACCATATCTGATGTTATATCAGTCCATGTTTGAAACATGGGAAGTAATGCATTAGTGGAGTCAGCATTTCGAACTAGCTGCGTGCGCATAAGGATTGTAAGTTACTAATCGTGTGGCAGAATTCGATAGGCGACTTCCTAACTAACTACTAGTATGTAACTGTTAGCGTGAGTCTGACTCAGATCGTTAAGGTTCTCTCAGAAAGATAACTAATCTTCCTTGAAGAGCAAAAGCGCCTTATCATTGCATTCACCGCAACCGGCACCCACTGATTGTCTTTCAACTTCTGTGATCAATGGTACGAAGAAGGAATCACACTACCCCGAAGAAAAGAACTGGCTGCTTTACGTGTAAGAGTACGTATCCCAATTCCAAACTGTATGGACCCCGGAGAGGGGGGGGGCGCTGATTAGTTAGTAGAAGCGCACGTTCGGTGTCCTGAGGAGCGGCCAGTATGTAGTCGCTGCCAGCGGCTCGGCTTAAATTGTTCATATGGTTTGAAACTTCTGTGGGAAGAAGATGCTTTGAAGCGAAATATTGTCCATGGTCGAGCGGGTAGGTTTGAGAACTCCGAGGCCTTTCAAGCCGGTCACTCGTCAGCCACTATCAACACTAACCACCGTTCGAAGGACTCTGGTCACGTTCGGGTAGTAAACACTGTGGTGGCCTGAAATACAATCAGTCACAGCCCGAGCCTCAGATATCCCAGAACATGACCAGAAAGGACGGGTCTGACGAGTATATATTTCTCAATTATTCGGTCGTGGATTTTGAGAACGAACAGCTTCCGCCAACACTCGACTGCAACGTAGACCAGGTTGAAGAGCCAAATAGTCCCATTGAGGACGAAAATATCACACAACTTTCGTTAGCGAGTGAACAACGTCATTTTGATACCGACACGTCGCTCCAGCTATTTTCCGGAATCTCGGACTCCATATACCAAGGCACTCATTCTCATTTACTCAACTATTATATCACTGAACTGTGTCCAAAGTGCTCACTCAGCACAACTTACAACCCTTATCTTCAGATACTCCTTCCGATTGCTGTTGAATTTGCACCTCTGCGTAATGCTCTGCTGGCTGCTGCGGCTAACCAGTTGAGGTTGCAGCACGATGATCGGTTTAAGACTCATGCCTTCAACCTCAAATCCGCGGCAATGAACGGACTAAGACATCAGCTATCGCTAGAAGGGATGGATTGGAAAAGCCTGGCAACGACATTGATGCTTTGTTTTTTTGATGTATAATCTTATCCTTCCAAAACTCGCAATGAACACTCCTACTTACTGCGTCCCCAGATATCTGATGGATGTGCTCCTTCTTGGATAACACATCTGAATATTGGATTGCACATGCTCGAGGAACTCAAAGTTACTACTCTGAGTGAGGCCGACCTTAAAGCTTTTTGCCAAATATATTTTGTGGCACACGAGGTTATGGGCCGAACAGCATGGGATGCAGAGACAACTACTGGCGACTACCGCTGGGCTTGCGGCAATTCTGCAGAGGTATATGTCTGGCTTTCTTAACTCATGATACCACTACTGACATTTCATAGATTGATGCTTTGATGGGATGCTCTCGTGAACTATTATCAATAATCAGTCAAATCTCGTCTCTTGCTGCGCAATTCCGAAGCAACGGGGATCAAGACTTCGCGTCGCACCTGGCCATTCGGAGGGTTTTAGTCCAACGGCTACGTCAGCTTGATCAATACTCCCCGGCCGGTACGCAAAACTCAGCGCACCTTCTGCAAGTGGCAGAGGCGAAAAGACTTGCAGCGATGTTGTATTTGGAGGAACGGATACCAGTCCCAGAACAGTCATCTACCATAAATATACGGAGTATGGGGAGAAAACGTCTCATTGACTCTATCATCGACATCCTACGTGTGTTGCCGGCCACCAGCGCTGCATCCTTGTGGCCTTTGTTCGTGCTCGGGAATTCACAGCTCGAGAATGAAGGTCATCGCCATTTCGTGCTTGGTAGACTGGCCCAGCTGGAAAGGTCTCGAAAACTTGGCAATATCTACCACGCCAGACGCTTAGTGGAGAGAAAGATTATTGCGAGAACACTGTCACCTATTGAGCCTCAGCGTTTGTGGCACCTCCCACGCGGAGTGCTGCGGAATGAAAACGAAAGATGGGTTAGCCTTGCTTGAAACTGACGGAAGCTGAAGCATCGATTGCGAGAGCATCTTGCATGTTTGAATGTTTACTACGGCGTTGTGTCGGATTTGTTAGATTCTGTCTGATTGGACAGGGATCTACTACCGGATATAGCTTAGGTGAGATAAAGAAATAAGTACTAGAATATGCCTTGAATAGATTATGTGAAATTTGTTGGATTCAACAATGTGGAACGCTGTCAAATCTTACTAGGCCAAGTAGGCCATAACCCTAAGTAGTCCATCCAAGGCACGAAGCGCCAGATTACAAGATGCTCTGCACCTGTTGAGCAACCTTCTCCACTTTTGGTGTCTGCAGCACCAATCTGGCTATGACTTAGTGGAGGGAAATGACAAGCCATGCTGCGGAGGCGCATGGTCGCGGAATATAACCAATTGAATTGTTTATCTTCTAACTTAATGTATCTATTGTGATGGCTCGGTCAGTTGGTATCCTATCTTCGCAAACGATTCAATTTTCTCAAGTCTAGAGTCTTAATCGTGAAACTTTGCGAGTGATCTTAAGCCTGTTGCTTCTGCGCCGTTTCCGGAATACCTTCCCAATCAACCCAGCGTGATCATTGACAGAGCCTGGGATAGAGAGTGACGGCTGGTCAGAAATAATATTGGAAGTCGAAATCTGTTTGCAAACTTGACATCTCGATCCTCCAACGTTGATCGGTTGTGGCAGGATATCATCCCAGCCGACAGCGTAGTCTTCGCCAACTGAAATTGTGACCCCTGCTTTATGCCAGCTGGGAGGTGGATTACCTGACTGTTTGTGCAGTTCTGTGACCGAACTCTCACAGATCAAGAGTTTATGGCGTCGGTCCACACTCCTCGCATTACAGTCGAAGCTGGAGCCGATATCGACGCGAGAGACTGTTGGGGTAGAACGTCACTCCGAATTGCTGTCGGGTTTACCAGTACCAGTCTCGATTTCATTGAAATACTTCTTGAAAAGGGAGCAGATGTTAACGCCCGAGACATTTACGACCAGACGCCCTTGTTAAAATCCATTCGCGGGGATCCTTGTACCACGCAACTACTATTGAAGCACAAACCTAGTACTGAAGTAAGAGATATTTATGATAATACACCTCTTTCAGAGCTTCATCCCAGGTGCCGTGCTCGTGAAGGGCCTATCAATATCTTGGATTTAACTCCTTGGTACGGAGGCATTGAGATTATGGAAGCTCTCAAGGGAAGTGAGCAGCATTTGTGTTTGTCTCCGCAACTCATTGATGATTTTATGCAACACAGAGAGTTCAGGCAGACGAATGGACTAAGCGCTGGAGAGGAAGATTACAAGGCTTTCGTCCACTTATTGTCCACTACAAAGTACTCTTGTGAAGAGGGCCGATACTCTTACGACGAGAAAGGTGACGACGGCGAAGAAGGGGATGTCTTTGCTGATGCTAAAGAATAAATATCCTTAGGGCGATTTCTAGATAGTGAAAAGAAGGGTATCATGAAGCTACCTAGGAGGTACTAGAAAAAACCTTACTTCATTAGATAGTTCTATTTTAAATATTATGTATAAAAAAATAATATTATCAGGCTAAAAAATCATCGAGCCTTTAAAAATTAATTACTAGATTTTAAAAAGAAAAAAAGAAAATCTTATGCCTGCCTGCATACATATATATATTTTCAATCTTGAATGTTCCCTTCCCGAGTCTCTCTCACTGGCAGTCACAACACGTCTCTAATAGCTCGAGCAACATACGCCACGTTGCTCTCATTTAATCCACTCAGGCTCATGCGCCCATTACTCAACATGTAAATATGGTGCTTCTCCCGTAGTTCCTGCACTTGTGCACTAGAAAGCCCCGTGAAGCTGAACATGCCGATCTGTTTCTCAATATGACACCAGTCTCCTTGAGCACCTATCCTTTCCAGTTCCGACTTCAACAATGCCCTGACGCTCTTGATTCTAAGCGCCATAATCTGTACATCTTCCTGCCACTTCGAGCGCAACTCAGCATCGTCCAGAACAGCGTGAACAATTCGTGCACCGAACAGAGAAGGACAGGAGATTTCGGCACGGACTGCTTGAACCAAGTGCGCCTTGGCTCCCTCGGGTGAAGTCGAGGTTGGAGTAATCAAATGGAGCGCTCCGATGCGCTCCCCGTAGAGTCCAAAATTCTTGGATAGTGATTGACAGACGAACATGCCTGCTGGCGTTGACGATGGGGACGACGACTCAGTGAACAGCATCGAGTAGAACTCTCGAATCGCCCACGCATCTGCATCGGCATCGCCCGATGCAAACCCCTGGTACGCGCAGTCAAATACCACAAAGAGCTTCTTGCGTCCGACAACTTCTGCGATCTTTTTCCACTGTTCCCGGGTTGGATCGATACCGGTAGGGTTATGGGCGCAAGCGTGCAGTATCACCACATCGTTCTCCTCCGCCGAACTTTCCAGCTTAGCAAGCATTCCCTCGAAATTGAGTCCCCGGGTCGAAGGATCATAATACGGATAGAGTAACTGCATCACATTCGGCGCGGCCTCTCTCCAGATCAAATGGTGATTATCCCATGTCGGATCGGAAATGAAGACATTTTTGGGACACAGTTTTTGGGCACAGAATATCGCGGCAAGGTGATTGGCTCCTGTTCCTGCGACGGTCTGGAGGCTTGTAATATTCTTTGATGAGGCGATTTGAGGACCGAAGAGGAGTTCACGGGCGTTAGTGAGGAATTTGGAGTCTCCGGCTATGGGGAGGTATTCGTGGTCGACTTGTCGGTTGTATAGAGTTTCTTCGGCCTGAGATGAATGGATAAATTGGACTTGCTTGCAAGTTGCAGTAGTGGTCTTACCTCTCTAACGCTGGGTAGGACCCATGGCTGGCAATTGTTGTCACGGTAGACTCCTTGTCCCAGGTTGACCTTTTCATGGAATGGGTCATCGTTGTAGGCTGCGGTCAACGCAAAAGACTCTGGTAACGGTAGCACCGGTAGGTCGCCCAGGCTTTTGAGGGTCATCTTCCAAAGACTGAAATGAAAGCGAGATGTGGGAGGTCACCGGCGGGCAATGGAGAAGAGTATTACCCGGTCCAAAATTATTTCGTTGTTTGAGTACAAGTCGGGGCTCAAGACTTATTTGAGGACTAGACAAAAGGAAAATAAAAAAAAAAAAAAAAAAAAAAACAAACCAATTTATTCAGTACGGTCACCGTGCTTAATCAAATTGATAGACTTCGATGATGATGTACTTGATCGGCTTCCTACATCCGTTGCCGACAC